GCGGGGCGTCACGCGCAGGCGCCGCGCATGGCGCGGGGTGTTCTCCTGCTTCCTTCCCCCGTTCACTGGCGCCCGCCCGCTGCCGCGCTTTGCCTTTGCGTTGTCGGGCCTAAGGCCTGCAACCTCGGGCGCGCTTCCAATGCGGGCGGGGTCCTCGCGCTCGCACAACGACGGGAACCACGGGCGCCAAGACGCTCCGCCTTGGTTCTTTCAACAAGAAGTGGCGCAGATGCTTGGCCCCGCCCTGCTTCAGAAACCCTTTCCCTTGCCCATCCTCTGGCGTTTTTCTTTCCCCCCTGTCCACTCGTTCACCCTCCCACTACGCGACATAAGCTGCGGCCTTGTAAAAAAGTGACCATCTTTTTCAATAGATTTCGTTTACTTTAATTACACACCATGTCGGCTGAGCAAAAATTGCACTTGCACCTGGAGCTGGAAGTGGAAACGGACGATGAAATAAGCAATAAAAATCTCCTCGTATATCTGTTTAACACGAACGTATTATGTGTCACATAATCTTATTCTTAATCTATTCAAGGACATCGCTTATTCAGCGCGTCCTGTTGCATCTTCAGTTCTAAGTAAGTACTTCGCAGACACAAAGTTACTCTATACTTTAAACTTATGGTGAACGTTGCAACTCGTAGCTGCACATAGGAAAGTGTGCTGATGAAACGCGACGTTGGAATGATCAACCTGAACCTCTACCTAGTCTAAACCTTAACCCTATCATACCCGCAGAAGGAGAAAGTACGTCATGATTTTGCTGCTTGATGTTGCCTCAGCTTCATCAAGTTGAACTATTCCTTATTGCTATATTATCTTAATTCTGCTTCTGCCACTGCCCAATCCCGTTCCACAGACATCCGACCAACTCGGAGTAGGCGAAGAAGCCAAAGCTTTCCGCCACGAGTCTGGCCCAGTTTTCGTCTTCGAGAGCCGAGAAACCACCCATGTCCTCATACGTGGTGTATATGCGCAGGGCCGTGTAGTGCAGACGCATGGCCCGAATTCCGCCGCGTGCATCCATCATCCGCCCCAGCTCCTTCACGCGCTTCTTTGCGTCCTCGTCCCCATGGATTGCGAGACCGCCGACGTTCCACAGCTCCCGCGTCCACGCGTGGTTGTAGTGCGTCTCGCCGAATTTTTCATCGTCGGACTCTGGTACGAGCAGATCCTTCAGCAGCTTTGCCAACTCTATCGAAGCTCGTTCCCGGCAGAGCGGATGAGAAAGTCCGGCAATGCGATTGGCTAAGAACTGCAAGGAGCTGGCCTCCAGATCGGCTTCCTCCATGGCCGACAACTTGGAATTCAATCCGCGCCCGGCCTTGTCATTTCGGTCCTGCGAAACCTGGTACTGGCCCGCGTGGTAGGAGCCGCCAACTAGGTGGACTTCCACTCCACTCGGCGTTTCGCGGGGGACGTATGCGAACTGTGCCGTCACGGCGACGTCGCCGCTTGCAAGAGCGACGTCCAGACCCGCAACATTCGGCGGTGCTATCGGGTTGCTGAATTCCCGTCGCGCGCACTCGCACCCACTGAAGCCCACGGTCTCGAATGCCGGCGCGGAGTCCGAGTTTTTTCCGAACCTACTGCACAGAAAAGCCAGCGGGCTTTCAAAACTTTTCCTCGTACCATCAATTTCGAACTCCCCACCGCCCTGCTTGTTGAGGCCGCTGTACCCCTCAATCTTCGGTGGAAACGCGCCCGTACGAGCCCAGTTAACAATCTGTTCCGCGGTGGCGTGGACCAGGTGAATCTCGTCCCCGCCGTCGTAGTCGTCGGGCGCCCCTACGCTCGCAACCTGCTCTATCCACCACAGCAGCTTTTCCTTCTGCTTCCGCAAGCCAGCGACGTGAAGCCAGCGAGCCTTGATGGCGACGCCGTCTTCCTCCTCCAGACTATTGAGGAACCCCGCAGGCGGCGCGAACACGTTCAAGAGATACGACAGTCCATGCTTCCACTCTTCTAGCTCCTTTTTCCGATGGGACCTCAATACCTCCCGGACCCGTCCCACGGCTGCACGAACTTGTTTGACCGAAACGCGAGGCCGGGTGTGTCCGCTCAGCCCGCACACCCCTTGGGGACCTAGCGCTGCTCGAATCTGTTTGTCCGTCAGCTCGGCCGCCTGCAACTCGGCGGCGGGCAACGCAGCTGCTTCGGGATCGCAGCCTGCGCTGCAGGCTTGGCTATTCACCATTGCTGCAGAACTCTTGCCGCTAGTATGTGGAGGAAGACAAAGCCCGGTCTCTCGTGCGTGTTTCAAGACTCTCTTAAACTTTCCATCAGAGAAGCCTAGCTTTTTCGCGAGTTCCCTGTTTGAAAGGTTCGGCTCCGCAGCCTTCACTTCCGCTACTGTCGCTGCATCCTGGTCCAGTTGCGTCGGTGTAGTTGTTGTTCTCGTACAAGGATTAAAGGTGCTTCTAAGCGAGCCGGCTATTTCAGATGTTGATGTGAGTTCACCTCTCGTGGCCATTGCTGTTGGTGTTGGAGGTGGTCCTGCATCTGCAAGTTCTTCGGCTGTTAGAGAGGACGAGGAGCCACCGTCTCCGAACAAGTTCGCGATGTTTTCTAGTTCTCCTGGGTCAACCTCAACGCAAGACTCGTTTCGCACAGCAGACGAATTCCCCCTTGCCCAAGGACTTTCACCTGTACTGCTGGACCACGCTCTCACTACTTCGGCACACGACGATGATGGCGTGGCGCTTCCTTTGTCGTTTTCCTCCACCACGTCGTCGTCAGGATGCGTTCCATAGAGCGTGTATTCGAGGTCTTTCACATCCTCGATCAAGCTCACCGGCTCGTTCGACCCATCCAAGCGTCGTGCCCGTACTGCCCTTCCAACCGTCTGAATCAGCTCTCGCAATATGCGGAGGTTCTCTTTGGTGAGCAGTGGTCGCTTCTGCTGGAACACGGCTGTTCCAATGTACGGAAGTGGTTCATAGAGCTCTCGGCGGACCAGGTGGAACTTCGGGCCGTGTTTATCGGCCAACGCGCAAAGGCCCTCCAAACGGGTCACCAACTCGGCGAACTCGCCCGTGGGAGATTTGCGAAGCACTCGAAAAAGTGGTGTTAGCTTCTTCAACACTGGAACGAGCTCCTCCGTGACATGCTCTCCAACACGAAAACCACCGGAAGCCAGCAATGCCACAAACCTCTTTGCCAGCGGCTCTGCGTTTAGTAGGTCCGCAAATTCTTTCGTGATTGATTCGTCGCCGCAGGCCAGCTCCGCCGTCTGTCCTCGGTGGCGGTAGTTCTGGTCCGCTTTGTTTACCTCATTCTGCCCATCTATACAGGGCGGGTTGGAGTGCGCGCGGTCGTTGCTCAGGGTGGAGCAGGTGCTGAAGCTTCTCTTGATCTTCTCCTGCAGCTTTTCACTGCGTTCCTTGCTAGCCTTCTTCATTTGCTCGAGGGAGAGATGCTGCGTCAAGGGCGCGACCCTCCACACTGGTCGCAAGTTTGACGGTGGCACACGAACGGTGGTTACACTCTTGGACCGCGCGATGGCTGCATCATCGGACCGGGAAGGTTGACTCTGTCGGGGGACGATGTCTACACGCACTAGGAGCATGTCCTCATGAGCAGCTTCTTCCTGCGCATCACGCGACGAGACAAACCCTGTGTGCTCCAAGTCTGCGTCAGAGCTTTGTTTCAAAAATTTTCGGTATGCGCGCGCTCCAATCTCACTGGCGCATGAATCCTGATTCCGGAAGATCTCCACCTGAAGAATGCCGTCTTCGTCTTTAGTGCCAACTGCAGCTTGATTCGTGAAGAACCCGCGCAGAAGTAAGCGGTCGGCAATCCTTGCCGCCCGTGTTCTCAGCATTGTGTTGTCTTTGAACTCGACCTCTAAGGCGGTGCGCAACGGAGTGACTTCGATCGGACACAGGCTCTGCAGAATGAAAGGCCCCACCTTCGGAAGAATGGCTGCACATCCGGTTTCTTCCGCTTTTTGCGTCATGAGCATCGTGTGCGAGAGCAGGTCAGCAAGCTTGTCGCCAAACAAAAGCTTCTTGAGATCCGCTGCTAGCTCAAGAGCGGGCGTCTCCACGAACGAAGCAGGGACGCAATCAAAATCCGCTCTCGTCGCGCTTGCGGAATGGTCCGAAGCTGATTCCGGATTCACCGCAGAAACCCCTGGCGTGTAGTTCTGTTTGTATGTAATCAAAGGGTCGCACCAGTCGTACGCCACCCCGCTTAAGTCAACGTGGACAAACTTCCGCTTCATCGGATCGCCGTCCGGTACCGCTGCGTCTTCGACAACGAAAACCAACCATACGTGGGCGACCGAGTGCTTCGCGCCCAGCACATTTTCCTGAAACTCGCGCCATCGCGCCACCGAACTGAAGCCATTTAGCTGCGCGCGTTGCTTTTCCTGCTCGGCTGCATTCGATCCGCTAACACCAAACATCACCTGCGCCGCTGGTGGAAGCCGATCGGCCGCCAATATTGTGGAAGTATCCATGTAGCTGCCGATTTTGTACTTGTCCCAATGCACGTTCACCTCACCGCGGTACTGTGGGTGGTGGATGGAATCCGAGGTCATGTGCCCTGGTGTTTTGCACGAACCACAACTGGCACCGTCATCGCGCACCTTCAGGTCGTCCACCGCGATTCGGCCAAGCGCAACGAAAACATTCAGCACCTTGCATCCTTTGTGCACCAACCGTACCCCGCGTTTGTCAGCCACCTCACGCACTGCAGCTGCAAGATCTGCAACAGTGTGAGGCGCTGAACTCGATCGCTCAAGCTTCCAAAACAATGCGAGCTTTTGCTGCTGCGTGAAGCTTTCTTTCAGCCGACTCCCGGTTTCGTTGTTTGGAAAAGTAAAACACCGCTCGACTTCTGTGGGCGAACGAACGGATCCAGATTTGCGGCTCAGCAGTCGCAATGTATTTGCACCAAGGAGTTCGTAGGTGGAGATGTAGTTTTTGCCCCTCGTGAAGGCGCGCGACACTTCGGCGGCGAGGTCAGTGATCTCAACTTGCAAAATACCGAGTACGTCGCCTTCGTTTCTTTCTCGCGTCCTGGGGCCGGTTGTAGGCGTCGCATAGTTTTTCGCTTCGCTCAGGTCCGCACTCTTCTGTCTGCCCGCGTCCGCTGCTCCGGCTGCTGTAGAATTCTTTTCCGACAAAGCCAGCGTTTCTGCAGTGACAGAAATCCGCTTCAACTCGTGGGCAAGAGAAGAGAGATCAAATATCCCGGAAACATCACGTAACAGCGGAAACAAAATCTCAAGCTCCACCGACTCCACGAGCCTGTCCAGCGAAAGGACGTGTTCTGTCAAGGAGCATACCTGCGGAGATGGAGAAAGGAAACACTACATTTACATACTTAGTATTCAGCAACGTCATCTTCATTCGTTGACCAGCACGCGTCTGGTGGCGAACATCAAATTGTGATATCTAAGATTTGATAGCGCTGCCATTAGTGCACCAATTTCATCAAGTGTAGAGCAAAAATTCTGATTCATCCGACACCACAAAATACGTGCGCATAACTCCAAAACGGCGTGATTCCCGTGTTGTACCGCTCGCGCAATTCTGCAAGCCCTTTCACTCCGTCCAGCCGCTCCAAAAGCTCGCAGTATGTGCTGCACAAAACACTCTGGCTGTCTTCCCATGCCTGCCGCGCTTGCGCGGTCGGTTTTTTTGCTACGAAAGCCTTTCCGAACTCCAGCAGTTTCCGCAAAACAGAGGCCGTGACGGCTTTGCCCGCGAGCGCTTTTTCCACTTTCTCAAGAAGTCCCACGTTTGTGGTTTGCTTGTGTTCCGTCGGGGACAGCGAGAATGATGGGACGAAGCGCGCACAAAGCTTGATCGCAAGCTCTAAACTCTGGCGAAGCGCCGGCTCTTGTTTCGGAATAAAATCTGCACTGTTCACACTTTCATCACTGACAGATGATGAACTATTCGTCTGCCCCTGCTTGTGCTTGCACATTTCGGTAATAAGTCCACACCTCGCTAGCTCCGCTCCACCGATTCCGAGGCCCTCTATCACGCCTTCGTCCAAACAAATCTGAATCTTGTTTCCACGCTCCAAAGATGATCTGACCGAGGCAAACATGGGCCCAAGCACGTTCAGCACAGGGCCGACATCGCGGACCAAAACCCGTACAAACTCGAAGGTCGCTTCTTCCGGACCTCGCCCGAACTCCTGTCCCACGGGAATCATCTGCAAGGCCAGGAGCTGCACGTCCGTTCCACCTTTGGACTCCTGAGGGTCACGACGAAAGCTGGCGTCCTCTCCCGCACTGCTTTTGTCGTAGTGGTCCGTGGGCTCGTAGCCCGCGGAAATGGCAATAGAAAACATGCCACAGCTGACCGCGAAAGCAAGCATGCCATCGAGGATGGGACTCAAGAGTCGCGACGAGGCGCCGCTCTTCGGCGCCGTTTTGCTTGGTGAGAACGTTCGCAGGTCTATACTTGCCGGACGGAGGCCGGCCATCTGGGATTGTCGGTTCTGCGTCAAGCTGTGTATTGCTAGATTTGCACACGTTGTAATGCGGCTGAGGAGGCAAAGCCCGAATGGGTTTTGGTACAGCTCATGCTGCAGGCTCAGGTCCCTGTTGTAATTCGCGAAGGTGACGCACCGAACCAAGTGCAACACGACATGTGCGAGCTTTACTACCAGTTCCGAGGGCGACGCGTTCTGGTCACTGAGGGCCGCTTGCGAGAAACCGCGATGGGCGAGTGCGATAATTCGCGCTCTAGTCACCTGTAGAAACTTGAGAAGGCACAACATGATGTGTGATACCAGCATGGTGTAGCTCGGCGCCTCTGACGAGATCAGAACAGACCTGCTGCCGTCAGCGAAAAGGAAAACCGGGCGTAACCGATCACGAACAAATGCAGCTAGGTCTTGCAGAAAGACCAGCCGATCATGCGGCGAAGCTGAATGGTGCCACCACTTGTTGAGCGAACTCGTCTTATTCTGCGTCTGCTCGTAGTTGTGTTTTCCCACAGACGCAACACCCACGTCGGCGTTCCTGCACGTTTTGTTTTTCTGCTTTCTCATTTTGTCATTGCGCGCCACGGCAGAAGCAGCAGGTGGTGCGCACGGAGGCACTGGGCAACGATGGCCTCCTTCAAGTTTCGGAAAAGCAAATTGCTCGAGGACGCTAAGCCAGGCGCCTAGCATCTGCCACTTCGACTGGAAACTCGTGCGCCAGTACTCCACCGCGTCGCGCAGATGCTTCCTACTTTCAAATATCGCTAGCGACATCTGCTCCTCCTTCTGCGCGACGACGAGATTGGTTGTTGTCAGACTCGAAGCCCGGCTTCGGCCGTGCGTCTGCGTTGTTGAGTCAGAGTCTTTATTCTTCTGCGAATGCTTTGTAGTTGCTGATGCGGCTGCAGCAAGTGGTCCAACGGAGCTTCCAGGAGATTCAGATTCGTCATTGTGTGTGCCAATCGCGTCGGGGTCCGTATTGTCATGCACATCTACGTCCTCGACCTCGAATACAGATTCATCGTCATGGTCCTGCTCCTGCTCCTTCGCCTCTATTTCCTCGATTCCGCAGGAGGAAGAATCGGCGTCCATGTCTGCCGCGTTGGCTATCTGATCGCCTGTAGTGGTCAAACTACAGTCTGGTGTCACGCACTCAACTGCAACTGATTGCGCGAAAATGCGGCCAGCGTAGTGTGCGAGTTCCTCGAGCCACTGTCGCAACTCCTTTACCCGCAGTAGCTCGTCGTGGCGTACAATGCAATCTGCGTCGAATGCATACGCAGTGCACTCGTCGCCGACTCCGGCAGGTTCTCTGCCGGGGTCCTCCGGCCTCTCCGTATCTGTTCCGCTATTTTGTGCGTCCGAATTATCAGCAATAACCGTTCCGCCGGCAGCTGCGTCAGCACCTCTGCCTCTACTCTGTCGACCTTGCTCGCAGCTGCTTCTGCAGTTGTCCTCTGTGTTTCTTTCCTTCTCCTCCTTCCGTGGTTTGTCTTTGTTCCTAACCGAGGGCAAAAGCCAGTTATAATGGAGCTCCTTCCTTACAACGTCGGCGAACTTGATCAGGACACCCAACAATACCGGACTCTTCTGCAGCCTTTCCAATGCACGGCGATCGTGAAGCGTAAGTCGGCGCACGCAGTCCAGAATGTGCACCAAGATTGCGGATGCTAGGCCGGTCTTGTTCCGCACGAAAAAGCTTTGTCGTCTCGCGAACTCTAACAAGCTGGCTTCGTTTTGCTCATCGGACGGTGGAATCTTTATCTTCTGTTTATGAGCAGATGACGCAGGATTGTTTTTTTTAGACGAGATACGCAGGAGGCAAACAGTGCGGACGAAGCGCGCGCTCCAAGAATTGTTCGTGTATTTCATCTCATCTGTTTGTCGCATGTCGGTGTCGGTTCTCTGTCCTCCTTGTCCAGCGTTTTCAGCTTCATCACCATCGGTTTCTTTTTTTTCTTCGGAACCAAGGCGCATGGCCATGTCAATTATTTCGGCGTGTCCGAGAAACCCGTGGCCTCCGAGCTGCTCCGTACACGCCAACGCAGCGCTGATAAATTGGTCGAGCACAAAATCGTGGAACTCCACACGCCGCGTTTCCACGTCAGACGACCCCCGCGAAGTGGACTGAGCAAGGACAGAGGCCTCTTTCAGGCAGCGGCACACAAGGTCAACAATCGAGACTTCCCGGAGTGCTTCTCCTGTTCCATCGACGGCTGAAGCAGTAGGTCTTGCGCCGTCATCTCCCTCCGCCTCGTGACCGACGTTTTTCGAACCGGTTGGTGTCACTCCCGTCACGACCACTTGCGCTTCGGTTATAGTTTCTGAAGGAACCGCAACCGATTCCTCTCCGGAAGTTGAAGATTCGCCGGAAGTAGAAGAATACGCCGGTAGTGGTCTTGTCCGGAGTTCTTGCGCTTGTGCTCGGTCGAGCTCGAGTACAAGTGTAGAATCTTGATCTTCATTTTGATGATCATCGTCGATCCCGAGCGCGAACCGCTGCCCGACTAGACCCTGAAAGGCAGTTAACAGCAAAACTGCCCGGTCCTCCGCGACTGCTTCTAAATCGTGGTCGCCGGAAGGAAATCGCGCTGGAAAACTGCACGATCTCTGTGTCCTCGCCTTGATGTTCTCGTCCCGGTTGAGAGATGAAAGATTCGCGAAGACGCTGCCCTCCAGAGACAGCAGTTCGTAGCACTTTTCGTACTCTCCCTCGATCAGACACACATTCGCCTCCAGGAGAATCGCCTCTACGTCGGACAAAACCTGTTCTTTGAGCACCTTCTCCTGCTCGCGTGCCTTGTCTGCCCACTGCTCTTTCAACTCGGAATACTCCTCCGCGGTGAGCTCCTGTGAGGCCAAGCTAAGAGTCTCCTCGACCCACACGCGCGTGGCGCGATTCAGCTGTTGGTCGCGCCACTTGATCTTTCCTTCGGGCTTTTTCTTCGTCGTGGCTGTCGTGCCGGCAACCCCTTCCAGTCGATGCTGCTCACCTGCGGCGTGGGCGTCCCGCCGCCGATCGCGGTCCCGTTGGCCCTGCTGTAGGTGCTTGAGGATAAAGGTGAGCGCCTCCACCCGCACCTTGTTGTTGTGTACAGGCACGGGAATCGGCTTTCCGCCCTCGCGCGTGAAGATGAAGTGGGACCCGCAGATCCGTCGTCGCTGGTAGTGTTTGCGCTTCAAAAGCGCGAACACGAAGTCCGCTCGCACGCCGTCGACGCCCATCGCGTTACTCAGGGCGTGCGAGTAGTCTGGTGAGACCGAAAGCGAACGGGAGACAACTCGATCGCCAGAAAGTGGCGACAACAGAAGGAGCTGAGAGACATTTTGATTGTAGACACAACACGCTCCTGCTGTTCCTTCGAGAAGCGAGTGGGAATAGCGGAATTACACGACTGTGTACTTCTTTCTGAAAATGGTTGTCGTTCTTCTTCAGATCGAACAATTCCAAATTCGGATTGCTTTTTTCATTTTCTTCTTCCTGTGCGTCGACAGCCAAACGAAGCAACGGTAAGAACTTCAATATCTGTATGCCGTACGTCTAGGTCGTGCTGCCCCACACCCACCCACAGTCACAGATGTTCATTAAGATATAGAAACCACTAACTCAAACTCCTGGTGGAGCTGCTCCTGCTTCACGCCACCAAAACGCGGGATACGAATATCTCTTCGGTTCGTATCATGCTCAGGAAAACTTGGCAGATATTATCAGAACGTAAAAAGCTTCTGTCAGAAACGGAACGAAGCACCCTGCGGATCATCTCTTTCCACCTTTACACAACACAGCATTTACATCAACAGTTGATGTGTTGACAACATACTTCTGCACGACAGAGAAGACAGCCGCTGCTCGAACATCAATCCTGTGTACTCACAGAGGAAGCCTCGGCCACTGCTTCCTGACTTTCGTTTTTCTACATTTCAATTCGAATTTCTGTATTATTCAAGGTCGGGTAGTATTAGCACATATCAGATAAAGCATTCGCATTGTCTTTGTCGCTGGGTAGTAGAGCAGTACAACTCAAAGTAAACTGTTCTTCATCACCCACACCTCCAATCCACGCCGTGGTATTCCTCCGAAGAGCTCTCGTCGTCCGAGGATTCTTTTAAATCCTTCTCCTCCTCCCGCTTTTTCTGCCGCTCGTTCAGTGCCTGTCGCATCCGCTGCAACTGTCCCTTCATTATGCATTGCAAAAGTATCGTACTAGTACGAATTGCATTACAAATTGACTTAGCATTACACATTAAATTTGTAATGCTGATTTACCTTGCAAAAGAAACTTGTAATGCATAAATGCAATTACTACGAGTACGATACTTTTGCACTGGATATTCATTTCCTCCCGCCGGTCTTTCTCTTCCTCCTGCTGTCGCCGGTGTCGCTCGTCCGCCATCTGGTTTCGTTTCTCCTGCCCCTCGCGGTGGTCGCGGTCCGCCTCGATGTCAAGCCGTTTCAAGTCGTTCTCAAACTCCATCTCCCGCAGCTTCGACGGCTTCGTTACCCCCTTGGCTTCCGCCTCCTCCTCGGCATCGTCGAAAAACCCGGCCGGGACGTTCGTATTCACGGGGGTCTCCTCCACGACAGTGCGTACTAAAGCGGGCTGCTTGATAACACCAGCAGCTGTTGTGCTAGAAGAAGAATTACTACTTCCTGTTGTTCCAGCGCTCGTCCCTGGTTGCACTCCACCCCCATCCCCAGGCCCGCCGTCAACGCTGGTGAGGGTGGTGCCTGCGGCGAACCCAGCGAGTTCCGGGTACAGTTCCAGCTCCTCCATCGTGATGTCATCCACGTCAAAATTGTCGATCAACATTGGGCCGACGACCTTCCGTCGCTTCAACAGCGCCGGGTCTTGGTAGGAAGAGCCGGCGTCTCCTCCGAGGGCATGATCACCGTCTTCTGGACGCTTGTTTTGCAACCGCTCCACCACACGCTGCTTAATCTCCTCTGCTTTCGTCGGGATCTGCGGAGGTTGCGGTTCTGGAGGTTGTGCTCCTGCGGGGGTGATTTTTGCGACGGAGATGGTGATGCCGAGCTCATCATCCTGGTGTAGCACTTCCTTCTGCGGGGGTTGCTGTTTATTATCGGTAGAAACAGCATTGGCATTTGTGGTTGGCTTTTGCTCTGCATCCTCCTCTTCCGACGACGAATAACCGCCCGCACCCGCACTGGCTTGCTTCGGTTTCACTGGTGCTTTGTCTTTCACACTTCCGGCCGCGTCCTGTTTTGTTGCTGCTGCTGTTTCGCCACGACCTGAAGGTGATGGTCGTTTAGGTTTACCAGTGGTCGCAGCTTCGTCTACTGCGCCAGCTTCCTTGTCCTCGCTCGCACCTGGAGAAGATGTCGCAGCCGCTGCTGGTAGTTTCTGTTGCGCCGCTGCAGCTGTTGCACCGGAAGATTGCGCGTTTTTCAGCATCGCCTTCTTCTTCCATTCTAACAGCGCCTTCTGGTGCGTCGCGGTCTGGAGGTGCGCGGGCCAAAGTGCTTCGGACCGGACGTGCGCACCGCAAATCAGGCACTGGAGTTCGCCGTTCGAGAGCCACTTCGCAAATTTGGGAGGCGCTTTGGTCTGCGTCCGCCGCTCTTTCGCGGCCTGCATCATCGCGCGCAGCTCGGCCATGTTGTTTCTACTCGTATAGTGATGTCTCTTCTGAATCTGAGGCACTGAAGTATCACAGGCTATCTTTTTCCTCAAGTACAGTCATGAGCAAACAACGAGGACGGCTCCAAGTACATTTTCACAATGTTCTTCTTCTTTTCCTTGATCTCGTTAGATGATAGGCGTCGCTGTCATTGACATTGATTTTGAATGTGGTACGCGTAAGAGCTGTGAGGAGCAGGTACTAGTGCCATCTGACAGTATTTTCGTGAACATTTGAAGTTTTTCGTTGAGCTTGGGTCGACGTCCACCAGTGCATTATTTGCATTTAGATTTGCATGGCTTTATCTTTTCGTGTCGTATTGGTCAAACTACGAGGCAGCGAACAGAGGAACATTTACATTTTTGATCTTCTGTTCTCGTCGTAGTGGTTTTGATGCCCATTGGCTTTCCTTCTCCTTCACTTGCGACAAGGCTACGCAGGCTTGATTTAAAGTTGTGCAGAATCAAAATAAACCATCAATTCAAAAAGTTGAAGTTCTGCTCGAATCGTACAACGCTGTGCGGGAGTCGGACTCTTTCAATTACAGTTTATACGTGGTCTGGTGGTAATTCATTGTACATAGACGGACTTTACACAGAAGTTGCTATTCCATTCATACATAATTCATTTTAACCTCTCTTGCTACAGGTTACAACACAGCTACATTACAGCACATCATTTTAAATAAACCGTGATACTCATACACATACTACTGAGTAATACAAAATTCGCCTCCACCTGGTGCTGGACGGGCTAAGTCAACATCGAGGATGTTGGCCGGCAGTCTCAGTGCTCAGACGCTGGCACCGACAGTGGTTCTACGGCTCCGGTCGTGCACCATAGGTCCACGTCCACCGAGGGCGGCACTGGGGTTTTAGTATAGAGTTTGTCGTGTGGTTGCACTGCAGCTACGAGCGCGATCTGAAGGAGCTGACCGCCAGGATACATTGCTCGCAATTTGAATCTGATTCTGCGTATTCTATTTCTGCTTTATTTGTATTTCATCGTGTTTGCAACATGCATCAGGAAATAGTTGCTCCAAGAACACATCACAGATTACTTTACAAAGTATAATACCGATCAGCGCACCGGACGCGGTTTCGTGCAGAGGCTGATGCAATCGGAATCGAACAGGCTCCCGTTTGATGGCCCGCGGTTTGATATCCAGGTCGTGGTATAGCTGCATTTTTATGTCGTCAGCATTTTGGAAAAATTAAAATCGAAACTATGCTTATGCATCACATCAATCTAAACACAACATGAACATGAGCGAATTACGAATGAATCAGGCCGCTCTCGGTCATAGAGTAAATACGACTGAAAATAAAAAGAAAGTACGACATTGTCGTTCGTGTCGAGGGCCGTCATTTCCAACTTCGCCTCCATCCACTTAGAGCGAATCTTGGACCAATAGAAAACTGTCGGCGGGTGCTTCTTCACCGGCATCTTGTTTTTCGAACTGTTGCTGAAGATATCGTGCTTTTTTTTGATGCTCTGTCAACGCTTACTTTTGTGCTGGGGAAATGTAGTTGATCGGGATACCTACTATATTCTTGTTCTTCATCTTTATTAGTCACAAAGAACTAATACGCGAACTGCATCTGGACCAAGAAGTACACGATACGACACTCATAAGGCACTCTCGGTACTACATTTCACTTTCTGTTTCTAGGCTCGTATGACGCAGCCGTGCTTTGACTCCTCCTGAAGCGTCACATCTCGATCTCCTCCACTCAACTCCCTGGCTTTCGCTTTGTGCACAACGAACGCAAATAAAGCGACGTAACTTATGAAATCGATGAAGGGAGAAACGGCTTCGGTTTTTTACCAGTCACCGACCATAACACCAAGCACGGCGCCACGTACGTCCTCACGGAGGGCAACAAGGGAGTTGATACTACAGAACAGCTACGCAGCCGCGGGGCCAGCCTCCTGCATTTGGTTCCCACATTCTCGTCCGGCCCCGTCTCCATGTTATGCGTGGTTGCGATTAGTTTTGAATCGATCCATGAACGGAGACATGTTACAAACGGCGCGCCCGTTACCGCCGAGACCCGAGAACGAGACCCGGGCGAAGCCAAAATGAGGCCAAGCCTACCGCTTCTTGGTATTCGCGCGCCGACAACGTCGCGGCCGGGAGCTGTGTAGTTTGTTCTACTTCATGCCGCCGGCCGCGCGTGGTCTCTGCAGCTGCCTCAGAAACACTAGCGCGCCCCCTATTGGGGCATGGGCCGCGGGCATATAGATTCGCAGGCCGCGCGCCACGTGGCTCAAATTTTGAGCCGCATCGGACTGCGACCAGACAGACAACGCCCGCCCTAGTCAATGACCACGCCAGAGCTCGTCTACGTACCGGATGCCCGCCAAAGCGGCGCCGCTATCTGTCCAAAATGGGGCCTCGCGCCTGCTGGCGCAAATTCGCCCCGTGCCTCTGTTGCTTGCAGATAGAGGACAAGGCAGGACGACCAGAAAACGCGCAGGCCAAAACGAAGCCGGGACGAGGCCAAAACGAAGCCAAAACGAAGCCAAAGCCAACCAAAAAAAAGGCGGCCAACCCTTTCAACTTTTTGCCAGAAAGAAAAGGCCCAGAATCAGACCGCGGGGCCTCGTTTTGGCCTCGTTTGGGCCTCGTTTTGGCGTCGCTTTCACGAGGGCACGGCAAAGCGAGCCGGGCGGCGACCAAAGTGCCGAATTTTCCGCGTTCCCCTTCCAGACGCGAAACGCGCTTGCCTGGCCTCGTTTTGGCTTCGTTTTGGCCTCGTTTTGGCTTCGTTTCGGCCTCGGCTTTTTTGCCCTTTGGCTTCGTTTTGGCCTCGTTTTGGCTTCGTTTTGGCCTCGGCTTTTTTGCCCTTTGGCTTCGTTTTGGCCTCGTTTTGGCTTCGGTTTTCCGGCAATGCCGACCAGGGGTGGTCGCGTGTACATATCTACTGGACAAGAGTGCGCCCATACCCATTTGAATATAATAGCAGGCACCGCGCGGGGGATTGGGGCTTCGCACCATAGTAGCCACAGGCAAGACGAAGGCGGCGCCCCCTGGGCATCAATGTGGGAAGCGCAACGCCCTGCGACGGCCAGGGCTTTTTGCGTTTCTTTGTAGTGCCATGCGGCTCAAAAATTGAGCCCGGCGGCACGCTGCGTCGCAGGCTCCCCCCTATGCGAAACGCGACGCGCCCGGGCCCACAGCGCGCACATCACAAATGACGCCCCGGCTTACATGCAGCAGAAGCCCCAAAGGCTGGGGGCCCTGTAAACGTCTCGGCCGATCACTATGGGGAAACTTGCCGACGTTTTGCGCTGGCAGAGGTGGGCCACTGTAAAAGCTGCCCGACTGGCTTCGTTTTGGCTTCGTCCTGGTCTCGTTATCGTGCGAGGGCGGTAACGTGGGTCGCCGTTTGTAAACATGATGAGGCGGCGGGCGGGCCGCAATCGCGAGCGCACAGCCGGGACGGCGGCTCGCCGGCGCCCGCTACCAGCTACAGGCACCCGGGACCGCAGAAGCGGCAGGGCCGCGGGATGGGGTATTACAGATGCACAGGCGCCGCTCGCCCCGCCGCAGCGCGCTGGTGGCCAGGCAGGGCACGCAGAAACGGCGCAGCGAGCGGGCGGGCCTTTTCGGCCTTCCCCCCCCCCGCCACCGCACACACGCAAGCGCGCGCGGGCGGCATGGGGGCTAGGTGGCACCAATGCCCCCGGGCCGACGGGGGCGCTTGACACGCGCCAGCCTTCATACATCCTGCAGTCCGCCTGCGGGCACTACGAGAAAACGAGCGCGCAACCGGGGTCGCGCGCGGAAAAAAAACCGAGCGGGCTGGCCCCTCCACAGGCCGGAGCTGATTGCCTGGTCGTGCTGCCGTGATGCTGCCACATCGGCGACGGTGTTGCCACGCCGCGCGGCCCGGGCGAGCTTTCTAGACGTGGTCGCCCAGCGGCCCACGCGCGGGCGGGCAAGAAAGCGGACGCGCGACAGATCGCTGCTGGCTGCGCGGTCGATGGATATCTGTCCGCGACGAGGATGCCGTGGCGCAGCAACTGGACAGCGCCGTGGGCTCTGCGGGTCGTTCTGCAGCCGTCTGAGCTCCACCATGCGTTTGGCCCGCCCCGATTCCTCGCCCGGCTTACTCCACCACAAGAGAAAATCAGCGGCCGCCATGATTTCGCTCTTTATTCGGAGGTTACGGAAAAAGAAACGACTGCGAGAAATTCCTTCTCCCTCATTGTCATCTACCTGCAAAAATGCGAAGAGGGATCTGACATCAGGACTTGTAAACACACCACGCCTCGTCCACAACAACCGCTTCTTTGTTGCGGCTATTTCAATTTCTGATAGATAGAAGTAATTCAAAGCGTAACACAGACAGACTTCTCTCTGTTTCCGCGGCCCTCCCTGGTCCTTCTGTATCTCCGTGTAGATGAGAAGTTCAAGTTGTATAACATGTGTTCTGGTGGTAGTGGCAGGGTACCATCTAGTACGAATAGCAATTCTTCTACCACTTCTCTCTCATCCTCTCTCAAACCCAGTTCCTGACATAGTCAGTACTCAGACCAAGCTGAAGCTCTTGCATTGAGATTTAGCCACAACACTAGAAAAAGCCAAAACGGACACAAGACCATCCCACTGCACCCACGACATTAGCTAGGTTTTCGCTTTCTTGTTCGGTTTTTGTGTGCTTACTCGCCTTGACGTTTGAAACTGCACTTGAGATTGTCACATGGGACAAGTTGGGCATATGAACGCTCCACAGTCTTTTCTGCTCTGGTCCTCTTGTTGCCTTGGAGATTATTTGTAGTCTATCTTCTCTGGAGGTGTACGGCTCTGGTAATGCAACTTCTGCTAACCCTGACATCATACAACAAACGACAAAATCTACAAGGAAGTCAAATCTTAAAAATTCGTTTTGGTACAAAAAGTGCGGTAGTGCATCGTCCGACTGGACTAGATTGTAATAAATTTCATTTTGGATATCGATTTATTCGCATTAAGGAGATGATGATGATAGCTTAAAGTATAAACCGGTTCATTTTTGTAATTTGCAGTCAGTGAGAGAATTGTTCGCGCCTCATGGTCATACGGTAGCCTAGCGATACAACTAAAGGTTCATAAATTAAGACAGGGCCGCTTCGCTGATGATGATGATCTTCATTGGTGCATGTACGTTTTGAATGTTATGGTGCTGAAACATCTACCATCTAAACCTAATTGTACATTTGAATTGGGAATTACAAGTCAAGAATACCAGCGTGCTCTCGTGACGCCCCATTTGTATAAATAAGTAATTTCATGCTTCGGTACAGCACCAAGCAAGCTGCATTTGATTTCGCCTTCACTATAATTCACTCAAAGTCGAAGTGTGTACGACACCCGGCGAAGTTTCCAAAGCCGTCGACGTCCACGGGACTTGTGTTGTCAAAGTACATTTTATCCAGGGAAAAACACTTATCCCCACCCATTTTTTGCATGACAAATAGCGGAATCTATGCACGTTCTGCATGACAAATTGGATGGGGATGCTTCTTTTCTTGTGGATACATTTGCAACAACCGGTCCACTTTGCGGTCCACCTCGTTCGGCCCCTTCCGGGAGGCGAACCGGTCCGCGAGGTTGCGCAGGACCTGCTCAATCCCGGCCTCCTCGGCGAGCAGCACGTAGGCGTTGTTCATCAATTGTTCGTGCTGGGAGTGGGAGGTCGGTTCAAAGTCGAAAATCATGGCGTTGTTCGGGTCTACTTGATTGTTCGACGCTTCGTCGTGGCCGCTCGGTGTAGTAGTAGTAGTAGTTCCACCTTTGCCGTTTCCAAAACCGGGGATGGCCGCAGCGGCGGCGTCAATTGTTCCGGCGGTAATTATTCCGGAAGCTGTTGATGTGGCACCAGAGCAACTACTACCCGAAGAAGAAGAAGATGCGGCGGTGATATGTTCTACTTGGTTAAAAATTATGTTGCTGCTCATTGCAATATCCACCGCTCCTGCACACCCCGACGTATTCGTGGTGCCCGCGGCCAACATCGAAGATGACGCAGCTCCGGGGGCACCAGGTTGAAGATGTTGCTCTACTTGATGTTCATCCACTTCGTTGGCCGAGAACACTAGGCAGTTGCTGCTTCTCGTCGTGCGCTATGAACTGCAAAAGCATCGTACTCGTATAAATGCATTATAAACTTCCTTAGCTAGCATGAGAAATAAAATTTGTAATGCGGATTTACATTAAGAAAAAGATTTGTAATGCATTATTGCAATACAACGAGTACGATACTTTTGCACAGGATATGCCCCATTGCCGGTTGATTTCCTCGAGATGCAGCTGTCAACTATGAACTGCAGAAGTATCGCAATCGTATAAATGCATTACAAATTTCCTCAGCGTGAGAAATGAAATTTGTAATGCGGATTTACCTTGGCAGAGGGAGTTGTAATGCATGATTGCAATACGAGTACGATACTTTTGCACAGGATATCGACTCGCCGCCGACATCTTTTTTACCGCGAACATGTTCGGCGAGCACGCCGGCGTCAGGGAGGACTGCGACGGCGGCGATATGAACTGCAAAAGTATTGTATCGTACTCGTATAAATGCATTACAAATTTCCCCAGCATGCGAGATAAAATTTGTAATGCGGATTTGCCTTAACAAGATGGAGATTTGTAATGCATGATTGCAATACGAGTACGATACTTTTGCACAGGATAGGCGAGCTCGCGTGGCCAAAGGAGGGGACCGTCGGGATGGTCGGGTTCACAAACTGCATCACGGCCGAGTTCTCCGCAATTTCCTCTTCCGCAAGTCTCTGCCCGAGGTCGAAAATCAGCATCAAGTCGTCGAGGAGGAGGCAGTTCAACTCGATGTCGTCAATCTGCCCGCCGAACTCGAACCAGTCGCGGACGACGGTGAAAAAGTTCTTCTGCCTCACGAAATAATCCAGATGAAAACTCCGGTTGTGTGCGTTGGACAGAGTCGTTGGGGGCGGCAAAATGTCTTGCTGGTGCTGACTGCGGGAAAACGTTTGGTCCCGCTCCCTCTGCGGGGTCTCGGCGGTCGCAGACAACATGGTTTTTACCGCGTTGCCGTACACCCGAACGCACTCTTTGACGATGGAATTCGATCGGCGGCTGGAAATCTCCTCGTATACTAAATCGAAAAAATCTTGGCTCGCGCCCCTGCGATTTTCGAATTATGTTGGAAAAATCTGCAAAGCCAAACGACGGTAGTCGTACATCAGGAATGTTGACACTATCATTCATTCGCTCATGCCGACAAAAAAGAATGAAAAGAATGAAGCAAGGCGAGGAAATAATTCTGGGTCGCATTATACACCGTAGCAGAATCCGAACGGAAGTAATAAAGCTAAAGCTTTCGGCAAAAAAATACAGAAAAATACTTTTCATTCACAATGGGGTGGCAGAGGTGAAAGCACTGGTCCGCCGTCCCGGCCGCTATTATGGCCACCATCCTCGCGATTTCCCGTTTTTTCGAGCCCTTTATCCCGATAAAGGCCTCTGCCAGCGCGGACGTCAGCCCCGCGGATTTCAAACACAAGTCCAAGAACTCCCCGCCGCCGTGCTCTATTAAACGCAAAGATGTCTGGGAGTCTGGAAGATTGTAGTAAATTTGTGATGCTCTCTCTGGATTTTAAACAAGATTTGTATTGCATGACCAGCAAGAGGACTCCAGACTGTGCTACGCGGAGAGGGTCTTTCCTATACGGTAGAGGTATCTTCACAAAGCCCTCTAAAAGTCTGTGATGCTCGGGCATGCATTACAGACATCATGGGTCATGCAAAATTCGATGACAAACCTGGCAAAAATCCTCCAGACCCAGATCGATATTTGCAATCCATATGCGCCAGCATGGAACCAAGGCAGACCGCAACGGACGCGCGTAAATATCCTGAGTAAAAGCGTCCCTATATTACCAGAGTCAAGATGGAAAAGCTGCTAGACAAATCAGCCAACTTTGGTTGTTGCGCATGACAAGTTTGTCCTCGTAGTGTAACCTTCTTTAGCTAGTACTTAGAGCAGCAGCATCACAGATCTAGCATATCATGCTATTTTTTATAGCATCACAAATCCCAAAACACGACTAGAAAAAGCTTCTCATGTGGCTTCGCGTGAGAAACTTTTTTGGCATGCAGATTTGCATGACAACTCTGGGGTGGGGACGTTTTTACATAGGATAGCAAATCCACCTGGTTCGAATGGGTTTTCGACTGCTGGTAGGTCCTCACCGAAACCCGCGTTTGTTGCACGTTCAACATCTTTGTCCCGTTCAACATCTTGTTCGTCCCGTTCGTGTTTATAATTTTCTGGTTCATTTCTTTTTGCAGCAACTGTGACTGCTGCATTTGGGAATCCACACCGACGCCTAATCTCAGCCCGTTTCCTCCCGGTACGAACACAGGATGCCCCCCCTGAAGATGATCCCCACCGGCAGCACGGAAGTCGTAGGACGTCAGAGAGGGCCATGAAATGCAAATATGTCTGGACGTCTGGAAACTTGTGATGCTGGGTGGCGTATTATGACGAGGCCACAAGTGCTGGCTCAGCATGACAAGTTTCTGAGCTTGTTCTAGGTGTTGCCTACTTATTCTGCATGACACGCTGCGTTTCTCCATGTTGACAGAAAAATGCGGCCGCTCTTGGGTAATGTGCACGACAAATTAAAATTTAAAAGTCATGTGAGGCAAGCATGACAAACTTGCACTCTTCCAGACCCAGACACTTTTGCACTTGATAAAGGCGGCGAGCGGACGATTTCGAAGGTCTCGCCCGTCCCCGGATCGGTGGACTGGATCACCAGGGGCGTTTATGACAGTGCAAAACTCCCCCTCCCCTTCATGATTTGTATAGCATGAACGGCAATAGTACAAGCATCAGCAAGAAAAAGAATGCCGGTTTTGCATGACAAATTTACACTGGAGCGTACTAGTGCTGTTTGGGCTACCAGGACTTGTCATGCAGACAGTGCCAAGAGCCACAAAATGGTTATGGGATTTTGCATGAAAAATGCGGGATGAAAGGAGGAGAAGGGGTTGTGCACTGTCGTAGTGTTGGCGGGTTCAGCTTCGCCCGCAAGGAGCTCTTCGTCGGCGGGGTCTGGAGCTGCGGGGGTTCCTTGCTGTGGTTCGAGTTGGAAATGGACGATGTCGACATCGCTTCCTTCGACACGTTGGTGTGCAGGTCTTGGTGCAGTGGGATGGACATCACACAGAAAAAAACAAGGACAAGGTCATATTTGTAATGCAAAAATAAATAGATACACAAAAAGAATATACAAATTTTTCTAGAAAAATTTGTCATGGGCGGCCCCATAGCATGCTTTTTAGGATCTGTGTGTGTTCATTTCTGCATATACAAATATGCCCTGCTAGGTTTTTCTCTGTGGGATAATGGAACAGCTGCTGTCAAAATTGTCCTCCTCAAACACTTCCGCGACGAGCTGCTCCTGCGTGGCTATGCATTGCAAAAGTATCGTACCAGTAGCGGTTTTTGCAATACAAATTTTCATCCCTCCAAAGTGAGGACTGAAATTTGTAATGCTGATTCAGCGAAAGAAAGATTATTTGTAATGCAGAAATGCGAATAATTTTTCCATATAATTTCAATTACAGCAATCACGATTGTACTTCTACTTTTGCAATTCATAATGGCTTGATCCACCGACTTCTCGTTTTGCGAGTTATCGTCCATCGGGCTGGCGTTCATGACTTGGATGTTGTTCGCCCGTAGCTTCCGTTTGAGATTCCGGTCGTGCTGCTCCTTACCGATCGCTTGAATCAAGCCGCCGAACAAATTCCGTGGACTTGGCTGCGGAATGAACGGCTGGCTACTAGTAGCACCGCTGCCGGCGCAGGAACCACTTTGTTGGTCCATGTTGTGGTTACTCGCCACCGACATGCGGTGGTCGAGTTGCGAGCAGAGGCTGTTGTCCTCGCTGTTGGGCCCATTGTTCAGCATCCCCTTCATGGGGTTCGGATTGCTGTTTCCCAGCGAGCTGTTGCTCATGTTCCCGATCGGAGAGGAGGAAAAGTGAAACCGCCCGAGAGAGGACCCAAATGACCGGTGCTGGCGGTAGCGGTTCCTGACCGGGGAAATCGGGCTGGGACTGGTGTCGAGCTTGAAAAAATTATTGTCCCTATGTTTGTCGGGCGGGGGCGGATCTTGCGAAGGGTGCGCCAACTCCTGCGTGATGCGGGGTCGGTTCAATAGTGTAGTGGTCCCAGCAGCGCCGTTAGAGGGTGGAGCTACGATGTTGCCATGCAGCTGGTTCGCCCACGAAGCCCCCGACGCCTGTGTCGCGTTTTGGTGCTGCTGCAAGTTGGTGGAAATGAGCTGATTATTAGCAGCTACCACAGTACTAGCTCCACCGCCCAACGCCGCTCCTCCGCCAGCATCCCCTCCTGCTCTCTGCGCCTGCTCTAGCTGTTCCTTCGAGCTCTGCTCGGCGAAAAAGTGCGTTTTCCACTGCTCGCGCTTCTCTTCATTCACCCTTTCCACACCGCCAATTCTGATCAAATGCAAAAGTGTCTGGGTCCTCTGGGAGATTCTGAGACTTATCACGCACGTTTTGCATGAGCCATGATGTCTGTGATGCATGCCGTAGCATCACAGATTTTTCGAGGGGTTCTCGATGCCTATTTCGCATGACAAATGCCCTATAGCAAAAATTACATTTTTCCCTTTGCTACTTATGCAATACAATTTTTTTTGGAATCCAGATGCAGCATCACAAGTCGCACTCTTCCAGAGCCAGACATTTTTGCATTTGATAATTCTCGGATGGTAGCGATCCCCGAAACGAAGAAAGTTGCAGAGGATCTTCAACAGCTGCGCAGAGTTATTGTTACTCGCCGTCGCTGTTTTATATCAAACGCAAATATGTCTGGGTCGGGAAATCTGTAATGCTGAATGGTCATGAGTGAAACCGCCTTTAAGTGCAATACTGCATGATAAATTTTTAAAACGCTTTTACATGCTCAGTGCGCATTACAAACTGCGCTTTTTCATGGCGAAATAGTGGCGCTTTTGTTGCTTTTATGCAATACAGATTTTTCTGGAGTCCTGGACAAGCAATACAAGTTGAAGTTTACGACCCTTTCCAGACCCAGGTGGCATATTTGCGTTTGATACTGTACAACCTGGGTTCATCAGTAACCCGCCGGATGAAGTTGTACTACTACTAGGTACAACCGCGACGAGCGGTGTAGACACGGGGTTTCCATCGAGATTCGTCTGTGCGTTCACATTATCTCCAGCACAGGAGGCCGCGGCGTGCCGCAGCAGCTGAAACCGCTCTTCGCGGTCGTTTGGATCGGCAGAAGAAGTGCAGCCCTTGATCAGGTGATGCAAGCCGGAAACGGCGTCCAGCGTGACCCGCAGATCCACGTGGTGGGCAATGGCCTCCGCAAAAATGGAGAACAGAGGGGAAACCTACGTAGAGGTTTTGTTAGATTGCAAGGACGAGATAAAGATATATTTATTCGACGAAATAACTGCTCGTCCCGCAGCACAGCAACTAGGACGAGGTCGACTGGAGCTACTTCTACTTCTGAACACGTATCGTAAATTGACACGAAAATAAATTACGAAAAAAAAAATCGATCTTGAGTGATACATCTCCCAATCTCGGTGCTGGTCGGCCCCGGCAGAGCAACTGCAGCACCCAGAACAACACGCGCAGCACCTTTAGTCGCCCCGTCGCCGTCCACGTTGGCGGGTGCTGCTGCAGAATCGCGTGCAACATCGGGACCGTTTGGAGGTGAAGTAGCTTGTCCCGCCATCGGACGTCCGGGTCCGCGACGAGATTTCCCATGGTCCATATCAGTTGTTCGCACAGGCAGAGACTTATGCTGTGCAAACGTATCGTACTCGTACTAATTGCTTTTATGCATTACAAATCTTTTTCTTAAGGCAAATCCGCATTACAGATTTGATTTGTAATGCTGAGCTACTTTGTATTGCAATTTCTACAAGTACGATATTTTTGCAGTTCGTAACACTCAACGCCGAACGACTGTGCATCACGGAAACCAGGATCTGGGGTAATGGTTCGAAGTTGCTGTCCCTCGTGAAGTCCACGTGCAGATCGAATATTACAGTGAAAAGTGCCCCCACCCCCAAAGTTACAAAAATTTGTGATGCGAAGTTTCCAAATGAAAACTTTTTGTCATGCATGAAAGGAGTATGAATCTTTCTTGTTTCTGATGCAGATTCTAGCGGTGTTTCGCATCGCTTGCATGACAAGCACCGCTCTTGCTGGGATCTTTTGCAATACAAATTTTTGCCATTCACGATCGGAAATCTGTGATGCTGATACATGCAAGAGGGCGAATGTTTCATTTGGAAAGGTTTGCAATACAAATGCTTTAAAGTTCGGGGGTGGGGGCATTTTTCATTGTAATATCGAACGGAATTTGTTCACGACCATGATCCTGCTGGACAACTTGCTGTTGAAGATGTTGTATGCTGTACGAAAGTATCGTACTTACTCGTATAAATGCAGGTCTTGCATTACAAATTTTTTTGTCAAGGCAAATCTGCATTACAAATCTCATTTCTCACGCTCAGGAAATTTGTCATGCGATATATACTAGTATGTACGATACTTTTGCAGTTCATATGTTGATCTGCAGCGGAGCAACTCGTCGTGCTGGAGGTAGATAGCGTGTTGGGGAGCAACGGCATGTTACCACAGAGAAAATTATTGTGAAGACCGCTCCCGATTGTACTACTGCCAACAACGTTCAGATTCGTCTTGGACAGAATCCCGGAAACCAGATTGCAGCACACCCAACACGCCTCGAATTGCGCTTTCACGTCTAAGGATCGTGCGAGCGTGCGGAGTAGGATGTCGATCAGTTGCTGCTTCAACTGCTGATTCCGGGCGTGCTGCTCGTGGCTAGTAGTGGTTGCTGTGGTCGTGGAGGAGGAACTGGAACTGCTAGTACCATAATTTCCGTTTGATGAATTTTTGATCATGTTGTTCGCAGTCGAACTACTTGTGCTGGAGGTACTCAAGCCCGAAACACCGACGATTGGACCTCCCCCGTGGTTATGCTCTGCAAAAGTATCGTACTTTCTCGTAGTAATTCTTGCAATCCTGAAATATTCTTCTTAAGGTAAATCCGCTTTAAAAATTTTATTTCTCATGCTGGGGCAATCAAAATTTGTAATGCATTTATACGAGTACGATAGTTTTGCACAGCATAGTGGTTCTTCCCTTGGAGGTCGTTAGAACAAGCACTGCTCGAATATGGCGCTCTCAAATGTTACATTCTCAACTGTTACATGATTTGTCACGCAAAACTACCATAAGCAGCCACACGATCAAGTGGCTGCGCATGACAAATTGCTATTCCCTAAGGGCTAAACAGCATGGAATAAATCTGTGCCAAATTTGTGATGCTAGAGTTGCGAGATCCTCCCTTTCATTTTCATCTCTGCTCTTGCACCACAAATTCATCATGTAACAGTTGAGCATGTAACGACGTTTGAGAACCCCATATCGAAGAAGAGGAAGAAGATGCAGTCGTGGTAGACGAGTAGGTGGCGAGGCGTTTCCTCAATTCGCACAGCAAGTGCAGGAACTGGGCGTACTTGCGCCATCGGTCGAAATCGAGACTAGGATCTTCGGCAGTACCGGCTGCATGGGTCGAGCCGCCCGAATTCGAGGCTGCTCCTGCTCCACTTGGTCCGCCAAAAAAACCACCACCGCCAACATCTCCGTCGTCAGTCATGTATGGCGCTCTCAAACGTTGCATTCTCAACTGTTACAAATGAATTTGTGATGCTAAACCGACATGAATTTGTGATGCAAGAATGGCAAACGTGAAAGGGGAGACCTAGCGCGTCTCGCATGACAGATTTGGCGCAGACTCTCAGCCTGTTTGGCTCTTCGAAAATTTGTCATGCGAAGCAGCTTGATCATGTAGATACTGATGGCAATTTTGCATGGCAAATAATGTAACAGTTGAGAATGTAACGTTTGAGAGTCCGATATCATGTCCAGTTCGCGTCGTAAGTTCATCGTCCCCATGCCTGTCGCCCCACCGCCCGCTTCCATCCCGTCCTCATCATCCAACAAAATGTTACACCCACTTTCGGCCGCCGAAAGCCCGCAGAACGACGGCTCCGCTAGCTGCGTCACGTGGTCCGCTATGTCGGTGATCTCGCTCAGTTTCAAATACGACGCTTGATGTCTGGTGGTAGAGGAGGAGGAGCTCGTGGCAGTCGTCCCGACCAGTGGCGGGGGCGTGCAGATGCTCTGCATCAGGTAGGTGTCCGCTGGGATGCAAGACTCCTGAAACTCTGCATCGAACGTAGACGCCTATGCTTTGCAAAAGCATCGTAAAAGTACAAATTGCATAAAGAAATCGCTCACGACACGCTGAACTAAAAATGCTGGGCCAAATTGAAAAAGTAGGTGGCACTTCTTGTCATGAAGCAATTGCATCTTCATCCATATCGTACTACGATACTTTTACACAGCAGGATAAAACCAAGCCGGTCACGATGGTTGCGAGATTCAACTGTGCGGTTGGGGGTATGGCTGCGGCGGCGGTAGTACTAGAAGAAGATGATGGAGCGGCTCCGGCGGTTCCAGAGCTACTACCAGAGCCGCCGCCGGAAGGAATTGATGTATTAGGGTTACCACGACCAGAAGAGGAGGAGGAAGAAGAAGAGCCTCCATAATTATTCTGCGGGTTGTTCGACGTCAGCCCTGCTTGATCGTGATGTAATTGAAATTGTTGTCCCGCAATCACGTTCGCAGCTAAATAGTGTCGGAACTTTTCCCTGACGTGAAACACCCTGTCCTCTCGCAACCTCGCCTTCCGCTCGCTGGTGCTCAAGTGAAACGAACTTCTCGCCCCGTGCCGCGGCGTGGAATCGAGTAACACGTTGTGGTTGCTGCCGCAATTCATCATCTCTTGGCTGTTCGGAAAAGAGCAGCTGTCCTGCGAACCGCAATCCGCGTTTTGCAACACTAGATCTCCCAATCTTATTCCCGTCGCAGAGCTGTGCGGGTTGGGGTTGCTGTTCAAGGACCTAGAAACGAACAAGGGGTTATTTGCACTTGTTGAAGAACTGGAGCAACCGAAGCACTCGTTGGGATTGTTGCTATTCGTAGTCATCATCATTCCGAAGTGCTCCACCGAGGGACCACAGGAGATGGACATCATTTTGGCTCGTTTCTCCGCCAGTAGCTGGGCCTTCTCCTGCTTGCGCAGCTGGAGTTGGGAGTCCGCGCGCCGCCACCGTTCGGTATCGTTGTCGTACTGGCCCTGTTTGAACGCGTGGCGCCGGCGGTCGTTGGCTGCTCCTTGGGCCGTGGAGGAAGAGGAGGATCCGCCATGCTGTTCCTGATCCACGAACATCTTGATCTTGAACTCTCGATTTTTGTTCGGCGACGTTCCTATAACCTCCGAGGATGCTTCAAACAAATTCTTGATCTTGAGCAGGCCAAAATCAAACGTGTGCTGGTTGTCCTCACGTATTAATATGTCGATTTACTCATACTCTTCGTACCCACATCGCAAAGAGGCTTGCTGTTGCTCCCTCCGGTTCTACAACTCTAGTAATCTTTCAACTACAGTTGTTTGACTTCAGTACTTCTAGAGCAAACTACTTACAATCCTGCTCCGGCTACGAAACTATCTCGGTATAATTCTCCTGCAGGAGCACCTTCGAAGAAGATTAGGAGCCCGATGTAGAGGACACTAACAGAAGCAGAAGATGTTGAAACAGAGGACAACTATACTATACTTCTTCCCAGATCGATTTCTAAATCTGCCGACCGAATGAACAAAAACTCCAGCACCCCCTCGACAAACCGGACACCCGCTCGTCCATGGTGACTTCATTTCGCAAAACAAAAAAAACGAAGACGATTTTTTCTCTACCCGAACGCCACACGATGAATCAACACGACCTGCTGGAACTGAACAAGATAGTCGCTCTCGCTCATGTCGCGAATCACCCTAGTAAGAACATGTGTGTAGTCGCACTCCTCGCAGTCCAACACATATGGACATGATTATGGTTTGGAATTCCGAGTTTTTAATTTTCGGCTCATTTTTTTTTCTTGATCTTGTATCCAAGCATCGGAGGTGGAGGTCTTTGAAAAAGTCTCTAGAAGTTGCGTGTTAAAGTCAAGCCGTGCGGCAACGATTTACAGTGTGGCTCAACATCTACTTCTATGCGCGATGAAAAGTAGAACAGCTTGAGGGCCGCCATGAGATTTGTCTATAGTGGTTATTCGTCCCATGTTGTACTTAATCGAACAAACCCCCAACATCCCGTTCATCTTCAAACTGAAACGTGGACTTGCGAAACAGGAGCATGTCTGTCCCACCAAATAAGCAGTTTAGGCGAAGATGTTGTTGAGCATGTAGTAGTGGTCCACGACCACTTCTACCCTTCTACTCGTCATCACTGTCCTCCTCCGCGGCAGCCGCTAGCAGCGCGGCAGCAGCTGTTAGGGCGTTTGCGGGTTTCTTCTCCGACTCCTTTTTTTTCTCCCCGACTGGTGCGGCTTCTGCTTCTTTGCTCTTTTCTGCACTCGCCGCCTTATCCCCTGCCTCCCCTGACTCTTTCGACGCGTTTTTGTCCTCGCCCGCCTTCTATCAAATGCAAAAATGTCTGGGTCTGGAAGATTCTGAGACTTGTGATGCACGTCTTGCATGAGCCATGATGTCTGTGATGCACGCCCTAGCATCCCAGATTTTTGGAGGGCATGTTGATGCCTATTCCGCATGACAAATGCCCTATCCTTGTAGCAAAAATTATACTCCTTTTGCTACTCTTGCAATACAGATTTTTTTGGAATCCAAATGCAGCATCACAAGTTGCATTCTTCCAGACCCAGACATATTTGCAATGCATACCTTCTTTTCGCCCTCTCCGGCCTCGCCCCCCTCTTCGACCTTCCGCTTCTTTGCCGCGGGCTCCGGGTCAACATCCTTTGGGAGCGTGGGATCGTATTTCGCGATCTTTGCCATAATATCGGAGGGGTATTTGTTGTCAAGGTACCTGGAGGACGGGTAGTTTGATTCATTGTGTGTTCGAAATCGAATTCGAAAAGCAAAAACAAGTTAATGCAACTCCTGCATGAAGATTTAATACCCTCTTGTTCCTAATCATCAGCACAACTTTTGATCAAAATCACAACAATCTATCACCACGAAGAAGCAAAAAAAAAATACTTGACGTTGGAGAAGCAATGGGAGAGCACCTCGACCTTCTCATCGGTAAGTATGTGTCCCTCGTGCTTCAGCAAAGTCTGGATGAACTTGACCCGCGTGTTGTAGTGACTCTTCGGTTCATCGGGCCTCCTACGGGCATAGGACTTCTGGAAATCAAACTTCCCGGCAATGACCTTAAACGCCGCGTTTCCATCCACTGGGGCGGCAGCAGCGGCGGAGGAAGACGCGGGCTGTGCGGGTTTCGGGCTACCCTTCGGCGCCAGTTTCGGCGAGCCTTTATTCTCCGCCGCACCGCCGGCGGAAGAGGTCGCGGCCATGTTCTGGTTTTTTACTAGGTGAGACGAGGCGCTATATGTAAGTCGAACAAGAACTACAGATAGGAATAGGATAGCTTCGAGGGTCGTTTAATACCGGATTATATGTCGTTTTTTCTATCGTCGTGTGGTCTAGTACTTACTAGTTCTATTAAACAATGTCGCAATGCATGAATCTCCTAAAGTACAATCATGTCTACTTCTATCTCGCTCGGACCACCCCGACCTGCTTGCATGGGTAGGAGGATTCATTGTCAAGAAGTATCGGCACGACCACAGCTCCAGATGCAAGGATAGAAGTGCATAAACTACACTTTGATAAAATTTCATCCCCCAAGAACTACGCGTACGCTACTCAGAATTGATGACCATTTAACATTTTCGATTTTCGATCCTCACAAATAACCTGCTTCACACGTCGATCTCAACCCCTCAGGAAGCGGCTTTGGAAAGTTTTTGAACTGATCAAGCGATGTCTACGGTCTACTAGTACCGATAGGGACAAGGACAACATTTTCTTCAAAATACACATGGTGGTAGCGCAGCGGCAGCGCGCGGCGGCCATCTCTTGTTGTTACGACAAGGGACAAGTAGGTTCTGGCAATGGCCTTGTGTAATAAGTACGGGAAATTCTTTTTACTATATGCTCCGATTTAATCATCATGACTTCGTTTCATTTTCGATGCCGGTGCAAGCCCAATTACATGTGTAAAAGTGCATTGATTTCTTATTAGAAACTGTCTTGAAGATCATCGTACACGTCAGAGCCCGAATTTTTGCACATTTGAGATCTTCGCAGTCTTTCGGCCTCATCTTCTTAAGTTGTACTTGTTATCGTGTTTTTTATATCCATGTTTGTGAATTCTGATTTGGATCTTCGAGTTGTTGCAAGGGTCCTAGTACGACTACGTAATCAGTTTTCTATAAAAAATGCATAGACCACACGCAAATAAGAGTTGTAAACGTAAATTAGGAAAGAAATGTCGTGTATTGAAGAAGTGAAGATAAGCAGAGTCTTTCTGTTTTTTTTTTTTGATCCGCTGGTGCTTTCGTAACCCTTGTTTTTCTCGTCAGCGAGTGTGTTGTAGTGATCAATAGTCCCTGCTGGAAATGTCCGGCGGCGTCGACGCCTGTTGTTCTTGATAGTACTGCTCTAAAAACAGTGAAGACGTGTTGGCAAAATTCTCCGCAATGAAGTCCTCTGTGTTGGAGCGCTGTCTGCTCGCCTCCTCCTCTTCAAGTAAAACGGAAGGTGATCTGGCGCACTTGTTCACCTCTGTTGGGGAGGGGTAAAAAGTGCCCTGTAGTTCTTCCTGTCCCTGCTCCGGCACGACAACTCCGCCTGCAACATCTTCGCAAGCAACCGAATTCATCGTGTGCGAAGACAGCGCTTGCTCCCGCGCGCGCAGCAAACTAATCCGGACCGGCTTATTCTTCGCTCCGTCGCTGCTGGCGTCATCACCAGATGATTCGGCGATCGGAGAAACGGAGGGAGGGGCTGGTAATTCTTGTTGTTGTTCTACTCCTGTCGCCCCTTTTTTAATCATTGCGGAACAAACTGCAGAAGCAGACGACCTTCTCGTAATCATATCAGTGTCTTGCCCCTGATCCTGTGGCGACGAGGTAAAAGATGTGTGCGCCGCGGAAGTTGAAATTTGTCGCAGTTGCAAGTGTTTTTTCGATCCGGGCGAGGCGGACGGCTTCCGCAACAGCGACTTCTTGTTGCTCGGACCACGAGGACCCGCCACTACTTCCACCCAGCCCTTCAGGCTGCTGGTTTTCTTATTCCGAGCTCCTGCACTGCTAGACGGCGCCCCAGCATCTTTCGAATCAGATCGCGGTGTCCTCGTCACGGCACTACTTTTAGAAGTACTCACCGGTCGTCGCGCCTGCTGCAGCTCTCGGGACGACTGCGGGCGACGGTGCGACGTATGTTCGTGGTCGTGATCCCTCGTAGAAACTATTGCGGCCCTGGCGGTATGCGGAGCTCGTAGTTGATGCTGTTGGTGTTCTTGCCCCGTCATGGTGTTCGTGTTCCTGTTCCTCATCTCTTCATCTGCAGGAGGTACAACTTCTACACCAGCCACAGCGCTCGTCCCACCACGCGACGTTGCGGAAGTTGTACTTCTAGCACCTACACTTCTAGCACCTACTTCCTGCAACTCGGCTTTCATTCTCAATTTCCTCTCTGGCAAAGCTGGCGAGACCGCACGGCCGAGGATCGCATCCGACTTCGTCAAAGTCTTCAACTTTGAAGCCAAATACCCGTCGCCGCGCTTCAGGATTTTTCGCGCGGAGCCGGGTAGTCCATGTTGTGAAACTCCTGGCACTGGCGACTGGCTGCGATTCGTCGTCACAGATGAAGCTCCTCTGGTCCTGGTGGCAGCTGCCCCTCTACTATTTGCACTGTCTGACCGAGAAGATGGACCGTGCCCCGCCCGGGAATAAGCCACAGTCGGACTCTGCTTGTTTTTGTTCAGTGATGAAAAGGACGTGCTTACACCTCGTGCCACAACCGAAGCAACAAGCTTCTTCTGCACAACATTCGGCGACACTAGTGGCTTCTGCTGCGAACTTTTCACTGCTGCTCTTGGGTTCTTTGTGGCAGGAAGAACTTTCTTGAAAACGGGTCCACCATAATTATTATCACATTCGAGCAGTAGCGTCCGATCTTCCACGATGGCAGCAAACCCGCTTGGTCCCGTGCTAGAGGAGGCCTTCGACGCAGTCAATTTGCTCGACGAGGGTGCGTATCCTGTGCAAAAGTATCGGGCTCGTTGTATCGCAATCACGCATTACAAATTTTTTTCTTATGGGACATCCGCATTACAAACCTTTCTTCTCATGCTGAGGAACTTTGTAATGCATTTACACGGGTAGGGGTACGATACTTTTGCAATGCATAGTGCGGAGGAGGAAGTAGATGATGGTTGCCGCGGTGTAGTCCCCGCCCCTGCAGCTCCCCCGGCGGAAGAAGAGTTTCCTGCTGCAACTACAAACAACGACCGACCTTGCGTCGCCTCTGCCTTTCGAAACAAATTTCCCAAAGCGACCTCTACCAGGGGAGAACCGCTGGAGCTGCTGACCCGCTGGACCAAAGATTGCTGCGTTTTATTTCTTTGCGAAGGATTGCCATGTTGATGTCCAAGAGGTCCCGTGCAGGAGCTGCCGTCGACCACACTAGAAATAACCGAGGGCACGCTGCAGGCTGGGTAAAAGTGAAAGTGCTGCATCACTTCTTGCACGGAGGAATTTCGCGATTGCATCGGCTCGTCTTCCTGGTCTTGTTCGAGTGGAATGGAGTCCGCTTCGTAATAGGAGGAGGAAGCTTGCTTTGAAAACGAGTTTTGACTGTAGAAAGCCTGCTGGTCGTAGTGCTGTTGGGAGGACCGTTGCTGGTAATCTGGCTGCAGCTGCGACTCGTAGAACTCCTCCGGGCTTGAACAAGCCGGCGGCTGCGACTTCGTGCGAGTGCTGATTTGCAACGGGGAAATCGACTGCTCGCTGACGCTGTTGTGGCCATCGCCGTCTTCGAAATCATTTTTCGCCTGCTGCGGAAGCGGATCGTTTGCAAGAACTGCATTCTGTGGTTGATCATGGAGAAGATCATGTCCACCTGCTACTGCAGCTACTGGGATATTATCACGAGCTGCAAAAACTGTCGGTGACTCATCTTCGGGTGACGGCGACAATTCGAGACTGTCATCGACCTTTTTGCTCGACGAGCAGGGAACAGCTTCTACACCAGGCTTGTAGTTTCTTGGATATTCTTCACCTTCATTGTCATTCATGTTGGTGTGAAACAGCTTCTTCATATTATCGTCGACCGGCCCTGCTTCTAGAGGCATCTCATCTCGTGGTCCAGCTGGAGCCACGTTGTTGCTGTTCGCCATCTCCACCAAATGCGGCGGTGCAAAATCATCCGCGAAGATGTTTCTACCCGCATGCTATGCATTGCAAATATGTCTGGGTCTGGAACAAGGATGCAACTTGTGATGCTGCATTTGGATTCTACACAAATCTGTATTGCATGAACAGCAAAAGAGGTCCAGTTTTTGCCACGGCGAGAGACCATTTCTCATGCGGTGTAGGCATCAGGAAACCCTCACAAAATCTGTGATGCTAGGGCATGCATCACAGACATCGGGAATCATGCAAAATGTGCATGACAAACCTTGCCTCCTTCCAGGCCCAGACATATTTGCACTTGATACATGCTCTTCAAATCCCTTGTTTCGCTCGTACGGTGTATGCCGCCTGTTTGGGGACAGATACGTCCTTTCACGACGCTGCACGGAATAGTTGCTGGTGCTGGCCGCGTGGTCGGGCGAACTACCAGGATATAATTCTACTACTCCTCCTGCATGGTCTACGGTCGGCGGAGGTGCTCTGGTCGGTGGATGTGGCGAATTCTTTGTCGGCGCTGGAAGTGGCGCTTCCGGGATGCTGTCGTGTCCCTCCACGTGGTCCGGGGGCAAAAGAGCAACATCTTGCGTTCTTTCTTCTTGATGCAGAAGAACCTCCGGCGGTTCATCTTCGGAGTAGCTGTTTTGACTACACCATCCTCTGCAAAAGTTGTATCGCAGTCGTAGGAATTGCAGTAATGCATGACACATTTAACTTTCTAACGGAGTATTTTGTTCTTGAAAAAATTTGTGATGCAAGTCAGACTAGTACGATACTTTTGCAATGCATATCCACCCGCTATTCGCCGAGAACTGCTCGGGGAAGAGCGCCCGGTAGTTATCCAGGAAAGAAACACCCACTCCCATCCAATTTGTCATGCAAAACATGCATAAGCTGCAGTTTTTGTCATGCAAAAAATGGATGGAGATGGCTGTTTTTTCCTGGATAGTAGTTGCAGCTGTAGTCCTCGTTCTGCAAGGTAGAGGCTGCGAGGACTCCTCCAGCATGATCGTCGGAAGGATTCTGACTTGTTTTCTCGTCTTCGTAATCCACCCAGCACTCCTGCTCGGGAGGCTGCTCCTGGTACGACGTCGGCACTAAATCGACGTGTGCGATGTTGAAACCGGACTCGTAGTATGGCTGGTCTTCTTGTTCATTTTCTTCATCTTGCCCTAGGTGACGCCCATGCCGATGCCCATCTTGGCCATAAACAAGAGCGGCCTTCTGGTGTCCTTCTTGGTGCAGAAATATTTCAGCATAAGCTCCTTGGTCCTGTACATGATCTACGATCCCGCCGAAGATCTTCTGTTGCTGCAGGAGCTGGGCGTCGCGCAAGACCTCCTCCCGGGTATCATGTGCACAAGTTGTATCGCGCTACTCGTGACGGTGATCCTGATCGCAATACTGCATGACAGATCTGCATGTGTTGTTCGCTAATCAGCACTACAAGCTCCATTTTTCATGCTAGGCATCAAACTTGTAATGCAATCTCTACGTCGTGGTACGATACTTTTTCAATTCATACCGGGCTTTGTTCAGCAACGGGGTGACCTGGACCTGCAGTTCCTCCTTGCTCGGAAACGACCCGTCCTCGTTCAGCTTGATCGGGGAAGTTATTTTGATTTGTCGGGTTGGGCTACCTATCCTGTGTAAAAGTAATATCGTACTCGTGGTAATTGCAGTCATGCATTACAATTTGTTTTCGTAAGGTAAATCCGCATGGCAAATTTTATTTTTCTTGCTGAGGAAATTATTTGTGATGCATTTATACGAGTACGATACTTTTGCAATGCATACTACCTTCGTAGGGGCCCTGGACTTGAAACTCACCAACCAAAACTACGGGCTCTGCGGTGGAGGAAGAAGAGGAGGCCTGAAAACAAGATTAATTTCATCAATATGGAATTTATTGTATGTGCAAAGTAGACTACTTAGTTCGACGAGTGTCATTTGTGTGCTTGCATGACAAACCACGGCAACAATACCTGCGGCGGCTCCTCGTTGAACACAAACCGTGGTGGTGACGGAAAAACTACGGGCGCCACCCTCCTGCCCGATCCCGGCGGGGACCCGATGCCAGTGACGGCCTCAGCGACGGCTTGCTCCTGCCCTGCAAACGCGTACTGCGTCGGAATGAAGGGCGGCGCGCCGGGGGAGAGCGTGGATGCTTCGAGCAATTGAGACGAGGAGTTCAAATTGATTTTTTCCATTTGTGCTGCCATATCCACGGTTTTCTTACTTATAGAATCTTCCGTCGCGAACAAAGTTTTCTTCAGCTGTTGCTGCTGCGTAGTTGTGCTACCACCAGCAGCTGCACCATCTTCAAATACCGGTGGCTGTAGGATGTCGAAAGTTAAAACATCCTCATTCGCGACACTGTCGTGGAAGGCGGCCTGCATCATGTGGCGAACTTCGGTGGGACGGACGAGAGAAGATGGATAATTTTTCTGCATTTCATTTCCTCCTCCCGCGTTCATTCCCGCCAGCAACTTTTCTTTCCGCATCTCGACCTGTTCCTCGACGCTGACACTTCTTTCCCGCTGCTGTTGTTTCTCATTCATCTCCTCTTCAAAATGCACCGCTTCCATCACGGACTGCGTTACCAACTCCCCTCGCAGCTGCTGTCTCGCGACAAAAGCGCCGTCGGTTGCTCGGGAAACGACGTCCGCTTGCAGCGTTGAAACAGGTCGTGGGGCGGGGTGGTTGGAATCAGTATGCGTATTCACCAATCTGCTCGTCGGGGAAACAAGGTCTAGATTAAGGTTGATTTCCAGTTCGTCCACACTTGTTTTCATGATCTCTCGCTGATGTGGTTTCATTCTTTTTATCGCTTCGATTTGTTCATCCGCCATCGCCTGCGGAACAAGGGGAATCGGGCTTATCGTCAACCCCTCTTGGACGTGCACCAGTTCCACATCCCGATCTCGCACAATCGCGGGAACGGAATTGTTCATAATTTCGACAGGTGCTGGAGGGGCGGTTTTGCTCAAAGATTCTTCCTGGTTTATTTGCCGTACCTGCGTCGAGGGTGATTTCGAAGAAGAAGAAGAACTTGAACTCCCAGCAACAGCAGCACCAAACAGTGTCGTACTAGGAAAACCACCGCTCGTCGGCGACTTCGAACGGCGGTAGTCCGGTAAGTTCCAGGTCATCGGCGCGTTCCTGATTCTGGTCGCGGCCGCCGGTAAGGAGCTCCGCACGGTTGGAATAATTCCGCCGGGAGAGGGCGCAAGGCGGGGCGGTGGACCAGAAGTTGTTGTAGCTGTTGCCCTCTCGTCGCGGGAAGCCTGCGGCGAGGAAGACGGGAGTCGTGCAGCGGCGGTGGCCGACGTCCCGCGGATCACCGTTGGTGGCGAGGTCAACATCCCGTAGCTTACCGATTGGCCCAGCCTTGTCGGCGGCGACGCGAGCGGAGGTAGTTCTTGTTGTTGAACCACTATGCACTGCAAAAGCATCGCACTAGTATGTTTCGCATGACAAATTTTCTCAAGAAAAAAAGTGCAATTTCTCATGTAGAGTCAGGTAAGAAACGTAGACTTGTCGTGCAATCGTGTGATTTTAGTAGGAGTACGATACTTTTGCAAAGGATACTAGCCACCGGTTGTACTCCTGGTGCTCGCCTTTCATCTTCTCCCGGGGACGTCGTCGCCACGAGTCCCACTGCGGTTGCCGCTCGCGGCCTGGTTGAGGCGACCGTCGCACGATTGTTCATCAACCTTGTTCCGGGCGAGCGCGAGGTGGAGGACGTATTCAAATAAGCCACCCCTGTGCTCCTGCGGTTGGAGCTACTGTCCTGCTCTCCGGAACAAGCAGTAGATGGACCCCGAAATGCAACTCCACCAGGCACCACGCGAGCTAAAGACGTAGCTGACGCGGACAATCTCGATGCTGAACTCGACGCCATGCGATTCGCCATGCGGTTCATCAGGTCTGGCAGCGGCCTATGGCTCTTGTACGGCATGATCGGTATAATTTTCTGCTGCTTTATTTCCGGGTCGTAGGGCATCGGTTGCCCGGTTCGCAAATCTATCGTCCACACCTGGCCTTCGGGAAGACGCGGGGAGAGCTGCCGGGTCACGACTTGCTCCGTTGTGTCTGTAGTTCCGGGTGGTGGGAACTGAGCGTTTTCGAGATCTCTTTGCTGATGCTGTGCAGTCGAAGTAGATGCGGGCGAAATAGAAGGCGGCGTCGCACCAGCACCTCCAGTCGGGGCAGGAACGGGAACTGCAATTGGTGGTGGTTTATTATTATTTACTATTTGTTGTACGGCATTATTCGGACCACTAGCACTAGCAGCTCCACCTGGCACGACAGGTCTCTGCCCGGTAGGAAGATGCGCAGCTGGAGGACCTGCAGGATAACTATCATCTTCTCTCAGCGGCACGATCAGCTCGGTCGCTGCTGGCGGTGGTCTGATTGATTCTTCTTGGTCAACAACAGCGTCCATTTGAAGTAGATCATGCCCCCCTGCAAGAACGGCGACGTTTTCCGTCTTCCTGGATGAAGATGCGCTGTCACGTGGCAACCTGGGTTTCAGCTGCATCGGCTGCACGACAACCGGCACGGTCGTTCTTGGTTGCAAAACCGGCGTGACAATCTGCGGCAGCGGTCGGCTGATCTGCTGCTGCGGGGCGAGCAGTTGTTGCGGCAGCGGGTGCGGCTGAATTATGTGTTGCTGTTGGCTGGGCACGATGACATCTTGTGCAGCTTGATGTGCTGTTGACCCAGCAGCGGTATTAGTAGAAGATGGCGCGGCACTTACTATTTTCCCCCCACCTCCCGCAAACACCGGCTGCGCGCCAGTTGGCACGGGGAAAGCCGCAGGAGCCGTCGCCCGATTTTGATGTTGCGGTTGCCACGGTTGTAGATGATTGCCTGCTTGTTTCATGAACCTGTTTGTCGCTTGGAAAGCCGTTTGCCCGGTCGTGGAAATCATTTGTTTCTTGTGGTTCTTATGCTGTGCCAAAGTTATTTCGCACTCGTTGTACAAATTGCAGTCATTGATGTGGTCGTGCATGACAAACCTCTGTCCAAACCTGAAACAACATTTCACAAAGTCAACCTCTGTCTGTGCCCAAATTTGTGAAGATCATGGAGATGCTATTTATACTAACTAGTGCGATTACGATGCTTTCGCAACGCATAGTTCTCGATCGTTTCGTCGTGCGTGTTCAAGTGTTGCTGGAGTTCCGCCAGTTCCTGCTCGAGTTTCAAAAGCTCTGCGACGCCGGTTGGATCCTCTACTGCACTGATGTCCACCTCTCCCCCTCCTCCTCCGCCTCCCGTGCTTCTCCCCGCTTCCAGCGCCGATACCCTTTTTTCCAGCGAATTCTTCTCCCGCAGCTCATGCCCGTTCACTTGGACGAGACCCTCTAACGCGGCCAGTCAAATGCAAATATGTCTGGGCCTGGAAACTTGTGATCCTAAAATGTGCATGATGGAAATACTATCGAATGCAGACCAGCATGACAACTTTCCGGAGCACTTTCTCATAGGCAGCCCGCATGAGAAACTGCGTTTTTGCATGACAAAAATGGGTGCGGCTTTATTTGTCGGTTAGCAATACAGATTTCCCAGGTATGTAAAGCGAGCATTACAAGTTCCAACTTTCCAGACCCAGACATATTTGCATTTGATACAGCCAACCCACTACTCATCTGCTCCACCATGTTGGATACCTCGACCGTGTTGGAGAACCGTATCCAGGAAAAAACACCCATCCCCCTCCTTTTCCTTATGATCCAATTTGTCATGCATAACACGCGTAACATCCAGTGTTTGCCATGCAAAAGATGGATGGGTGTGTTTGTTTTTTCCTGGATAAACCGCACCTTGCTGCTACTGTTGCTCGTGTTCCGCCGCATCGTCGATTCCTTGTCCGCAACAAATTCTTCATCCGACCCGACAATCGCACTGTCGTGAGCCGGAATCCGCGGTCCCAGCGACCGCCGGGTTTGGCTGGGCCGACGTGTACTATTTTCTTGAACACCTACTCCACCCCCTCCGCCGCTTTGTTGCGACGCCTCCACCGTCGGCGCACGTTCGGACCCGGCCGGTCTAGCATGCGGTTTCATCGCCGCGGCGTGGTAACCTGGTCTCCCGGGAGTTGCGGAAGACGAGCTCAGGGCAGCGTGCACGGCGATGGACTCGATCCTGCTTCTGCCCAGTGCGGGGGCCGTACCAGAAGTGATCGGCTGCGATGGAGATCTGCTGTTCCGGCTCTTTGGCGACGATAGTCTACCACGACCAGCGGCAGTTGTACCACCACGCCTATTTTGTTGAACATGATGTGTTGCGATCAGATCCGCCGCATGGACCTTCGGCGTAGCTTGCACGGCTGGTGGGGGTCTACGCTGGAGAAGTCCGGTGGCCGAGGTCGGGTTTGATGCAGTACTACTTGTGGGAAAATTTTTCGCCGAGGACATTGCAGGTTGCTGGTGACTACCGCTACCACCTGTAGCACCCGTCTTGTTCGTCCCCGCCTCGGCGCGAGATCTCGGGCTGAACTTCTTTCTCGGACTGTTCCTCCTCGCTTTCGACGGACTCGAGGCGCCGAGCGTCTTCGCCATACGCAGTAGCTCCTCGACGTTTTGCTCTGCGTGGCCAGGGACGAGATTTTTATTGCCCTGTAAAGACGATGAGGACCCTGCTCCTGGCGCTTTCTTCCTCGGCGAAGTACTAGACGTTTTCATCTTGCGTGGCTGGGAAGGCTGGATACCGACCTGCTTCCGCAGATCGGATTTTGAGCTCGACGCATTGGAAAGTGGGATCATCTTTGCTTTCTATGTTTGGTTTTGGTACTAAGTACCGCTTCTGGTTTTGATTCTGAAGACCCCTCCACGACCTAAGTCACTCGAAAGTTCAATTCCTCTTCGTTCAGGGGTCCAAAGCGGCACAAAAGTAGAAGAAACTGCGCTCGTCTTTCTTCCTCCCATAACCGTTTCACTTGGTCTGAAAGACAAAGATCTCACGTAGTAGCAATCCTAAACAGAAACTTACTCAGCCTCTCTTCTTCAGCACAGCTCTAACTCACTCAACTTTTTTTGCCGAAGGTGAACATCAAGGTCATCCTTTTCATTCTGTTCAACAGAATCAAACAAGGAGACTCTACTACTTCCTCAAAAGCAGGTAACACAGCTCCTGAGGCAGAAAAAGCATACTGCGATGATTTGAAATTCAGTTGCGTACGTACTACTTCTGCGTGAAGATGAACTACACGATGAAGAAGTTAAAAAGATACAAAAAAGGATGCATTTCTTGGGTTCAAACGGACCCTTGAAGCAGTTTTCATCCCTTGAACTTTAGTGCATGCTACTTAATCAGTTCGTGCTCAGATGACATCGTACCAAAAGCCGCTTTCTTGCTGCTGAATGTAAAACGAAAATTTGAATTGATAAAACCTGTTTCTACTCTGTATTCTCAGATGACTATAAAGTGGTTGTATCGAAAGGCAGAACACGGACACGCACTGATCATGCCAAAAACTACATGCTCTCCTACCAGTTATGCACCTGCGTGTCCCAGTAAATCCTCTTCGGGTGATCGGCCGAGGCCATTTGCATCATGTTCATCAGCACTCCATCGGTTTCCGCCATCCCGTTTGCAATACTCTCGTCGTAGATTTCCCGCTCCAAATTGGTCGCTTTCAGGAAATAGGGCACGTTGGGGTATGGATTTGTCAGGATCGAAATCGACAAAGTTGAAATAATTTCTCATGCATAAAATGCAAGGCATTAAGTGCCTCTCTTGCAGGGATGGCAAGCGAGGCCGATTGTGTGCCTGTTTAGGGTTTAGGACAGAGCTGCTAAAGGAGCATGACAAAAGCAGCCCTCTGTGCCCAAACAGCATGACAAACTGGAGTTAGACGGTGCCGAAATTTGTCATGCGGCGCTTGATAAGTAGGCCTCCATCTGGTATCGGTTTTACGCATTACAAATCTTTTCAACTTTGAAGATTTCAATCCTGACACTCCCATATGGGGTCGTACTGGCGTCGCTCCATCGAAATGTCTGCGCCGAACATGCCGTGCCACTATCAAAAGCAAATATTTCTGGGTCTGGAAGACTGCCAGGTTTGTCATGCATAATTTGCACGACCAGCGATACCTGTAATGCACGACCTCGCATCACAGGTTTTTAGAGGGGGGCTCCCTGAAGATGCCTATACCGCATGAGAAATACCCTCTCCGCGTAAGTAGCACAAACTGGACTCCTCTTGCTGGTCATGCAATACAGACTGTTTCACAATCCAAAGACAGCATCACAAGCTGCATCCTTAGAGACCCAGACATATTTGCCATGCATAGCCACATGTACATGCTCAATTGACACGGCGTCCGCCCCATCACATCGATTTTCCGGATCCACTTCCGATTGGGAAACAAATCCAGATAGCTCTCCTCCGTCCGAAAGTGCTCAAACGCGTTGGCGTAAAACTCCAACGGCCGGTTCTGTATTCGGTCCCTGTGCACGATAAACTGTACACAGCAATACGCGTTCACCTGCCCCGCGACCGGCGACGGGGCGACGGAGGATTGGAAGACCTTTTTCCACAGTCGCGGCCACTCAAAATCGTCCGCAATATCGCCGCTGTCCTGCTTGCAAAACCGGCTAAAGATCCCCATCTCCTGGATTTTCTGCTCGGGCTCGCGGTCGGACTTTCTCTTTCTCTGCTCGTTGGACGTGGACACCTGGAGCCGCTTGTCTGTCACTTCCCAGCTGTAGGAGGGTCGTCGTGGGATGATACTTTTGATGTTGGAGGAGGTGGAGGCAACCTTTCTCCTTCTCATGGTTTGTGTTTGCGTTTGCACCGCTCCATGAAATTCAAACTCTTCTTCCTCGTCCCCGGCAATATAATTTGTAGTACCCTGTGAAGTAGGTCCAGCCCCATGCGCGGCCGCCAACCGCGCCGGGTTCGGATTCACTCTGCTAGTACTTCTACCAGTCAAGTGCCTGCTCACCGACTCGTAACTCGCGGCGAGCATTTGCTCCTCCTGCGATTTCACGTGTTCCTTGCACTGCTCTTTCAATTTCTCCACCCCCTCCCCCAGTTTCACGTAGTTGTGTATGCAATGCAAAAGCATCGTGATCGTACTCGTATAAATGCATGACAAATTTCCTCAGTATGAGAAAGTAAATTTGTAATGCTGATTTACCATAAGAAAAAAAATTGTAATGCATGATTGCAATACGAGTACGATACATGATTTGCAAAGGATACTGTGCGCCAGATGCGCGAACTTCAAGTCGTCCACAAACCCCGCGATCGCCGCCAGCATCAGCTCCGTGACCATGTTCAGGTGCGGAATGTGCTCGCCCACGTCGGCGTGCAGGAAGATGGTGTGCCGCGGCAGCTTGTGGTAATAGAGCAGAATATACCCCAAGTACGCACTGTATGGCGTTCTCAAGTGTTACATTCTCAACTGTTACATGATTTGTAATGCAAAATCACAATCAGAATCGACACGATCAAGCTGCTTCGCATGACAAATTCTCGAAGAGCCATACAGGCTGATAATCTTTGCCAGATCTGTCATGCAAGAGGCGCAAGGTGACCCCTTTCACTTTTGCCATTCTTGCATCACAAATCCATGCAACAATTGAGAATGTAACAGTTGAGAACGCCATACACTGCAGTCGTCCGCCCGTAAAACGTCGTCGACAAAATCCACCGTGAACTCTATGAAAGCCTCAGAATGGAAATTCTCAAAGTGGAAATAATTTGTGATGCATGAAATGCGACACCAAAAGGACTGTATTGCAGAGGACGCAATGGAGGCCGACTATCGTGCTTCTACGGGTTCAGAATTGGGCTGCTGATTAGCACGAGAGAAGGGCACACCTTTGCCCTAACTAGCATGACAGACATGTTTTGAGTGCCCGGGAACTGTGTCATGCGCCGATTAGAAGTGGCGCTTCAACTGGAATCGTTTTTTTGCATTACAAATCATTTCCACTTTGAGGATTTCCATTCTGAGGCTTTCATAAATTCGCGGAAAAACGGCTTCCAACGGTCGACAAGCCGGGCGCGCTCCTTTTGCTCGCCCTGGGGAGTAGGTAGTAGTTTGGATGGTGACAGCACTATACAGAATGGACGTTCTACTTCTACGCGCTGCACACAATGAAGTGGTGGCAACATCCAGATACAGTTACAGTTTCATCAGCATGCAAAGTGGATAACCTAAGTAAGTACATATACAACGACCTTCCTGGTTCTGGTCGTAAAGAACGCAAAGAGATGAGATCATGACTACTACTTATACCAGTTGCGGGCACTTGTGAAGCACTCGTATGTTGAGCCACTTCCGCACCAGGTCGCTGTGATCCTCGTCCGTGAAGGGCAGTTTCCAGAACACCGTGAGCCAGTCCAAGTCTTCCTGGCAGTAGCAGATCACCACGTCCACCGGAGCGAAATCCGACCGGATGCTGTATCTCAAATCCATGACCCGCTTCAGGCCCACCCGGATGGGCCACCCGTTGTCAAAATGCGACTGCTATAAAATGCAAAAGTATCCTATCCTATCGTACTCGTATAAATGCATTACAAATTAGTCCAGCATTACAAATTAAATTTGTAACGCTGAATTGCCTTGACAAAAAAATTTGTATATGCATATTAAACGCAATTATTACGAGTAAGTACGATAATTTTGCACAGGATAACTGCTGAATTCTCCCCAACGCGACCGCCTTCATGAACTGCTCGGAAAACCTATCCTATGGAAAAACGTCCCCGCCTCCCCATAGTCAAGATGGGGAATCGGCTAGACAAATCCACAAGCTTTGGCTCTATCGCATGACAAATTTCAACTCGTGGCGCAGTGCTGTTTGAGCTAGTTCAGCAGCATCAGAGATCTAGTATGTCATGCTGATTGGAGCATGACAAATTTCAAATCACGAGGACCAGAAAATACTTCTCATGGGGATCCGCGTGAGAAACGTTTTCAGCATGCACATTTGCATTTTATACAATCTATTATGTGGTGGGGCTGGGGACGACGCTTTTCAATACGATAAAACACTCGGTAGCTGTCCTCGAACTTTCCGTCCATGCGGTAGAACAACATCTCCATCTTCAACAACAGTGCCTGTATCGCCGCCGGCGCGCAAACGCCGGCGACGTGGTGAAAGCTGTTCATGATGTAGGTCTGGGCTTGCAGCAGCGTCCAGTGCGTCTCGTTCCGGTTGTAATAATTGGCAGTTTCGAATTTGAACTGCTGGTACATGGTGGAGGCGCACGCGAGGTCTCGTTCCTCCTGCATTTTCTTCTCGTGGGCTTCGATCGCGTAGTGCTTTTGGAGTAGCTGCCGGTCCTCCGGGTCGAGGTGCTTTATGCCCCCTCTGGTCACGTTCAGCTTCTTCAGTCTGGCGACTTTTTCCAGTTCCTGATTCGTCACGGGCAGCTCCGTGTCGTCGAAGGTGTTGCAACACCTTTGGTGGGTGAAAAGCCCATCCCAACACGCGCGGTTGCCGTAGGGCCCGTGGTCGCGACAACACGTGTTGTAGGAAAGTTTCGGGTCGTATCCGGGAAAAAACTGCCATCTCCATCCAATTCCAATTTGTCATGCAGGACATGCAAAAACAAAAACTGCAGTGCTTGTCATGCAAAAAATGGATGGATATGGGTTTTTTCTCCTGGATAGGTCGTTGGCCCAGCAGTTCGGATCGTTGGCCGAAACGAGGTGCGGGAGGTGGAGGTGGAGCAGGACCAAGTAGGCAACGACAGGCAGAAAACGAAAGTAGAGACCAGCAGAAGAGAACCTCATGTGCTGATCATGCAACGAGGAGAGTAGGCTTGGGCGAGGATAGTCGTCGCGGAGATCCTCCACTTCCTGCTTTAGCCGCGCCCGCTTCGCAGAAAAACGGCGTGCGAACGCGGCCGGCATCTGTGCCATGGCTGGACGGGAGCGGTACACCGACGCAAAGCGAAACACAGCTGCACGCCCCCACACGACTTCTGTTCCTAGAAGAAACAAACGCAACCTTCATTGTGGAACATCGGCTCGAAGACAGATATTAGAAAACGAGATGACCGATGCTGCCACAACACCAAGAACAACAACATGCTTTCTTATCTAATTGCAAATATTAATATCCCTGCTCAGTCTGGGTGGCACCTGCTTCATGGATGGCCAGGTTCAGGATGCACGAAAATGAAGGATCAGGGCGAAGCCCCTACGACTTTTTGTTAAGCCACACAGACGCAAAACCCAGAAATTCATGAGCGCCAAATCTTCTCATACATTTTTTCTTCATGCTTTGAAAGTATTAAGCCGCCGTTGAATATAGATACACGTTTTAGTACACTCGGCAGGAACTACTTACTGGGAACAAGCAAGACCACGCACCGCCCCATCCGATTGCCCGTCTGCGGCCCTCGTGGTCGCCAACGCTATCACAAACACTGTCTGCAATATTTTTTCCAACGACCGACAGTCGAAGTTTCGTTTTCATTGACCGGGGGCCACACTCACAACGTGCGAGCCCAACGTAAATAGATGCCAAATTATGGCGGCGGCAACAATCAAGCCATGCATCGACGGAAGCTTGCTGCAGGCTGGCGAAGCCGACACCCGGCTCGCTTGCTGCGGTGCGCCGGGAAGCACACGGCGAGCGGAGACGCTAGCAACGCACTGCATGCAGGCCGAGAAATTCGGCACCGCCCCCCCCCTATGTCGCTCGCCGGCTGCAAACCTATCGCGGCCCCGCCAATGACGCGCCCGGCTTCCGCGCCATCTGCAAGCGCCATGCGGTCGCTCGGTCGCCACGCGGGCGGAGGGGCGGCGCGGGGGCGCAACCTCCCTGGTGACAGGCGCAAGCCGCGGGCGGGCGAATCAAAAGGCCCGGCGACCGCGGCGGGCCGCCCGCACGAAGGCCAATCGCTCGCCCGGCGCCAACAAAGAGGCCGGCGGGCGCCAGATAGGGCCGGCGACGAAATCGGGCCCCCGCCGGGCCGGGGTGACCCCAGAGAATTAGCAACAAGAGGGGGCGGCGGCCCTGCTAGCGCTTCGCGCCATAAGCGGGCAACGCGCGCGCCACCGGGCCGGTAGTCTCTTTTCGCGTTCACGGATTCGCCCCCTTGATTTCCTTCCCTTCACCACCGGGGCCCTGCGCCCCCGCCCGCGCGATGGATGGACAGGCGGGCCCCGCAGGCGCGCCATTGAATGCAGTTCGTTGCTGCCACGCTCGCACCCAGGGGCCGGGCGACGGCCCCCCTGCTTTCTAGTAGCCACAAACCGTCGGAGCCTCGACCCCCAAGCAGATTTTTGCTTGGGGCTTGCGACTTCCCACAACTGCGCGCGCCAGCTTATGTGCTCCGAGCTCCAGCCCCGCGGCCGGCCGGCCGCTGCCCAAGTACGTCGACACCGCAGGCGGCCGGCAGCCAAGGGAGACTGGCACGCGCGCCGGGCGGTCCATCCATCGAAACCAGGGGGCCGCCGTTCCCTCCCTGCTTTCCTTCGCGCCGAGTGACGGGCGGCCGCCCCAACCAAAGCGCCCAGCCGCTCCAAAGAAAAACGAGCGCGCAGGAGGTGCGCGAAGTTCTAGGGCCGGCCCGGGCAGGCGCGGCCCGAAGCCTGCGCGCTGGAGTTCGAACCACAGGGCGGCCCACCGTTTTCGGCTTCCAGAATTCCACTGCTGCAGGGATTCAGGCCCATGCTTCTATTTGAAAAGCCCCGCCCCAGCTTGGCGGGGCATCGAGCGGCGGGCCCTTCCTGCTCGTCGATTCCGCTGCAGGTGCGCTGGGGTGCTGACTGCGCAGCGGCGCGCCCTTCCCCTTGCCAATGAGCAGCGCGCCCCCTTCGGCGTTCTCGTCGGCGCTGCCACGCGCCTCGTCGTCGCATAGGACGCCGCCCGGCGGCTCCGGCAGCATTCCAGCGCCCGCCATCGCTTGCATTCCACCGGCTAGCAGCTAGCTGGCGCCGGTCTTCGACATCAAACCAGGATCAATGTCGCCGATTCAAGGCATAATAAGTAGCAAGATCTTGTCGTTTTTTCTGCTCTGGTGGAACTTCAAAGAACAGGTTTGATCGGCACTGTGATTCCCATTGTAACGCAACCGGAATCGTTCCCGGCAGCTGATACATTAGCTCGCAATTTACTCAGCTTCAATTTGTTATTCTTCTTGCACTTGCACAACGCAGACCTTACCATCAATAGGTAAAATGACGTCGGGAAAAAGTCCATGAGAAAGTAGTGCAAACAAGCTTTCGTCTACTCGATCCAACGCGTTGCGAGGACAACAAAAGCTACTGAGAAGACAAGGCTCCTCGTCCTCGTCTCAGAACGCTCACACACAGCACCTCCTGAAGGTTTTAATCTTCAAGATGCACTCCCGGAGCGTGACCAAGGTGTTGTCTAGGTTCTTCATCTCCCGCTCTAACTCGTCTTTTCGCAGCGCCGCCTGCGTCCTGGACTCTTCGTCCAACACAATTTCGTGCATGTCGGCCTCGAGCCGCCGCAGCATCGGCAGCTGGTAGAACGAAACCGCGAACAGTTCGAGCTCATCTGCCATGAAGGAACGGACAAAGGCAAAAGTCGTCACGAGGATGGAAGTCACCTTCTCAACCACTTCCGAACCGGCCAGTTGGTTGTCCTGTAGAAGGAGAATACGGTAGTTTTGATCGTGGAACATTTCTCGTTGTTGCAATTCGAATTTTGTTTGTAATAGCAATAGGGAACAATGGCTATAGCATAGCATGCCTATCGAGAAAAAACAAAAAGTTCATTCCGATGATCCTGTTCCTGACGCTGACCAAGTTGAAAGCGATAATACAACCTCAAAAGCCAAAGTACAAGAAGTACTAAGAATTCTATACCGGTATGCTCGCTACCAAGTGCTTCAAGTACATGTCCAGCTTTCCTCGGTCCGAGAATTCTCTTCGTATCCTGTGAATCGTATCCGCCTTCGTAGGAATCATCATATCCCCCAGGTCGTCTTCCTTGCTTATCCCGGGCATCGAGGAGCCTTTTAGCATCACTGACGGCTTTTGCAGCATACCTGAGAAAATGTTTGACAAATTATAACGTGAAATTCCGCATGACAGAAGCTGCGAGGAAGTGTCGTGCGAATGCAAAACATCATCAATGAAGCGATTGAAGTTGTACTTCAACTTTCTGAAATGAAGTTCAATACTGTCGATCGTCCTGGTAACGAGCGAATGGAACATGGTAGAATGTCGTTCCACCGCGGCATCGTACCGATCGAAAATCAATTTCTTCACGGTCGGATTGCCGTCGATCAGTTGCGCCTTTTCGAACAGCAATTTGCTGTACAAGTGCCCGTCGCAGCTGTTCTTTACCCCGAGCATGAACTCCAACACCGCCTCCTTTTGCAGGCCGAAAAACCACTTCAACCGCTCCGCCACGTAGTTCGTGGCCCTCTTCGTCCGCATCGGGCCGTGCATCCGCATCAGCTTCACGATGGAATCGATCCACGCGATTTCGGTTGTCCCGACACCCCGGGATTGGATGATTTCCCGCTCGGTTATCGGAGCGTCAGGTTTGAAATTGACAAAGTTGAAATGGTTTGCCATGCATAAAATGCAAGGCATGAAATTCCTGTCTTGCCGGGATGGCAAGTGAGGCCGAGTGTCAGCCCGTTTCGGGTTTGAAATAGAGCTGCTAAAGTAGCATCACAAAAGCAGTCGTCTGTGCCCAAACAGCATGACAAATTGGATTCCGGTGCTCGGGAAATTTGTCAGGCACCGCTTGACAATTGGGCTTCCAACACAACTGGTATCGATTTTATGCATCACAAACTATTTCATTTTCAACTTTGACGATTTCAATCCTGAGTGACGCTTCCATATCGGTCACGTTGTGCTGAATGTCTAAAAAGCGGAAATAGACCTCAATCTCGTACAGCAAGCGCATGAACTGCGCACCCCCGTTGATTTCCGCCGCGAATCCGGGGCAGCGGCCTGTGGATCCAAGGTAGTCGATGTACTCGTTTAAATCTGCGAAGTCGTCGGACGGGATGCAATCGTATTCGCTTGGGACGTTCCCCTGCAGTTTGGACCACTTTTCAAACTGGATGAGCTCCTCTGCCAACGTCATCCTTCCCACGTGGGAATGCAGGGATCCGTGCATGATGTCGCACAGGGCCCGCGCGTAGGTCGCGCCCGTGCCGCGGATGATTTTTAAAAAATCATCTGAATTGGAGGTTTGCAACTCCCGGGCCAAAACCGCCCGCGCCTCATCGACCTCCTGCTCGCGCTGCTCAAGGAGGTCGAGTATGCCGGTGATTTCGCTAGAAAACCGCTTCTCGATGATGTTCTCGAGGGAATGGGCCATATTCTCGAATCCACAGTAGCGGTGAAGCTCGGGCTTGAGGCCAAGTTCCTCGATACAGGTGGAGAGATCTGATGATGTTGTTGGTTTACTGTGAAGAAGACATCAGCAGCAGTTGTAAGAACCATCTTCACAATTTATTACTACGTACTCAACATGGACCACGATCGCAACTGTCATGAAGAAAAGTGGATACGTATCAAAAAAATAGACTCGTCCTTTAGCAGTAGTAAAGCGCGGCAATAGCAAATAAATTTAAGTACCTCTTTCGCACGACTGTGTCCTCAGTTTCAAAAAATCCGGTCGTTTCGAGGGCGATCCATCCTCCGGCCAAAATGGCAGCGACAGCGCGAACTTCGGCATGGCTTTCGGGAGATCCCCGAACCCCTCAAACCACGTCGAGACGTTCAAGGGCGAGAGATCCGGATAAAACTTGTCCAATTTCGTCCTGATCAGAATCGTCCGTTCGAAGTGCGGATCCACTTTTTTGCACCTGCCCAACGTCTTCAAGTTCGCTGCATCCCCCGCGGGCTCGACGCAGAGCATGATGGACCTTTGGTCGGTCATGAAACCGGTCACGAGTCTGTCAATTTTGTCCGCCAAAACCTGTTTCTCCGCGTTGTCGGAGAATTCCCGGAACCCCGGGAGGTCCACCACCTGCATTTCTACGCAGTCGGGGGATTCCAACCGGACGTACACCGGGTCGGACGACACATCGTTGCCCAACTCCTCGTGCGCAGCCGCGATGCGCGACTGCATTTCCGGTAATTGCAGTCGTATCCACCCGGTGGAGGGTCCGGTGGAGTTTCTCCCGCTCGCCGCAGCCTCCACGGACGCCCGTTGCGACCGCGCGGACCTGGAGAAGTACCACCGCGGGCCTTCCTTTTCCAGCGTTTTGTCACAGCGAAAGTCCACGACGGTGGGCCGGCGAGAGCCGAGGGTGCCACAGACGAAGTTGAAGCTCGCGCCGGCGAGGGCTTCGATGAGCCGGGATTTCCCGGCGGACTGGCCCCCGCAGATGACAAATTGGGTGATATCCTGAGCAAAAACATCCCTGTCATGCAGATTTGCAAGAACAGCAGGAGCATTTGTAGTGCGCATCCGCATGAGAGGCATTTTCAATCCTGTTTTGGAACTTGTAATGCTGTAAACAGGATAAGAAATTGAATTTGCTATGTGACTCTCCTTGCTAGACCGCGCTACACTCCAGCCTGCAACTTGTCATGCGTGACTCCCAAAACTTTCAAGTTTGTGTTGCAAAATCACCATCTTGACTCTGGGGCGGGGCCGTTTTTGCTCAGGATAGGTGAGCGGCATCTGCTCCCCGGAAAAACCCTCGACTTGGCTTAGTTTCAGCTTGATGTCGGAGATGAGATTCAGCAGCCTCCGTCGGTTGTTGTCCTTCGCATCCTTTGCGCTAGAAGTTGTAGTTCCCGCAAGAACTCCACCTCCGGGCCCGCGGCTGCTGGAGGCTCTGGCGGTAGGGCCGGGTTGCACGCCGCTGTGGTTGAGATTTTTTGATGTACCAGCGGAAGTGGCGGTGCCGGTGGAGGGAGTGGTGGATGTTGCGGGAAAATCATCATCGTGCTTCTCCTTCCCGGGTGAGACCTCAACCTGCGCGTCGAGTGACTCGCGAGCGGGCGGAGCGAACTTTTTGGGAACTTGTTTGGAGGACATGGTGGATGGGTATACTTAATAACGCAGTTAGGGTAAAAATGTCGCGCCCGTGGTAGCAAGAGTCGACTCAAGTACGAACTAGAAATATTCTTGACCAAGCGCGACAAGGCACCTGCTTCTGCAGCTGTGCCGCGTGGCCGCGTTAGAAGTTTACTGTAATACTTCTTCGGGTATCAATCTATGAATATGATAGGGTGGGAAGATAACAACGACGAGGACCTGATTTTTGAAAGCGAGAATTGTAACTTCGCTTCTGGTTCTGTTGCTGATTTCTGATCTGCAATAAAGCAAAACGAAAGGACCAAGGAACGTAGTGCCGGGCCGACAGAAACAAACCTCAAAACCGAAGCAAGATGAATTTCCAATTCAGATGAAGGAGCAGAAACTCGCGGTCAGAACAGACGGGTTTTATTTCAGTTGTCCTCTTCTGCGTGGTGCTTTACCGAGATTTCCTGGGTGAGTCAGAGACAGAACAATGTCAACACTTTATACAGCTCTCAGGATGTCATCAAAATTTTCAGTCGTTGTGTATTATCCAACCTACTTCTACTGAGTATTTGAAGAAACTTGAACTTCCACAGCGAAAATCCATTCACCTATCACTCCCCTCCAAAGAGGCCTTCCATGGCTGCTCCCACAACTGCATCTCCAGCAGCAAACCCAGCGCCGAGCCCCGCTCCTTCAACTAACGCGTTCATAAAGCCGCCGCCGGGGCTCGGCTGCGGTGCCGGGGCGGTCATCTGCGGCGGTGCCGGGGCGGTCATCTGCGGCGGTGCCGGGGCGGTCATCTGCGGCGGAGCCGGGGCAGTCATCTGCTGCGGTGCCGGGGCGGTCGTCTGCTGCGGAGCCGGGGCGGTCGTGTGCTGCGGTGCTGGGGCGGGTGGTTGTCCTCCGCTGCCAGAGACGACCTGCGGGGCCTCAGGAGCGCGCGGCTCCCGCCGCCTCCGTCTGTCATCCTCGCTCCGACGCCTCCGTCTCCCATCGTCTCTCCGCCGCCTCTTTTCATCGCGTCTCCGTTTCCGCCGTCTCCTCTCGTCTGTGGTTGATGTTTTCGTCCTGCTCAGGTGGGCGCGAGTTCCCCGGAGCGCGGTTTTAGTCCTCTGGGTCGCCTTTTCGTCAATCACGACCGAATGTGGAATGGCACAGCCCCCCCTTGTTTCCCCCATCTACTGCGTGGCACGACCGGCACGAAGACCAGAGGCAGCAGAACAAGCACCGGCACTGCTTCAGGTTCAGCTTACCGCGCATGACATAAACATTAACATCACAGTTTGCTGCTGCCGGACTAAATAATCTACGCATTGTAGAGTTCAGTTGCATTTGGGCTGTCAAAACCTTTCATCATGCAAGCAATGCCAAGAGGCAAACCAAGCAATGAATGGCGTGGGTGCGGCACTCGGTATAATTTTGCATGACTTCTAATGATGGGCAGAGGGGGAAGATGTGCATTGTCGTAAAAAAGAAAAACTGCCTTCCGTCTGATCGTCTTCCTCGTCCGCCCAGGAGTCTCCAACATCCTCCGCGTCCTCCTGCAGAGCACCCGTGTTGATGTGGTTCTTGTCCACCACTTCGTCCTCAGCAGTGGATGCGGCACTCCTCGCACCAGCTAGGTCCTGCTGGGTCGCGAGGAAGCTTGTGCCTTCTACTCCAGAATCCGGTTCTATTTCTTCCGAACTGGACGAGGAAGATTCTGATTCTGCATTTTTGTCACTGTTGTCCCCCTCATTTTCATCTGCAGTGTTGCCTTCGAGGAGCTCCTGCTGTGACAGTGGATGTGGATCTGGATCTCCTACTTCGGTATCTTTACTGTTGTCCTTTGTTACTAATTCGCCAGTCGCGCCAAGTCGTGGGAAGTTCTTGACGCCGTCAAAGGTTAAGAGGAGATCCTGGCGAAGCTGCCCGACCGGGGCTAACCAGAGGAACCCGCGGTCGAAGAGGAGGTACCGCATTTTTACCCCCGCTGGAACCAGAACGGGTAAGCCGACGACGCGGCGGTCACTGCTGCTGGTGCTAAAGACACGAGCTTAGACGAGTGCTCGGTCCAAAGACGCCCTAGTCAGGGCACATCTTTTTTGTCTCTGGGCCTTAGCAATAAACGACGATAACTAGTGTCGGACTTCTATTCCTCCACTGACCTAGACTGGAGCTCGACATTTATCTGTATTGACGAGTTTGGCTAATTCACAGCTCAACACTGTGACTTTACGACCGAAGTAACTGCAACGTGATTTTTCCGCTCTTGTTCACTCATATCGTCTTTTCGCCACCTAGCGGGCACGATGTACTTGGATGATCGACCACGACCATGTTTTGGCTCTCGTCTCCCTGTCGTGCAATAGTCTCTCGTCTGGCATCTCCAAAAACACAACAGGCTGGCGCGCTTGGTTTTTTTCCATGTGAAACAGCCTTCCGGCCTTTTTTGGCGGTTCGTGGCAAGAAAACTGCCAGGTCAGAAGTTTTCGGTGACCGGATTATATACGACGTAGGTTATTAAATAAGATGGCGCTATCAATAGCAGAAACTCCGCTTCTTTTGTAATTCACACGACCCAACGCAAAAAATGTTCTTTCTCTATTTTGTTCATTAGCTCAGCAATGCTGGAAGTTCAAGTTTCCTTAGGGGCGATCACGAGTATAGTGTTCCTTTTCCTTCACCTTCGTTCCACCGCAGTTTCCGCGAGTGTTGGTACCACGAAGGCTCGCGAGATGAGGCAAAGAAGACAAGACGCTCAGTCTTCAATTTTCGCATCAACCAGAGGGGATAGGCCCTAGTGGCGGTTGGAAGGCATTGATTGGTTTTTCATACTATGACCCTTTGAAGATGCCATGCGGTAGAACTAGAAAGCAAGATTTGCGTTGAAAAAAATCACTCTTTGAAAAAGTCGAATTTACGTACAACTACACATACGAAGACTTTGGTGACGTCCACGTCGGTACACGTACATTTATTCCCCGAAATTGAAATTTCAAATTCTCACTACACTTTGGTAAGATTTAAGAAACACCAGGCTCATGACATTACCCTTGCAGCCAGCCCCGAGGTTGTACTAGCCGGTGGCCTTCAGAAGTAGCATTTTCATTGTGATCGGTAGCCGAGGCTCAGACGCTGTCTCGTCTTGTTTAAATATTTTCATTTCATCAAATAAAGCGTGAACGACTTCTTGGACATAAAATCTTTTTTATTATCTTACTGCAAGCTGGTGTACCCTTGCCAGCTCTGGATGCCCCAGAACTCCTTTCCGGCGGCTTCCCGCTGCCATTTTTTATACAAGGCCTCGATGAAAAGCCTCGATGTTTTTATGTCGTAGAACAAGGGTACATTGCAGTCCACCGCCAACCTCCGCATCTGAAACCCGTCGGTCGCCCCCTGACTGTCCATGGAATCCGGTACGTTGATAAGCAAATCGATCTTGTTCTGGGAAATCAAATCCGTGACGTTCGGCGTCTTTTTCACGTGCGGTTTGTGGACCAGGATACCCGTAAAGTTCTGCATCTGATCGTGTTCGTGTAGTTTTATCGCATGACATGCATCAGCTAGAGCTACTTGAAGATTATTATGCTGGTCATCAAAATTTTGAAAATAATTGCGATGGATGCTGGCAACATCTTGCAAAACGAAAATGAAATAAAGCGTGCGTAGAGGTCTAGAAGTACCTCTGCCTTGAAGAATTCGAAGGTCCTATGCATTGTAAATTTCCCGTACATGTACAAAATGCATGACAAATTTTGCTAACTTGCAGTGTACAACTTGTCATGCTAGACTAGGATTGAAGGCAAATTTTGTCATGCACAGACAGCATTTGTACGTGTACAGGAAATTTACTGTAGATACGTCCCTTTGGTGCAGTACACCTGATAGCCCATCTCTTGCAGGAATGGCATATGCATTGCAAACTTGTACTCGTATTAATGCATTACAAATTTCCTGAGCATGACGAATGAAATTTGTAATGCGGATTTAGCTGAAGAACAAGATTTGCAATGCATGTTTGCAATTACTACGAGTACGATACTTTTGCAATTCATACGGCATGACACCCAACAGTTCCATTTTTGAAGCGTGGTGGCCGACCGAGACCAGAATGTTCTTCTCTGGGAGCTTCAGACCACTGGAAACCAAGGCTTTCAGGTACGCCTCGTACTTCGTCATACCTGTGTTTCGGTTTGGTTCGGTTTTATTTTCAACAGATTGTTTTCTCTACGGATCATGCAAGGCGAAGATCTATCACTATCTAGGCATAACGAACTACCAGCATGCCAACTCACACGCCAAGGTTGTAAAGAACCACATTACAACAAATGCAACTTTACCATAGCACGCCACCTCCCCGGTACTCTGCATTTCCACACCAAGCCGCGGGTCCGAATTCTTCAGTCGCGAGAACGAGAACACCGGCACTTTGCACCCCACGTAGTCCAGGTCCATCGGGTGCATTTTTTCCGGGTGCACTATTTGCCCGAGCATGACCTTCGTGGCTAAGGCAATCAGGTTGATGTTGAACGTCTTCGAAATGAACGGAAACGTTCTGCTCGCCCGGAGATTGCACTCAATCACCTTGACCTCGTTGTCCTTGCACATGAACTGGATATTGAACGGTCCGGAGATGGACAGAGCCTTCGCGATCTTCGTCGCGATATCCTGTGCAAAAGTATCGCACTCGTACTACTCGCAGATACGCATGACAAATCTGCTTCTCCAGGTAAACCAGCACAACAAACTCCATTTTTCTTGCTGAGTGCCGTCTTGTCTTGCAATTACGTACCAATTCTAGTACGATACTCTTGCATTGCATATGAAACCTTCTTCACCCGTCGGTGCGTCTCGACGTAGAGCTTTTGTGCAGGTAATAACAATGTCGCGTCCCCGGAATGCACGCCCGCGTTCTCCACGTGTTCGCTGATCGCGTAGTTTACCACCGCCCCGTCGCACCCGACGCCGTCAAATTCGACCTCTTTAGCGTTTTCGACGTACTTGTATCCACAGAAAAAGACCCATCCACATCCAACTTGTCATGCAAAATACGTATAAAGTCATGCGTTTGTCATGCAAAAAAGGATGTGGATGGGTTTTTTTCTGTAGATAACTTGGAGATCACGACCGGGTAGTCACGGGAGACGATGGCAGCGGAACGAAGGAATTCGTACCTGATAAAGTTTACATGCGAATGAATGTTGGGATGAACTGTTTCTGATGCATGTTATGCAACATGCAAACTTTAGGTCTAAATACCTCATGCAAATAAACAGCAACACAAAAAAGAACCCGATTTTCAAGTAAGTAAGTATGTACAGGTTCTCCGCTGAGTCCACCACCCGCATCGCGGCACCGGACAAGACGTAGGACGGCCTGACCAGCACCGGAAAGTCCACCCGGTTGCAAAACGCGAGCGCTTCTTGGTAGGTGCTGAACTCGGACCAGTCTGGCTGATCCACCTGCAACTTGTCGCACAACTGGGAGAACTTGAACCGGTTTTCCGCCGAGTCGATCGCCGCGACGGAGGTGCCCAGAATCCGCACGTTCACCAGAGGGGACTGCACTAGTCCCATCGCGAGGTTATTTGGCACCTGCCCCCCGACGGAGATGACCAGCCCGTAGGGGGACTCGAAGTGGTAAATCTCTAAAACTGTCTCGTGCGACAATTCATCGAAGTACAGCCGGTCGGACTCGTCGTAATCGGTCGACACCGTTTCCGGGTTGCAGTTGATCACAATCGCCGGTCGGCCCGCCTTGTGGATCGTTTTCACCGCTTGCACGCAACACCAATCGAACTCGACAGAGCTCCCAATCCTGTAGCAGCCACAGCCGAGCACAATGACTGAGCTGCCCTTGTCGGCCGTGCTACTGGAGGTGCGACCCGGGGGCGGCGCTTGGGAGCTTGTGGACCGGGGCATGGGGTTGAAAAAGTCGTCGGAATACTGCAGATCCACCCGCGTGGGATTCGGCGAGGGGAAATCCGCACCGGTTATCCAGCGCAAGAAAACTATCGTACTCGTAGTATGTAATTGCCATATTGCATTACAGATCTGCCTTCTTACCCAAAACGGCATGACAAACTTGATTTCTCGATCTGAAAAAACTTATCATGCATTTTCTACTCAGTACGATAGTTTTGCAATGCATACCGGACATGTAAAAGCGATCCGTTCCGCTGTTCACCGGGGAAGGCTTCGACGGTGTTCGCATCCGGAATCGCGGGGACCCGGGCCGGTCAAAATTCAACGTTTCTTTCCTGGATCTCACCGAGGTCCTGATCGGGTGCACATCGTGTTCGTCGCCGTTGTATGTTAAATACAAATAGTTCGTCTCCGCCGGGAACTCGCCGGCGACGGTGTCGACCTGCTTAATCGACGGGTGGATGTGCTTTTGAAATCGGAGGTGTCGCACGTCTTCCTCCGTCACTAACTGCTGTTGCCGTGCCCGGGGAGACGACGCGTCGACCATCATCTGCCTCCCCGCACTGGTGTAGGCGTCGATGCTGTCGTGGACCTTTAATTCCCGCTTCTTTTTCGCCGCTGCAGCTCCGTCGACCGAATCAGAAGAGGTATTCCCGGAGGAAATATTCCCGGTACTTGGGACTGTGGTTCCATCAGAAGGCGTGGCTGCGGCAGACGGTCCTCGAATCGACGACAACAATCCCTGGGTGACCAACTTTGCGATTTGCCGGTCGCTGAACCCGTGTCGTTTCACCGTTTCGAGCAAATGGTTGTCTTGCTGCAAGGTTAAGAGGCTTGTGCTCTTCAAAATTCCCTGCAGGGAATGCACGTTGTACAGTTTTGACAAGAACCACCGGTCGATTTTCGTCAAATGGTGCACGTCGTGCACGGACAATCCGTACTGGAACGCTTTGGCGACGGCGAAGATGCTATGCAATGCAAAAGTATCGTACTAGTATAAATTGCATCACAAATTTTTCCTAGAAGAAAACTGAAATTTGTCATGCAGATTCAGGTAAGAAAGCAGATCTGTAATGCTAGATTCGCATTTATACGAGTACGATACTTTTGCAATGCATAGATCCGAACTGGGCTCGGGTCCGCGAGTTCCTCCTTTACCTCTTCCAGGGTCGCGACGTTGCCCTTCTTCGCCTCCAGGTCGAATCTGTCGCCGTCGAACCCCGTGCACGCCTCGTCCACCATCCGGAGCGCCTTCTGCATCGTTTCTTCAAACGTCCTTCCGATCGCCATGATTTCCCCCACGGACTTCATGCAGGACCCGACGTGTTTATCGACCGTGACGAACTTCTTCAGATCCCAGCGCGGAATTTTCACGACGCAGTAGTCCAAAGAGGGTTCGAAGCAGGCGGTGGTAGATTTCTATGGCCTGCTCAAACGTTACAATCTCAATCGTTACGAATAGAATCTGGCATTTGTATTGCATGAAGAGCATGGGGAACGCAGAGAGAATTGAGCTTTTCGCAATACAAATTTTGCCGGATTTCAGGTGGGTTTGGGACTCCGGAACTTGTCATGCGCAATCCTATGGGAGTAGGCTAGATCATGCAGTTCTTGCATCACAGATTTCCAGATTCTATTGTAACAGTTGAGATTGTAACGTCTGAACGGGTCATAATTTCGTGACCGCGTTTCTCAAATGCACCAAGTCGTGCCCCAACCCGAGTTTCGCAGCTACGTACGCGAGGGGGTACCCGGTGGCCTTAGAAGCCAGAGCGGACGAACGGGAGAGACGCGCGTTGACTTCGATGATGCGATATCAAATGCAAAAGTGTCTGGGTCTGTAAGAGTGGAACTTGTAATGCTGTCTGCGGATTCTAATTCTAAAAATATCTGTGTTGCGTGAGCAGTAAGAGGAGTCAGTTCTTGGCACGCGGAGAGGGCATTTGTCATGCGTAATAAGCATCAAGAAGCTCTCAAAAAATCTGTGATGCTCGCACCAGCATCACAGACTTGATGGGTCATGCAAAATGTGCATGACAAGCCCCGATTCTTCCAGACCCAGATGACATATTTGCAGTTCATATGCGAAATTGGTCGGAATGGGGGTCGACCGCGTACTGAATGTTGCACTCGCCAATCACACCCAAATGGCGGATCATCTGGTGATAGATTTTTGTGGGCAGTTGTACTAGAAGTGGTGTCTTTAATTACTCCGCATGCGGAAACGGCATGACAGACAGCTCTGCTTTCAATCTCAATATAGCTCAAACAGCATGAGCAATTCAACTACTGAGCGTATTCAATAAGTACCTTCAACGCGCAATCCCGCAGCCGTTGGTACTCCGCGTTCGTGAGCGTCTGCGAGGGCGCCACTACGATGGAATCTCCGGTGTGGATCCCCATCGGGTCGAAGTTTTCCATGTTACACACCGTAATGCAGTTGTCCAGTGAATCCCGGACTACCTCGTACTCCAGCTCCTTCCAGCCCTTCAGGGATTTGTCCACGATCACCTGCGACGATTTCTGGAAAGAGACTCTCGTCAGCGTGATCACTTCCTCCCGATTCGCGCAAAAACCGGAACCTAGTCCACCCAGGGCAAAAGCAGCGCGCACCAACACCGGGTAACCGATGCTGTCCGCGGCGGCGACGGCTTCTTCTACGGAGTTACAGCATTTCGACTCCGCGACTTTATACCCGACTTTGTCCACCGCTTCCGCGAACTTTTCCCTGTCCTCGGTCATGATGATCGCGGAAATCGGGGTGCCGAGGACCGTGACGCCATACTTTTCGAAGATCCCGTTTTCGAACATCTGCACGGCGCAGTTCAGTGCGGTTTGCCCGCCAAAGGTGCAGAAAATGCCGTCGGGTTCCTCTTTTTTGATCACTTCCTCCACGAACTGGGGGGTGACGGGGAGAAAGTAAACCTTGTCCGCGAGACCTTAGTGTTGAATGTTGAATTTTTTTGCACAGTATGCTACGTCTGACAAATCAAAATGCAATTCAGGACCACCATGCATGACAAACTCCATGACAAGAACCTACACACTCTGTTAATTATACCAGCCGACGTTTGCACGGTCGCAATATTCGGGTTGATCAGAATTGATTCCACGCCCGCTTCCTTCAGAGCCTTGATGCACTGCGAGCCGGAGTAGTCGAATTCGCCTGCTTGGCCGATAGAAAGATATCGTATCTAAAAACGTCCCCACCCCATAGCTGTATATTCAAATCTGCATGCTGAAAATGTTTCCCATGCGGAGCCCCATGAGAAGCATTTTCTAGGTGTGTTTTGGAATTTGTCATGCTCCAATCAGCATGATGCACTAGCTCTGTGATGCTGCTTAACTACGTCAAACAACACGACACTACGAGTCGAAATTTGTCATGCAAAACAGCCAAAGCTTGTGGATTTGTCTAGCCGATTCCCCATCTTGACTATGGGGTGGGGACATTTTTGCATAGGATAAAAGACCACCAGAACCCAGTACCAACACCTTCTTGTAGCCCTGTTGCGGTCGTCTGTACGGCATCAAGGACAAATATAGAATCATCAGGATCGACATTGACAAAGTCGACAAATTTGTGATGCATAAAATGCATGACGCGAAGTGCGTGTGTTGCAGAGCAGGCAAGTGAGGCCGATTGTAAGCCTGGTTGGGGTTATAGCTAGAGCTGCATTTTTGCAGCATGAGAGGATCAGTCTTCTTTGCCTAAACAACATTACAAACTGGATTTAGGCACCACGAGAATTTGTGATGCGCCACTTAGAAACTTGGTTCGAACTGGAATCCAAATCCATTTTACGCATGACAAATCATTTAGATTTTGTCAATTTCAATCCTGACACTTCCATAACAAGGGTAACGACCCCGAATTCATGATGGTGTCGATAAACTGCGTGAACAAGAAGCTCGTGTCCGTCGGCCCCCCGCACGCCTCCGGGTGGAATTGGACGGAAAACCAAGGCTTCACCCTGTGGATGATGCCCTCGTTGCTGTCGTCGTTCCCGTTGACAAAGAACGGGGACCAATCGGCGGGTAGCGACGCGGAGTCCACCGCAAACCCGTGGTTCTGTGGCGTGATGTAGCACCGGAGCGTCCGCAAGTCGACGCACGGCTGGTTCATGCCCCGGTTCCCGAATTTCATCTTGTAGGTCGTCGCGCCGGCGGCGAGCGCCAACAGCTGATTCCCCAGGCAGATTCCGAAGATCGGCTTCGTTTTGGGCAACTGCATGAACTTCCGCAAGTGGTCGATCGCGGTCTGACAGTAACTCGGATCCCCCGGCCCGTTCGACAGAAACAGCCCGTCCATGTTGTCGATCTCCTTGCAGTATGAAATGCAAATGTGTCTGGGTCTGGATACTTGTGATGCTGGGTGGCGTAATATCACGAAGAGGCCACAAGTGCTGGCTCAGCATGACAAGTTTCTGAGCTTCTAGGTGTTGCCTATTCTGCATGACAAACTGCGTTTCTGCATGACAGAAAAATGGGGCAGCTCTTGGGTAATGTGCATGACAAATTTGAGAGTCCTCATGTGAGACAAGCATGACAAACTTGCATTCTTCCAGACCCAGACATTTTTGCACTTGATATGCAGATGTCGTAGTCCCAGGGCACGCGGACTAATTCCACGCCGTATCCTGTGCAAAAGTATCGCACTCGTAGTAATCGCAGCCATGCATTACAAATCCCCATCCCAAGGTTCAACACCACGACAAATTCCATTTCTCATGCTGAGCAAATTTGTAATGCAATTACTACTAGTACGATACGTTTGCAATTCATACGCCGAGGACGTTCACAAAGTAGCGGATAATGTTGTACTTGATCCCGAAGTCCATCGCGACAATCCGGCACTTCGGCTTGTCGATGTGTTTCGGCGTGTAGATGATTTTCTCCTTACACGACACCTCCGCCGGAAGATTCCGTTTATTCGGGTCGTCTATGAATTGCAAAAGTATCGTACGCGTATAAATGCATTACAAACTTCCTCAGCATGAGAAAGAAAATTTGTAATGCTGAGTTACCTTTAAGAAAAAGATTTGCAATGCATGATTGCAATTACTACGAGCAGTACGATAGTTTTGCACAGGATATCGTCAAACTCGATCGACCCGTCCTTTTCCATCTCGATCTTTCCCAAAATCGCACCCTCATTCCGCAGCATCTTCGTGATCGCGCGCGTGTCCACTCCGTACATGCCCGGGATGTTGTATGACAGTGCACAGCTCCCTCTCCCCTTCGCTTGTCATGCAAAACCCCGAATCCAGTCGCTGCCTTATGGCACTGCTTGCATGACAAGTTTTGGTAGTTCAAAGAAATAGCACCAGACTCCAGTGTAAATTTGTCATGCAAAACAGGCACTCTTGCTGATGCTTGTATTGCTGTTCATGCTAGACAAATGAGGGGGAGCAGGGGGAGTTGTGCACTGTCATATGTTGTGCTTCTTCAACCAGGTGGAGAGGGAGCGCTTGGATTATGAAAGCCTCGAAATGGAAATCCTCAAAAAGTGGAAATAAGAATAACTTGTGATGCATGAAATGCGACGCAAAAAACGACTGTATTGCAGGGGACGCAATGGAGGCAGACTATTGTCCTTCTACGGGTTAAGGATTGGAGTGCTGATTAGCACGAGAAAAGGGCACCCCTTTGCGTTAACCAGCATGACAGACATGCTTTGAGTGCTGCCCGGGAAATTTGTCATGCGTCGCCGAGAAGTGGCGCTTCAACTGGAGTGGTTTTTTGCGTTACAAAGTAGCTTCACTTACACTTTGCGGATTTCCAACCTGAGGCTTTCATATGGATTGGTAGTGAGAGGACTCGAAGGAGTAATCCGCGACAACGATGCCCTTCACGTAGATCTGCTTGCCCTCAAAATGCTTGAACAGACCTGATTTTTTTTCACTGATCTCCTCCTCCGATTTTATTTATGTTGGTATATCAGAAGTGCTGGGAAGATGATAGCAACGACCTGATTGCAAAATGCACCACCGCGGCGCAGCAGCACGGTCCTCACAGTAGAAATTCTACAAGTACAACCATGTCAACAAGAACATCAATGCATACCATGCTCATCCACCTCGTCGTCCCCCGGTACGCCGTAGTTTCCAATCAGCGGGTAGGTGAGCACCAAAATCTGCCCCGTGTAACTCGGGTCGGTCAGCGACTCGGGGTAGCCCACCATCCCCGTGTTAAAGACCACCTCGCCGGCCGCGGAGGTTTCCGCACCGAAGCTGAATCCCTTGATCTCCACCCCATTTTCCAAGACCAGACTCGCCGGCGCGCCCCGGTCCAAGGGGGTGCCGTTGTTGGGGCGAATGTTGATGAAACCGCTGCTGTCCACGGAGTCCGCGGGCGAAGCGTCGGGAGGACCAGCAACAATTTCCATCGGGGAAGAAGTTAACGACGACATTGTGTTCCTTGAGAAAAAATTTGTATTTATTGAATTTGTGCCGTTTTGGTAGGTGCCGTTCCTCTCTCTCGTCGTGCAGCTTTTTTGACTCTCTACATTGAAAACCAGATAGTTGCGTGTCCTGAGATCAACGTGTTGATCTGCGTGTGCTGGACGACCAAAACTAGCTCTAGCTCCCGCATTCAAATCTCTTTCATCTATCACAAGCTCATAGTCAATGCTCGTGTCGAGGTTTGGTGCGTCAAACATTCTTCGATTCGGGGACGTAGACATTTTCTTTCGACACAGAAGTAGTAAAAACGTAAAAATGTTGAGGGATCCAACATTTGTTCACAATACACCGAGTTGTGGAGAATCTGTACCATGTAGTAGTTTGTTCTCGGAGAAGCAGTGAGTGGATTTTGGTGGAAAGAAGTGACGCTTCATTTAGCGACGTGTTCAAAAGTGCTGGTGGGCACTAATTGCGATAAGACCGAGGGAGGCAATTCGCGACGCTGGAGCGGTGTCACACACAGGGGGAACACAGTGGTGGACTAAACTTCGAAAGTGGTGGTAAAAACTCAAGGCTCATGGTGCGCACCATAGATCATGGCTCGAGAGCTTCATCCTTCTGAAAATAACTGCGTGACCGCGCATTCTTGAGACGAAGCTTAGTTGATGATGTGCGCTCGTTTTACCTTTTGACGCTTTGTTGCATGGAGGCAGAGCCTTATTTTCTGTGTCTCCACCATGCACCAGGCGAAATCCACATCTACACTTGAAAAAATCATGCAAGGGATGCTAAAATGGAAATGCGTTTTTCTTTTTGTTTATCTTGGTTTTGTTTGAGTTCGTTTGTTGTTGTTTCGTCTACTTGCAAAGAGATAGTACTGGAAGATCATGACAACTTCGCCTAATAGGTAGGCGTATGGAAAATGTAACTCCACCTCGCAGACGCAGACGAGCAGTGACCTCCCTGTGGCCCTACGCACAACACCTACTACAGCTTCATCACAACGCAGGTAATGTCGTCGTGAAAGCCGTCGTCCAGCTGCGCATTCCATCGCTTTTTCGCCTCTTCGTTAATCGCACTGGCACCGGAGTGGAGCAACGGCCTGAGCTCTTCCACTTCCTCAAAGACGTCCCAAACCCCGTCGGTGGCGACACAGAGAATGTCGCCGCGCTTAGCGTCGAGGAGGCGGACCTGGGGTTATTTTCAAGATTTTTGCAAGAATGCACGCACTAGCGGCGAAGGCATGCTAGAGAGTTTCTTTTTGTTGTCGGTCTGTCAGACACACAAGTAAGTAGTTGTCCTCATGCTGCTGCTACATTCAACAAACAAAACCTCCCAATTGTAGTAAATACATCCGGCATGCAGGTCACACCCTGTTCGTGCGCGTGCAAGTCGCCAAACACTCGGCTCATGTTCAGCGCTGGCCAGGTTTGCCCGGCTGTGACAATCCGCGGGTCCCAGGGTCTCACCGTGCCCTTGGAAACGTAGAAACTCTGAATTTCCGCCGTGCCTGCTTCCTCGATCCTGGCCTTCTCTTCCGGCGTGTCTGGCCGATGGTCCTTCGTCAACGCAGTGTGTGTGCCGTTGGCCTGTATAATTCATGTTTTTCTTTTTTTCATGCGCATAATTATTGATGCGTTCCTGAGCTTGTCATCATGCTGTACTGCGATACCAAAGGAAAAAAATCCTACCCGGAAGAGCACCGCCTTGCCGTCCCCTATGTGTCCAATCAGAATCCACGGATCGACGGGGCCGTCGCCTTTCAGGATCATCGTTGCGGTCGTGCCGGACTCCCTTGCATCAAGCTCCGCCGGGAAAACGCCCTCGCCGTCGACGTACTCTTGCAGCGTCTTCACAGTGAGGCACTCCAGGGTCTGATAGAACACATTTTTGTCTATCTTCGTCACTCATGCGCTGCTGCGTTCTATCTTGATCTTGTATCAGAAGAAAACGAAAAGTTATTCAAGTATCATTCTGCATGATGCAGCAGGAAGTAGCCTGCAGCTTCTCTTTTCAATTGTCACTTTCACTCTATTGCATGAAGATGGAACCTCCACAACAACCATGATATTACCTCGTGCATCTGTTCAAAGGTGGCTTCCATGCATCCGCCCAGCCCCCGCAGCTCTTTGATGTTGTTGTCCAAATAGCCCGGGCCTTTCGGGTGAATATCGGCGCTGATCTTCCCCAAATTTTCGACCAACAACTTCACCATCAGGTTGGTCACCACTTGGCTTGTCACCTCCCCGAATTTCCCGTGGCCGTCGTAGACGCCGCAGATTTTCAAATCTCCCCACTGCTTTGTCGGGTAGTGGAGGAATGACCAGGCGTCGTGGTTCGGCGTGCCCTCTTTGTGGCCTTTCCTGCACGAGATGCTGCAGTTTCCCTTTTCCTTTAGCAGCTGTTGGATGGAACTCAGGCTTATGCTGTTCCCACTCGCTTATGCATTGCAAATATGTAGTCTGAGTCTGGAAGTAGATCGCCAGGTTTGGCATGCATATTTTGCATGGCACAGGATGCCTGTAATGCACGACCTAGCATCACAGATTTGTAGAGGGCTTCCTGATGCCTATTCCGCATGAGAAGTGCCCCCTCCGCGTAGCAAGAACTGGACTCCTGTTGCTGGTCATGCAATACAAAGCTTTTCAGAATCCAAACACAGCATCACAAGTTGCTTTGTTCCAGACCCAGACATATTTGCATTTGATATCGCTTCCGTCGCCAGTTTTCTCGACTCCTCCGGGATGAAACTATCCTGTTTGGACGTCGAGCTGGTGACTTGGAAGTGCTATCCTGTGCAAAAGTATCGCACTCGTAGTTGTAATTGCAGTCATGCATTACAAATCATTTCCTTAAGGTAAATCCGCATTACAAATTTGATTTCCCATGCTAAGAAAATTTGTAAATGCATTTTTACGAGTACGATGCTTGTTTTGCAATTCATAAGTACTCTTTTTCGGCGAAACTGGGTTTCTTGCCGAGCTCCGAGTCGATGTTGCTGCGCACCCACCACATGGGCTCGACTGGTGGTCGTGCTGGGGGTTTTTTACTACTTACTGCGGGTGGAGGAGCCCCAGCAGGTTGTGAAGATTTTGGCTTCGACGGTTGCGACGCCGATTTCGTCTCAAATTCTGGGACGACGCTCAGTGCGCGGGTGGACGCTGCGGAGAAAGGTGCAAGTTGCTCTGGTGCACCAGCTAGGGAGCCGTCCGCCCGCATGGGAGGTAAGGCAGCTCGGGCACGCGACATGGACCGCAGAAGTGGTTGGGACGACTGATTTCAGTGTCGCGGTGATGTTGATGTCACGAAGAAGAGTTTCGATTTTCATTTTGCCTTTGGCCGAGTTTTGAAATATTTCTATATCACGAGATCGACGTTTCGAAAATGTAGTAGTAGTCATTCCTAACAGGCGCGGAATCGAGAAACGTCACAGTATGATCTCCCACGCCACCAAACACTTTTTGAGTACTTACCTCCACTGCACCTAAAGCCGACCACAGCGTGGACCCGGCCCAGGAAACCACGCTCGCAAACCCCTCTTCCTGGTCCGTAGAGTAGGATCTCGGCGCTGATCGGGCGGTGTTGCCGACGACTAGGTGGTCTGTTTCCCTTAGAAATTTGTCGATGTCCGGGCTCAGTGGAACAGAACCTGTTCCGTGATCCGCGGATATCGAGTGTTTTGATGTTGAGTTTTGTTCCTCCAACAGCGGTTTTGGTTTTATTTCTGGTGCCGCACTGCTGGAGCTGCTGCTGCCACCAAAGTAGGATTCGAACCCGAGCAAACCCGACACCGTGCTCAGATCATTGACCATCTTCGTTGGCGGGCCGTCCTGCGTGTTCACGATCGTGGTCGCGGGAACGTCAGGCGTCGATAGAGGTAGTTCAAACGCCGGGGAGGTGCTTGCGTTCCTGTCGAACAGGTCTGGCTGCGGCCAGAGGTCGGTCAACTCCGCTTGCATCAGCCGCTCGTAGTTCGCGAGAGTCTGTTGAGGACTTTGCAAAATAATGTTTTTCGTGCACTATCAACATACAATAATCTTCACAACAACTACGTCACACATCATCGATGCAGCATCTAGTTTGTATTGCAAGGTTCAATTCGAAGTCAAATCTATAGCTATACCTCCTTCCACTCATCTAGCCCTCCAGCCGGTTTCTTCCACAGTCCCTGGGACGCGTCGACCGGCGGCGGCGCGGAAAAATCGTAGGTGTACTTCCCATAGTCTATGAAAGTGCACAACTCCCCCTCCCCCTCACTTGTATTGCATGAACAGCATGACAAGCGCCAGCAAGAATACCGGTTTTGCATGACAAATTCGGACAGGAGTGTTGCGCTATTTGGGCTGCCAGAACTTGTCATGCAAACAGTGCCTAGCGCCAAGGCGTCAATCAGGTATTTTGCATGACAAATGAGGGGGAGGAGGAGTTGTGCATTTTCATATAGTCCACATTCATGCTAGAACTCGTCGCGCTTGACGGCGGCCCGGTCGGGTCTTGCTCCTTCTCAAGAAGATTTGATGTCGCGCCGGCGAAGCCTCCTCCTCCACCATCCACTTTCGCGCCAAATTCCAACTTTGCCGCCGCGTACGTGTTGTTGCTCTGCACAAATTGCGGACCCGGGTCTGGCGGCGCTGAGTAGAATTGAAACGGCTGCGCCGTGAAACTGGCGGAAAGCTTCGGCATGCCGGGAACACCGAGGGAGGGACGGTTTATCTGGCCGGTAGTTGTCGCACCTCCTGCTCCGCCACTGGTAGTGCTGGGAAAAAGCACAGACATCTTTCTCCGTGCGTCGTGGCCGCGGCGGGATCGGCACTAGTACGTGCCGTGTCGCTATCTTAGCCCTCTTGTTTTCATCCACTGGTATTGTCAGGTCTGAACATTTTTCTACCGCAGCCTATATTCGCTTCGCTTTGAGTTTGATTAGTTTCATTTGCTCGTGGTGTTCAACTAAAGCTCTCAACAGCGGGCCAGAACCGATGGCACGAAGAAGAAAAGACGAACAAAAAATAACATATGAGAAGATAAACGCTAACAAACAGGATGAAAAAACGCGAATAATTCGTACTCGTAGTCCGAAATCTACAATAAATGTCTTACGACCCCGACCGCCTGCACGTATTCTACTGACAGATTTGTGAGCAGAGCTCGTTCTCTCACACACACGTTGGAGACAGAGAAAACTACACAACAGCTGCACAATGAACAGATGCAAATCTGGTAAAAACCACAGACCCTTGCAGTTACCCGGAGGCCAACGCCAACATTGGTAATGCGCTGCGTAATACTAACAGCGCGCGTCGTGCCTTTATTCAAGTGTTGCATAGAAGTGACATCTGTTCTTGAAGGACAGAGAGTAGTTCGGAAACCAGCAATTTAGCGCTTCTATTCGTACGTCCTTGATTTGTTAAAAATTTCCTCCGCACATTGTCATCGATCTACTGCGATCTCCTGCCACCGTTCCTCTTCATGTTGGCCTTGAGTTGTACTGATCATTCCAACAAGCTGCTCATGCAGAGGTCTCACCACCTTCTCCTCAAAAACCCTTCCGAGGTCGTAACATTTTCGTTCGATTGCGAAAGAAAGTTCCTCCAGTTGCGCTGCGCTTAATTTCGCTTTGCTGTACTCGGCGAAGACGCACAGATCCAGCAAAGGCAGGTCTTTGAAGCTGCCGATGTGGTTTGCGAGGATGAGATTCTGCAGAGTCGACGTTTCCATTGGACTAGAGGCTGGTGGTGGTCGCGTAGAAGTAGTTCTAGTTGTGCCAGTAGTAGTTCCTGCGGCAGGCTGCTCGACATCGCTCAACATCATCGACAGGAGGTTCAGAAGCTTCAGTGCCTGCGCCGACGTGAAATTGTGCAGGTTTTCCGCAATCAGGGGCAGGAGCGAGTGTAGTCTTGAACAAGGTTGTACCAAAAACTCTTGTTCCGCGTGATGGTTTTCTCCCGGGGTCCCACAAGTTCGCTCCACCGCACTCACCCCCTTCAATATGCACAGAATCACTTCAGCAATCTCCGTGTTGTCGGGCTGTACAAGTAAACTTGCTTGAGCAGGAGCTAGATCTCCCGGCGAAACCGCGACCACCGGCGAGTCACTTCTCGCTTGATTCATCTTCGTGGCAGCAAACGCGGTGACTTCCTCTTCCTCTAAAGTGGTCGTGGTTGCTTGTTTTCTGCCACCGCGGTTCTTCTCGACATTCCTCATTCTCTCCGCTCGCATCTCCAGCAATTCCCGCTCTAGTTTTTCCGTTGCCAAATCCACAACGCGCGTCGCGAAAGCGAGCGCGCCGGTCGTGGTCTCCACTCGACGTCCGGAAGATGCAGGAACAGCTTGTTCTTCCGGTTGTAAAAGTTCTGTTGGAAAAATGTTCGCTAAGGAAAGCACTGCCAGGTCGGTGAGGGACAAATCGTCTACCTTTGTCAAAAGCTCCTTCTCGATCGACTCCACTACACTGTCGACGCCGGGTCCGGAAAGAAACGTGGGAACCGCGATCGGGCCGAAAGAAATATTACCCGCGCCCGTGGTGTTGTCTGCAGCATCAGAAGATGACTGTTCGTGGTTGAGCAAACCAGACTCCTGCGCCTTCAGCAGCCGTCTTGGTTCCGGCCCAGAAGAGAGTTTGCGAAGTTCGGAGCGGATCGCCGTGCTACTGTAGGACGGAGCAGAAAGAGACGCGCTTGTTCCACCGACGTGAGCAGGAGGTCGCGATAATTTTTGACCAGCATAATAATCACCTTCTCTCGCCGCAAACGCGGTCCGCAGTAATGCCAGCTCCGACGCGTTCAATTGTGACAGCCGTTTCAGCAATGTGTTTGCGTACATTTCAAAGTCAGAAAAGCGGAAGATGCAGTGTGCCAACCTGGCCAAATCCATAGGTTTACACTGCCGGGTCCGCGCGACCAGCTTGTGGCTAAGCTCGACGGCGAGATGAGGCAAGTTGGTTGTTGTACTAGTAGTGCTGGTCAATTGGAGTTGCGAAGATGTTGTTCCACCGCCAGGACCTGCGCCGCAAGTGACTGCTCCTGCTGCTGCGCTCCTTTGCAAAAAAAACGCGCATTCCGTCGCGGCCGCCATGCTCATCCTCGGCAAAACTTTCGGATCCAGAAGTGCCTCTTTCAATTTCGCCGAGCACGTTTCAATCGCTTTTTGTAACAAGCGGTCGAAGGTATTGATATTACCGTTTGAATATGATGCTCCATTGGTTGATGCGCTCCTGCTCTCCAATTGCGCCAGCGCGCGGCACAGCGGGCGGAATTCGTCTGCCTTCAAAGAATCCATCTTCGTTTCGAAGGTTTGCAGCAGGACCAGCATCAGCTCCCGACAAGCGGAATCTGTTATAGTTTGGAGTTCGAATTTGCAATCTTATTTGGCCGTTGTCCTCAATTGAGGAGCTGCTTCTGCTTTTTTGACTCAGGTCGACAGAAGACGGATCCTCGAGCAGAAGATTCCAGAAGCACATGTCAGGGCGATGAAGGATGAATTGGTAGAAGGTTCATCACTGCTTTGGTCAGAAGCAGAACTGAACTTTAGGTTGTCATCATGGAGGGTGCTCAGGATCTCACAACTTTTGTGATCTTCGCAGTGGTCATGCAAGAACTGTAATTCAGCAAGTCCTACCTGGCTGCGGCGTTACTTCTCAGGGCGATGAAGGATGAATGGTTTAAAGGTTCGTCATCTGCATCGGAAGCAGAACTGAACTTTAGGTTGTCATCATAGAAGATGCGTGGTCGAGAAGATGGACATCAAAAGGATACAACACCACACAAGCAAGGTAGAGGAAATTGTGTGCCACTAAAATTGACACGACACCGAGACGAAGCGGATGTCGAGACACCCAGCAGCTTTTTTATTGTAGGACAACTTTTGACTCGCGGCACCCATGGAATAAAGTAATTCAAGTGCCGGAGCTTCGAAGTGTCCGTGTGAACGTGAAATAATTTGCAGCTGTGAAGTAATTCGCAGCTCTTTCTGAAACATCTGATCACTTCCTGTTGATCCGACACAGACGGAATGTCGCCACGACACCCAGATCATCGGAGGGGTGGAGAGGCGGCAAAATGCGATGAAACCAAAACAAGCTTGAAAATGGTCATGCTGCAGGTCAACGCTAATCAACATCAAGCTGAATGAACAATTTACCGTCTCCTTCCGAAAAATCCGCAGCGAACTCGCCCAACTGGAATCTCCTTTCCTCGTCGAGCGCCACCACCACCTCCAGTAGTACCGCCTGCTTATGCAGTGCAAAAGGATTTTTGGACTAGCAGATATAGCATCACAAATTCGATCAGTATGAAAAGTGAAATTTGTAATGCGGGATTACCCTTGAGAAATAGATTTGTGATGCATGAATGCCGTAAACATAAATTAGTACTACGAGGAATCCGGTACTTTTGCACTGCATACTGCTCCTCCACGGCCAACGCTGCCCCGAGATCCCGGCTGGCCAGCTTATGCATTGCAAATCTGTCTGGGTCTGGAAACTTGTGATGCTGGGCGGCGTATCGTGAGGAGGCCACAAGTGCTGGAGCAACATGACAAGTCTCTGAGCTTCTAGGTGTTGCCTATTCTGCATGACAAACTGCGTCTCTGCATGACAGAAGAGTGGGGCTCTTGGGTAACGTCCATGACAGATTTAAGGGTCATGCCAGAGAAGCATGACAAACATGCATTCTTCCAGACCCAGACATATTTGCACTTGATACAGCTGGTCGCAACACAACTCGCACACTTCCAAATGATTCAGCTGGTACAGCAACGCGCACAGCTTCGACAAGTCGTCTGGGGGGGTATCATCCCTCACGTGCAGCAATTCCGCAACGTGGGACACGAGTTTCTTCTCGAACTTCTCGTACCGGAACCGCGGGGAAGAAGTTAATGCTTCGAAAACGACGTTGGTCTGTTTGATGTTTAAATACTGCAGCCTCCTTTGTATCCTCCCGACAAACGTGCAGAAAAATTGCGTATCGAAAAAGTCCGCTCTTGCGAAGGCCCGGAAAATGTAGCAAAGGTCCGGCTCGACAGTTTTCAAAGAGAGTTGTTGTGCCCGCCAAGAGAACTGTTCCCACATGTGCTGGTGTTTGATCCCGATGACGTTTTCAGTTACACATTTGTCTAGAATCACGGCGAGTGTCACTGCGTCCATCTGCTCCGTGTAGAGACTACCGCCACGCAAGTCGTATTTCGTGACATCTGGGAAACCCATGAATGTGGCTGGGGCTATCCTCCGCTCCCGCCACCACTCCTTTTCCCGGTGCTCCCGATGCATGGCGAACCGGTCCATCAAAGGTCGAGGTTGGCGAATCCGGTGGTTCTGCAGAGACCAGGATTTGCGGCCGACTGGGACGTAGAAACGGACTTGCTGCACGTGGTAATATGGCGCTTTGTTGAAGAAGCCGCTGACATGTTGAGATGTCGTCGAGCCGCTTGGGCATGAAGAACTGCTCAACGGACAATAATGAGAGCGGGTACTAGTGGTCGCTGACCTCCGCATGGCAAACGCAGAAGAGCTTGATGACGGCGCGTGGCTCGTCACACAAAGACGAAATCCGGGATCCAACGTCATGGTGATTAATATTCTCGCGGACTCTATTCAACAACCACAGATTGAAAAAACTTACCAGCAAGGGCAATCTTCACGTCGCGTCTCGCATGAGCAAAATGCCGCTGTACCCTCGTCACAGTGTGTCAATTACTAGGACTAAAGCAGTCCTTGTTCCCTAATCGGGTGGGCATCCGACCGATTGCAGCTGAGATGAACGATGAAAGAGCGCAGTGTTTTGAGAGACGAAACCGCACTCATGGAATCTGTAACATACCAATGTGGCACGAAGACGCGGGACAGAGAGATCCGAATGATCCGAAAGACTTCACCGAAGCTAAAGACAAAGCATAAGCGCGCTCCGTTCCTTTAATCCGGACGCTTCGTCGACAGCGCCGCCAGTTACCGATTTTCATCCGGAGAAGTGCTGTCTCAGCCTGTTGCCGCAAAGATGAATCTAACAAATGGCTTGCGCAGCGTCGATGTGAGCAGTCAACACGCCCTGAAATGTGAACGACAACACTGGGACATCAGTAACGATAAGGAACACTCTGCTCTCTTTTCCATTTAATACAAGCTGCACTCCTGCTCAAGCAACTGGGCAGCTCTGTTTCTTTTTGTTGTTGGTCCACCTAAAACATAGGCACTAAAAGTTTGTCCTCGGGTTAAAGTTCAGCATCCTCTTTCTTGGGAGAAAATCATTCTAGATCTAAATCCGCGAGTTTTCTCAGCAGACCTAAATCCACGAAGTTGTTCCCTCTCAATTACATCAACCAACATTCATAGTATGTTGGCGTGTGATTTCCTACAGTCCCTAACTTAGAAGAAGAATCCGACGATCTTTCCACCGGTGTGCTTGCGACGGGCCTCCTCGTGGGTGAGCATGCCGTAGGTGGTGGTGAGCACCAAGTGGCCGAACTGACGAGACGGAAGGATGTCGGAAGCCAGCTGTTCGATCTGGGAAAGAGTGACGTCGAAACGCGGGGAGATCACGCCGCACTTGTTCAACCGACCGTTGAGGTTGATCACGATCTTGCCCGCACGGTGGTCATCGACAATCTCGAAGTCACCGATGTACTCGTGCTTCTGCATGCACTGCAGAAACTTGACGATCACCTGTAGGGAGTAGTGGAATTTAAAAATGTACGCGTTTATGTATTGCAAGGTAGGAAATGAACTACGAGTTCAATGTCACAACAACTCATTCTCTTGTTTCTCTCAGCGACCGATGGCAGCATGTTGGCGCAGTCGGGATCGTGGTTCCTATCTCACAGATCTAAAGATGGCAGACCGCATGCGAATCTCTGCTTTAAAACTTAATCTCCTTCTTCAACTTGTCATGCAAGGAAACAGTTACAAATGGAATTTGTGATGCGAAAAACGACTATACCTTGGAGGACGGCTTGATCAGGACCTGGCGCTTTCCCCGCTTTTCGGCGTTCACGATGCTGTTCAAGCAATCGTTCAAGACGGATACCTATGGATTGTAAAAGTGTCTGGGTCTGGAAGATTGGAACTTGTCATGCTAGCTTTCCATACCTAGAAAATCTGTATTGCATAACCAACAAAAGTCGTAGCCTTCTTTGTCGTGCAAAAGCGCAGTTTCTCATGCGGATTGCCTATGAGAAAGCGTTTTGGAAAGTTGTCATGCCGGACTGCATTCGGAAGCGTTTTTATTATGCACATTTTAGCATCACAAGTTTCCAGACCCAGACATTTTTACTATCCATAAAACCTTCACCATTTTGTCTGAGGATGGTGTGGCCTACTGATGTTTTGTGGACCGTAAACTTATCGTTTCCCTGTGTGAAAAAATGATAAAATGAAAGATAGGATAAGGATCGTGAGGTTTCAATTTAAATATGGACAGTACATAGAATGATCGTCAACCTACTGTACTATGCGTTCCATTTCGCGTGCGGTAAAGATCTTTAAATTTTTGGATTTCCTTTTGAGATCTGGATGGTACTATTGCTCAAACTTCATCTTCTTTAGATCACTCGCATTTGTTTCATCGTTCCTTTGGATCTTGGATTTCGTCATTTCGACCTTTATTCTCTTTCATCATTTACATTTTCGTCTTTCCTTGATCCCTTCGACCTTGATTTCGAGGGAGATCTGTGTTGACAATTGAAATTCTGTGGTCCTGGCGAAGCGAGACGATTCTTCGGCGCAGATCCGTTCTTGCTCTTCGACTTGCACTTAGATCGTGATCCGTTTGTCACAAGTATGGAATTTAGAATCATCAGCATCTTCAGAACCTTCAACATCTTCCTCTTGTCTTTCCACGATTTGGAAACCAAAATACCAATTTATGCCTTCAAGACCCAGCATGATCGAGATCTGCCTTATTCTCTGCTGTCCTCGCTCAACAAGGAGAAGGACGTCATGAACGCCCGGAGAATAAGTACCACTAGAGAAACTCCAACATCGAACCGGCTTCAAGAGGTTTTGAGCCTCGGCCAGCTCACCTCCGCTGTCAGGCTGAAAGCACCTGGAAAGTGGAAGTGCCAGATATGACTACTCTTTGCGCGCGTGCTTTTGCTTATCATTCATATTTTGAAATTGCGTATACTGGTCAACGAACTTTAGCCTTAAGCTCCTGGCTCATCGAGTTTAGAAAATTTAGAAAGCACATGATGTGCTGTTCGTCAGCTTCGTACTACTTTGAAGTTGAAATAAATGGACAATGCCAGCAGAAGACAACTGTGTCGGAAAGAACTATACTCCCTTCACTTCTTCGCCCCAACCTTCTTCACGACGACCTTTTTCGACGCTTTCCCCCCACCTTTTCCCTTCCCCTTCCCCTTTCCGGATGACCCGCCTCCACTTTTCCCCGCCCCCTTTTTTTCCTTTTGACTCTTCAGCCACTTTTTCGACCGCAACAGCTGCCGTTGCTCTTGACTAGTGAGTGTTTTTAACGCCTTCTTCTTCATGCACTGCTTCACGCGCTTTCCCAAGGAGACCTTCTCGGACTCGATTTTCTTCTGTTGTTTCTTTTTTTCCAGCTCTTCCGCTTCCTCAACTTTGGAGAACCGTAATTTCCGCTCAGAAATGATTATCTCCTCCTTCGATTTAATCAACTTCGTCGCACTCGCCCGGTCGTCGAATTGGACGAAAGCGAAGCCTTTGGAAAACTGCGTGGTACTGTCGCGGACGATCCGGGTCTTCGTGATCGTCCCGAAGGGGGTCAGTTTTTGCTCCAAAGCGTGCTCGGAGAGGGAAACGGGAAGATTTCCGACGAAAACAGATTTCTTGCGGGAAAATTCGCCTGTGAGCTGGGAAGATTTTTGCGTAGTTGAGCTGCTGCCATTATTTTGTGCGGAATCATCTTCTGCAGCTTTATCTGGTTTATCCTCATCCCCCTTCTTGCCCTTCTTCTGCGTTTTAGATTTTTTTGAGGAATCATCTGTTCCCACACGCTTCTCGTTCACATTCTGCTGCTCAGGCTTCACCAGCGGTTCTGCGACACATCGGTGTTCCTCGTCAAAAAATTCTCCGTTGATTTTCTTCGCCAGCTTCTCCATCAACGGCAAAGCCTCCTTCCGCAAGACTACATACGCGTTTTTGCTGCTCCCGTGCTCCGCGTACGCCTTCGTTGCGTGCGCCGCGCGGCGGTTGTTCACGAACTTAGCGTCCACCGGGAGGGACCGGAAACGGAGGCATTCAATGCGCAGGAGCAGGTCGATAATGACGGGAATAGTAGTTGTAGTACTACATGATGTGGCACCTGGTTTCATCTCGACTTTGTCACTACCAAAAGCAGGAGTCGCACTCGCAGCTGCTGGCCGAGTTATTAAGTTGTATTTCTCGATCACTCCATCGATCTTCCGTTGTTGCTCCGCATCCCACTTAAGTCGCGGATCCAGCTCGTGCCGCGCCTCGCCGGAGGCTGGCGTAGCTGCCGGCTCGTAGTCTTTGAGTGGGTCTGCTCCTCCGACCAAGAGCGATTCCCCATCCACGGCCACAATCGGGTCGCCGAAATGCTCGGAAGACTGGAAGCAGTGATACACATGTGTTTTCGACGGATCTTCTGTATCGCGGTCCTCGCACGTCTTGATGTGTAGATCTTGTTTTTGGATAGTTTGCTCGACTGCAGCGGACCGTATCTGGGTGGTGAGGAACTGCTTCAGCTGCTTGTCCGTCCAGGAGAGGGGGATCTGGGAAATGTTTTGAAAATGGATATTTAAAGAGAAGATAGTGCGGCTGCAGAAAAAGTAGCTTTCAGACCACTGATTTCAGGCCACGAAGCACACTATCAAATATGAACTACTTACTCGTCGCTAGTATGCGAGTGCGAGCTGACACTCGGAAAATCTAAATCATCATTTTGTTGAAGTACGTGCCCCACGAACAGCGTTCGCTTGTTGCGCTCCTCCTCGGATTCGGCTGTGATTGTTGGCCCGGCAGCGCCCTGCAATCCGTCTTCTGCTGTCCCGGCACCGCTACCATCAGCTCTCTGCTGCTGCTTTTTCTTCCCCTTTTTCGATTTTGCATCCACCACGGCATTGCCCCCAAGTAGCATTTTTGCCACGTCGCCGTCTTTTACGTTAGGGTTAGCTGCCACAACATCGACTTCCCGTGCCTCCCTCTTTCCGTCACGCTGAAACTTTCGGACGGCCTGGAGTGCGGCCTGCAGCTTCTGGGCATTTTTCTTCTCCATCTCTGCGTCCTTGATAACGTGGTCCTTCTTGTTGATCGGTTTTGAAGAAGAAGATGCAGAGGGCTTAGAACCGCCACTGATCATGGCGCTTCTACCAGTCTTCGTTGGAACTTGGACATTTTTGTCATTGCCCGACGTGGACTTTGATGAAGTCCTTCCTGAACCCCCGAAGATACTCGCCAAACCTGTTTTCTCCTGCTCTGCGCTTTCGCCAGCGCGCGCGCTGATCAAATCCGCAAGGCCCATGGTTGTGCAGTGGTCGTTTAGATTCTTGTTCTGTGACGCCGATGTATGATGGTTCTTTAGGTTTAGAAGAACTGATTCCAAGAATGGTGTTGTTGATTTTTAGTAGCTCCGAAAACCGCACCAAATTCACCTGCAATTACGAGACAAATTATACGTTGACATATGAAACGCAATCCGCGCCAGTGAAACGTCTGGCGCAACCTGTGCGCGTGCCGCTTGTTCTAGAACAATTCTCACAACCACGACTCCGAGGACGAGTTGTAGTTCTAGCACCTCAGCCAAAAATTAGAAGTGCTGCTCCCAGAGGTGGCGATCTTCGCAATTGATCGTCCATTTTTTCGAACGGCTGCATTTTATCGAAGTTTTTGCCGGCGGGATCAGATCTACAATTTCGTAGGATCTCAACAAGCTGATCCTCTGGACTTGATTATGATTCCGCTATCGCTACTTCAACACATTACTGGATCGGTGAATTTAAATTCGGGAGACGAGAGCCAACGGAGCCGAACCAACTTCTTCTCGGTCGACAGCAGTGCCGCGGCGGCCTTATTTCGAAGCCCCACTACGACTCTTTCCCTCAACCATGTGATGTGCAGCAGTGACAGCATGTAAGGATTATGCGTCATGGTATCGTATCTATTGTACACAAAGCAAAAGCTGCAAAAGAAGTCGGAAACACAGAGTCAGAGCGCCTACGTGTACGCCCATCCGAGTTGATTTGCAGTGGAATTTTCATATCTTTTTACGTTTATCGCGACAACCGATGTCACTCGGGCTGCGGTAGAAGGCAGGACTGGCTTGCAACGACGTTCTTGACTTCTCTTCCGGTGTTTTCGCAAAAATCCTCGCTCGTCCTCACCGTAAATTGAACTTCGGGGTCGTTGGCAGCATATAGCGTCGCCTTCTAAAACAAGGAGGCACTTCTAGCGAGCTCCCGTCTCTTCGACGCACGGACCGGACGCTGCTGCTCGCGCAACTCCTCAGGTTCCTCTTCCAGCTCACGACGCTGTCGGGCCAATCAAAGCGCAAAAAAACTTATTATCATGCCTGTCCATGTAAGTAAGCTAATTGTTTGCAGCGTGGTCTTATGATTATCCGTGATTATCTTCTTTGAGAATTACTCTTTCTGAACAAGAAAGCAGTCGGGGGCGTATCAAAAAAATTCGTGCTCCGCATCTTCAAAACTTCGAACCTAGTCGACACGAAAGAGCGGTGAGAGCTGACTCAGGAGAGCGCTCATATCAAAAATCACTCACTCCCGCGGTTTCCGAGCCATTACTCCCACTGGGACGTCCCAGCTCGCTCACCAACGTCGGCGGGTAGAGTCCCTCCCAGACGGTCTCGCCGTTGGCAGCACGGAGAACTCTTGCGGGACCGAAAAGGGGGCGGAAGAATGGCAGCCAGTGCTGCTGAAGTTTGGGTCGAGGTTCTAAATGCTCCCAACAACCGATGTCCCACGTCCCTCGTCCTGGCAGGTGTCTAACGCTGGCACTCTGGAAGTAACACGACTTGGGCTCCAGGCTCCTTGTGAGATCCACATTGAGAAAATGCTCGGGCACTTCCCGCCCGATTAGATCGGTTAAGCCAGCACTCACCAGCAGGGAGAAGATGTTCGTCGTTGGCACGCCAGCATTGGCTGCGGCTTTGCAGGTCTGCAGAAAACGACCTCGGTCGCGAGCGCACAGCTGCGCTTGTGCCCGTACATCCATGGGCGCTTCCCAGCCTTGGAATTTCTGGGAGCTGAACCACATGTACTTCGGTACCAAAACGTTAAACAAATCCAGCCAGTTCTCCTGACTGCCGTAAACTTCTGTATCCGCTGGCGCTGCACCATTATGCTGCAACTGCGTCATCACATCCTGCATCAAAGGAACGGAAGCTACGCCCGCCCGTGCCCATGCGAGAGGAATCGCACAAGCCACCTTGTCATCCGCATCACGCAGCTCCTCACCCTCTTCCTGAGGCCACCGAGGATGTACCCCCGGGAACGGACCATAGTGAACCTTCTTTTCGACCCACTCTCCGCGGAGGATCGCGCGCTGGTCCCGCAGGGCCAGAAACACGTTTCGATTCTCCTGCGTCTCGGCCCGAGTTTTCCAGTACTGATAAAGAATCATGGGCCCATCTGAACGTTGTCCGATCGGGGTGTAAACGGAAAACGGCGAAGCCGACGCCGAGGCGGAGGATGAACTTGAAGGTTGTTCTGCAGCTGCAACGCCAGCTGCCGGAACATGCTCGCCGCGCCCGTTGGTCGTTACAGTTTCCGTTCTCTCAACTCTCTTGCACATCAGCAGCCCCGCCATAGCTTGAGTAGCAAACGCTTGAGCCGTACCCCCTTGCATGGGGGGATAGAACCCGCCCTCGTCCCTGGCAAGGAACGGAAAATCGGTCCCAGCACTTCGCAGTTGACTGGGTAGCTTGTCGGCGATTCGCTTTGCGGCCCTGGATTCGAATATCCGTGCGGCATACTCATGCTCAACATTTATTTCGGTCGTTGCAGGCCGAACAGACGAAGACACTACTACTCCAAGGAACGTAGATAAGTAAAAAACCGCCAATCCCATGATCGGCCTGCGCATTCGGCGTTCCAAAAACATGCCCATTTTTGTTCAGTTCCACTGCATGCGACAAAACGATGAATCGGATTCAAAGGGATAGATCTGACAGCAACACTTAGACTAGGTCTTGGTCGTGGATGTCGAAGATTAGTAAAAAGGCCAAAAACAATACAAAAAAAGGTGTGCAGACTGATGCTGCTTGCGACAAAATCGAAGGTAAAGGTAAATCTCGACTTGATCCAAAATGGCTACACAGCCTGCAGATATATACGGTAAAGAAATATGAAACGCAATCCACCACGCCAGTGCAACGTCTACTGGAGCACAAGTGCGCGCGTCAATTCTATAAATAATTTCCATCACCACTTCAAGGATGAGTTCTCAACGTTCACGGTGAGTAGTTGTAGTACTCCAGCTTCCAAAAATTGATCGCACAGATCGCAATCACTGATCCATTTCGAGCGACAACATTTGACGGGTTCTTGTTCTTTGTCGGGATCTACAATTTCGCACAGCTACGCAAGGCTTCTGACCTTGAAACTGAACCTGAATCTGATTTCGCTAGTTCCACACATGAGATCGGTAAAATCTAAATTTAGATTTGGGCGATGAGATGAGCCTCCGACGGAACCGAATCATACTTCATTATTTTGGAACGACAATGCAGTGGCGGGGGCGGCTTTTCAGGATTGCGCTACTATTTCTTTGAAAAGATAACATAAGTGTCGAATCTTGTTGGGACTTGCTCCTTGAAATACGAACCGACTCTGTAAATGAGCACGACACACTTGACCAATGATTCCGATCAGAACTCACTGCGAACAAGCGAAGAAGGAAACGAAACCGAGCCTCGCGACGAGGTCAAGACAACGTCCGTGAGGACAAGAGAACGTAATGTGGCGAGTTTGACATTTTTCCGCGCCTCCGAAATCTATTTCATGATGCACTTCGAAAACCTTCCGCAATGGACGGACCCCGTGCGGTTATGAGAAAAATCAACGACGTCGGCTTGCTATGAACCGCAAAAGTATCGCACTCGGATAGATGCATTACAAATTAAGAAAAAGATTTGCAATGCATGACTGCAATACGAGTGCATTACTTTTGCAATTCATACTTGCAGCGATGCCCGCTCATCCCGCTCGCGCCCGCCGTACTGCCGTCGGAAGTGGTCGCGCTGGATGAAACCGTCACGAGTTCCTGCGCTTTCGTTAACACGTGCAAGGGCAAAGTGGTGCTTTCCTCCGGGCTTAGCCGAAGGGAAAACGTGGTTATCCCGGACCTGCCGAACCAGGTGACCAGCGTGATGTCCGCAAAATCGCGGCTGGCCAACAACCGCAACAGCTGCGAGTCCGGCTTTTCCAAGCCGAGGCATTTCAAAATCAGCATGCCCTCCAGCACGGTGGAATCCTATCCACTGCAAAAGAATCGGAAGTAGCCCCACTCATGGCGTTCATGCATATACAGATATCTGTCTGTTTTTTTACCATTTTCAGCATTAGAAACTTTTGTTGTTTGAAAAAGTTTGTCATGCGATTTGTACTACATACGATACTTTTGTCATGCATAGATCCTTGCTGAGCTTGATTTCCAATTTGAGCTCGTCACTATTCTCCGGAAAAACGGATAGCCCGAGGGCCGACACGTGGTGAACCTGCATGGCGTTTTTTTGTTTTGGGACTACCGTGGTGGACCTGCAAGACAATTTTTTTCCTAAGGTAAATCCGCATTACAAATTTGAATTTCGTTTGTAATGCTGTAATGCAATCTATACTAGTACGATACTGCATAATCTTCTTACAAACATATACCGCAACTTCCGGCTGCAAGCAGTACTGATGCAGCGAATCCAGCTCTGCGCAGTGCGGACAAAGCAGCATCACCAGGTCCCAGGACAGGTCGCCATGAAAGGTCACGCCGGCGTCAATCGAGTGCGCCAGCGTCTCGTCTTCTTCCCCAGGCGACGTGACGTCTAACTGGTCCACTTCTTGTTCGGCGCGTAGTCGTGTGGTCTCTGCTGCGGCTGGGACTTGGCCGGGCGGTTTGCTGGTAGTTGTAGTACCATCCCCCGTTTGTAGTTGCACTTCTAGCCCCTGCACTTCCACCTGCTCGACGTCGATGGTCTTTACGGTTTCCGGGGAGGCAAGAAGGGACGACGCGGCTGCGTTCTGCGGGAAGTCTGATAACCTGCACCAGGTGGACAAGTGGGTGACTTCCTGTTCGTGTTCTTCAAACAGAGCTTGTAACCGGGACAACTGCGGGGCTTGCGGTATCCTACAGTCCTGCATGAAGGCAAGCGCTTGCTCGAGCATGTCTGTTGAAGTGTGAGAGGAAAATGCGTAGGTTTTTCTTTCAAGTTTCCTACGTCAGAACGCGTATTATCAGAGAGAACAAGGGTGCCGTGTGTTTCATACTGGCATTCTACAACTTCTAGGGAGGACAATTATGCCTTCGAGAAGATGAACAAGCCTGCTGTCTTTACATCAAAAAACCCTAACCCTTCTATACCCGTCTCCCCCTTCGCACACAAAACTTCATGCTCGTAGCCACCAACGTCCCGCACGGCTGCATGGGATCCTACGGCGCAAGAATCGTCAAATGCTTCGGCCCAGTGGTGGAAAAAATCTGCCTGTTTCTCGTGCGCAGTTTTGCTGACAAAATCCGAGCTGTGCTCAATCGTGAGGGCGCCCCACGTCTGCTGCGCACGTGGCGTGTGCTCCGCGACGGGCTTCTTTCTCCAAATTCGCAGCGTGATCGTCTTCACCAGGGGGATGGTTGGCGTTGGATGTTGTTCCTGTGAAGAGGCCTGTTCTCCTGGTGCACCAGGGGAGTTTGTTTTTATTTCCTCATCTTCGTTGCATATCAGCACTTCCAGCTCCGCCTTGCAATCCGAAACTGCTATTTCGTCCATCGTGATGATCACGTCACCGGTCTCCAGCCCCTTCATTCGTGCCCACTTGTGGGTTTGCTATCAAGTGCAAAAATGTCCGGGTCTGGTAGATTCTTACATTTGTCATGCATGTCTGACATGACTCGAGAATTTGTGATGCATGGGCACGAAAAAACTCTCCTATCTGTCATCCAAAAACGCAGCTTCTCATGCGGAACACGCAACACATAGCAGCTCAAAAATTTGTCATGCTGGGTTGCGTATTGCAGTCCGGCTATCATCCACTTTTTGCATCACAAGTTTCCAGACCCAGACATTTTTGCATTTGATATTTGCCTCTCCACTTCGATCTCGACGCCGTTGCCCACATATCAAATGCATATGTGTCTGGGTCTGGAACTTTGCTAGACTTGTCATGCAGGTTTTCCATGACCCATATGATCTGTAATGGAGGACCTAGCATGACGGATTCCGTGAGATCACTATCATGCCTATCCTGCATGAGAAACTGCCTCTCAACTTGATCAAAATTGGACAGCATTTGGGAATCACGCAACACAGATTTTTGCATGATTCAGATTTAGCATGACAAGTTCCAACCTTCCAGACCCAGACATTTTTGGAGTGCATACCACATTCCGATCGGAGTTCAGGACCAGGTTGCAGAGCGGGGTGCCTCGGGATTTCTGCACTTCGGCGGTGCGAACTTCGACTTCGAATTCTGTGTAGTCGTCCGGGACTTTGACGCGGTTCTCCACTTGCGGAGAGTCCGCGGACTTGGAACCGCAACAAGCGACCATGTTTTGTTGCTCGTTTCCTACTTGTGAAACGACGTTTAGCAATTTTATCGAAGCAGTAGCAGTAGACACAGAAGTACCAAGAAATTCATCTAAGTTCACCGAGAAGGAACTGCGGACAACTGCTCACTCTTTTGCGGTGGCTCATCACTCTCCAGTGCTCCTCCTTCCTAACTTCGACACTTCTCCCGCCGCTCGCTCCGCCTGACTGCGACCACGCGTGCCGCTGTTGAGCGCCGTGTCGTATTCATGTTGGCACCTCCAGAGGAAAGTCGAACATAACGGAAAACGGGAAGCGAAAGCCACATCTTCCTCAAGCCCGCGGCCCGGGCGATCGTGATCGAAAATGTCGTCGGTTGGTACTATTCTAGATGCTTTCATCGTTTTTCTTTCCTGTCCAGTATGGTCATTGTCCTTTGTAGGAGCAAATGCAAAATCTTCCATCATGTTTTTGTTCGATCATGATTTGCTTGTTCTTACACCTCCAGTGGGCAAATTCTTGTAAGCACATGTACAAGGCAACATGGGTATCAAGCTACGCAGCTGAGATGACGTAAATTACATGCGAATCATAGTTGTATATCAATTTTAATATTTTCGTGTTTAGTGTTTGACGTACACGTAGACGTACATCATTGAGGACGGTGCATTATGCGATTAATTTTTCATGTCGTCCATCGAACAAGGCTGACGTAATCCATCGGTCAGCCCAATCATGATGATGTTGTTGCAATGTCAGTTGAGAAAGATATCATGTTAAAAATTCTCTACGGCGTAGCTCTACGGTTTAATATTTTTCTCACGAACCACTCGGAATTGCTGTACGTGAACGTGCTTCATCTGCGCCCGGTCACCTGCGACGTCGAGAATGATCTGCTCTTTTCTGCCACCGATCGTCGTTTGAGTTTGCCTTCCCCTACTTCCCTCCGCACCAAATCGTCTCGCAGCGTCCAAAGTACTACTTAGTTTGTGACACCCGCTGGTGCAGCAGCGCCGCCGAAGGGGTTCTCATTGTTCAAGTTGGTCCAGCTTTTGTCCCGTTTCGTGTTCACGTACATGTCTTCATACGGTGGGCTGTACGGCGGAAGCGGTGTGGCCAGGTATCGGCTAGCCGGGGACGGCATGGGAGAGGCTGTAGAAGTACGCGGAGTGGGAGTTGTGCGAGTTTTTATCAATTTTTCTGTGATAACTACAACATGCTGCCGTGCTTGTTTTTATTGTGACGATCATGATGCGAATGCCGTTGCGAAATAAATAACACAGAAATATTCATCGAGAACAACTACCGACAAAGCTCGCCAAGTCCTTCTCGTCTTCGGGGTACAGGGACGGAAACGGCAGTGTGAGGAGCCCCCCGTAGATGCACTGGCCGCAAATCAAAGTGACGAACCCCACCGCCTGCAACCAAGAGTAGTCGTTCCAGAGCTCGCCGAATTCCGCGTACTGCGCGGGCGCGAAATAGGTGATCGCCAGGTCGATGCCCCACACCAGCGCCGTCCGGCTGGCGTCAATCATCGTGAAGTGGACTGCGGAGAGACTGCTGGTGACCAGCATTCGAGCCACGTTGTAGGTGCAGCAGGAACAGAGGTAGATCTGTAGTTTGGAGTGGTAGCTTTGCTTTTGCTTTTTGTGCTTTATGAATATGTTTCATCGCTCTTTCATGACGATCAAGATGAACAACATACACACGGTAAGTAGATGGACATGGATCTCAATAGGGGATGATCTGCTGCAAAAACGACCGAAACATCAAAAAGAAAAAACGTATACCGCCAGCATGGTCTGGAGTCCCAAGGAGTTGCTGAGCATGGTGAGGGTGTCTATTGTGTTTTCTTGCACTCCGCCGACATCCGACCCCGGCAAGACTTCGCACAGGGGGAAAACAAACAAGAGCATCACCAAGCAGCCCCACACGCCTTCGTAGCCGACCAGTGTGAAGCAGCCCATTTCCACGTTCTTCAAAAGTCTTTCCTCAGCCACACACTGCGCAGCCTGCAGGACCTGTGCCGCCATCACAAAAGCGACACCGAGCGCGGCGGCGTTGTTGCCATCAGATGGTGCTGTAGCCGTGGTTCCGGTGCTGGCGTCGGCCTAATAGAGTTGTTCTTTTGCGACTTTAGTATTCTCATCCGCCCCATGCAAAAACAAAAAGTAGCAAAATGATGAAAAGTTATTTAGCAATACTAGCAACACAGATGACTGAAGAATACTCCATGCGCGATCTGTGCCAGCATGCGACACAAAAATCTTCTTGAAATGTAGATTTTATGTGTACCGGCTGATTCGATCCGTCCGACCCGTCCCCACCGAGCACGGAGGCTGCGCCGACGCAGGAAATGCCCAGCTATCAAATGCAAATATGTCTGGGTCTGGAAATTTGTGATGCTAAAACAACCGCACCGACATTGCCATTATCCATTATCACTGGGGAAGCAAGCCTCCGCAGGCGCTGGAGCGGCATAGGGTCAGAACCGCGAAAACATCGCGAGTATTTCTTCATCCCCGGGCACTCATATTTTTTTCAACCATACTTTGCGCTCACAACTGTAATAGAAGCAGACAGGGAATCCGTGATTGGATTACACAGACCCCCAGAAACCTGCTATACAATGAGATCAATGTATGGAAGCTAACAGACCCAAGCCGTATGATGATCTCGTAGATCTACAGCAAGGGCGTTTTAGAGCTTCCACGCAGTGCGACTACAGGACATAGATGCGGAAATTGAAGAACTGCGGCCCTTTCTGTGGACTGGGGGGGACGAGAGACCTTTGCCGGGCTCTGGCGTGTCCTTGCAGCTGGTCTGTCCGCCGCGCCACTCGTTCCCTCTACCACTTCGCTGGATGTCGCCGCTGGGGCAAATGCTTGGGGCCGAGGAATTTGCAGCAACACTTCTGTTGTTGAGTGCCCCTACACATCTGTTGTTGAGTGCTACGGGAGTAAGCCGCCTGTTGGGCTTACTGCTGAAAATTCCTCTAGCCCTGCCGCATTTGAGGAGACTCCTACCGTTCCATTCCGCTCTGTGGTAGCCGACTTTGCTCGCCTCCCGGATTGCGGTTGTACGGCACGACTACTATTTACCGCTCCTCAGGACACCCGCAGGACGGTAAACGGCGACGCCGCGAACATGGAGAAGTTGCTGCCCATGTCCGTCAGGCTAAGCGAGGACCTTGCTGCTGCGCAGGATGGTGCGTGGACGACTGCTGCAGGATTCAGGCGCCGTGTCCGGGCGGGGAGGAGGTCATTTTTAGGAGGGGTACTCGGCAGCACGGGGCGCTGGTTCTGAGATCTCGGCTACCTAGTGTAAAGGGGGGGCCTGAGATCTAGTAGGCTACTATAAAGGGGGGCACAGCGGACCCGCCACGCTCGGGTGTTTATCTACTTCTTTCGAAACTCCTCTTCAGGGAGTCGGGGGAGGTACCGACGTGGTGTCAGTGGTGGTAAAATGATTGTGAGTCATCGCATCTACTCTACGGCATAGCTCCCCCTATTCTAGATTTGTTGGATCTCAGGCAACAAGGCAAAGCCTTGAGCCAAATGCAGAGCGCTTTCGCACACGAACTCCGAATGCGAAACTGCGTTTTTGTACGACATGAGAGGCTGCAACTTTTGTTGGTCATGCAATACAGAACTCACTGAAATGCAGCAACCGCATTACAAGTGCCAACTTTCCTGACCCAGACATATTTGCAATGCATACCAGCACGCACACAGCAATTCCGAGCCAGTTGAACCCGTACATGCGTCGCTTCAGGAACAGGATCGACAGAAAGGCGGAGAACACGATCATGCTGCCGCGGAGCATTTGCCAGACAGACGCGGAAATGTACAGCAGGCCGATGAAGTTCAGTCTATCCTGAGGAAAAACGTCCCCATCCTATAGTAGTTGTCATGCAAATTTGCGATTACAGGAAGTAGATTTGCAATGCGCATCTCCATGAGAGGCATTTCCAATTGCGTTTTGGAATTTGTAATGCTGTAAACAGGATAAGAAGATGGATCATTTGTGATGCGGTTGTCCTTGCTAACAATAACACGCACTACACTACGGACTGCAATTTGTCATGCGTGGCTCCCAAAACCTCTGGATTTGTCTTGCTAAGTTCCCAACTCGACCATGGGGTCGACGTGGGGACGTTTTCAGATATGATACAGTCCGGAAGAAACCAAGTCTAACACCGCCGGAACTCCGACCGCGAGAAAGTCTCGGTACTTCTTCTGCTGCAGGGCCTGATAACGAGTCAAGTTACGATGTGGATGTTGCGTGACAGGCTGCAACGAAAATACAGCAGTCACAGTGATAATTGTGATAGTGATCAGCATCTAGATCGTGCATGACAAACATCCTTCCATACCGTCCGCGGTGATTGTCCGCCGAGCAAAGGTATCAAATGCAAATACGTCTGGGTCTGGAAGGATCCGAACTTGTGATGCGAGTTGCGGATCATGCAAAGATCTGTGCTGCATGACTGGTAAGAGGTGCTCACTTCTGGCCATGCTATCGCATCGCTTTGACATTTGACTCCTGTCAGGGTGGCGTTAGAACAGATTTAGCCTCTGCCAATACCGTGGCGTTAGAACAGATTTAGCCTCTGCCAATACCCCTAGGCGGACACCCGTTCCACTTCCTACAGGTACCACCCGACCGCATCCGCCGAACCGTTTGCGATTGCTTACGCGTGAGTACGGCCAGTGGGCGCTAGATGTGGCTGACCTGATTTACCATCCAAGCCCGCGAGCAAGGTGGAGCTCCAGTGTTGCCTTGTTGGGTTATTCTTACAAACTTTGAACACTACAGCTTCTGTGGTCGGTTGCGCGCTAGATATACAGGGGGTCTATTGGTCACACACGTTGACCCTATCACGATGACGGGCAACCCCAAAGCATGCCCCTTTCAAGCACTTTACCGACCTGCTTCCGCGCACCCTTTTTATGCGCATAGGTAGAGTCGGACTCTGAAGCTCCGCGATAGCAGAGCCGCCACCGCGCCCGCCCCGGGGGGCCCCTTGGGGAAGGGGGGTGCTGCCTTAGCGCAGTCTTTAACTTAGCAACCCTGTTTCTACCTACTAGTAAAAGGGACGCAATGACGACGACGGGATAGCAGCGCCGTGCCTATCGGCTGGCGAGGACGAGATGATTAGCAGCGCCGTGCCGTTCAGCTGGCGGAAACGGAGCCCTTGCAGGCTAGCTGTGACGACCAAGGGAGCCATTTTCTTTCTTCTCTTTCTTTTTCTTTCCTCTGCTTCCTCTCCCCTCCGCCGACGCCCAGAACACTGCGCCCCCATTATGCGTCCTTCTGTTTCGTTCTCTGTTCTCTTTCTTTTCATCATTTTTGAACATTTCCTTCATCATTATTTCTCAGCGCATGTTCCTATACATCTGGGCTAACTCATCTTGTAGTGGGTTTTCATACTTCAGTCCTTTCATGGATCTCCTTTCTTCCTGCCGCTTGCGCTCCTCTTCCCGCTCCGCTGCCTCTTCGCGGTCCCGCTTCCGGTCCCTCTCGTTCAGCTCCTTCAGTGTTGGGAATCTTTTTTCTTCCTTTTTCTCTTCTTTTACCATCTCTGTTTCGCTTATATCTTTAGCGATTTTCTTCTTCAGTCCTCCAAACCCCCCTTCTCCGCCTGGCTCTGCTGCTTCTCGTGCTGTCGCTTCTGTTTCCTCCTCCTTTTCCGGCACTTGGCGCACTTGCTGCGTGTTCTTCTCGTGTCGCGTCGCATCGCCTGCGACTTCTTTGCTCGCTGTTTTCTGCTCTTTCGAGACTTCCCTCTTGGGCAGTTTGCCTCCTGGCCCCCCTATCGTAATTCTTTGAAACATCTCCCGCGTTGCCTCCTCCGGTCCTTGATCCTTATAATACCCCATGCCAAAGAGAGGGTATTTCTCATGCAGAATAGGCATGATCACGATCACGAAGGGGCTGCAGAACCTGTCATGCTAGACCCTGCATTCCAGACTTGGTGGAGCTTGGATCAACTGCATCAGAAGTGTCGGAATCTTCCGGACCCAGACGTTTTTGCAGTTGATAAAAGGGGTCTCGCGGTCAGGCTCAGCGCCGCCCTTTCCTTTGCTGCTGCTTCCATTCACTATTTTGTCCACACCGAGGACCTGAATTTTTATAGCGATAGTCGTCATGATGTACATCTGATTTTTTGCATTTGTCATGCCAATGATCACGGGGTTTTGAAGGTGGTCATCATGATGCTATGCACGGCGACGACGCTTTGACGTTGTGTCGTGTGGCAAAAAAAAAAAATCTAAATTCCCACTTACCCCGACCATGGCCGCGAACATGGCAAAATTGCCCCACCAAGGTTTCTGAAAGTGCTTCGCCAGCCCGTCCTCGCCCACCGCAGACATCGAGAACTGCCATTTCGTTGTCAACGTGTTCAGGGTCCCGAAGACCATGAGAAAAAGGATGTACCCCGCAACGACCAACATGGTATTCTGATTTTCTTTTCGTCCACAGAGTCTATCAAGAGGTGCGGTCGTTGTCCTCCTATCTTCTACCTAATGGTACTAGTTCTAGTTGTGTACAAGGCCGCGATCTGGATGTCCAGCTTCCTCCAGCTGAACTACAATTACAACTTGAACTTTCCTTTTAGATCAAAAAACCTTAAGCTACCAGCTTCTACTAGCGCTCGCTTTCTCTTTTTGCTTTTTGCGTCGCCTCTCGTCCCTCGTCCACCTCTCACTACGCAGCATTGCACTCGAAAAAATCCTCTACGCAAGCCGCTTCAATGACAAAGGTCAGAACCAGAAGCAGCTCTAAAATAAATCGGTGTCGTGGTTTGCCGTTCCCTCAGCCTGTAAGGGCCGCGCTCTTCCAGGAAGCCTCCGTGCAGTAGAGGATGTTGAAGGTGTCAAGAACAAAATTTTACGTCGGCGCACAAGAACTCGCATGAGCAGGAGAAAGAAGATGCGAACAAGAATTATGTGAGCCAAGGACTAGTGTCGTGCGAGCTTTATTGTCCTCATCTTCCATCTTCCCATACTCCGGCTATTTATTCAAAACAGCTTCCTGCACCTGCGCCTATGCAATGCAAAAGCATCGTACTAGTATAAATCGCATTACAAATTGACCCAGCATTACAAATTGAATTTGTAATGCTGATTTGCCTTGAGAAAGAGATTTGTAATGCATAAATGCAATTAGTACGAGTGCGATACTTTTGCAAAGGATAGCGCCCAGGTGAACTCGATGTTTCGCGTATCAAAAGGAAAAATCCCCCCTCCCCATATCGAAAAGGAAATCTGTGATGCTGGACTTGCGTACACAAATCAGCCTTGTCTTGCAGTAGAGGACGGCACGCAGATCGCCAGCTTAGATAGGGGCCTTTTGGTGTAGGCGCCTAGTATGGTAGACGGCTACCCCGTAGTCCATACAGCATTACAAATCGCCTGCATGGCGTGGCAAAGCGCCTGGGTTTGCCTTCTCGCAAGACAGACAGGATTTCTGGCCACTAATCTGCATCACAAATTTTCATAAGATACGTTTTCAATATGAGGAGGGGAGATTTTTCTCCACAATATCGCGCTTTCTCGGAAAGCGTTTCCTCCATCTTCCGTAACACCCCGAGGTCGCGCGTCTGCGGCAGCTTGCGCTTCAATTTTAGCAATTCAACTTCCTGTTCTTTCTGTCGGATCTGGTTTTTCAGCTCGACAATTTCTGAGTCGTCGTCGTTTTTGTCCTCCGCGTCCTCGCCGTGGTGATAAAGTAACTCTTGTCCGCCTCCCATATTGCCAGGTGCAATTTCTTGACGCAGCTTTTTCTCCTCCGGAGGCCCTGGCGACGCGGGGCGAATTCTCAACGCCGTCGGGCCATGCTGGTTCTGTCGGTACCGCAATTCTGAATGCGGGGAAGCAGCCGGGGATGATGCAGCTCCACGACTACGACCTGGGGAGGTAGAACCGCTCCGGGTTCTTCCACTATGATGTGCTCCTGTCTTCGAACACGACGACTGCTGTTCCTTCTGCAACTTCCTAATCTGCTGTTCCACAGCCTGGATCCGGTCCCGCAGCGCTGCGGTGCGCGTCTCGTGCTCCGAATCGAGCTCCTGCAAGTGCTGCTGCCAATACAAGTCGGCCTTTTTGAACGCGTGCTCGAATTCCAGGAAGAGATTCGCTTTTTCTTGCAAGCTGTCCTGCTCGGCAGGTGGTGTGACAAAGGGTTCTTGCTGTTGACCATTTAATGTATCCAACGCCTCTGCTACTCCTGCGCCGGACGAGGACACCGATCTCGCGAGAAGATGAACATCGCTCTCCTGTCTAACGCTCTGTTTCGTTTCCATTTCGACTTCCCGAACCAGGTCTCTGCGGCGCTTCGCGAAGGTAAAATGAGTCTCCTTTTGCTGTTCCGCGAGTAGTTTGCGTTTTATCCGATCCAGCTCCGCACGGGAATTTGAATAAAGCGATTCCCTGTACAGAGACACCCCCTCGGGATGGTTGCTGCACGGCTCGTTGATGCCGGTTAACAAGTGCTGGAAGGAAGACGTCCGGTGTTCCTGGTCTTCCCGCCACGCAATTGCGCCGCTACGAGCCGCATTTTCGGCGGCTTCGTGGCGAAGGTCCAGCCGGTCGACCATCCTTAAAAAAATAAACGAAAGCAGTACAATTTGATATTTATTATAGTCGTGGCAAAAGCGGCTACAAAGTGTAAGTAAGTACCCAAGCAGGTGGAAACAAATGATCATGTTGAAAGGATGACTTGATAATTCTCTCTTCAAGAAAAGCACGCTGCGCTCGGTGCTTCCGCCAGGTTGCGGGTGGGTATGAGGTGCCACGTCAATCTGCTCATCTCTCCGAGAAGTATTAGAGGAGGAGGTCTGTCTGTCTCGGTGCAAAATTGTCATGCGACAGAGCAGAACGATGGATGAATGTGACGGGGGCGAACAACAAGAAATTATGGTCATCTGCTTGACTGATGCTAGCGCAGCAAGGAGATATCTCCGTGGACGAAGTACTTTTCATCCATTCAAATGACGATGCAGTAGGAGAAAAGCGCGAACATGATGCGGTTAAAAAGTTTTCTATAGCGATTTACTTCTAGCTCGCCAGCGGAAAGTACAAGACCGTTTTTATTTCCTCCTCCTTCAAGTTCTTGTCACTCTTCCTCGGGTCGGTGCAATACTCTTCCCAGCACGGGAATTTTCGCGCCATGGTGAATTCCCCGACCCGCGCCATCGCGTGCGCCCGACTCCACGCGTTGCCGAGATGGCGGTAGGGTCCGAGATGCGTCATGCTCATGCATTTCTCAAAGAACGGAAGTTGGCGCAAAACCAGCAAATCTGTGTCGAACGCTGCTAATATGGATCTCGGTGCAACCGGTCGTAGCTTGTCCTTCAGCAACACGTGTCCCTCGCTGGTGGGAGGACAGACGTAACCTTCCTCCTCGATCTGCTCAGCGGTGTCTAGTTTCACCCGCTGCATTTGTGGCTTTGCTGTTCGCGAGGATTTATAATTTCTGGAGGAAGAGGACATCGTACTAGCTGTAGCTCCTCCTGGATCTTTATTTGCAGGAGCATCTATGTACTCCTGCACCTTCTTCACCCCAGCCACCTGGTCTTTCAAAAAAACGCCGACGACACACCGAATTTTGCCGGAAGCCAGGTCTGTCTTCTCATACAAAGTCGCGTGCGATGGGTACGCGAGCGTGGGGGTAGTACCAGGAATGCTGAGGACTTCACTGATTTTCCTTTCCACCTTCGGGATTAGCAGGTTCAGCGCGTCGCCAATGTCGGGCAGATAGCACTGCAGCTCCACACCGACCAAACACTTACCTCCAGGGTAGGCTTCGTAGCACGCGTCGCTAATCTTACACGGAATCGTCGGGGTGAGAAGGGGCATAGGCATTGATGTCGATAAAGATCCTGCTGTAGTGGGCGGGGAGGACTTCGTTTCAGGAAGTACTATACCACTGTCGTCCCCTTTGTTTCCTTTATCTGAAGACGGTCCGCTCGGGGGACGACGTAGCTGTTGTGTAGTTCGTGCTCGCGAGGATGCCGCTACCACCAGCTGCTTTCCCGCCGGTGACCTGGAGCAAGACACCGCCGCGTCTTTCAGCAATTTCAGTCCCCGGTCGAAATCCAGTCCGAAAACGGCAGAGACGAGGGCGTGCAGAAAGGCAAGATAGAAGGGCATCCGGCCCTCCATGAACCAAATCACTTTGGTTCCCGATTTTGTACCGTGTCTTCCACCGGTCGAAGTCTCCCCCAACGGTATGAAGGCGAAGCGGTAGAGGTAGTCCATCGAAAACGGAGTGAAGGTCTCGACTGCGAATTCGACAGACACCGGCCCGTCGGTGTTGGCGTACACCTCGCGCAGGGCACCGGAACCTGAGTGATTATCCTTTCTTTCTATGGGACGGCACAAAATCAAAATATGTCATGCTATTCATTGCCTTTGCGGGCAGGTGAGATACTATGTATAGCTGCAGCGGAAAAAATTCATTATGTTCGCTGCTACAAAACAAGAACACATACACCAATCTAAGTACTAGTACTTACCTATCCTTCGGCCCTTCCAGGTCAATTTTTCCCCGCCCCCGCTGACCCCAGGCGTCGTCGTGCTGCCTGCTTGCACTATCTCGATTTCCGCCTCGGGATCCAGGATGAACCAGGGGGACCAGTATTTCCAATATTGGAAATCCCGGACAAGGGTCTCGACAATAACCGGGTATCCACTGCAAAAGTATCGTACTCCTATGTATTGCAAATATGCATGACAAATTTAGCTTCCTACCTGAATCTACATTACAAGTTCCAATTTTCTTCTTGAAAAAATTTGTCATGCAATTTGTACTAGTACAATGCTTTTGCTATGCATACTGGGTCGACATCCTCGATTTCGATGACCTTCTGCACCTTCATATGGCGTTCTCAACTGTTACATTCTCAACTGTTACACGAATTTGTGATGCAAGAATAGCAAAAGTCAAAGGGGGGAGGCTGCACACTTAGCATTACAAACTTCGCACAGATTGAGGTGCTGTTTAGCTCTTCGCAAATTTGTCATGCGAAGCAGCTTGATCGTGTGGATGATGATACTGCTTTTGCATTACAAATTCATGTAACAGTTGAGAATGTAACGTTTGAGAACGCCATACTTCAACTTCGCGTACTTCCAGCAGACGGCGAAGAGGCCGATTAGGCCCACGACAAAGGAGACGACGAGCGAGTAGAAATCGACGGGAAGGAGCATGACTTTGATGTGGGGTTTAGTTGACACGTAGCAGAAGTTGAAAATTCGCGAAGCCACTCTGGAGAAGCATTCGAGAGCGAAAAACAAAATTTCAAATCATGGAGGTTATACATAGCAGACATAGAACTACTTCTTCAGGCAAGGTGTACAGCCGAAAATTGACACGTCAAGTTTATTATAAACAAGGTAGAGGGCGGAAAGGCGAAGGCCTTCCAAAATCAATGGGTGCTTATAATGGGATCTGCAGTACATCATCATGCGTGCCATCAAAGAAAAGGAAAATGAAAAAATTGATCACGACTCCGTGAAGATGATCAAAAAGAAAAAAGTTCGTCGCGACAGGGACAGGTGCAGTCTACCAATGAATAAGCATATAGCAAAGCCAAACCCTCTCCCTCAACTTCAACAAATATGAAATCCGCTCTTTTCTCTTCCACCGGTGCACTACAACAGGGGGCACTTTGTTCCATAGTTTAGATAAGTATCTGCTAAAAATGGTCGCGGACAGCTGTATCGACAAACCAGACGATGACCATGCTTACCTGAAAAAAATCTCACGCGCTTCCGCAAGCCGAATCCTAGGCCACCTTGCTTCATGAACATGACGTCAGATGGGCTGTACATCGATCATGATAAACAACAAGCCCGTGAGAAAAAAAATCTCGGTGGACATATCAACCAAATACGCGACGACGAGAGCGCGCTTATTTGTTCAATTGTCAAAAGTAAAAACATTCTGAGTTATTAACCAAAACTTGTGCTACTTACTTCATCCTCCTCCTGTGATGATGGTCGTCTTGCTCGGGTGGCATAAAAAAGACGAAACAAAGCGAAACAGAAACTTACTGTTTTTTTTTTCAATCTTGCGTTTTATTCCTATTGTGTAAAGTTCCTCCTTTGTGTTTCTTTATGTCAGGTCCGCACTGAGCAGGTTCGGTTCCGACGCCGAGCCAGCGTTCCGGCGTTTTTGACTACTGACCAGCTGCCGCGCAAAACCGTTCAGCACTCGCGACCCGCGCATTTGCTCCTCAGTGCCAGGCTTCGACATCAAAGCGTCCATGAGCATCTTGCGGCGGTAACTGAAGAAATTTGTGATGCTAATCATCGTAATGCATTGTAGCATCGCGTGGAGCACTATGCATGACAAAAAAAAACAGAAGAATCAATACGAGCTGACGCGAAGAGGAAATCCAAGTTCTTCGTCGCCGAGGACGCCGGACATCATGTTTTTCAGGATCCACAAAACCCTTTTCCGGTGCTCTTCTCCCTTCTTTGATTGCGACGTGCAGGAGAGCATCTGGAGGAAATCTGCGAACGACGTTATCCCTCCTTTCGGCAGAATACGAAGCAGCTGCTGCCGACTCTCGCATAGCCCGAAAGCTGTGGGAAAGGAAGAGACCAAATTATAGAAGCTTGTCATGCAGAAGGAGGCTGCGAACGCTTTGCGATGCCGATGTCAATGTCGCAATACAATCAAATCCAAAACTAGACTCATCCACTAGAGCTAGATGAAGAGAGAGTAAGAGACTGAATCCAATTTCTCAGATTGTAAACCTTTACCGACGAAGAAGTCTTCTATGCTGGCGACCGGGTTGTTTGCGAGCGTGTCGTAGTATCGCTTGAGTTATGCATCGCAAAAGTCAAATTTTCGCACTGACTAGTACTATAAATCGCATCACAAATCATGTTTCTATTCATGATGAATAGATAACATGATTTGTAATGCGGAGTTGCCTCAAGAAAGAGATTTGCAATGCATGACTGCAATTAGAAGTACGAGTACGAGACTTTTGCAGCGCATATGAGTTTGTGAACTGCAAAAGTATCGTACTCGTATAAATGCATTACAAATTTCCTCAGCATGAAAGGTAAAATTTGTAATGCTGATTTAACTTAAGAGAAAGATTTGTAATGCATGACTGCAATACGAGTACGATACTTTTGCACAGGATAGAGTTTGTGCCGCTCGCTGGTGGAAAAGTCCGTGTACTCCGGCTTCCCACGGTATTTCAGCCACCGGCATCAAGTGCAAATATGTCTGGGTCTGGAAGGGTCCAACTTGTGATGCTGTCTTTGGATTCTAAAAGCGTCTGTATTGCATGACCAGCAAGAGGAGTCCAGTTTGTGCTACGCGGGGAGGGCATTTGTCATGCGTAATAGGCATCAGGAAGCCTTCTAAAAATCAGTGATCCTAGGTCATGCATTACAGGCGTCATGGATCATGCAAAACATGCATGACAAACCTTACATCCTTCCAGACCGAGACATATTTGCAATGCATAACCGGTCACGCTGGTCTTTCACCAGCAGCGAATGTGGGTCGTCGATCAGGGCCTTCCCGGCGTTGCGCAGCGCACTGCTGCTTTGACTGCGGTCGTTCGGCATCTCTTCTCTACTTTTGGATGTCGCGAAAGCTGCTTTTGTCTATATATAGTACTTCGGAGGCTGATGTTCAGATGCTTGTTCGGTTCCAGAATACACATGCTACTACACCAGTGTTTTCTCTCGCAATCGACACGCAATAGTGCACGAGCGCGCCGCCGAAGAACCCCGATGTTATTATGGCACGAAGACTCGTCGAATTTCGGAAAAAATCAGAATGCAAGCCTCACTTTCTCTCTTCAGAGCAAGCCCTCCTTGCAGTTCCTCCACATAATTTTCTGCCGAGTTATTTCACCACGAACTTGTCGAAAAAATGAACTACACGCGAAAGAAACGACGATCGAAGAGAACGCTGAGGGGCATCAACTGACAGGTCCACCAAACGAGAGGAGGAGCCGGAAATTTTTCCAGTACTGCCAACGCCTCGAGATGATAAAAGCTACGTTGTAATTTGAAGATTGAAGAACTTTTCTTGCCCTGCCGTGCTTCTTCGTGGTGGTTGTTTATTTCTATTTCATGCCCTACTGCTCCATCACGGAAAATGCAAGCGCAACTTTGATTTAGTACTGACAAAAGGCCAGCACAATAAACAGTTGTTACCTCAGCATTCCCGTTCTGCAGGAGGTCCTGACGTCTCAAGAATAAACATTTGCCCATACGACAGGTGGAGCACAACATGACGTAGAATGTGAAGATGAACCACATCAAGCTGCAACAAGCCTCAAGGAATTAGCACAACTAGAAATTTATTTCGACGTTTACTTTTACCGCTCCTGCTTCACATTTTTTCTACAACTACACACGTCAAAGTGCGTAGCTGGGTTAAGGTTTGATTCAAGCAAAAACTGTGATTCTATTTGTGGTTACAACTTAGCTACCGTACTACTGCTACCGGTTGTAGCTGTTTGTTAAAAAGTACTAGGATGTATCTTGAGGGTGAAATTGTATGTATTGATCCAAGTGAAAGTAAGCATGATAAGCTCCAGCTGCAGCTCCTTCGCTGCTGCAGCTCAGTCGTGGCCCTCGCTTTAGAACAGAATATCCTTGTCCTTTTGCGGAATGAAGCTCGGGGGATTCATCATTCCCAACTGCGGCATCGCTGTTTTGTTATATTTTTATAAGCATGTTAGTTTTTTAATTGCAGTCATGCATTACAGATCTCGTTCCCAAGGCAACTCAGCATGACAAATTGCATTTGTCATGCTGAGGGAATTTGTCATGCAATTCATACTAGTACGATACTTTTGCAGTTCATAAAATATAGTACCAATCGACCCCATGGTGCTTGTTCTCTGCGGAGCTGGCTTTGCGACTGGCGCCGCGCCGCCCTGTGCGGCCATCATCGCGGCCAATTCCTTTGCGTGTCGCTGTTTCTTCTTCTCCACCACCTTCTTCACGCGGAAAAACTCCTCACGCTATGCAGATTGCAAAAAGTACTCCGTAGCCGTACGTAGGTTCAGGTTGTATGGTACAAATTGCATGACAAATTTTGGCAAAAAGGAAAATTGGATCTGTTTCGCTGATAAAGTTGGAAAGCATCTATCTGTCATGCAAGAAATTGCAATTCATTTACGATTGAACGATCAATTTTTGCACGGAATACACGCTCCATTTCGTCCATCTCACCCTTCACCCACTGCATCGTCTCCTCCAATCGCGGTATCACGACACACCTAAAATTAAAAAGTATTTCGTTATAACTTGTCATGCGCTTTTTGGAAAAGACACCATCCTTACACGTTGCCATTTCGCATGACAAACTGAACAATTCGGCTGCAAAAAGAAGCCGTAAATAGCACTCCAGAGAGTTCACGCGGCGACTGGTCATCTTGATTTCCTCATCCAGGGTCTTGAACATCGTCTGTAAACTGGCCATCTGGATCAATAACTGCAAAGCGATTCGGTGCTGGTCTCGACAACTCTGGATCACCTGGCCACCGCACCCGATTCCCAAGCTATCGGTACTGGCATCCTTTGCGGCGTCGTGGAGCATAGTGAACCGCGGGAGCTGGACCTGATAATCATAATCATCCATCAGAGCATAGAACGGCCGCGATGCGTCTTGAAGATGAGCATGATACTAGCGACAATTTTCAATTTCAATGCATGACAATTCTGCATAACGGAAACGGTAACAAGCAAGGAAAAAAATGGTCAACGCAAGTTGCACTAAAGTGCTATCGAAATAATTATCATCTAGTACCCCTGCACAGTTCTCCGCCTTCATGGTGATGGTGATCGACGGCTTTTTCACCCGGTTCAGCACAGCCTGACTGAATTCCGAGTCACTCGCGTATTCCGCTTTCGCGTAGCTAAAAGCGCAGTCCAGCACCATCGCCCCGACCGCCTTCTTGCACTCGATAATCTCGTGCAACATCGCCTGAAACCGCGTCTTCAGCGCGTCGCGCTTCTTTTTCAGCAAACCATACCCTTTTTTCGCGCCGACGATGCGCGCCTTGAACTGCAAAAGGGTGGAACGGTTTGCGGCCGGCTTCTGACCCGACATTTTCGAGGGGGTCCTCTTAACTCAGCTTTACGTTTTTTGATGTTCTTCTGCGGTGCCAACTATAAACTCAGAGCGCGTTGTTCCGATTTTCTGGAAATCTTAATCTCGTTCTCACTGTTATGCCAATGCACGTCCACCCGTGCTAAAATAACGAACGAAAGAACACAACTTAAGTACTACTTACGTGATGGTGGAATTTAATTCGTGGACCATACATGATGTTCGTTGGTTCGCTCTCCAAAGTACGTAGAACAGAAAGTTGGCAGAAACTACAAAAACGTGCTGTTTCGTGAGTTCTTCACGTCTTGATAATGATACCTTGATGGTGGAACATCAAGGTAAGAAAAAACAAATCATCAGTGCCAAGACGTGGAAGTAATACGTAAGATTAAAGTACCAGGACGTTGGTGGAAGCGGAAGATGTCGGGTGTTGAAACGGAAAAAAATAATGGCACATTTTTCATTGAACACAAACAGCTATGTACACACTCAACATGCTCGAATTAGACGAAGGTCGTCATTCTGCCTGAGGCTGAGCGTCGATGTTGCGCAAGAATTATGCGTGCAGTTACTGGCGCTAGATGTTGCGCCGATTGTAATTGCTTATATCTCGTCGTCGTGTCAGGAGGAAAGAGTTGCTCGTCTCAATTTCTTCAAAACATTCATGAATGCCATGTCCAATCCATATCCAATGAATTCGAAGCCAACTATGGGAGACGACGTTCAACAAATTCAATATCGATAGGCGTACACTTGGTGTTGAGAGCAAGGGGAGAAAGTCGTCATTAGTTTTTCTTTTTCATGAATCCTTGTATAAACATAAACATAAAGTAGGTACAACCCATGACGTAGTTGTAAACCGAACCCTTGTGAAGCCAGCATGAGCATGTGAAAGTGTTTTACATTATGTTGATCACACTACTGCAGCTCCCTCCACCCCCACCACCGCCGTGTTCCAACACAGACTGCAATTGCAGTTCAAAGTTCACGAACACGTCCTCCTCCCAGACCTTACTCGCAGTCGACTGAAGAAACAGGTGGAATTTCGGTCCGCGCAGGTGCCGGAAACAATTCACGATGAGTGCGCGGTAGTCTACTACTTGTTGTGGTGCTTGTTGTTGATGTCCCTGAAGTTCTTGCAGCTGCTGTTGTCCACCGCGCGCGCCCGTAGAGGGTGTACTAGCACTACTTCTACTTGGAGAAACCTTTTGTCGCAACGGTCCGCTGCGGATCATATGTGCCGCTGAACAAATGGTCGGCGCGCCACTAGTACTAGCACCACCTCCCTTTAGCGCGGCTTGTTGCTGCTCCACATCGTTCCCTTCCTGGAGCAAATACTCGGCGAGCAGATCGAAAAATACTTGGCCGTAATCCGCTTGCAAGGCTTCGAAAATGCCATTCCGGATTCCGTTGCAACTGCTGGGCCACCCGTGGTATGTTTCCAACACTGTGAAAACGATGCGCTTTAACAGGGGAATCGGCGAGACGAGTTGGTGCTGTGAGGGTTGTCCTCCTTGTTGGACCTGCTCCACGAGGACAAAGTGTTCTTTACAACCGCCGAGCAGTCGCTCCAGCATTTGCAGAAACGAGCGGAAACAGGACTGAATGGTCGCAAAATCTTCGTACATTCGGCTTGCAGCGGTTGTAGTTCCCGCACCGGATCTTCCCAGCAATGCGTTCGCTAAATTCATCTTCGACGGCGGTGTCAATTCCCGTTGTAACAACGCAACGGAGATATTGCTGTCGAGATTGGACGAACACTTCTCCGAGGAGAGGCCCTTCCCAAAGTTATTTCCCCCGACAAGGCCGGTGGGACTCGACATCTTTTGCTTGGCGGTGTCTGTTTGGTAGTTCCGAAGCTTGAAATCCTTTTCTAGGAAGTTCAGAATCCGCTCCAGAATGAACTGAAACCAGTGGTTCCCCAGGGAAAGAATTGCGGCGGAAGCGGTGGTCGTATTTATTTCAAGGCCTCCTGGTCCTGTAGTAGTCGTCGTGCTGGGCTGCTGTAGTAGTTGCCGTGCATTCGGAGCGAAAGTAGAGCTCAGGCCAGATAATCCAGCATCCTTTCTACTCCCGCCCCCGCCGAGCCTGTGTGCCTTCGTCTTCGTTGACTTCGGGGCGCACTTGTTAATCCAAGCGAGGAGTATATCGCACGAAAAAACTGTTTCACTGTGGTGATTTTGCAGAATCAGCATCACAAGTTGGTTACGCATGACACTAAAAATCTGCCATGCGGGGTTGCCAAGGGAAAACACAGCTAGAAATCCATTGTCTTGCATGTGTAGCATGACACACACTTCTCCGGTCCATTTTCTGCATCACAAGTTCACAGTGAAACAGTTTTTTCTTGCGATAGAGTAGGTCGCAGATCGGCAGCAGAAATTTCGGCGAGTGTTCGTCCAGGTTGAGGGGCGCGAGCATGGGGTAGAGCTTTTCGTTCATCAAAGGTTTGAAAAACTCGTGCTCGAAAGTTGATGTGCTTGTTGTGGTATCCTGTGCAAAAGTATCGTACTCGTATTGTAATCATGCATTACAAATCCAGTTCTTAAGGCAAATTAGCATTACAAATTTTATTTCTCATGCTGAGGAAATTTGTAATGCATTTATACGGGTGCGATACTTTTGCAATTCATATGTGGCAGCCGCTTGGTTTGTGGTTGTTCCTTGTCCGTGTGGTCCAGCCGGCGCATAAAAACTAGTACTTGACGCAGCCCCACCTAGAAGTCCTCCGGCCACCAAAATCCCCTTCTGTAACCCGTCTGTGAGCAGCAAGGCGAGGAAGATTGGGTGGCGGATCCGGGTCAGAGAGTGGAGGAGGGTTTGCGTTAGAAAGTCGGTTAGGAGGCACGAATTTTCTGTCTGTGCGTTGCTGGTGTCACCGACGCCGCCAGGTGGTGTAGTTGGACTTGCATTGTTGAACAGGCTCGCGCTACTGCTCGAACTTAAACCTGAAATCATCTTCGCACCACCTGCTACCGCACTACTACCAGTACCAGTACTAGCACTCGTCCGGGCCTTCCCGAGCAAATCGAAAAGGCACTGGTAAAAATGTCTGCTGGCGTTCACCAAGTAGAATTCCAATTTCGACGCGTCAAAATCCTCCAATTCTTTTCTCAAATCCTCGTCGGAAATCGTGAAATCCTCCACGTTAGTCAGGCTGCAGGCCTCGTATAACAGTGCACACCCCCCCCTCCCCCTCATTTGTCATGCAAAATACTCAATCCACCCTTTGCTTCTTGGCACTGTTTGCATGACAAGTTCTGGTAGCCCAAGTAGCACTACAATCCAGCGCAAATCTGTCATGCAAAACTGGCATTCTTGCTGATGCTTGTATTGCCGTTAATGCTATACAAATGAGGGGGAGGGGGAGTTGTGCACTGTTATACCTCGGTGAGGAAATTCAAGAACCAAGTCGTCGAGGCACGACCACTCGCAGAATTGAAATTATGTTGAGGAGCTGCAGCGGAAGTAGACACTATTGTTGTTGAGCCGTCTCCTTTTTGTAGTAGTGCTACCGGTCGGCGTNCGAACAAGAGGGTGGGAATCCAGACCGAATTGCAAATCCGAAAAACAGGAAAATGCAGCAGGTGCCACACTCATGTCGATGATCCAGATCCATATAATTTATTGAGAAGGGATCCGGGTCAGAGAGTGGAGGAGGGTTTGCGTTAGAAAGTCGGTTAGGAGGCACGAATTTTCTGTCTGTGCGTTGCTGGTGTCACCGACGCCGCCAGGTGGTGTAGTTGGACTTGCATTGTTGAACAGGCTCGCGCTACTGCTCGAACTTAAACCTGAAATCATCTTCGCACCACCTGCTACCGCACTACTACCAGTACCAGTACTAGCACTCGTCCGGGCCTTCCCGAGCAAATCGAAAAGGCACTGGTAAAAATGTCTGCTGGCGTTCACCAAGTAGAATTCCAATTTCGACGCGTCGAAATCCTCCAATTCTTTTCTCAAATCCTCGTCGGAACTCGTGAAATCCTCCACGTTGGTCAGGCTGCAGGCCTCGTATAACAGTGCACACCCCCCCCTCCCCCTCATTTGTCATGCAAAATACTCAATCCACCCTTTGCTTCTTGGCACTGTTTGCATGACAAGTTCTGGTAGCCCAAGTAGCACTACAATCCAGCGCAAATCTGTCATGCAAAACTGGCATTCTTGCTGATGCTTGTATTGCCGTTAATGCTATACAAATGAGGGGGAGGGGGAGTTGTGCACTGTTATACCTCGGTGAGGAAATTCAAGAACCAAGTCGTCGAGGCACGACCACTCGCAGAATTAATATGTTGAGGAGCGGCTGCAGAAATGTTATATGTTGAGCTGTCTGCAGTTGATGTGGTCGTGGTCGTCCCCATGCTGGTCAGCAAATAGGCCTGGAGCGCGCTGTCCGCAGCCCGGGCTGCGCGTAGAGGTGTGGAGCCGGGGGCTGCAGCTGCTGGCGCTGAGGTTGACATCAGCGTCGCTCCACTTATTTGGAAGTTGTTCATAAAAATATTACTTCCCGCGACCACTCCCATCGGCAAGACTTGAATCAGCAAGGAGAAGACCAAGGCTAGAACCTTCTCCCTTTCCGGGTCTTCCACTTCGGTCAACAGAAACACGATGCTCCTTAACCTCCGGAGTAACAAAAGCATCGTCAGTTCCTTGTTCGGAAGAATGTTGTTGTTTTGATAGGTCGTTGTCGCGAAAAGTTCGAATGTGTGCGTCCCCCGCAAAGAATAGCGCTCAACATGATCTACTTCGGGCGCTGCACCTCCCGCCATTGCGGAGGTCGAAGCGCCAGCACCTCCAGCAGGAGACCCAGCAGACCATCGCACGAATTGAGCGAAGTCATGGGCTATTTTTGCCGCGTCAACAGAGTTGCTCATATTATCGGTCCCCGGGGTAAAAGTACCACTGCTTATTTGTTCATCGTGTTGCAAAATGCTTCTCCACACGTGTTCGGGCAGCAGTCCGGACAGTTGCAGTAACCCAAAGGAATTCAGCAACAGTCTGAAAACACGCTTGCTAAACTTCTCACCGCTTTCTGGCAGTCCCGCGTATTGATGAGACCGCACAACACACGTCGCCGCCCCGTACAGGTCTTGATCGATGCGGAAAGCGTCAGAGACCGCAATCAGCTGCGAATCAGATTTCCGCTTCAACTGGTCCATTGTCGTCGCGGGCGACTGTGCGGCGGGAGATATTGTTGAAGAGGTTCTTCCCTGAAACAGCTGCTTCCCCGTTTGTAGTAGGGCAGTTGAAGCAAATCCGTTGATCGCCGGGTGGAGTAATCTGACGTAAACAGCATCCACGTGATTCATCAACTCGGGAAAGCTGTTTTTCACGTTTCTGTACTCGCCGAAGTACCCTAGCACCTCTTTCAAGACCGGGGCACAGGACAGCGCATCGATTTCCAAGTGGTTCATGAGGAAATTCAGCATTTTCAGAACCAGCTCCGGCGCATCGGTACTTGCGGTGAGAAGTGCGATGTTGTGGCTGCTGAGATGTAGTTCTTGTGCGGTGAGCTCCTCCTGCTCTGTCGGTGTTATCGTGGCGTTGTAATTTGCAGCTCCACCAATCGCATTTCCCTCGAGCGTACAGCGACACTGCTCGTCTAGGAGCGGGATGGTTTTCAGGATAACGGCGGCAATGTTCTCTACGAGGCTTTTTTGCAGCTGGAAATAAAGAGCTTGTGCTGACCCCCTTTCGGTTGAGTTCTTCGCGTTCATCTCGTTTTGTGTGTAGTGGTACCTCCTCGCGTCGATTTCGCACAGCCTTCCCAAAAAATTCAGCAGCTCCACCGGCAGCTCTCCAGACGTTTCCACCAGATCGTCCATGTACAGGGCGTCGGCTTCCACCAGACCCTTCGCGAGAAACGAAACCACTTCTGTTTCCGACAAATCCCCCTGCACACTCGGCTCGTTCAAGCGCTGTAGAAAGAGCGAATACAGTTCCGCCGCGGCGTTCGGGTTCACCCGGATCCAAATGTCGAGTAAGTCGGCGAGGAGATCCGTCGCAATGTCGCGGCTAATGTCCTGCTTTGTACTGCTGTCCGTGTCGATGTCATCTTCGGGATTATGCAGTGCAAAAGCATCGTATTCGTATTGCAGTCATGCATTACAAATCATTTTTTTAAAGGTAGATCAGCATTACAAATTTCATTTCTCATGCTGAGGACATTTGTAATGCATTTATGCGAGTACGATACTTTTGCACTGCATAGGCGGGGTTGTTGTTGAACATCAAGCGGGAATCGTTATCGTTTAGTACCGCTTTACTCCCGTTATGAACATTCGTTGTGTTCAGCAACTGAAAGTGGGAAAAAAGCCCGCGCAGGCACGGCTGGGATAACTGCTGCAGGAGTTGCAACACAAACTCCGACGGCAGCACCTGTTCCCGATTAAGCTCTTTCAAATGGGAAAAGAAATTACTCAGCGGCCCCAAGTCCCCCGGTCGATATTCGAGCAAGTAGCCGCAAAGCGTCGTGAGGATCGTGTGAATTGGGGTCGATGAGGACACAGCTCCTGCGTGACTTGTTTGTGAAGATGGTGCGCTGGAAGAAGTACTTCTACCAACGGCCCGCGCAACAACATCTTCCTGCTCGGCAGTGGCGAAAAAGAACTGCGTGTACAGCTCAGCAAACATCCAGAGCAGTGTGCTGACATCGTAGAAGACGTCTGGAGTTGCGGATGCTGGTGGAGGTGAATCATGCGCCGGCGTCGTTCTTACTCCAATCGGTTGCACTAGAAGCTGCCGGGCAAATCTTTCTAAGAAGGCCAAAGCCTCTTGGAGTAGAATGATTTCGCCTGGATTTATTTTTACCGGAGACGCCCCAGCATTTGAACTATCTCCGCTGGACGAACAAGACAACATCGAAGACCCCCCTTGATTTATTCTTATTGGCGAGGACATTGACGAAGTTGTTCCAGCCTGTTTGTCCGCTCGCTTCCACAGCACCGATGCGGACCTCGCTTTCGCCATTCCTTCGACGAAATTGGAGATGGCGTTGTGCTTGTGCTGCGTTGCACCTCCCTCCGCTCCACTAGCAGACGATGAAAACAGCAGCGCGGCCGTGGTGGCACTCAGTAGTAGAGAGTGGGAGAACGGACAGACGTTGTCGCAAGAAAAAAACTGCGTCACTTCTGTGAACTTACTTGGCACGTTCTTTGCGCGATGGAGCACAGAAGTATTTGCCTTGCTACACGACCTGGTGTAAGAGATTGGATCTTCTTAAAACGTGCTTTCCCTTGGCGGGAAGCGCCACTGCACATGGCAGATTTTTTATTTCTGTGTCATGTGTAAGAACATTTGCAATATCATCATAAGTAGTGAAACGCTTTTTTCATCTTGGGATAGATGTGCTGCTTCGTGTACTCCTGAAGCAGTTGCTGGGCGGAGGCGTACAAAGCGCTTCTTTCTGATTCTGCGTGCGCCTCGTTATTGCCGCTGGTGTGTGAATCATTTGGTCCTCCGACAAAATGCAGCACCTGTGCCACCAATGTGAAGATCGGCACCCGGAGACGGTCACGCAGTACCACCCCGTACGCGACTTCCTCGAACCTCTTCATCGGCTGTTCCACCTCCTCAAACAAAGCTATCAGCAGGTCGAGGATAACTTTTGTAGAAAATCTCAGCTCCAGCTGCTCGCACTGGTGCAGCGGCGTCGTTGATGTAGTAGTCCAAACGCAAACCCGGTGCGCGGGCGCCAGCGGAAAGTGCTGGAAGAAGATCTCTGTCATTTGCCCGATTTCAGCCTTATCAACATTTTCATTTATCAAATGTAAAAGTGTCTGGGTCTGGAAAAGTGTAAACTTGTCATGCAGATTTTCCATGACCCATGAGGTCTCGAATGCGGGACTTAGCATGACAGACTCTACGAGGTCTCTCCCATGCCTATCCTGCATGATAAAATCCCTTCGAACTTGGCCAAAAGTGGGCGGCTTTTGGCACTCATGCAACACAGATATTTGCATGCTCCAGACGTACCATGACAAGTTGGCACCTTCCAGACCCAGACATTTTTACATTTGATATCATTCGACGACGCGCGATTCTCCATGTGCGTGAGCGCCTCGGCCAGTTGCTGATCGGTTCGTTCCTGGTCCTGCGAAGACGAAGTCGAAGAGGTAGTTGGCGTGTTATCGAAATCAATACCTCCGTGCAGCTGGCCGAGAACGCATCCTGGGAGAAAGCTGCGGAGCGTTTGCTCGAACGCAGGTGATCGGAGAAGGGTGGCCGCGAGCGTGGGGATCAGCTTGGCAATAACTGGCTTGCTAAGGGTAGAAGTTGTGCTGGGGGTCGCTGCGTTCAGGGTGGATTGTGGCCCTAGATGAAGTGCCTGTCCGTTGTTTTGCGGCTGGCTTCCAGACGTCGAGGACACTGGTGAGAAGGACAGGAGTTTGGCTACATTTCGCAACACAAACTCACACTTGTCCCGACTAGCCGCCCGGGTGGGATCATTTATTGCTCCCGGCCGCCCAGTGCTACTAGCTGATCTACTGCCTCCGCTTGCAGTGGTCGTGCCTGGCCTGTCGGCGTTCTGACACAAAGATCTGGGAAACTCTTTGGATAAGTCGAGCAGCAACTTCGCAGCGAAAAACTTCTCGGTCTCGCTGCCGTCGGGCGTGATGAGCAGCGCGATCGCGAGCTCGGCGGCTTGGCCCTCGGCCGCAGTCCTCTTCGCCTCGCTGCAAAACTCGGTAAGCCACCGGTCGGCATCGTTCCGGGAGAGGTTCTTGCTGCCGGGGTTGTTTATGCTTCCTTGGTAGAAAGCTCGCAGCGTGTTGCGCAATTCCTGGAACAAGACGGGAGTGCTTTCGACTGTAGCGCGGACGCGGGAAAGGTCGGCGGGGGAGAGGCCGAAATTTGCTGGAGCACGACTGGTCATTTTTTAGTGTAAAAGTCTCTAGGAAGATGCTTGAAGTTGTAGCCAGGCGGGGGAAGAAGATCAACCCTTTGCTCGCCTCTTATGGCCTGCGAGTAACTGTCTGACATATACAGCTAAAGAATCCTGAGAGCAAGTCCTTTGCGAAAACTCCTGAGAGCTTAGGCACTACAACAAGACCAAACACCACCCGTTTTAGCGGTGAACGACCAAGTGTAGGGAGTCGCACAGTATGAGTGAGTCCGAAAACTCACTGCTGCTGCGCTTCAGATAAGCATCACACTACCTCCTCATCCGTGTGAGCAGATCAACCTCCAAAGAGCCGCCAGTGCTGAACAACCCGCCTCACGTGCTCAACCTGACGTCAAACCGGATCCAAGAACCACAGCGCTACCAGGGGTCTCGCTGACTCTCGAACCGCCGGAGCGGAAGGAGAGGTATACCGACGCCACCGGGGGCCACAGGAAAACACGGAGTTATGCCCTGCGCCGCCAGTTGCCACCGCCTAGGCTTGGAGCCTTGCCTTTTCTTTTCTTTTATATGAGTTTTCTCCTTTCCAGCCCGGCGGGTGCTGGAAGGTGGCGCGTTTTTCTTTCTTTTACTGTTTTGCGCTCTTGAGTTTTTTTTTTTTTATTCTTTGGTCCCAATCTTGGCACCTCAAAGAATCTTTTAGGAGGTTGCGCGATAAAAGGAAGAAAGTCACTGGGGGTTTTCATCTTTGCAAAAGATCCGCCGGCCTTGCCAGCCCTAGTCTGCCCATTGGCCAAACGGGAAAAAAAAAAAAAAGAACAAGCCCCACTCTCCCCCCCCGATGGACTAGATTCTTGCTTTCCTCAGAGTGGTGAGGACAGAAAGAATACTTTATGGCAACTACGGAAGATCATCAGAAAGAAAAGTAAGAATCTCGCAAAAGAAAAAGACACCGATGGCATCTCTCAGGCAAGAGCAAGAGCTGGACTGCCTTTAATACCTGGCTTTCACCTAGGCATTACAGACATTCTAGCGGAACATCAAGAGCTGGAGAGCTACATCTAGAGCTTCAATACAAAATCAAGAAAACGGCTCCTGGTGTTCATTTTGTTCCATTGCAAAAAATCCCGCTGCAGGTTGTATCGTTCATTTTCATCTTTAGGTGTGGGTTATAATCAATGCTCTTTTGTAAGAAAGATCAATTGGAAAACTACGTGGTCACAACTGAATACTGTGTATCAGGTAGTAGAAGCAGATACTTCAATAATTTAAGCAGATTGCCCGGCGCCAGAGAAACTGCGGCTGCCTTGGCGAAGGCAGGGGAGAGTCGTGCGTCGCCGATCGATCGCACAAGGCGTCCGGCAGCTTGTAAGAAAGCCGGGCGCCACTACTGCAGAGTTAACTCCAAGGAAGGTCGATCCCTACACCGCCGGGCGCAAAAAGTTGCCGCATGACCATGAGTTTTGATTTTCCAGAAACAACACAACGAAAAAAGGTAGGGCGAAACGTGGCGCGCCTCAAACAAAGACACAATCCGTTGGCTGGCTTTGTCGTGGCGCCGGTGTCCCATGCATGCCCATACCCTTAGTCCCTCGCGAGTCGCCACCGAGCTCAGGAGCGGAATCCCATGCAGCGGCGCCTGCACGACAGGCGCTACCCTCGGACAAAAGGCCCGCACCAACGCACGCACCACGCTACATGCGCCTTAAGGAGCGCAACCACACGGCGCCGGTGCGCGCGCACTATGCCCCATAAGGAAGGAACCAGACAACCGCGGCGCCCACCTCCTCAGGAATGGCCCGCCGTTGTCGTTGCTCTTGCTCCGCACTGGGAAAACAAGAAATCCTCGCCTCCGCGCGGAGGCGTGGCCCACGACTTGTTTCCGAGGCCAGTGCTGGATGCAACAACAAAAAAAATTTTCGGCGCGCTGCGCGCGCCGTTCCGAAAATAAGAAATCGACCCCTCCGCGCGGAGGGGTCGATTTCTGATTTTCGGTTTCTTCTTCCGCCGCTGGCGGCCCAGAAAGAAACAGGCCCCTCCGCGCGGAGGGGGCGGTTTGTTTGATAGCCGGACCGCTACCTTTTACCCAGAAAACAACGAAAGTCGGCGCTTTTGGTACTTCCGGGTCCAAAAGAAACCGCCCCCTCCGGGCGGAGGGGCCGGTTTCTTTGTGGGCCGCTAGCGACGCAAGAAGAAGCCGAAATTTCCTGTCCAAGGAGTCACGACATTCTCACTCAACCCTCCACACGGAGGGCCCAACTTCTTGGCTTTGAGAATTGTTTGCGCGACCTGCGCGCGGAGCATTTGTTTTTGTTCGCTTTTAATGTTTTCGCGAAGTGGCGCCGCGGCTCGTGCAGTGGCTCCGCACGGTGGCCAGCAAGCTTTTTTTTATTCCCGGCCACCCTATGAGACGCGCACGCGCAACACCCCTGCGCCGAAACCTTTGGCGCGCGCGAGTAAAAACGTCGCGGCGGGCTGCTTTGCTTCCGAGCGGCCGCGTGTGCCTCTACAGATGTGCCGTAAAGACTGAAAACGCGACGCCACATCGTAAAACAAGGGCAAGGCAACGCAGGCGCACGAGGTGAGGCTGCATAGCGCAAAAATGAAGATCAATTGGAAAACTACGTGGTCACAACTGGAGAGTTGTATCGGTAAACCAGACGATGACCATGTTGACTTGGAAAACATCTTCCGTAGTGCCGCATGCCGAAGCTGCCTAGCCCCACTTGCTTCATGAACATCATGACGTCAGAGCTGTACATGATCATGATAAACAACAAGCCCGTGAAAATCTCGGACATATCAACCAAATACGCGACGAAGCCGCGCTTATTTGTTCAATTGTCAAAAGTAGGAACATTCTGAGTTATTAACCAAAACTTGTGCTACTTCATCCTCCTCCTGGCATGATGGTCGTCAGTCTTGCTCGGGTAGAAACAAGACGAAACAAAGCGAAACAGAAACTACTGTTTTTTTTCAGTCTTGCGTTTCATTGTGTAAAATTCCTGCTTGTTATTTGTGTTTCTTTATGTCAACTCCGCACTCAGCAGGTTCGGTTCCGACGCCGAGCCAGCATTCCGGCGTTTTTGACTACTGACCAGCTGCCGCGCAAAACCGTTCAGCACTCGCGACCCGCGCATTTGCTCCTCAGTGCCAGGCTTCGACATCAAGGCGTCCATCAGCATCTTGCGGCGGTACCTGAAGAAAAATGTGATGCTGATAATCATACATTCTGCATTTCAATTTTCGTATCGTGTGGAGCACTATGCAAATGCATGACAAAAAAAAGAAGAATCAATACGAGCTAACGCGAAGAGGAAATCCAAGTTCTTCGTCGCCAAGCACGCCGGACATCATGTTCTTCAGGATCCACAAAACCCTTTTCCGGTGCTCTTCTCCCTTTTTTGATTGTGACGTGCAGGAAAGCATCTGCAGAAAATCTGCGAACGACGTTATCCCCCCTTTCGGCAGAATACGAAGCAGCTGCTGCCGACTCTCGCATAGCCCGAAAGCTGTGAGAAAAGAAGAAACCACATTTCAATAAATTAGAATCCAAGTAGGCTAGGAACGCTTTGTCTTTGTGTTGATATGGAAATACCACTAAATCCAAAACTGTTTTCATCGTGATCCCCTAGAGCTAGATGAAGACAGCGATGGATAACAATAAATCCAATTTCAATTTTTATGTCAAAGCGTATAATCTTTACCGACGAAGAAGTCTTCTATGCTGGCAACCGGGTTGTTTGCGAGCGTGTCGTAGTACCGCTTGAGTTATGCATTGCAAAAGTATCGTACTCGTATAAATGCATTACAAATTTTCTCAGCATGAGAAATGAAATTTGTAATGCGGATTTACCTTAAAAAAAAGATTTGTAATGCATGACTGCAGTGCGAGTACGAGACTTTTGCAGCGCATATGAGTTTGTGCCGCTCGCTGGTGGAAAAATCCGTGTACTCCGGCTTCCCACGGTATTTCAGCCACCGGCATCAAGTGCAAATATGTCTGGGTCTGGAAGGGTCCAACTTGTGATGCTGTCTTTGGATTCTAAAAGCGTCTGTATTGCATGACCAGCAAGAGGAGTCCAGTTTGTGCTACGCGGGGAGGGCATTTGTCATGCGTAATAGGCATCAGGAAGCCTTCTAAAAATCAGTGATCATAGGTCATGCATTACAGGCGTCATGGATCATGCAAAACATGCATGACAAACCTTACATCCTTCCAGACCGAGACATATTTGCAATGCATAACCGGTCACGCTGGTCTTTCACCAGCAGCGAATGTGGGTCGTCGATCAGGGCCTTCCCGGCGTTGCGCAGCGCACTGCTGCGCCGCTCTCATCCAACTCCTTTTCATCGCTACTCATTCAGAGAGTGATGAAAAGAGAGATGGTAGCAAAAATGAATTCATCCAACTGCACCGCAGCGCAACACAGATTTCCGCACTACCCAGAATTAGCATGACAAGTTCCAGCGTTCCGGAGGACCCAGACATATTTGCAATGCATATCCCCACCTGGTAATATTCATCAAAATACGCGGAGTGTAGAATCCCATACGGGTCTGGCGTATAGCTTTCCCAATCCGGGCAGACCCCGCGTCTCTCGCAACACTGCTTTTCATTCAGCACGTTGTCGCAATTCCGAGAAAAACACAAATTGTCGCCGAATTTGTAGCCCTCGGGGTTTTCGAACTGATGAATCAAGGTCTCGTGTCCCGGGTGTGGGTCTGGCACTTCGATTTCCGTTTTTTCATGCCCGATGAACCCGGAGGGGATTTTTTGCAAAGCTCGTCCTCACGAGCTCGTGAGAAATTACCTCACGTACCGTTTCCGTTTTTCTCATGCTCGTGCGGTTCGGGGGCTGAATCGTAGTGCGGGTAGGTTTTCCAACTCGGATTCCGCTCCGACGCATACAAAGGTTCGCCATAACCCTTCGAGCTGCAGGAATCTTTGTGCGTGTCCAAATGTTCGAAGCAGTTGTCCACACACCCACTGTTCACGATCGTCGGGGGAAGAAGATCAATTGGAAAACTACGTGGTCACAACTGAATAATGATAGGCAAAAATGGCGAACAAGAGGGTGGGAATCCAGACCGAATTGCAAATCCGAAAAACAGGAAAATGCAGCAGGTGCCACACTCATGTCGATGATCCAGATCCATATAATTTATTGAGAAGGGATCCGGGTCAGAGAGTGGAGGAGGGTTTGCGTTAGAAAGTCGGTTAGGAGGCACGAATTTTCTGTCTGTGCGTTGCTGGTGTCACCGACGCCGCCAGGTGGTGTAGTTGGACTTGCATTGTTGAACAGGCTCGCGCTACTGCTCGAACTTAAACCTGAAATCATCTTCGCACCACCTGCTACCGCACTACTACCAGTACCAGTACTAGCACTCGTCCGGGCCTTCCCGAGCAAATCGAAAAGGCACTGGTAAAAATGTCTGCTGGCGTTCACCAAGTAGAATTCCAATTTCGACGCGTCAAAATCCTCCAATTCTTTTCTCAAATCCTCGTCGGAAATCGTGAAATCCTCCACGTTAGTCAGGCTGCAGGCCTCGTATAACAGTGCACACCCCCCCCTCCCCCTCATTTGTCATGCAAAATACTCAATCCACCCTTTGCTTCTTGGCACTGTTTGCATGACAAGTTCTGGTAGCCCAAGTAGCACTACAATCCAGCGCAAATCTGTCATGCAAAACTGGCATTCTTGCTGATGCTTGTATTGCCGTTAATGCTATACAAATGAGGGGGAGGGGGAGTTGTGCACTGTTATACCTCGGTGAGGAAATTCAAGAACCAAGTCGTCGAGGCACGACCACTCGCAGAATTGAAATTATGTTGAGGAGCTGCAGCGGAAGTAGACACTATTGTTGTTGAGCCGTCTCCTTTTTGTAGTAGTGCTACCGGTCGGCGTGCTATGTAAGGTTAAGTCCCTAGAGCACCAGGGGAGCTAAAAAACAAGTTCTTCACCGCCGGGCGCTACGCTAGTACGATTGTTTTCCTTTTTTTTACTAGAGCTATCGCCAAACCCCTTCACGTTCACGCCTCTGTCTCAGATTCTTTTACGTATTTCCTTTCACTTTCTCGCACAAAATGTCACTTTTTTTTTGTTTTCCGCCACGAACCCTTGCTGCTCACAGCTTCCTCAACCTCAAGCGCGTTTTCTTCTTGGAAAACGCAGCACACCGCGTGCCACTACCGAATCAGCTGTACCTCCTGGTCCACCTCCATCGGTGCCGGGCCGTTGGCATCTTGCGGCGGCTGCCCCTGCAGCTGGCTTTTTCGCCATTCGTCCACCAAAGGTTTCAAAGCATCCTGGATTTTTTGCTGCATTTCCAGCCGGGTTACGCGCTCCGTCACCTGGCGGAGGTTGAAGGGGCTTTTTTCGAAACTGCGCACCGGGAAGGGGTTCTCGCTGTGGCCGTCCCGGTCCGCAAGCTCCACGCATAGAGCCCCAGCGTGGTACACAGGCTCAATGGACGCAATGGAGAGGGGCGAACTCGGGGCTGTAAGAGCTCCGGCGAGTGCTTTCATGAGCTAGACCTGATGGGGTTTGGCGTACCGGAACTTTAGGAGTGCAGCCGGTTTTTTCATGAACTATAGCTCGACCACGCATGCTATTACTAGTAGAGGCGGCTAACGATAGTGCTTGTACCCCACCCTCTATACAAATTGCCCGGGCCTTACAGCATGCTTACTGGGTGGGACTGGGATATTTGGCCATGCCCGGGCTTACTGGGTGGGACTGCCCGGGCCTTACAGTATCGCTGATCGCTGATCGGGGGCTTGGCGTACCGGAGCTTTAAGAGTGCAGCCGGTGTTTTCATGAACTAGAGCTCGACCACGCTTACTGTACTAGTAGAGGGGGAAGAAGATCAATTGGAAAACTACGTGGTCACAACTGAATAATGATAGGAGCGAGGTAACAAACCCAAACGAGAACTTCGCGGTTGAGTTCTCATCCGGCCGGCCGGCCGGATGAGAACTCAACCACATCTGTGGCGGATTGAAATCGGCCGGCCGGTCGTCCGGGTCCCCTTCTTCCCTCCTGGTCGACGGCCTCACTCTTCTTCTTGATTGTCACCCCCCAGCTGCGCAGTTTCACTTCTACGCAAAAAGCCCGAGCTTTGTCATGCAAAAGCTGCGGCAAGTGCCTAAAGCCAAGAAGCAGAAGCTGCGTTGTTTGCTACTTCTACTGCGAGTCGCCGGAAAAGACGATAAGCCTGGGGGCCCAGAGGATGGGGGCACAGCCCAACGCGGGCGCGCAGCGCTGGCTGAGTGACCATGCCGGCTGCGGCCGGGCGCCGACGAACCCCACCAGGAAGCAAAGCAACAGCGTACAACTTGCGCGCGCGGGCCATCCTGCTGCGCCGCCTTCGCGTGTGGGAAACGATAAAGATTGCTAGGGCGCCAGTAGCCCGGCGGAGGCACACATAAGCGCGGCCCAGGCCATTTGCATTGTCCCTGCTATCGGGTGGGGGCAGCTTTGGAGCCCGACGCGCCGCAGGATTCGGGCGCCGGCAGAAACAAAGGGCAGCGCGCGCGGCGCGTCGGAGATTGGTTGCCCGGCGCGCCGAGCGAGGCCCCGCCTCCCATCACGCAAGTCGGTGGACGCGCGAAGCGCGTCCGACCCGGATCCGGCGCATCTGCCAACTGTTGCGCCGAAGCAAGCATGAGCCAGCGGAGAGGCGCGCGGACGCGCTTTCTGGGCCGCGGCCCGCGCGGGCGCGCACAATGCGCCACCTTTAAAATTTTCCAACTTCTGCCCCGCTGCATAGCGTAGCTTCTCTGTATTCACAGCAGGCGCGCGTAGCGTTTTTGTGTTGCACACGGCCCCCGGCGAAAGTGGAGTGAGGGAAGCGTCGGTCTCCAGCAGGCCGCCCCCCCCCCTTTCGCCCGAGCGAATGGCGGGCCAATTGACCAGGACGACCAGCCGGTCGATTTCCGCCGCTGATGTGGTTGAGTTCTCATCCGGCCGGCTCAAGAAGATCAATTGGAAAACTACGTGGTCACAACTGATAGGTCAGATCAGATCAGAATATTACCGTTCGGTATGCTCGCACTCGTTGGTGCGGCGGTACAACAGTTTTTTGGAGAGAAACTCAACAGACACCCAGTGAGAGATAGATAGATAGATAGAGCTGGACGGACTAGTGGACAGAGAAACGACGAAAGAGAGCTATAGTGGGCCACTACCTGTACTCAAAAATAAAAAAACGTTGATAAAAAGTAAAGGAAAAAGGACATCTTACGACCTTAATTGAGAACTAGCCTTTTTGTTACAGTTATACTCGTGAGCGAAAAATACAATTTTAGATGGGGACCAGGCGGCGAGCTGTGCGAGATCTACTTTTTGAACCTTTTGTAGTGAGGAGAACTAACTTTTTCACGTATTTTTCGGACCATAGCATGCGGACAAGGCGAGACGTTTCTACTGGAACAAGGTGTAGACGAGCGCTTTAGCGGGGAGATAATAATACTTCTACTTACCACTAAAAAAGCGCACGCTTTTCCATACACAAACTTCTCACCTCCTGCAGCAACACGACCCTCACTTCCGCTCGCTCGTATGTCTGCGTATTGGTAGAAAAGCACAGGCGGAACTCGCATCAGGCATCGTGATTTACTACGCAATCCCGCTCCCTGCGGTAGCGCCAGTTGGATATTCCGCCGCATGATGCGGATGACCAACTCGTAGCAACAGGCGAAATCGCTCGGACTGCGACGATCGCCCTCAGCAAAGCCGGAGCTCAGGTAGTAGACTTCACTCAGTCCCCGCGACGTGCGGCAGCGGTAGCGTGTCAACAGGTGGAGACGGCGCGCCGCCATCCCGTACGCTGTACCTTCCAAACCCCAGACCTGGAGCAACTTTTTGAAAACTGCCTGCGGAAAAGACGGATACGCCTTCTGCACAACCCCCTCCAGAATAGGAGGAGGCCTCCAGAAATAGGGGGAAGAAGATCAATTGGAAAACTACGGGTTCACAACTGAATAATGATAGGTAAAAATGGCGAACAAGAGGGTGGGAATCCAGACCGAATTGCAAATCCGAAAAACAGGAAAATGCAGCAGGTGCCACACTCATGTCGATGATCCAGATCCATATTTATTGAGAAGGGTTGACGATACGCCTCCTTCTACCCCTTCCTCGTTCTATCTGAAGAACCTCCCGCAATCCCATGCTCGTCACACTCTAGCTTTTATAGGAGGGGAGCTTTTTTCTTGTCCTTGGAGGTGTACAACTTCTTACATATACATGATCATCTTTATGAAATAAAGCTTGAGCTCCGATTCTGGATTGCCTTTCATGATCGATCGCTGCTTCCTCAAACCTACTTGCAAGCGGCCCCGTCTCAGAAGCGACGTGACACACTCCTAGAGAAAAAGAACAAGATGCTGAGCAGCCTTCAAGAACTGCAGGCTGTGTCAGTCCTCTCGGAACGGTGGTAGTCGTGCAAACAATTCGGATTGTTGAGACAAGGTGCGGGCTTGATTTTTTAGTGCCACCTTCCGTGTATGGTAATAACTGCGGAGTTTTTCCTGGAGTTGTCCCTCCACAGCTGCAGATGAGAGAGCCAGCAGAAGCACGAGCAGCACCAGGTTGTTAATGTGATGCGTGCCACACGCATGTGGAGTCAAAGTAATCTGGTGTCGTTTATTTGTTTCGAACTGAACAAGCGAAGTATTTAGCAAAATAAATCGCGATCGAGGCGAAACTCGCTCGCATTATTGATGATTACATGCGGAAGTATCGAATTTGTGTAGTACACGTCGGCAGCACATCATATTGCAGTTTCGGTGCCGGCTAGATGAGGTGAGAAAGCGTCGAAAATCTGGGACGTTGTATTTACATTTACTTTTTCTAAGTCTAACTCTAGCTAGTACGTAAAAAACATTTCTCATCTAGGATGATTGATGCTTGGTTGAAGTACCAAAGCAGGAACGCAAGGGGCTCCTGTGTTCGCTGCATAAGGTACTGTACGATTTATTAGCCGGAATTAGATGATCAAAGAGTTACGACCGAAATTGAAGCCTTCGAAAAAATCCGTGGAAAAACTTTTCGGAAAACCCCAAAAAGCGGTCGTCTCTGTGGTTGTAAGGTCGTTTTTGAGTGCTAGAACTAACAGTAGATCTTTCGAAATGAATATGAACCACTCTTCTACATTTTAAATTCCGCATGCGGTGAGACAAAAGAAAGGCGAAAGTAGCACAAGTAGTCGTGCAGTGCTGATGTAGGTGTAGCATATTAGTCGCTTGGTATTTTTTATCTGGGAGGACGATGAGCAGGTAGTACCTACAGTTGTGAACCCAATATCGCTTTAAGTAAATACTTACATTCTTGTCGTACAGCTGCAAAAATCTTAATTTACAACATGTTGGTCGTTCGTTTGGTAGTTGGTATAGCTTTAGCTTGTTCTTTACTTTCATCTGTTGATGCTCCTGTATACATTGCCATTGATATTTGTACTCCTACTCATTATAATTGATTCTGCCGTTCCAAAAAATCTGTTCTTTTTTTTGCAGCGATTCGATAAAAGCTTTTGTAGGCCGTTTCTGCTACAAGTGCTTACTTCCTCGAAGTAAGAACATGAGCCGGGTCGTGCGCGCCGTGCGTCGGCGTCTCCACTTGATCGATGTGCGTTCGCTTTTTTCGACTTCGCATAAATCTAAAGGAGATACTGATACAATGTGTACAGATTTTTCCATGTTGGGTCAGCATCTTCATGGAAGTCGCATGATCAGTGGAACAGAATCGTCGCTAGGTTTATTCCGGTTCGGGGACTACATGCAGAACAAAGACTAGAACTACACGCGTCCCGCGCCGATTGTCGTCTTAATTCGTAACACTCAACAGTAAAAGCAAAAGTAGAAAAGGAAAAGCAAAAAGAATCTCCTGAAAAATTAAGCCGTATTAAACCATCCTTCCATCTGCCACTCTTCGTCTTCCCATCCTATCATCTATTAATACAACACACGCACTTTGACAACTTTCGTTCTCCCAAGAACGCTATTTACGAGTACAACTATGCAGCCATGGTTGCGGTTTCCATTTCCTGTTGTCCGTCGAGGACCAGCACACCACGACGGTGGAGTAGATGACCGGTGAGGCAACAGAAGTCGCCTACAGATCCTTCTTGTCATCAATCTTTTCAACAGAAGAAGGAACTACTGGTACTATTGGCGCTGGTAGTGCCGGAGATGCCTCCTCGTCGCGACTTCCTTTTGTCTTTTCGTCCGCTGTCAGAGACGACGTTGCAGTAGTAGAATTATCTGTGGCCGCGCCAGCAGTCGCCGTTGCGGGCTTCATGATCCCCTTCTCGTCTGTCGTCGCTGCTGCAGAAGTGCTGTTGGTCGCAGGTGCGGCTGCCTCGCAACTATTCACCGTGCTAGCCGCAGGAAGTGATGGCTTTTTTGCACTGGTTCCAGATGACTTGTTCTCATGTACTTCCGCAGCGACTGTACTAGAATCCTTTGCCGAAGCCGTAGCCCTGGTTGCGGACATTTTGCTGCTCCCTGTAGTTGCTTCACCTCCTGCACTATTGTTCTTCTCCGGAACTGCCTCGTGGTGCTTGCCCTCGAGCAATAACTTCGACGTTGCGGTCGCGCTAGTAGTGGCAGAGGCTGCATTTATGGTCGCTGTTTGCGGTTTTTGCTTTTCTCCGAAAGTTTTGTCCAACACCAAGGATGCAGAAGTTGCTGGTGCAAGAACAGGTGGCGCCTTTATTCCTATCTTCCCGAGCGCCTCCTTCGCAGATGCCAGGACCGCCCTCGCAGAAGATCGTCCCGAAGAACTACAAGTAGACGTTGGTACTACTATCCCCGCAGCACCAGCTGGTGCACCCAACTTGCTCCCCTGCAAAGATTTTCTGCTCGGCAACTTCTGCAGCGCAGCTTTCTGCACACCTCCACCTATGGCTGCAGCACCACCCCCGCCACGTTGAGGGAGTTTCTGCAGGGGTCCGATCTTCATCTGCCCGCGTGGCGGTAGCTTCTGCAGTTTATTCGTTGCACCAGCAGCTCCCTTCGAACATGTTTTGCTCACGAACGTGACCTCAGCCGAGTCCGCATCCTCGTCGTGATCTAGCAGCTCTTGGTTTGATGTTTTCGCAGATGATGTGGCTTGTTTTTGTCTATCTCCTTTGACCTTTTTCAATTTCATCCCAGAAGTGGAGCTGCTGCTTCCTCCAGCGGTGTTGCTACTGTTCGCCTTTTGATGTTGCGCGCTCAACGTCGTGGCATGCTGTTGTACAGCCAAAGTAGATTGAATGTTGTCCTTGTTTATTCCACTAGTACCCGTAGTGCTGGTCCTTCTCTTCTTACTTGCTGCACTAGTACCCGAACGCGTAGCTCCCGCCGCTCGATTACTCGTCGCCCCACTTCTCGTCTTGCTGCTCTGCTGCGCAAGCACCTGCTCCGTGCTGCGGGTCTTGCTTCCCCGAACAACTGCCCTAGAGCTTTTGTCCTGCTCCCGACTTCTCTTCCGCTTGATTGCCGGCGGCAGTGGCTCTTCGTCCTCGGTTTTCGTGCCCTCGAGATTTAAGGATTTGTCGCTCTTCGAAGTTGTCGCGGTCTTATCTTCCATTTCGTCCGACCCAACACAACTACCGGACCGCCTGCGACCGCCACTTGAAGTTGTTTTATTCCGGGTCTTCTTGTGCTTCTTGTGGTCCTTGTCACGATGTTGACCAGTACAACTCCTGGAACTTTGCAGCCCTCGATCCTCCTTGTCTTTAGTGCCATTTCCTTCGTTCTTGGAACTGGACGACTTTTTGTGCTTCTTCTCCTTTTTCTTTCCGCTGCTCAAATGCTGAGCGTTCTTCCGCGCCTTTAAATCACGGTGCCTGGGGATGCGCGGTGAATTGATCACCGGCTCAATCCGCATACTGGGGTCGTCAAACGCATTTGTCTGGGGCTTTTCACCACGCCGCCGCTTGGGTTCGTGCTTGGAAGAAGAGGTCGTCCGGGTGGTCGGCTGCTGCTGCTGCTGTTGTGCGGCCGCGGCGGAGAATTCCTGCTCGGGCGCTGCATTTTTAATACCGGCGATAACGCTGGCGACATCCTTGTCTTTCGAAGAAGTAGTACCTGGAGGTGGGGCATCAATGAAATGTAGGTGGTTTCGGCGAGAGCGAAATTTGCTCCTGCGAGTTCAATTACTTCGAGGGCGAACGACTGATGTGATTCTGATTCCTCCACTAGAACCAAAAACTCCATACACGACGACCACTACCGAACAAAGATCAAAAAAAGTAGACCTTCTACAACCCACTGTATTTACATGTAAGTAAGTACCTTCTTTTCCCGCCCCCGATGCCGCCGACAGTTCCACCTGCCTTCTTGCTGCATCCTTCGCTGCGCTGATCTCCGCGTTTCGTCGCGAAAACTCCGTTTCAATCACTGGCGAAGTCCGGTTGCTCCGCGCGCCGCCTCGGTCACGACTTCGGTTATTGTTCATTGGCGAGCCACCTCCCGAAGATCGCCTCCTGCCCCTGGAATTACAATCTTTGTTACCCCGACCACCTCCTCCGCGGTGCCGTCTTCTGGACCTCGAGCGCTTGTTGTGGCCCCCGTGCCGGCGCGTGGAGCCGTGTGATGAAGGTCCACCTCTTGTCCGGTCGCGGTCTCGGTGGTGACTGTGATCGCGTCGACTGTGGTGTCCTCCTCTGTGCCCGCGGTCGTAGTGGTGTCCTGCTCGGTGCGCCCGGCGGTTGGTCGTGTCTTGGTGTCGCCCGGAATTGGAACTGGAATGCTTGGAACTGAGTTGTTGTAACTCTGCTGCACTATTGTTTCCGGGGTTCAAGATGTTGCTCCCCCCTCGACCAGTTGCTCCTCCGCGCCCTCGGGAAACCGAGGAATGATTTCGGCTGTCGCGAATCGCAGCGGTTTGCATCATCTGTTGGTCCTTATTTCCACCTGCTACATCTTCTTTTCGAGCTGCAAGGACCTCCGCCGCAGGTTCTCCTGCTCTACCTTGGCTGTTATTCTTCTGCTTTCCCCTGGACTTGCTGCTGCTCGCAACGCTTAGTAACTCGGGAGATGATAGAATCTCTTGCTGGTGCATATTATCCTTGTCATTTGGTACAATAGCCGCAGCAGAAGATGATTTGTCTAGTTTCGCCTTCTTGTTCTGTTCATTCTTGCAGTCTTTCAACATCGCGTCTGCATTTGGTGTCAGCTGCACCTTCAGTTTCTTCTTTTCCTTCCCCCCCGCCGGTGCAGCTGCTGGCGTCTCCAATAGATCAGGACTGCTGGTGCTAGTTGCACCACGACCGTAGAAGTCGCTGATGGCGTAGGGATTGGCTGTTTGCACGTTGTACGCGCGCTCGGACTGCCGCTGTTGGATTTCTATAAACTGCAAAAGTATCGCACTACTAGTATAAATTGCATTACAAATTCCCCCAGCATTACAAATTCAATTTGTAATGCTGATTTACCTTGAGAAAGTAGAGATTTGTAATGCAGAAATGCAATAATTGCTACGAGTACGATACTTTTGCACAGGATAATTTCCAAGATCTTGTTGTCCTCGTCGTTCTCGTGCATAATTTCCTCATCGCCTTCTTCTTCACTGTCCTCCTCGCCTTTGTCTACTTGGCTCGATCTCGATTTGTCCTCATCAAGATCTGGATTTTTTCGATTTGCAGGAACACTATCCTGTTCTTTTGCATCAGCAGAAGATTTTTTGGTCGCTTCTTCTTCGCCTTCGTGTTGTTCCCCATCCCGCTTTTTGCTTTTCGGAGCTGAACCGGCGGCACCGTCGTCAGCGCAGAGAACTGCGGTTTTTTCTCCAGCTACTGACTTTGTCTTGTCCAGCTTTTTCATCTCCTGCTTGTTGTTCTCGGCTTTGCTTGCTTCTTTTTGTTCAACATCTGCCGCAGTGTCTACTTGTTGTTCAACATCACCGCCTTTGGACGACTCTCCACCATCGGAAGCATTATCCTTAGCAGCTTTGTCCTTCTTTGTCTTCGATCCAGACTTTTTTCTCTTTTTCTTCGCGCCAGTTGGATTGCTAGAAGCTGCGCTCTTATGCAAGAAAAAAACATTGCCAAGTGTAACTTTGTGATGCGCACCAGCGACTACACGGATGCTCGTGTGTGTCAACTACATGCTGGGCATGCATTGTAGAGTCCATAATCCAAGTGCGTTTTATTCGCGTGCTATTTGCGCATGACGGATCTTAACCCTGCTCATGCCAAACAGATTTGCAATGCTGTTTCTCCAAAAAAGTTACACTTACATCTACAATCTTTTTTTCTTGGATAGCTCTGCACCGGCATCCACGTGCCATACACCGGATCCCATACCGCTCCCTTCTTTCCCGCGCTGCCTTTCGACGAAGCCAGTGTGCTGGTCGACGCGGAAGTAGTCGCGGTGGCCATATGGCCCGCCGCAGCTCCGTAGTACCCACCTCCATAGGGGTATATGCATTGCAAAAGTATCGTACTCGTATAAATGCATTACAAATTTTCCTAGCATGAGAAATAGAATTTGTAATGCGGATTTACCTTAAGAAAAAGATTTGTTATGCAAGACTTGCATTTATACGAGTACGATACTTTTACACAGGATAGGGTAGTGGTGGTGCTGATGCCCGTGCATGGCTCCGGGAACCACGCCACCGTACGGCCCTGCTGCGCCGAACATGGCTGCTGGGTTTGCGGCGCCCATGTGGTTGTACGCAGCAGCCGCACCTTTGTGATGGTGCGCCATGGGATGATGATGGTGATGTGCGGCATGATGATGATGATGATACGGGTAGCCCGTGGCCGGGTTGATCAGATGCGCCGGGTTCATCATCCCGCCAGGTGCACCAGTTCCTGCGCCGCCCTTCAACGAATTAGGACCACCACCGCCCTTACCGCCGCCAATGTGCTGCTGATTCAACAAGCCCGCGAGCAAACTTGGGTTTTGGGCGAGCAGATTGGAAAGCTTGTTCTTCTTTTTCTTCTTCTTCTTTTTCTCCTTCTCGCTGTCAGAGGAATTATCCGATGGGGATCTGTTGCGCTTCTTATTTTTCTGCTCTTTAGATGTCGCATTCTTGGCTGTCTGGTCCCCCGGCGGCGCGGGTTCTTGTTCTACTTTGGTCGAATTCATTTTGTGGGATGAAGATTCTTGGTTAGAAACGGCCGGTGTTGGCTCGTCCGCCGAACTCTGCGACGGCGACGCGATGCCGATTTCGTCGACGACAGAGTTAATTTCACTGCTGTCGTCTTTCGCAGAGGCTTTCTCTTGCTCTTCTATTTTGCCCGTCGTGTGGTCAAACTTGTCCTTCTCGTGGTTTTGGTTGTCCTCACAAGTAGAAGTCGCCGGATTTTTTGCAGCTCCTCCTTCACCCCCCAGGGAATGCGACGGGTCGATGACCAAGGAAGAGGAGGCGGACGGCGAAGATGCTTTGTTGTTTTGTCCAACTAGAAGTAGATTATCACCATCTTCGGGCTTGTCCACCTTATTTCCACCTGCCTGCTCATGGGAGGTATTCTCCACCAGCGTCGGCAGCTTTCCCGCTTTCATTTGTGCTTTTTCCTGCTCGAGCTGTAGTTTCATCCGTTCCAATTCCCTTTTCTGCTCCTCGAATTTTTCCCGCTGCTTTTTTTGCTTTTCCTTTTTCTTCTGTTTCTTTTTCTTTTTCCGCCGGTTTGAGGAGCCTTCGTCGGAATCGGAGCTGTCAGAGCTGGAAGAACTACTCTCGGAACTGCTGCTGTTCTCGGAACTGGTAGATCTCCGGTTTTTCTTCTTCTTGTTATTGTTCCCTTGCTTGTAAAAAGATGAGAAAAGCATGTCCTGCAACGGGTCTTTTTTGTTCAACTGACTGTGGAGCTGCTGCTGTTGATGGCCTTGATGTTGCGCATGCTGCACGGCCCCTTGATTATTAATTTGCTGCTGGTTGTGGCTCATCATGCTCGCGTTTTTCCCGCCCACTGCCGCCGCCGCCGCCGCTGCCGCCATCATGTTGCTGTAGTTCGCATAGTTAGTAGCTCCGGCAGCGTTGTTGTTCATGCCGCTCGCATGCGGTCCATTTGTTCCGCTAGAACCGGCTCCCCCACCGCTTCCCAAATGATGCGAAATGCTTGCCGCGGGCTTGCCCCGTTGTTCGGAGCCTATACCTCCTCCTGTGGAACTACTATTACCCGGCGCGGGCGGTGGCAGCAGGTAATTGGTGGAATAGGTTCCGTGCTGGCCCTGGGAATTCTGATTTGCCAAGTTTATTGTGTTGATTCCCGCACTGCCATTGTAGCTGGCCGTCGTGTTCGCCGGAAAAGTTGATTTTGGGTTGGCAGAAAGATTCATCGGGGTGTTCATGTTCTGCTGAAACGGCAGTTGTTGCCCTTGTTGCCCACCAGCATGATGTTGTTGTTGACCGAGTAGAGCAGGACCACCTTGTTGCTGTTGCATCAACTGCGGATTCTGTTGCGGGCCCACGACCTGCTGTGCTGGCAACTGATGTTGTACTGAGCCTGCCCCGGTCGGGTTTGGAGGTGCGTTTGGATTGAAATTCTGGGCAGAGCTGCCCTGATGAAAAGAAGAGGATGAGCAAGCAGCTGCGTTAGGATCATTCGAGGCCGCGTTCTGTAGAAGTACTTGCGGCAGCTGCGGACCAGGCATGGTCGTAGCTGTGTTTTGCTGACTTAGATTTTGGCTCGGAAGACTTTCGTCCACCACGCCTGCAGAACTTGCTTGCAGCTGCGACGAGGATCCAGTAGGACTGGTTCGGTGCTGACCAAACGTCGGGTGAGGAATGCTGAGGACATTCGGTCTACTGCTCGAAGCTCCTCCTGCTGTGCCCGTACTAGTATCGTGTGCCTGGTGCTGCTGCTGCTGCACTCCCGAAGATGCACCACCAGATGAACTCCCTTCCTGCAACAAGCCGACTCCGGGCAGCTGACAGATGGGGGTACTCGCTTTTGGCGTGGCAGCGGGGATAAATTTCGTGATCGTGTTGCCAGCAGCTGCATTCATCGTGTTGTTCCCAGACAGGGCACCTGACTTGCCACCCCCAGCACTGTTTATTCCTGCTGCCGGTCCGACACTAGTAGCCGGCGCGGGAAAACCCAGGGGAAGCAAAGAACCAGCACCGCTCTGCATCTGCTGCTGTGCGGCCTGTCCAGCCAGATTTGCCATGGTGTTGGAAAGCGTGCGGGTGCGCTCCCGGGCGGCATAATCCACTACTGGGGACTTGGACTTAGCAACTGTTGCGGCATTCAGGGGTAACAAGGCGCTGGATGAATTTGTGCTGCTCATTGAAGACGCGGTGGGAAAGGTGCTCGTTGTACTAGTTGCGGTCAAAGAAGGACCAGCAGTACTACCGGCTGCAGTGCTCGCCGCAGACGCGAGCGGCATCATACTGCCTTGGTCCCCGCAAGTAGAGGCGTTTCCGCTGCTGTCCATGGAAAGCGCAGTAGCTCGGGGAATCATCTGGTTCATCGTCGACACCACCTGCTGGTTTGACATCAAACCGGTATTAAGGTTCTGCTGTTGCTGCGTGTAGTTTTGCTGCGGTTGGCTCGTCGCAGGGGCCCCTAGAAGTAGTGGCTGCAGTCCACCCGAAGAAGATGAGCAAGCAGGAGAGCCTCCAGGCACCTCTCCTCCTCCTCCTCCACCATGGCCACCTTGCAATGAACCTTTCCCAAAACTTTGTTCCTTGCTCCACGAGTGCTGCAGCTTTCCGCCCATTTTATTCGTCCCGTGGAACTTGGATGACTTGAAATTGTTGTTCTCCTTCATGCAGCCGTTGAGGAGCATTGGGTCGTGTGCAAATTTTCCCCCAGCATGTAGCTGCTGCTGTAATCCACCCTTCATCGACGTTCCAGGTTGATGCTGACCACAACTCACTGAGCCGCCAAACACCTCCTCAACACCAGCCGCCGTACTTGTTGTTCCAAAGTTGTGCTGGCTTGCGATCTCGTTGGCCCGCTGAATCAATACGTGCCCCTTCAATGTCCGTTGCGTTGGGATGGGGCCATTCGGACCATCCTGCAGAGTCCCGACTGGCAGAGGCAGTGCTGGCATGGCGTCTTTACAACTACCGGAGGAAGCTGAGGCTAAAAATGACGTCGACGGCGCTCCTGCAGGAGCAGAAGTACTAGGGCCCGCTGCTCCGCCTAGCGGAATCATGTTTGGATTGATATTCGTGCTACTAGAAGCTGATGAAGCTGCACCAGGATCGGGGAAAGGTTTGTTGCTCAGTACTAAATTATTGTTCACCATCAAAGAGCTGCTCGAACTGCTACCCAACCCCATCGGGGTAGTCGACCGCTCCGTCGACGCTGGCGTTGGGCCACCACAGAGAGAAGCTGCGCTGCCGGTCGTCGCACTGGAGAGTGCCATATGGATTGCAAATATGTCTGGGTCTGGAAACTTGTAATGCTAAAAGTGAATGATAAACGCACAGCAATACGCAGCCACGCATGACAATTTTTTTGGCTGTCATGTCTTACGTATTCCGCATGGCAAGCTGCGTTTTTGCATGACAGGCAAGAGGGCCTTCTCGTGGCTGTGCAACACAGACTCTCGAGTCATGACAGACAAGCATGACAAACTTCCCTTCTTCCAGACCACCCAGACATTTTTGCATTTGATATGCCACAGAGTTTTGCAAGAACTTGTTCGCATTAGCCCGGTTCGCCAAGGTAGTTGTATATCCCACAGAAAAAAGCTGACAGGGCATATTTGTAATGCAAAAATAAATACACAGAAAAATCTGCATTGCATATCTGAAACAGCATGCTCTGGGGCCAAGCATGACAGATTTTTTTGTCTATTTATTTTTGCATTACAACTATGACCTGCCCGTTTTTTTCTGTGTGATATTGTAGTAGCCGCGCAAGAAGAAGTACTGGAACTTGGCGTGTTTGCGGCTACGACCACCTGGGAAGATGAGCAGGACAGTGCATGTGTAGTAGATGAAGTGCTGGCACCAGTTGCATTCCCATTTGAATTATTCGCCGCCAATGTATTGATCCCCTGTTGCGCAACCAACAAGTCCCCAGGTGGGTTACTCGCACACGACGATGATATTGCAGCTGCACCAGTTCCGGCAGGAGCCGTTGGCACTACCATCTTTTTTGTCACCGTGCAGTGGGGCGAGCTCGTCAGCAACTCGACGACTTTCGCGAGCAGCAATTCCGAGAACCGCTTTGGCGGCAAGATCAACACGCACTGCAAGTTGTCTGGTAAATGGTTGTTGGGACAGTGCAGAACGACCAGCTGCTCGTTGCACTGGCTCACGATCGACTTCGCGAACGGCACCTCCGGCAACGCCCACGCGGCCACCCGCCGGTTGTTCGGCTCCAAGGAGGCGAGTCGGTGGTGGATTTTGATGAAGTAGTCCGCGGACGGAGACTATGCAATACAAATTTCCCGTACATGTACAAGATGCATCACAAACTTCACCGATTTGAAGTGTAAAACCTGTCATGCTGAACTAGGATCGAAGCCAAGTTTTGTCATGCAGAGACCGCATTTGTACAACGTGTAGTACAGGAGATCATTTACTGTGGATAGGGACCACGTCTGAATTCGCGCGAGCCGGCCGGCGCCCACACCGTACACTTTTGCGTCGAGTTGGAGTTTGGTCCCGGGGTATTCCTGCTCCAACAAAGTCAGCATTTTCGGCCGGGGCGTCACGCTCGGGTTGGTCGCCGCCGGGATTTCGTTCTGCAGGGTGGCCAGCACCTCTGCGGAAACCATAATGTCGAGCTTGTAGAGCAGATACGAAACGGAGTGAAAGGAGTTCGCGGGGGAGTTGGACACTTTGCAACTTCCGTCCTCCGCGGGCGTTTGGTTGTTCAGCGTGGCTCATGCAGTGCAAAAGCATCGCACTCGCTTCGTACTAATTGCGTTTATGCATTACAAATTTTTTTGTTAAGGCCAATCCGCATTACAAATTGAATTTGTAATGCTAAGTCAATTTGTGATGCAATTTATACTAGTACGTCACTTTTGCAGTTCATATGGCTTTCGCCTGGTTGGAGAGCACGAGGTTGTTGGCGATGTTGCAAACCGCGGTCTTTTATGCATTGCAAACATGTCTGGGTCTGGAAACATGGAACTTGTAATGCTAGTCCTACACTCCTGTAAAATCTGTATTGCGTGACTAACAAAAAAGACGCCCTCCTTGGTCATACAAAAGCGCAGTTTCTCATGCGGACTGAGCATGAGAGAGCGTTCTGCAAACTTGTCATGCTTGGCTGCATTGGCAAATATTTCAGTCATCCACGGCTCAGCATCGCAAATTTCCAGACCCAGACATTTTTGCATTTGATATCTTCACGTGCTGCTGTCTGGCTGCCCGCTGCTGTTGGTCATCCGTGTCGTTCAGCTGTCCACTTTGATGTCCTACTTCTTGGTCGCAGGGATGATGCTGTTTCTGAACATCAAGCGATGTAGTTGTCCCGGCATTACCACAGGAGGTGCTGCTAATATTATTTCCTGTGGAGGTTCTTTTATTCCCTTCAACATCTCCACCTTCGCGAAGCGACGGCGACGATTCACAGTGAACCTTTGGCTGCGCTTGGGCTTGCGTGGTCCTCGTCGTGTCAGAACAATGCGGCATTTTTTCGGTCGTGAGGACACCTCTTTCTGCACAAGTTATTTCCTCAACAGCCTTGTTTGCACCCGCTGTGCTGCCCGCCCCTGCCTCCTGTCGTGGTGCTTCTGCGTCTTCAGTTTTCATCTTTGCGGAATCTTCTACCGAAGTAGTTGTGGTCATCTCGGCGGCAGCCGGCGCACTATCGCTTGTTGTACAATTGGAAGTGACCACAACCGTGGTGGCAGCTGTTACAACATCCGTACCGGTACCTGCATCCTCCTTACGACCAGCCTCGACGTCCTTGTCCCCCGCAGCCAAAGCCGTCGTTGCGTCTTCAGCAGTAGAAGTCGCAGCCTCGTGGTCTTTCTCCTCCTCCTGTGTGGTCACGACAAGAGCATCATCAGTTCTTTCCCCGGCGGCGGATAAAAGCTGCTCTGGCGCTGGTGCTTCATCACCACTCCTAGTTTTCGTGGTGCCCACAACATCAGGATTGTCCTGCTTGTTGGTCCCCTCGTTATCGTCGTTATGAGCTGGTGTGGCAGGATGCTGGCCATGAAGATCTTCGCCGTCTTCCTTCCTCGCAGGTGCAGGTGGTACGACCAGAGATTCGTCCTTCTCGGCCGGCGTTGTAGCAGCCTCGGTTTTCAAATTCTCTGGCTCTTCCCCGTCACTTGTGGACGACTCGAGGTGCAGCGGCTCGTGAAGATCCATGTCCTTGGACGATAAAGCGGATGAAACTGCGGCCTCTTCATGATGTTGCTGGTTAACGTTAACCTCTACTTCAGGAAGGGGGGACTGATGTTGGTGCTCTGACTCGTCTATCGAAGCGGTCTGGGCGGAAACATCTACTTCCGGAGATCGAGATGCAAATGCAGGAGCCGTACCACTTTTCAACCTTTCGTGCTCGTCTATTTCCTTTTCGTTTTCCATCGCTTCATTTGCATCCTCCATGACAACATCAGCTACGTCAACATTTGTGTTTTTGATGCCGTCGTGGTCCTCTACCTCTTGCTCTGCAACATTTACTATTTCTGCACCTGCGCACGGTGTGGGCGTCTCGTCCGCGTCAAGTTGCATTTCGGAAGCACAAGTCGCAGTCGGAAGAACGCACTGCTCGGGATTCTTCTCTTGCGCTTTTGAAAGACCGGTGTTCGCACTAGCAACATAATTCGCAGCTGAGTCAGATTTTTTCGCAGGAGTGTTGTCATCTTCATTTCCAACGACCTTGGAGACGCCGTCTTGGAGGTCGCCAATAGTTTCCATCCTGTTTGCATCGCCCTCCAGAGAAATCATACTCTGCGCCGCAGACAGGTTTTCGTTTTCGGCAGCAGACTTTTCGTCGGGCTCGGTGACACGCGCGTCCTCGGCCGTGGCAGGAGCTGCATCTTCGATCATATTACTGGTGGCCGCGCCAGTACTAGAAGTTTCCACAACTTTATTATTCGACGTCGTCGCAGAGGTTGAGACTGTCGTCTCAGTGGTGTTGCATGTTGCTCCCTGTGGAACTTCCGCCACCGGGGAGGATGAGTCCGTGGCCGCTGCAGGAGGCTCTTGTAGCTCCATATCCCCTTCTTTCATTTCCACATCAACATCTTTGGCGGTGGTCGACGAGTCAACTTTTTTCTCGACGGAAGCTCGTGCCTTTTCAACAGAATCAGCTGCTCCTGCCTTCTCAACAGAATCAGCTGCTCCTGCCTTCTCAACGGGATCAGCTGCTCCTGCCTTCTCAACAGGATTGGGCACAACAGCACCTAGCGCAACATTCGAGGAACTCGAACTGGGTTCAGAAGTACAACCTGCTTGATGTTGTTCCGCAACATTTTCTGCAGTTGGCGTTTTGGTTTTCGTCTCCACCACCGCATCAGCAGAAGGTGGACTTTCGGCCGCGTCCACCTCCGTGGTGTATTCAGCGTCTAAAATTTTTGCAATCTCCGCCGTCATGGCATCCGTGGTGCCCAGTGCATTCGGGTCGGCCAGCAGTTGCGAAAGGTAGTCAGCCAGGTAATCGTCCTCTTGGCTTGATGTTCCGGAAGCTCCGGATGAAGCTGCTTTCTCCTGCTCACCGGCGCACTTCTCAACTTTATTTTCCTGGTTTTTTGCGTCCTGAGGCAGACCTCCTCCAGCACTACTTGCTTTTTTATCTTCGTTTCTATCTTCGTCCCTCTTGCCCTTGCTGAGAAGCTCGTTATCGCCTTCGCCAAGCGAACTGCATGTGTTTTTGGGCATATTATCCTTTCTGCTTTGAGCACGATGATGTCCACCCGCACCAGCAGCGCAGGCAGCGGCATCTTCGTCTTCCCCACACGGAAAATGCTTCTTGTTGATGATCCCTTGTTCGAGAGCAACTTCTTCAGATACCGTGTTTGTACCTCCGGCCCCCTCCTTCTGCTCGTCCTGCTGTCGTGCTTCGACCGCCACGACCTCTTCCCCGTTCTTCCGTGATCGCTGTGTATCCAAAACCGACGTCTCTCCACTCTCTTGCTCGGCCAACAGGTTCCGCGTCCCGACGTGCTGCGGGCTGTGCTTCTGTTCCGTGGCAATCGCCGCGGCGTGCTCGAGCGAGGACAGGGAAATGGACGGCGGCGCGCTTGGATCGTAGGGGGCGGTGGGGGCAGCTTTGTCTTCGAGGGTGATCATATGAGTGACAGTTGTTCTTGCTGAACTTCCGTCCGTCAGGATGTGACTTGGCGTGGTGGTGTCCTTCTTGGCCACGTGGTGCGAGATTGTGGTGATGGTACCACACGACGTGGTCGTGATTGTCTTAACGTCGCGGACCTGCTGCTGTTGCCCACAGCTCCGGGGCGACGCCGCGGGGGAGGGCGAAAGACGCGGACTGCTGTTCACCGGAGACTGTTGCTGGATCAAAGCCTGCTGCAGAAAATCCAAGTTCTGGGCCGGCTCGAGAGGGGGCTTGATCATCTGCAGGCTGCTCGTGGAGCCGACGGCAGCGGAAAGATGAACGGCTCCTGGCTGATCGTGTCGCACTTGCACCCCCGGAGCTGCCGTGCCATTGGGATCTTGGAAGATGGTCGCTGTCGCTTGTGGTTGTCCACCAGCTTGTTGGGAGGACGACGTCACCAGAGTTGATGTCTGCTGTTGATGCCGCTGAGTAATAGTAGAACCACTCTGAAGAAGGAGATTCTGTCCAATAGTAGAGGCAGCTCCTGTAGTACTAGTTCCCGCCACTGCCGCACTCGACGTAGCAGTAGCGGCGACGTTGTTACAGCTTCCGTCCCCCCCTAGCAACACGAAGTTCGGGTTCGTACTTTCCCTGTTGAAAGAGCCACCAGATGTTGAACCGTACTTCGGCTTGAACGGTTCCCCGTCCAGCATCTCATCGCGCATCGGCATCACCCGTTGCGAATGCGGCCGCGCAAACTGCTTACGTGCCTTGGCTGCCTCGGCCTGGCGATCGCGCTCCTTGTACATGCGAAGGGACTCGGTCTGAAGATGAAGTTTTGTGTTTGTCATTTTATTTGATAGTCGTATTTCGTCCAGATCATCTTCTTTTTGTTCCTTCTTATCATTTTTTCGTACAAAAATCTTGGTCTTTCGAGTTTCAACACCACAAAGGGACAAAGTTACTTTAGAAACACATCAGCAACCGCAAATCAGTATACACTTTCTATACATTGATCTTCTGCAGACACTTGGAAAACGACGTGGCAATGGCTCCCGTGGTCCCCGTATGCAATGCAAAAGCATCGTACTAGTATAAATCGCATTACAAATTGACCCAGCATTACAAATTGAATTTGTAATGCTGATTTGCCTTGAGAAAGAGATTTGTAATGCATGAATGCAATTAGTACGAGTACGATACTTTTGCACAGGATACCCCGACCAAGCTAGCAACCGGTGCGTGTTCGCCAACTTTTCCATTTCCAGGCGCTTGCAGACGTTCAGAGACAGCAAGCCGGCGATGTCCTTGACTTCGGGCAGGAACGTGGTGCCCGCATTGTTCGCCGCGTTAATATTACTAGCAGCACAACTAGTACTTCCAGCGGTCGACGACGTGCCAGGAGTTGCGCCAGTATTTTGCACGACAAACAAACTTTGCAGTACGCGCTCCGGAAGCAAAGCGTACACCACAATCTTGCCGTTCTTCAGTTCGGCCGCCGGCGCGTAGATCAAGGGAATCGCGTCGGAGATGTTCTGCACGGTACCTTGCAAGTAGACCGGAAACAGTTCTTGCTGCAGCAAAGTGATGCCGTTCAAGACGTTGACGGAGATGACCCGGATCCCGGATTGCTGCTTCACCTGCTGCAGGTTCTTTTTGTTGGCCTGCGCGAGGTATGACCTGCAAAAGTACCGCACACGTAGTGATTGCTATTATGCATGACAAATCTCTTTCCTAAGGTAAAACAGCATTACAAATTTCATTTGTAATGCTGAGCGAATTTGTAATGCAATTTATACTACGTACGATGCTTTTGCATTTCATACGAGGGATTTGGGGAGCATGAGGCACAGCTTCGTGATCACCTCCCCATTGTGGTACATGACCTGCGACGTCTCCTTGAAAAGCATCAACATGGAGTCGGGTATCAAAAGGAAAAATTCCCCCACCCAATATCGAAATGGAAATCTGTAATGCGGGATTTGTGTACACAAATCGGCTTTGTCTTGCAGTAGAGGACTGCAGACAGATACAAAGCCGGACTAGGGATGTTTTTGCGTAGAAGGCGCCTAGCAAGGTAGGGGCATTCTCTGTAGGCCGCACAGCATTAGAAATTGCCTGCAGAACGCGGCGGGGTTTTTTGTTTGTCTTCTTGCAATACAGAGACGATTTGCATTTGTGACCTCAAATCAGCATCACAAATTTTGAGAAGTATCCCGCTCTGGTATGGAGAGGGGGGATTTTTCCTCACAATATCGGGCGGTGTGAAAAACCGCCAGAAGTACGGCGTCTCCTCCAGTTGCAAGTCCCGTTCCTGTATGCATTGCAAAAGTATCGTAGTCGTAGTAATTGCAGCCATGGTGCATGAGAAATCTGGTTCCTATAGCTCATTCAGCATTACAAATTCCATTACTTCCTTCTGGAAAAGTTTGTAATGCTATTTCTACTAGTACGAAGATACTTTTGCGATGCATATCCTGCAGCACCGTGATGTCCTGGGGGAGCTGCTGCTGGGGCAACAGCCCGCCCGTCGTGCTGGTCGTCGCAGCGGAAATCGACGCCGTCGGTTGTGCAGCTGTTGCACTACAACTTGATAGCAGCGGAGCAACCACAACTGCGTTTTGGATGCTGCTGCCCGGGGTCGTACTAGAGGCAGCGGCGGTAGTTGATGTGGTAGCAGAAGATGCGGATGGCGGTCCTGCTGTGGTACCTCCAGCTGCAGAAGCTGCACCAGCAAGAACTGCAGAGTTACCCCCTCCTGCTCCTCCTCCCGCGCCAGCTGGGCTACCCAAAGCAGCAGCTGCAGGCTGGTCCAAAGCCCGGATCACAATGGGATGGGACGCGGTGCCAGAATTTCCGCCGGAAATTGTGATGGTATTCGGATTCGGCTCCACCAATTGTACCGCCGGTGGGCTCCTGATGCCGGTCTTTGCAGGAGCTGTAGTTCCCACCGCAGAACTTGCCGTTGGACTGCGACTCCGAAGTCTGCTGCTCGTCGTCCCTGTAGTAGTTGCACCTCGTCGTGCAGTATCCTGTGCAAAAGTATCTGATACTCGTAGCAATTGCGGTTATGCATTACAAATCTCCTTTCCAAGGTTAAACAGCATGACAAATTCAATTTTTCATGCTGAGAAAATTTATTGCAATGCAATTTATAACTAGTACGATACTTTTGCAATGCATATGCAGCAGCGCTGGTCGTCGTCCCAGCACCTCCTCCTGCTCGCTGCCCGCACAGCAACCCGAACTGCATCGAGTCTGGATTATGCTGCGCCAGTCCACCACTTCCCTGGTGCGCACCAGCCGCGGGCGTAGTACTAGAGCGAGCATGATCCAGGTCAATATTACCGACTCCTCCGCGATGATCACTACGCACAGAACGGGTTCTACTCAACAAATGGGACGTCGAGTGGTCTGAATGAAAATGTTGAAGACCTGGTGGCGTTCTGGATCTGGTCCTGGAGTTGTGTTGATCGTGCCCCGTACTGTGAGGTCCTGCGGCTCCAAAGGTGTCATGCGGAAGCTGCTCCACCACGGCCATCTTCTGGCGCGGCGTAGGAGCTGCACGGTGGGTGGAGCAACCGGGTGTCGTAGTTCCATGTTGTGTCGAATGATGATGTCCGCCTTGGACTACAACTCCAGGTGGCGGCCCGGTCCGTCGCGGCAGTCCTGCACCGTAGCGGTGGTCTTGGTCAGCGTTTTGAAGATCGTCGTAAGGATACTGCTCCTGCTGATCACCTCCCCGGTGGTGATCCTGTTGGGGACGATGTTGATCCAGCTGCAACAAAGTTGGTGGATACTTGCTCTTATGGCCCGCGGCCTGCTCTCGCTCTCCGAGATGTAGTTGTTGAGTTCCTGCAGGCGGAGGACAGCCACTGCGTCCCGCCAGCGACCTGTCCATCTTCAGGCTGTTACTGAAGAACGACGATTTATTGATACGGTCTTCGTGGTGTGAGTCGAAGGGAAAATGGTGGTCACGTGCCGTCGTGCTGTGTGGCGGGTGATGCTGATCTAGTACTCGGTCGTGCAGATAATCATGATCACGAGGAAGGCTATGGTGGTCCAGGTGGTGATGATCCAGCACACCAGCCCGGGACGAAAGCTGCTGGTGGTCTAAACTCCCTGTTACGGCCGAAAGCTGCTGGTGTCCTAACTGCTCACCCCGAAGGTGGTGGAGTGCTCCACCTGGGGCCGCGGGGCCGCCACGGTCGTGCCGTCCGCCGTGGCGGTCTGCTCTACTAGGATGGTACAACCTGTTTTCGACGTCCCGGTGCGCTGCATCTGCTCCGGGGTACGGAAACGTGGATCTGGTCTGTGGAACTACACCAGCGCTCGGAGGTCCAACTCCGTGGACATCATGGTCGTGGGCCGCAGATGAACTACCTCCTGGAAGATGATCACCTCCATGATGCTCCCGGTGGAAATTAAAATTGTTTCCACGACCACCGCCCCTGTGAAAATTGTCCCGGTGCTGGTCGTGGTCGTCCCCACCACGTCGAAGATGTTGATGCGGCATGCTTCTGCCGCTCGCGCTATGCATTGCAAAAGTATCGCACTTGTAGTAATCACAGTCACGCATTACAAATCTCCATCCCACGTTAAAACAGCATGACAAACTCCATTTCTCATGCTGAGTGAATTTGTCATGCGATTTCTACTAGTACGATACTTTTGCAGTTCATACGCACCCCGAGACGACAACACCGGATCGCCCCCGCCCCCGCCGTGCTCGGACATCGCGCGCTGCTGTGCCCAGAGCCGGCGGATGCTGTTTGGGGACCCGGTCGGGGACTTCTGGTGCCCCATGGGTGAGTGAATGTCATACTCCGAGCCGCCGCAGCCGCCCTGTGGTGATTTTTTCAAACAAAAGCAAATCATGTTACTTACAACGTGAACGTCAACTACGTTCTCGTCAACCGGAACGCATATAAAACCAAATCTGTCCGACTAAAATGTTCCCCGCTTTCGTCTGTAACATCAGCACGACGACCAAGATGAACAACAACAATACCAGTGGCGCTACATAGTCGCACAGCAACTTGTGCACCGCCAAGCAGCAGGAGTCCAAATCCCCGTCAATGACCAGCAGCTCATCCGCCATGCCAAATCCCGCCACGTCATGCCGCAGGGAGCTCGGACTGTGGACGTGCTCGAGCGTCAAGATCGTGTTGGTGGACTTTTCGATGGACATCAAGATGTGCTCTCTACTCTCCCCATCGAGGTAATTGTCGTGCTTGTGGTGGCCAGCACTTCCACTGCTGTCAAACATGCCCGTCCCGAGTTGCAATTCCGGCATAACCATCTTCATTTTGACGACAAATTCTTGCAACAGGGTGAACACCTGCTGGATTGCACGGGTAATGTTCTCGGTCGTGTCACCTATAATTGTTTTTTGTGTAGTTCGAGTTTTGGTTTTATCCAAAGACCACCCCAACTGTTGAGCAAAAAAATGTACAAGTAAATAGTCGAGCTCCATTTTTCTTGGAGCGGAATGCTAAGGGAATTCGAATTGCTATAATTTCGCACTAAAGCATGAGCATCACGAAGCAGAAACTATACCGCCAATCGCCAGTCTGCGTGGGGATTCCGAATCTACTTCCTGGGGCAGAAAGGCGACGCGGGTGGCATTCGCTTTCAACCGCATGTCTTCCAAAACCTGTGAATGATATAGATATTTCACGACATGTTGAAGATTTGAAACTGGATTTTTATGTACCTCCACAACCACGTCTACATCAGGAGTGTGAGAAGTACTATATGGAATGCTATTACTAGATGAAAAAAATAGACACGTCGACCACACTCGTCCCTAGTAAATTGCAGCAAAATGATCGGCTTAATTATACCGGCAAAGTAAACAATGTCACGTCGGATTTGGGGATGACAAGCTGGATGGAGTAGCGACAAGAAGGGCCGTTCGACGTGTCGTCGAAGCCGCCCTCGAAGATGCTCGTCGCGTTTGACAAGATCGTATCCAGCATATTTTCCTCGTCTCGCGACTGCCCCCGAGAACTACAACCCAGACGCAGCCGGAGCTTCTGCTGGGCGTTGTGGTTGTGGCTTCCGATGGAAACCCGGTGATATTGTGGAAGTCTGGTCGTGTTGCTGGTGTTCTTGTGATCGTGCAGATGAACAAGATGTGGTCCAGCATCACCATGATGGCCAGTTGGAGGATGATGTTGACCACCAGAACTACAACCCGACAGCAGAAACCCGTTGCTGCTCGCATCGCTGGCTGCGCGGTGCCGGAGGTCTTGCAGAGAGGCACCACGGTCGCGCAGGCGTTGATACGGACCCCCTCCGAGCTGGGGGAGGCGTGTATGGCGTTCTCAACTGTTACATTCTGAACTGTTACATGGATTTGTCATGCAAAGCCAGCAATAGGGAAAGGGGAAAGCTTGCAAGTCTTGCATCACAAATTTGGCACGGATTTAGATGCTGTTTAGCCATTCGATGACTTGTCATGCGAAGCAGCTTGATCGTCTTGCGGATCATGGTCATTTTGCATGACAAATCATGTAACAGTTGAGAATGAAACATTTGAGAACGCCATAGCGTGGCGGGACGCCCTGGCGGTGCGGGTGCTGCGATGTAGTTTTTACGGTTAAAAAGTGCGCATTCACAACTTGGATCACACATTCACGCATCGGTCGTGTCTACAAACATTAACATTTACCTGCTCAGGAGTCATGCAGCAACAGCATAAAAACGAAAACAAATACGAATACCCCTTTCCCGTGATGATCAGCCTTTTCGATGAATTCATTAATCGAGTTCAGCAGCGTGTGCATCGGTATCCTGAGTAAAAACGTACCCACACCAGAGTTGTAATGCAAATCTGCATGCTGAAAATGTTTCTCATGCGGAGCCCCATGAGAAGCAGTTTCTAGTCGTGTTTTGCAATTTGTCATGCTCCAATCAGCATGGTGTGCTAGGTCTGTGATGCTGCTGAGCTAGCTCAAACAGCACTACACTACGAATCCAAATTTGTGATGCAAAACAGCCAAAACCTGTGGATTTGTCTAGCCGATTCCCCATCTTGACTATGGTGTGGGTACGTTTTTACTCAGGATAATCGGGTCTTCGTAATTAATCTCATCGACCGGGGCGTACTCATCTGCATTTTTCATTTTGATTGCATGCAAAAAAACAAAGGTGTGAAATAAGGAATGTCACATGCACGATGCGCATTGACGAGAATGAAATCCAATCTGTCATACAGTGCTTGTGAAGCAACGACTGAATAGTTACCATCTGCCAACTCGTCTTCTTCGTCCTCCGCCCCCGGAGCGATAGTCTGATTCGCATGCGCTGGTGCGACGACACCCGTATAATTTTCCGCTCCCGCCCCAGCGGCGCCGTTCGACATCATCCCTGCATTGATGATGTTACCTTGTTGCACCACTCCCCGTTGGTTGTGGGGTACGGGCACAAGCTTCAAGCTCAGCGCGGAACAAGGTGGAGCAGAGCTAGCGTTGCCTTCTGGTTGTTCTTCTGCGTAGTTGTTTCTAGCACTGGGATTTTTATCACAATCTGATGAAATAAGAGCCTTTTCTTCTTTATCCTCGTCGTCCTCCCGGTCCCGTGCAACTACAAGCCCAGCTGCTGGCGGGAGGGAGCATGGCACCAAAGGCGCCTTGCTGTCAAGACCTCCCGTGTGGCGAAGGTCATGATCCTGCTGGAGGTCACCTACAACTTCATCTGCCATAATTTCATCGTGGCGGAGCTGCGACGAGAAACAAGCTTGACGCTCTTCGGGCTCGAATTCGGCGTTTCTAGTACCCGGACAACTGCAGTTGCAATCCTGATTTTCATCCACATACTCGTCCTCGTCCTCTAGTAGCATTTCGTCCTCCGACACCACCTCTCCCAGGATCCCCAAAGTTGCGTCCAAAGTCTCGATCACTTTGCTCTCACAGGAAGAGGTGGTCGACATCTCGAGCTGTACTGCAGCTTCGCGATGTTGATCATGTGCCAGATCGGGGGACGACGCGTGTTGAATCGCGTCTTTGATTTCCTGGTCGAGGTGGGCAGCTGGTGGTGCTCCTTCGCCCCCGGAGACCGCGTGAGTATCCAGAGGAATCATAGAAGCACGAGTAGAAGTAGCTCCGTGGCCGTCATCAGAGTTGATGATAGCCGAAAGGAGTTCCTGCTCCTGCTGCCCGTCAGAAGTGATCGCGATCTCACTGCACAAATTTTTCCCGGTTTCTGTACTAATATGTCGGTCGGAGGTCTTGAGCTCGGGCTCCTTGTCGGCACCAGAATCCTGCTGCTGCTGCGGCGTTGCCCCCGTCCCGAGAGCAGCGGTGCCGTCGTCGTTCTCAGTGCTGGCTATATTCTCTTGATGTAGCGGTTCCATTTGCAATTTCTTGTCGTCGTCGGTGTTCTCCGTGTTGTAGTAGTCCTCTCGTCCCGAAGTAGAACTAGAAGCTGGTCGTGGCAGAGTGGTAGTTTCTGCCGCGGTGGACATTCTTTCTTGATTCGTTTCGAGAGTAGAGTGCGCTCGCGGTTGTTGCTCTCCTCGAGGAAAGGAAATAAACAACCGACTGCGAAACGTCGCTTCTAAATCGCTTTTCTTTTCGTAGTACAGCACAACTTTACAATAGATATTTTCGTACACAGTGTGGTAGCTCCTCTTTAACGTCGAAACAAACTGCACTCAAACTCGATCGAACGAGCCGCGTTGCTGTTTGCAATTTTAATATTTTCGCCTATTTGCTTCTGCACCTAAAATTTTTTTGGTGAATCAAAAACAAAATTCAGAAAGACCACTAAAGTTGTCATGATGAAAGCAGCCGACAGACAATGCCGCGCTTGCCTTGCCGACATCGTGCTATCAAATATTCGATGCCGCATAAAAATTCGAGGACGGTCATGTTGCCAACAGTACTCCTATATAGTACTTTCTGTCGGCACGAAACGAAACGAAGATAGCGCCACCAAATACAGTGCTTTAATACTACTTCCACCTTTTTGCGCGGTTTGTTGTGCTCTCTCTCTGACGCTCGCTAGCAGTGATCGCTTGGGCTTAAGGTCTTGGTGCGCCACCAGGTTTGCTATCACTACACTGGTCCCTGCTTCTCTCTCCTCGCTACACTGGTGTCATGGTTCTTTGCGGCTATAGAGTTACTACGTGCTAGAGCTCCTTCCTCGGCAGAAAATAATGATCTTCGACTCAGCATTTTTGCGACGATCTTCTCTGTCAGAGCTTAGGCCGAAATGGAAATCAAAAAAATCTTCAAAAAAAACATAAATCATGTACAAAAAATCTATCTATGAAGAAGTATGAATGAAGATAAGAAGGACGGCATTCCGGGGACGTCGAGACGCAGGTTGATGACGGTGATCGTCCTGATGCGCAGCTGGGAATAAGTACCTGGTGGTGGGTTGCGTTTAATACAGCAGGAAAGATGAAGATAGATGTGCAGGTCTTGCACTGCCGCCCGTCTCTACCTGCCGAGGTCGCGTGTATCGAGACATTCCGCCATGGTACTGGAACCCGGACTGAAGCGCAATGAAAGCTCCACGCGTGGTCGCTGGGCGCGAGAAGGAGGACCTGAGACTGGAACCGAAAAGAACTTGAGCCGCCCTATAATTCCTGCACTGGCAGTACTAGCAGTTGTGTGTTGCTGCATTGATGTTGATCTGCAAGAGCAAGTAGAGTGGGGGACGTACTGCGCCGTGGTGCAATATGTTGTAACAAGGCTTGCGCCACAATCCCGGTCGCAGAATGGCAATGGCGGCCGGCGGCGAGGACGACGACCGTAGGGTATACTATATTCAAGGCACAGCTTTCCGCTTCGACGTGCCAGCTTCTGCCGGTAGGAACAAATACCAATCGGCTTCTGCCCTAGTCGCGATGATTCGAAGCGCGTCTGCCATTTGCCGCCGGGTCGCCCGTGCCGACAGGCGCAATCATCCCGGCCCGCACTCGCCTAGTGTTGACGCCAGAGTAGTATACGCGGCCATTCTTCCGAATTGTTTCTACGACCTATCGCGCTCTACTTTCCTCACACATAAAAGTACCTCCTAAGTCTTTTTGAATTCGCAGGCCGGCGCAGCTGCGAAATAAATCTTTGTTCATTGTGAAAATGGAAGCTCGGCCGAGCGGGATCGCCGAAAACAAGAAAGTCGGTTGTCTACTAGTGTAACATCGACGATCGTTTGCTTCTCGTCAGTTTCTTGTTCGGACAAGAACCAGCAGGTCTAGATCCACGAAAAGATTGGAATCCGTACCAAATCACCACCGGAAATAAATGATGAAACCAGCGATCTGAAAGTCAAGTTCCAGAATCTTCCACTTCTGGAGTAGTTTCTCCTCCAGTTTTTCGCTTTTCGCACCTCTTATAGTTTTGCAGAAGCTGTCGAGGCGAGCGACTTTGTTTCAAGGTTTGTTGGCAGTTGTCAATGCCGTGGCAGCTGCAGTTGGTAATCTCCGAAGTCATCTTCGGACTCGGAGCAGAACACCATAAATAAACCGTCCGAAGGACAGCACGGATTTAGTCGTTCTTGCACGACCACAATTATAGCGCATGCTCTTGCGGCCAGGTAGCAACTCTGTCAACCGCAATTGTGGCAGAGCGAGCAGTACCAACAACCACCCGGTAAGCGAGCACTGATAGCTTCAGGTAGGAAACTGGAACACGGTAAAAAATGATAGTACTCCCAGACGTCACTTGTGCTTCTATTTCTTTATTCAAGCAGCGTAGAAGTACCTTCTAAGTAAGAAAGCAACTCTCGTCTATCTTGTATTTCTTTGGTAGCGGATGCTGTGTGGTAATGGTAAAGCAGATCATGTATGCATCAAATCCACTGCTGCGTGCTGTCCATGCCATGTTGCCTGGTGCTGCATTTCAAAAATTCTTACACCGCGATCGGAAGATTACAAAAACCAGAAGCAGTTCGCTATTTCATTTTCTACTTGTACTTGCTTCTCGCGCTCTGTCGCAGTAGCGCTGTTAGGGATAGCATTCGGATTCGGAAAGCGAATCGGTCTCTACAACTTCATGGCGCAGAATAGCAGAGGGACGCTTGTTTTTCATCACCTTCGTCGAAGTTGTTCCTGCGTCCATTCATCAATATCGGCGATTCGGTCGAAAGATGACGAACAAGTAGAACACTTTTAGAAACTCTTTTAGAAGCTTCGCGTTCGCTTTCACACCAACCAACGCAACGGCAAAAACACAGCTCGCAAGCAATTGGAACTTGATGTAAAGAATTTATTGTTTCTTCGAAATCACAATCGAGGTTCAACAGTAGAGCTTCCACGGGTAGTACTGTTTTTAGTGCTGTTCCTGTTTCCTCGATGATCCTAGAAGTAACATTATACTCGTTCTCGATTTTCTTGGGGGGAAGAACATCATATTGTATTTTGGGAATTCCTTTCCTCGCCATGATGAACACGTCGCTTTTAACAGGAAAGGTGTCGCTCGTAGCAAAACAAACTAAATTCAAAGTTTCTTTTTCTCTATAGCAAAGTCCTCTACGATGGTGAATGAAAGAAGTGTCACCAACTAGAACTACTCGCTTCTTCTATATATTTCAGGTATGACAAAAACTCTTCCCGAGACCACGCTTTTCAACAATCATGCGTGGTCCCCGTCGTTCGCGGCGGCCCAAGAACCAGCATCGATCTATCGAAACGTATTCGCCCTGCCCTGACTCGCTAAGACGTCGACGTACCTGCCCTGTGTTCGGACCTGTTGGTGCCCGCCCTGCGGCATGTAGCTACTCATTTGCGCGACGGTGGGCGGTGGGGCGATGTTGGACAAGTCTTCCTGCTTTAAGCGCCCCGTCAGCGGGTCATACTTGTCCGCTTCGGCGATCGAGGCCTGAGTTTGTTGTGCAGTTTTCATTGATGTTTCTCATGCATAGCACGCAAGACAGAGATTGATAGTAATGCCCCTTTCTTCATCAACATATAGATACATCATGATTGAACACCGCACTACAACAAAGCTGCACTGGTAAATTGAGCAACCGATGAAAAAACCTTCTTACCTGCTCCTGCCCTCTTCTGAGCCACCGTTTCAGGTTCGTGTCGTAGTAAAATTCCGGCACTTCTGCTATGGCCTTCTCAAACGTTACAATCTCAAACGTTACAGAATAGAGTCTGCTGGAATTTGTCTTGCATAATGAGCATGACAGACTCGCAGACCATGCCACTTTCTGCAACACAAATTTCGGCAGATTGTAGCGCGGTTTGGGACTTCGGAACTTGTCATGCGCAGTCCTATGAGATTTGGCTAGATCATGCACTTCTTGCATCACAGATTTCCAAATTCTATTGTAACGTTTCGGATTGTAACGTTTGAGCAGGTCATATCTGCTTGCGGCTGCTGAGCCTGCTGGCCCTGGTTTCGTGGAGTGTTACCTTCGGCAAGGGCGGTTTGCACCGTGTTCTTGGCCGTCTTAACCTGTTGTATAGTATGTGTTGAGGGATGAATTTTGCCACTACTGCTTCACAGAGAGAATCCACCATGTTTAATTCATCACCCTGATCTGATCATCATCATGTATCTAAAATTATTTTATAATACCGCTCCCGTGATGCCGCTCCACAAGTACTTTCCCGCGTTAATCAGCGGATCGTCAAAATCCTCTCCGGGTTGCTGGGGCCTCCTCTGCTGTTGACCACCTGCTCCCGGTGGACCCCCTGATGTACCATTGCCGTTATTAAAGCCACCCCCTCCGCCAAATTGGTTGTTCGCTGGTGGTTGACCGTACCCGCCATGTTGCTGCGGTGGCTGTCCATATTGGTTGTTCATTCCGTACGGATCGCCTTGCTGCATCGGCGGGGGGGCTCCGTAGGGGTTTTGTTGAGGTGGTTGCTGCACACCTCCATACGGGTTTGGAGCTCCTTGAGAGGTCGGGGGCCCCATAGTTGGCGGGGGCTGCATATGTCCATATGGGTTCAAGTTCATCGCCTGCTGTTGATTAATATACGGATTGCCGGCAGATGTACCAACTCCATTTGCGCCGTTCGCAGCCGCCCCATAGGGCGACGGCTGAGCAGTGGACTGATCCTGCATGTAGACCGGTGGCTGCTGCTGGTGCTGGCCTTTCTGTGGTGGCGGAGCGGTGGGGGTATACATGCTTTGCTGGTGCTGCCCTCCGGCAACATTTTGTGCCGGTGGTGGAACGCCAGAAGTACCAATTCCATACATACCTCCCGGCTGCTGCTGCACCATCTGCGAGCCGGAGCTACTTCCGTACGGACTGACAGCCGGCATCTGCGGTTGCGCCGCTATCCAGGAAAAAAACTGTGTAAGTGTAACTTAAACTTTGTAGGAAGAGCAGCATCACAAGTTCGTTTTGCATTACAGGGAAAATCTGTCATGCGCAGCTACTACGTTGAAACACGTATGAAAGTAGCCTATGACGCAGATCCAGCATGACAAGTGTAACAGTTTTGCAATTTCTGCATCACAGACTTACACTCACATAGTTTTTTTCTGGCATAGCTGCAGGGCCACCACCACCAAAGGGTCCGCTTCCGGTCGGTTGCGCCGGGGGCGGTCCACGCTCGGTTTGCGGTGGAGGAGCTCCTGAATTATTATTTCGCCCATTCGCTACTGGTGCTTGGCTCTGCCGCTGTTGTCCACCTTGCTGTGGAGCTGTCCCTGCTGCTGCGCTTGCGGTGTTGTTGTTGAAGTTATTTGCTGTTGGTGGATTCTGGAGCCCACTCGGCGAAGAACCCATAGGCGGTGGCGCGGTCTTGCCGTTTGCAGTGGGCGGCGGTGCAGCTGTGTGTTGTTGACCAACATTTGATGTTCCAATCGGCGGCTGCGGCGTTGCGGAAAATGAAGTTGTTGGATTTGGATTTCCACCCCCCGTTACCATTCCGCCGACATCTGGCTGCGGCAGCGGCGCATTCGCGGGCGGCGAAAGATTTGATGTAATTCCACCGGGTGCAGCTGCAATTGGTGGTGCCCCGCCTCCCCCGAGCGCCGGGTCGCCGATTGGCTTGGTTTTCAAACCGGTCGTTTCCAACAATCCCCGAAATTTGTTTCCAATGTTCCCAAAAAACTTCGGGTTGTTGCCGTCGCTGTCAAACGACGCTGACGGGTGCAACTGGGATGTTCCGCCGTTTGGATAACCCCCAGAACCTCCGCCCGTCGCGTGCGTCGCCTGCAATCTTTCCGTCAGCTCCCGCGTTTTCACTCGGAACGCGTCGCTGTATTTACTCGAAGGCACCGCCTTCCGGAACTCGGTCAATAAGTCCAGGTACTTCTGCGCCGTGTGGAGCATCGCGTAGTCGGTCAAAACATACGCGTAGGACATTTTCCAGGGTTGGATCGAAAAGGACAAGTTCTGGGGGTTTTCCAGCCGTCTCGCGTACTCGAACACCTCGGACAACTGCAGCCCGTAGGACGACCACAGCATGTCCTTGAAGTTCTCCGTCCTTTTGTGTTCGATCCCCAGGAGTGCGATCTTCGTGGCAGGGGAGTCCACGGGGCCGGGCGAGATCGGGCCGTCCTTGTTATTGCCGCTTGCTGAGCTGTTGTTGGATAGCAGTAGTATCACGTGACTCGCGAAGGGGTCCTTCGCGCCGACTTCAGAAGCTAATTTGGTCAGTAGATCCTCGCAGCTTTTTTCCCGTTCTCGTTTGAGTAACGAAACCGCGGTGAACATGGTGACAATCCAGGGAACGGTGGATGTCGAGGTGGTTTGCGGAATTTTCCCGGAGCCGACAATGTCGTACACGGTATGGCGTTCTCAACTGTTACATTCTCAACTGTTACATGATTTGTCATGCAAAATTCCAATCGTAATCGACACGACCAAGCTACTTCGCATGACAAATTCCCGAAGGGACAAACAGGATGAGAATCTGTGCCAAATCTGTCATGCAAAAGGCGCAATCTTCTTCCTTTCAGTTTTGCCATTTTTGCATCACAAATCATGTAACAGTTGAGAATGTAACGTTTGAGAACGCCATACACGGTGAAAAGCGCCTGGACGAAGACGTCCTGCTTCTCCGCGTCGGACGCGACGGTACTCCCGTTACTGCCGCCACTACGGAGCTGCGCACAGAAAAGACCCACGGTGTGGCTGTAGATCTGTGAGAAAGGTTTTGGAATTGCGGTCTATGTTCATCTAATATTTGGAGATTAGCTGGAAAAATTAGGCTTCGAGGAATGAGGCACGACTCAGAGGACACACAAGTTTCGTTTTCCGTGCATGTGCATCAAAAAAATTCTGCTACAAAATAAACTAAACGTACACATCACTCTAATCATCTCCAAACAAAATTCACTGTACAAAATCTGCTACCTCTTTCGAAACCAGCGGCGCGATGATGAGTGCGTGCGACCAGAGCCCGGCTGCGGCCGCCAGTTCCAGCGCTTTCTGGTAACTCCCAAAGGCTAGGTACCGCGCAAACTTCTGCAGCGGAGAATGGTGCGGCTGCTCTATCTGCAAAGTTTTTGCAGATTCACGTCCATTTTTGTTTTTCTTGATTTCAAAAATTGATTAAATCAACAGCACAGCTGCCTCTGTCATCACTATTTGACTTCAAAGTCCAACGAAGAAATAGCGAGGAACTCAGCATCTTCAATACTGTCGGCGCAAACGGCTTTCCGAACGCATCCACGAAGTTTGCAGCGGCGGTTTCCATTCTTCCGTTCGCTTCTAACAGTAACTGCAAGAAGAGCCACAAGGTTCTGCAGGAGAAAGCCACGTCCGCATGAAGTTGCGGCAAAAACCCGTCCTGGTCGTTGATCGCAGTCTGGGTTTCCCTCCCTGGCATCATCTGCTCCCACCAGGGCGGTTCCTCGCTTCCAGCTTGCAGGAATCCCCTGGTCTGGTTCTGCACGTACTCCAAAACCTTCGCCGTGTTTTCCTTGCTGGTTTGCCCCAGCGGGCCCGGGTATTCCTCCAGAGACGCGTACAGCCGGGAGGTGGTCGCGGATTGCTTCAACCCCTTCCCCAACTGGTACTCTTTCACCGTTGCACCCGTTCCCACGAAAAACTGACCGCCAAACCCAAACGTGCAGGCGACACCCGGTCGGCGGGTGGAGGGGGCAGTGGCGGATGGGTAGCCCCCGTTTGCCATCGCACCACCAGGAGCCGGAGGGTGCTGGGGTAGTACAGCCTGCTGCTGGAGGGGCTGCTGCTGATGAAAACTGGGCGGGGCAGCTGCTCCTGGGTTGTTGTAGGGCGGTTGCTGCTGCTGCGGTGGGGGCACGGGACCACCGGGAAAAGATGATGTCGCTGAGGGAGGCTGCTGTTGCTGCTGCTGCTGCTGCGCATAAGACGAAGGTGACGGTCCACTTTGCTGCAGGCTGGATGGAGGGACGGGGTTCTGGAGCTATGTTTTTTTTCAGTTATGCCAGAACATTTCTCTTTTTTTAGTTGAGTGCATATACATCTTGATGATCACTTCATCTTGTTCTGGAAAAGGTGTATATCAAGTGCAATTTAAGTAAGCACGACGTCCATCATGATGGTGCACACTTAAATCCATCATGATCATCGTCATGCTATGAACAGCATTTCTACCTGCTGCTGCGATGCAGGGATAGGTGCTGCACCTCCTGGCGCAACTCCACCAGCAGCGAAACTGCTCTGCGCCGCGGGGAAGCTGGTCTGTGGCGGCTGCGTGATGTTCATGGGCGTACCATTGCCCATCTGTGCCTGCACCATCCCCGCCCCCGGGATTTGGTTGCGCGGTTCAGCAGGCATCGGACCGCCAAACGGGTTCGCTTGTCCCTGCGGATCCGGTGGTGGCGCCCGCATCGACTGCTGACCTGAAGTAGGACTTCGAGCCGACAACATCGGGTTGCTCGCATTTTTTGCCGTCGCAGACGATTGCTCTGATTCGCTTTTACTAGAGGTCGGTATCGCTCGTGCAGGCGGGGCCCCGCCTCCTGTTTTTGGTGGTGGCGCGGGCATGAACTTCGGTTTCGGCGGCTGCGCGGTAGAAGTTGAAGTTGTACTGCCCACTGCAGCAGTAGATGTTGAGGCCGCCCCTGGCGGTACTGGGGCAGCTACTCCTCCTGCACCACCACCAGTAGCAGCCGTTTGATACTGCTGCGCTTCTGACGACGGCGTGCTCGTTGGAGTGGTATTCGACACACCAGCTGCGAATTGACTCGGCGTTCTGCCGCCACTCAGGCCGCCCAGCAAGGCCCCGGGTGGCGGCAGGGCGCCGCCGGAAAGCGCACTCGGTGGCGGCAGTTGTTGTGGGGGCAGCGAGGATGGAGGTGGTACCGCCGTCCCACCAGCAAGATGCTGCTCGCCGTCAGAACCAAACAGGCTGTCCATTGCGATTCTTGGTTTTGGCCTGCTCCTTAACAGCGGAAGTGAGTAGAGTGCGGTTTAGAACAGAAATATACCAACTTAAGCTGCCTAGCGTCAAGCTGCTGCTGCGTAGTAAAATCGTAGTGTCGTCTCAAAAGCATATAATCCTTGTTACTTTTACTACACTTACGGCTCCTACAACGAAGTACTTAGATCATCGAGACCGAAGAAGTTATCACATGATGATTATCATCTTCCAATAGCGATGTTTAATTACTTCTATTTTTTGGTTTTGCCTCTGCGACGCGGAGAAGAAGTGTTCTTTCTTGTTGCTTTTGATAAAGTTTGTCTGTTCCATTCACCGGGACCGGATATTGGTATTGCAATTGCTGGTCGAATGTTGACGTTTTCCATCAATGGGTGCGTTATTCAGAGATCTTCATCTTGCTCTTGGTCTTCATCCATCGTTGAACATCGTAAATGAAAAACTAACGCGTGACAGATCTTCCTTGCGATGCAGGTCGTCATATCTACACGTTCTGCAACTGTTTGTTCACATACTTAAAATTGTTATTGATGTCTTCCAAAAAGAAATTATCGAGCGAAGCCTCTTCAGAGCTGGCAACTCGCGGGCGTTGGAAGGCGCATCAAGACACGCACGCAACGCTCTAATTCATCGGATTCCGATTCTCGCTGATGATTGTGGTACGTGACACTTTCACTTATTTCCCAAAATCTTACATTTTGATGATAGATAAGCAAGCAAAAGTGCTGGCTCAGGCATTCATTTTCATTCTAGTCGTTCTGCACGAGCATAATTTATTCATAGCTGCTACTCCGCGCAATGAATCCGCATCCGGTGGATGTGGTTGTGGACATATAGACCAATAACAATTATAGGCACTAAGTACAATTATTTCAATTTTCCCCTTACTTTATTCCTGCCATGTAGCGCACCTTCAACTTCACCTCCCGCCCAGCGCAGTAGCCCACTTGGTCGGGTGCACGCCGACTTCCTCCTCAATGACGCGATAGAATGCGGTCCGGTCCGGTTCCGGGTAACTCACCAGTCTACTACCTAGCGTTTCCGCTATCGCCCCCGCCATGGTCGTCGCGTCCAGAGAACCTGCTCCTTCACCTGTCGGGCAGACGGACACGAGGTACCGCTTTTCCGCGAGGGCGAGCGCCAATTCTTCCTGGTGGTTGTCCATGAGCTGAGTGTTCTATGACAGTGCACAACTCCCCCTCCCCCTCAGTTGTAGGGCATAAGCAGTAACACAAATCCTGGCATAAATGCAGACTTTGCATGACAAAGCAAATGCTGTTTCGGCTTCCGGTTCTAATGCTGTTTCGGCTCCTTCCGGAATCTGTCATGCAACCAATGCCAAACAGAAAAGGGCGGATTTGGGTTTTCGCATGACAAATGAGAGGGAGGGGGAGTTGTGCACTGTCATATGTTCACCACGACACACAGCCTCCTTTTCTTCCGCAGCGCGGTCAAAATCGACCCGGCACCGGCGTGGGAAATGACCACCGCGGCGTTCGCAACGACGGTGTCGTACATCACGGGGAAAAAGGGGACGATGAAAATTTCAAAAGTTCTGCTAGAAGTAGTTGTACTAGCCCCGGTACAATCGGAAGAACTGGTGCTCGTCGTGGTGGTGGAGGTGGTGTTCCCCGCACTAGCTTTCCGGGTTGTGGAAGTGAGGTGTAAGCTTTCTGCTCGTTCTGCCGTTGGGGTTGGGGAAGGAGCTGCTGCTGCTGCTGCTGTGGTGAGAAAGAGTTCGTCGCGAATTGTGTCCATTGAGAAGTGGGGCGCCTGTGTTTTTATGTATACGTGTTTTATCGTCGTGCTGCCGTGGTAGTCCTTCTTCACTATGAGGGACGTAGAGCAATTGCGTAATAGTGAAAGGAACTATCGAGGCTACCACGTTCCTGCTAGAGTAGCATGGACAGGCTCGGTCTGAATAAAGTGGTAGAGGCGTCGCAAAAGTTTTAAATGCAAGTGGATGAGGACACGATTGTGAAGAAATGAAGCTGACCTCGTAATACCGGAAAATCTCAACATTAGGCAGTAGCTGCAGTAGCAATAGACTCTAGTACTTACCACGTTCGTCCGCAGCATTTTTGGCTGCGCCGAGGCCTCGCTTTCCAATCGCTCAGTCGCACCGCCCCGCGGCCCGGCTGCAGGGCTGCCAAACGAGAGCAACTTGCTTTTTATCACTCCTTGTTGCGCGAGGACCCGCGCGCGCTCCTCCTGCACCTCTCCTTCGGGGCAGAATTCGGCGGTAATTTTCCAAGCGACAGGTGCCGTACAACTCGACGGCACGACCACGGTGTATCAAATGTAAAAATGTCCGGGTCTGGAAGACTGGAACTTGTAATGCTGTCTGCGGATTCTAAAAATATCTGTGTTGCATGAGCAGCAAGAGGACTCAGTTCTTGGCACGCGGAGAGGGCGTTTCTCATGCGTAATTAGTATCAAGAGGCTCTCAAAAAATCTGCGTTGCTAGCACGAGCATCACAGACCTCATGGGTCATGCAAAATGTGCTTGACAAGCCCCGACTCTTCCAGACCCAGACACTTTTGCAGTTGATACAATGCTGTTCTTGACAACGTCGTCCAAAGGTAGAAACAAAGGAGCCGCGTCATGATCATTGTCCTGGCCCGTAGCCGTACCCGGCGCATCACCTTCGCCAGTTTCTACTTCAGCATTTCTTGCCAACAAGCACGCAGCGGGCACTTTCCCGGAACCAGTTTGCAGTACGATGCGTGAGATGTTCTTCGCTCTCAGCGTCTGGAAAACTTGAGTGTCAAAACAGGAATTGATGAGCTGCTCAAACTTCGTCGTGCCCACGGTCACAAACGCGTACGGTTCTGGTGGTGCAGCTTCAACAACATGATCCTGTTCGTTCTGTGAAGGACCAGCACCGTCCCCCGACATCCTGCCTCTTCCGTTTTCTCCTGCAGCTTCACGTGATGTAGATGTTGCTATATTAACGGGTGGCGCCATTCTGTACTTATTTGATTTTTTCCCTTACGACTCATAATTCTCGTCTTCTGTTTATATATGCATCATTTAACCAGAAGCTTTTAGTTACAGCGTTCTTGACGGCGATCGCTTGCCTGGTCCGATCCGCTTTCTTCCTCTTGTCTTGAACAAGAAATTTGAATTACTACGACGGAGGTGAAATTCAAATTCAGCTTCTTCTTTTTTCCTGTAGAACTACAAGGGCCTAGAGCAAGGGCAGCTGCCATGATCCGCGCTGCTGTTTGTTGCTGAAGATGAACGAAAGTGCAAGAGTGTATCCACCAAATGATCAACATAAAAGTAGAAAACTACTGCTTCATCTCGACGCACGAAGATCAAGCGACAGCTGCCGTACAACTCGACGGCACGACCATATCAACCATATCAAAGTTTACGCCATTACCCTTCCCCAAAAACCGCTTTTTTTGCAAAAAATTGCAGGTACGAAAAAAAAAAAATTCAAGCCCGTCCGACACCGCCTCCGCCGCCGCTCCGACCTGTTTATCTAGCTACATCATCATCGTCGTCATCATCTATATATATATGTGTCCCATGGGCTAGCTAGTTCGTCATCAGTTGACTTGGTGAAAGCAAGTAAAAGCATCTTCTTTTTTCGGTCCTTTTTGCAGGGTCTATCAGGGTGGGACGCTGGCTCCTGGCCCCACCTCCCAGCGCTGTCGGCCCAGTACTTCCCAGGCGCTCACACACCGGGCAGCCCGGCGGGAGAATGTTCCCGGCCATTCCCGGGCCCCCGGCCTGCCTCAGACTCGCCGATGCGGGTTGGGGCCGGTTCTTGGTCGTGAGCTACATAGCGTTCGCAGCGGCAAGACGGGCAGCAACATGCTGCAAGGGGTTTCGTCTTTGCTTCCAGGAGTGACGCGGCTGCTCCAGTAGAGATTTTGCGCGCACAATGTGCGCCGCAGGTCTGCGGACCAGGTCGGAACTTTTGAAAGTTCCAAATTTTGCGACTTTTGGAAAATCCATGGGGAAGAGGAATAATTCCGGAAATAAAAATCATTGGAATTAGGTCGGGGGAGCTAATGGCTTTTTCCTCTTCCCCACGCTCCTCTTCCCCATCATTTTTGCGACTTCGCGACTTCGCAAAAAAGATGGGGAAGTGGACCGTGGGGAAGTGGAAAAATGCATTTGCTCTCCGCACCTAATTCCACTTGATTTTATTTCCAGAATTATTCCATTTCCCCATCATTTTTTGTAAAATCAAGAGCAGGTGCAAATTTTTAAAAGTACCAACCTGAGCCGCGAAGTTTGGCCACTGAGCAAAGGATACGAAAGCAAAGACGCCAAGGCGAGAGCTTTTCGTATTTGATTGCGCTTGGTGTGCTCCACTTTTGTGGTTCACCCAAATAGTAGAGCTTGAATTTTTTGTAGCCGTCATGACAAAATAGCCAAAATCAGTTGTAGAACGTGTCGCACGCGGCACATACAGGAGGCGACTGTGGTGCAGCTTGGTGAGGCGTTTCCTGCGCGCAGCACAACGCTGCGGGTGGGGCCAGGAGCCAGCGTCCCACCCTGATAGACCCTGCAGAAAGGACCGAAAAAACAAGACCTTTTTACTTGCTTTCATTAACTGACGACGAGCTAGCTAGCCCTATATATATATATATATATATATATATATCTATATGCATATATGTAGATGATGACGATGATGATGAAAGTAGCTAGATAAACAGGTCGGAGCGGCGGCGGAGGCGGTGGCGGACGGGCTTGAATTTGTTTTTTTTTCGTACCTGCGTTTTTCTTGAAAAAAAAGCGACAGGTGCCGTACAACTCGACGGCACGACCACGGTGGTTTTTGATGTTCTGGTACTCTCTGTGCTCGCCGTTGTCGTGGACGAGTTTGCAATGCTGTTCTTGACAACGTCGCCCAAAGGTAGAAACGAAGGAGCCGCGTCACCATCGTCCTGGCCCATAGCCATAGCGCAAGAACCCGGCGCATCTTGTTCGCCAGCTACTTTAGGATTTCTCGGCATCAAGCACGCAGCGGGCACTTTCCCGGAACCAGTTTGGATTACGATGCGAAAGATGTTCTTCGCCCTCAGCGTCTGAAAAACTTGAGCGTCAAAGCAGGAAGCAATCAGCTGCTCAAACTTCGTCGTGCCCACGGTCATATGCATTTTTGCAAATATAATGTCTGGGTCTGGATTTGTCATGCGAAATTTTTTGAAAGAGATCTGTCATGCATGAGTGCAATGGGCCTGATTTTTGTCGCGCTGGAAGCCTGTTTGTGATGCTAAACACGGTGGAAGAACGCGCAATACTAAGCGAAAAATTTGTGATGCGTAGATGCTGCACAAAACATCGCTCTGCGACACATGTATGAGTCCGCAACACAAATTCGTGGCGTTTCTACTCCAGACGCAGAGATATGTAAGTACTTATTTGCATTTGATAGGTCACAAACGCGTACGGTGGAGGTGCAGCTTCATCCTGTGAAGTTGCACTGCCTGCGTTCATTTGGAGATCTGCCCCCGCTTCACGTGATGTAGATGTTGCTATATTAACGGGTGGCGCCATTCTGTATTTATTTGATTTTTTCCCTTATGACTCGATGTGGAGCCATTCTCGTCTTCTGTTTATATATGCATCATTTGACCAGAAGCTTTTAGTTACAGCGTTGACGACGATCGCTTGCCTGGTCCGATCCGCTTTCTTCCTCTTCTTGTCTTGAACAAAAAATTTGGAAGCTGTGAAATTCAGCCTCTCCTTCTTCTTTTTTCCTGTAGAACAAGGGCGGCCTAGAGCAAGGGCAGCCATGATCCGCGCTGCTGTTTGTTGCTGAAGATGAACGAAAGTGCAAGAGTGTATCCACCAAATGATCATATATAAAAGTATAAAACTACTGCTTCATCTCGACGCACGAAGATCAACGACGGACGACTGCAGCTCGCGGCCAGAACAGACGCAGGAAAATAAAAGATGCGCGAACGAATCCATCGTTACGAAGTGCGCATTTATTTATTTATTTAGATTCGAAAACCCACCTAACAGTAGCGTGGGCTTTCGCGCTAGCCAATCGACAGAGCCGACTATGGCAGCGAAGGTCTGGCAATCTCTGTTGTTCTCTTTCACTTGGGACTCAGCAGAGCACAGCAGCAGCAACAACCAGCACAGCAGCAAAGCAAGAGACTAAAAACTCAGGGCACTCCGACAGCTACAGCACAGCATAAAACGATACTACGGGTAACTCCTACAGCTACAGCAGCGGAAATACAGCGTAAAACAATGAATAAACAGCATGACAACGTAAAAGAAAATTTTCCTGCGGGCACTAAAATCACTAGACATCTACAGCAATCAAAAAACTCAAACAACCGAATCTCAAATTGCGGAAAAACACCGAGGACTGCTAAGGACTCAAAGGAAAAAAAATGCTGCTGGTCTACATTGCGCTAAACCTGCTCTACTCTTGCTCTTCGGGAAAAAAAAGGGGGTACATATACAGCGCCTTTCAATCAACCTCCTCCTCCAATCACAAACTTTTCCCTCCAAGGCCCCGGGTCGACGAGGGTGCTGCTTCCGAAGGTTTCCTCAGCGAACGGCACCAATGCGGGGGAGATGTCAAGCAGCGTCTGCATCTTCGTGTCCATGACGCCACTCTTCCTGATGGCGCCGTCCTTTTTGCTGGTCGCCTGAGGTGGGTCAACCTGGTTGAACAGCATGGGGGGCTTAGTCTGCGTGTTGAAGATATTCGGCTTGTTCACGTCGTCGAAGATGCTGGTCTTCGTGCTAGAGGATGATTTGCTGGGGAGCGTGCTAGTATCCGGACGGTTTTTGTCTCCGGCGCAGAAGTCCTTTGCAATCTTCTCCGCAACCTCGCCGAAGCCCTTCTGCTGTGTGGCTATCAGAGACTTTGTCGTCTTCTCTTGTGAAACTTTGTCGACCTTTTTCTCTTCCGCCTTCGTTCCCATCACCACATCCAGGTCCCGACGCAAAGCGGTGCAGACTTTCGCGAACGAATCCATCGTTACGAAGTGCGCAAGCTCCGGCAAAAATAGGGTGAAGGATCTAGTTTCGAAATGGAGAGGCTATTTTTTCCAAACGCAAGCATACCGAGTCAAAAGCGAACAACATCGCAACTACATCTTCAATTCTTCGAATCCGCATTGCAAATTCCTTATTCCAAGTCTAGTTTTTCCAGTTTCTAATGCTATTTTCACATTCCTCACACTGAATCCACATTCAACTGACTCCACACTTTTCACATTTCACTTCCTCACACTGAATCCACATTTTCACACTCAACTGACTCCACACTGAATCATGAATAAAAATCAAACTCTGTTTTCGTTTTTTGTGAAGCGAGAATTGTTTTTTCCACGATGAGAAAGAAAGGAGGAGAAACATAATTTCTCATGCGCGAAAAGAATTCGAAGATGAACAAATTTTCATGAAAAACGAACAGTCTTTTGGGAATCTCAACAAATGAAAACTGAACTTCAACACGGGCCTCGTCTGTGTTCTTTCGTTCGGTAACATTGGTGGAGAACCTGAATTTGCCCCATTGATTTGCCTACCCACCTCCATAGATAGTGGTAGCAATTTTCTCTTTAACAATCTTCGGTTTTGCTTACCAGTAACACTCTGAATTGTTAAAGTACAAAAGAAGAAGAAGAAGGGGCTGACCTACGACGCCCTGATGGCCACCACCTTCTTCTCCATCTTACAGTACGAGGCGTTCTTGTCCCACCCGCAGCTGAATCCGACCACCTGCATCAAGGACACCGGCTGCGGAGCCTGCGTGGGGGGAAGCGCGCAGGTCGATCGGTACGTCGACACCATGAAGGGTTTGGGGGTGAAAGCGAAATTTGTGGACCTTAGCAACCCCATCATCTTTGGTGGAATTGCGGGCTGCGAGCAGAAGGTCACCCGCACGGTGCACCTCCTGGCGGAACTGAAAAAGGATTTTCAGTTCTGGTTTTACTGTTTCATCCTCGAAGACAGTAAAACTCCAATTTTGTTGTCGCGGTCTCTCGTCTTCGACGATATGAAGGCGACGCTGCCCCGCAACGAAAACGGGGTGGTCTACTGGTCCGCGCCATCCATCGGCGTGGATCAGGAGCCACTGAAGATCATCAACAATGCCTTCGTGATTGACATGCTGCCGCTGGCCGCGCAACAGAAAACCGCCTGACTATCCTGTTCAAAACGACTACCACCGGTGCCGCCTAGCAAGGAACCTCACCGGGAATTTTCCGATCGGGACCAGAAGCAGCTTCTATTTTCAGTTTCATCTTCATCATCATCCACAACCACCAGTACAAACGAGTCTTCATATCCAGCAGTAAACTCCGAACAGCAATACGATACTTTCGGCAGCAGCAGTTTCTTCGTCCCGGCACTACAATCATCTCCTGTACATCCAGCAAACAAAGCATCTTTATCGCGAGAACAAATAGCATTGATGCACAAGAACACCGGGTTTCCGGTGTTCGACAATTTTTGGCCCTTAATCAAGCTCTTCGACGACAGCAGGAAAATAAAAGATGCGCGAACGAATCCATCGTTACGAAGTGCGCAAGCGGGTTATTACTTATGAAAGGATCCCAGTCTGCGGTCTAAATCATAGCCCGATGAACCTCGGCACGGATACGAGGCCACGTCTATAAAGTATAAAAAAATATATGTAGACCTCACTTTTTAAGATCTCTCGCAACAGGATCTGTAATGCAACAAACAGACCCTATAGCTGTCAGGCTATCTTGTCCAGATACTCACCGGGGGAAGTCAGATCTCCCTCGTTCCAGCGACCGTCGCCGCAAGGTTCTAGGATTAGACCACTCAGTGTTCCTCATATCCATCCTCGGCGTGTTTTCCATACTTATCGCTCAAGCCGTAAGGGAATAAAGATCGCGCATAGCGCATCATCTTCTCTTCGAGCTCTGTGAGAAGCTCAGAAGAGGAGGCGACGTTGCCGGGCATCACTTGAGGCTTGCCCGGACATCGAGCAAAATGGTGATAAAGGATAGTATTGTGCCGCGCACGAATACCAGAGAAATCCTGCCACAGTCTGGCTTCGTATGCAAAATTTAGCTCCTGCCTGTGGTTGCTGAATCTCTTACGGAGCATATTAGTGGTCTGTCCGATGTAAATCAAATGGCAATGCGAGCACTGCATGGCGTATACTATATTTTTGGTCTGGCAAGAAATAGGCTGCTCCCATTTCGTATAGAGCTTAGTTTTTCCGTTCCACACTAAAATAGAATCCGTATAGTTACGGCAAGGAATACAGGTGCTACTTGGGTATCTTTTGTATTTGAACTCGTGCTGGTCGTAGTCAATGACGTCATCTATTCCAACTCGACAAGTTTTGTCGCTTACTTCGCTACAGTAAATCTCTTCGTGGGTCATCTTGGACTATAGAAACCCGTAGCCATATGAAACTCATAGTGGTATGTTTCTATTTATTAAAATATAAACTAAAAAGCTGCGAAGGGACGAGTTGCAAGGCTGCGACATTCCGTCGCCAAACCTTACGACCGGGCGCGACGCAGGAAAATAAAAGATGCGCGAACGAATCCATCGTTACGAAGTGCGGAAGCTCCTGTTGTGAGCCTTGTGTTCTCACCTTTCTCTCGCTCGGTCCATGATCTTCTCGTGCGTAGTCGGTAAACAGTTTTTTCGTTTTCCTTCTTTCTTCACATCGTAGAGTCGTAGAATATCGTGCCGAATCGCATACATCGTTTTTTGGGAACATATTTTTTTTCTTCTGCCTACCCTGTTTTTTTGCCGCAAGGCCAATTAGATTAGATAGACCCTGGAAACACAAGAACATCATGCAGATACGAATTAATGTTTTCGAGCCTTTGGCTCAAGATGAGCAAAACATAATCAGGAAGAGTTTTTGTTTCGCGACTCACCCGAAGAGAAACGTGTTCAAGTGGCAAGATCTAAAAGTCATAAGATCAACAGAGTTATGAGCCACTCCTAAGCATAAACAAAAAGCCACTTTTGCATTACACCCCCCAAACGAACACGAATAAGAATACATAAATCTGCATGACAAATAAAACCTAACCCACGAACAAGATGACGCCCGGTGCAGCAGTGAGGGCTACGCCAAATACCCTGGGAGGCACTGCGACGATAAACGGCATCAAGTACATATACTTGACGTCCACCGCAAGGCAGATCTACCAAGTCTTCTGCAGGAAAGCGGGGCCGAACGCGGTTAGCGAGGAGAACAAGAAGCAGTTCTTGAAAATCAACGACGAGTACTACTTTCTGAAACTGGTGGCCCGTGTGGTGCACAACATCCGTGCGAACGAAGGGCAGAGCGACTTGACCAAGGACGACCTCAAGAATCTGCGGGAGCAGGCAAAAAGCATCACTGAGGACAACGCCGAAAACCTCGATCAGTTCAAGTTGAAACCGGTACAGGCAAACCAGGGAACAGCGACAGAGGATTCAAATTCCGAGTCCGAAATCCCACGGTGGACAACGGGCCGCGACATCCTTCCATCACAACAAAGGCATCGCGAACAAGTACTGCGGAAAACAAATCATGCGCGAACGAATCCATCGTTACGAAGTGCGCAAGCTCCGGCAAAAATAGGGGGCGTGCTGCCGCTGATTTCGTAAATTTTCATCCCGACAGAGAGGAGTCCTCGAAAATCCTAATCCGCCTCCAGCATTCATCTTGCGGGAACTTCAACCCCTGTCAACTGTGTTTGAATCCCTAATATGATCGTGCACGTGCGCCCTCACATTAATACCGCTTTATTGCATAACTCAATGTTCTACAGCTGTACGTGCGTGCTTGGTGCGCCCTCGTACATACTGCAGATTTCGAAAGGACTTGTTTGTTTGTTTGTTAGTGATGAAATCGTGGTTTCCGTGTGAAGTATTTACCTTCTTCTCACGAAGATGCTAGTGTTAGTCTAATACTAGGAGGCTACAGCAGCTTTGGCTTCGTAGGCCTGAGAAAAAGAAAGCGTAAAGATTATACAGTAGAGCTCTTGATGTTCTGCACTAGACATCAAAAGTTGCTAAAAATAAAAGTTGCTATTAAAAGTCGCAGGGTTGAAAGTCCAAAAGTTGCTTGGTTCTTGTTGAAAAAGGAGAGCGTTAAAACTTTATTGTTGTTGGCGATTCAAAACAAAAACAATCAATAGGCTACTGAGCCACTATGATGTTCAAAATCCATATAATTCTACACAGGCACTCGGAACTTCTGAAAGTTTTCTATTTTCCTAAATCTCAAGTTTTCTCACAATTTTGGGACCTTTTGCTTTTGTGTTTAACGGTGACACGATGATCTTCGGCTCAATTATTCTATCAATTTTGATACTTACCGAGTTCTTCATTCTTCTTGATCTTGATGGGATAATAAACAAAAGGCAATGAATTCTGCTTGACCGACGGTGTAGGATCATTTTCATATTCATTTCGTGCTTGCACGTGACGTCAACAAATACTTTTTTCCTATGACCGACTGCACTGCTTGGGAAAGAGGACAGACTAGACAAACACACTGTTGCTTTACTATCTTCCCATCAACGGTGTTTCTCCGTACTATCTTCGTAGTACGGGCGCTGAGCAGGCGGGGCTGCACGAGCTCCAACTACAAGAACTTCTACAATATTCATTGTGTTGAAGATAGATGTCATCCTAAAAACTTCCACAGAGATTCTGTTTTTCATCGAGTTTCGTACATTTTGATTTTCCTGTTCATCATTACAGTGTGAATTTTATCGAAGGAGAAGGCCTGCTGACCCGGTGCGGGTTGTGAGTTCATCTGCATCACAGGTTGTAGTTAAAACTAGGGCAGTGAATGTCCACCGACCTGTTTTGATCAAGAAAAGGCATTTTCTGGTCTAGTTGAAAAACTGGCTCCACGGCTTGTTGTGCGGCAACTGCTACTTACAACTTCTAGGCGCGGCATTTTCAGTACTACTAGCAGGTCGTCGTCGCGTTCTTGTATGTTGGCGCTCGTTACATGATCTGCTAAATTTTGTCAAGAAAACACGCAACATTTTTTTTTTCCTGCGGTATCTGATGTCCTTGAGTCTTCTAGCACTTTGTGCTTAATACATAATAAATCTTACGCTTATAACTCAGTTGGATGATACCACGAATTACATGCGGGCTTCTGTACTCCGTCTCCCTCGAAGTCGGCGCTTACTTGTTTGCACTAGAAGATAAAAACATGTTTCAGCTGCTGCAGCGTGCGGCAGTTCAACACCGCTATACCTCTAGCTACGCGTACGCCTGCACAAAACTACAAGAATGCGAATAGTGAGAGGAGAAAGAGCCCGAAGAGACTTTCTTGTAGGATTTGTTTCTTTGCGGGTAGTAGTGGTTATCCTTTACCCCACCGAAGATGCTCGGGTAGTCGAGCATCTCTCGCTTCATGTGATTCCCCTTCTCGCGCGAACGACGCTGACGCATCGTAGTTTCGGTAAAAGCCTATTTAGCTTTAATATTTCTTGCGTGTGTGATGAAAAAGTATGATAAAGAAATGGTGGTGCGCGGCGTAGTTCTCCTATTGCTGTCCTTCAATTTCTGCTCAACGTGGAGGGAGGCGACTGCTCCTCCGAGCACAGGACAATTTTTTTTTTTGGTGAAAAGGAAAAATACCTCCAATACGAGTTTTTACTTATATATCAATTTTGCGTTTTTCTTCTTGTTGTTTAAAAATGTGTTCTTTGTTTCCAACTGGGGCGACGATGTAAATTCAGCTTCTGGTTCTTTGCTACAGGAGGTGCAGTCAACATACAACACTGTGATGAATTATTCTTTGGTATAATAGTCGTACTAGACCTTGTACAAGCGAATCTTGTTTTAGCAGCTCTTGAATTATCTCTTTAATTCTACTTATCCTGTAAATTCCACCGCCCTGCTGCTGCCTCTTCGATTGAATTCGAAGAGTCCTCTGGCGCATATTGCGATTGCGTTGTACTACATGCGACGTCCCGATGAAAAGATATTACAAATCGAAATCTGATGAATCTAGCTTTCAAGTCCAACTTTCGTATTATTTTTTCTGCTGGCCGTGTCGTGGTCCACCACCGTTCTTGCACAACACCTACAAGTACAACAATGTCGAAAATAAAATAAAAATACAGCCTTAATCAAGCAACATAAATTATCGATCTTCTTAATCGACCGAAATTCCTTGCTGCTTGCATTGTTGTTTGTACTGCTCCAGCGACTTTTGCGCCATGTTTCTCGCCGAACCTTCGTCGTGGCCCTGCTGCCGATTATCGTATTTAAAAACGTCCCCACCGCAGAGCTGTAATGCAAATCTGCATGCTCAGAATGTTTCTCATGCCGAGCCCCATGAGAAGGATGGCCTAGTCGTGTTTTGGAATTTGTCATGCTCCAATCAGCAGGATATACTAGATCTGTGATGCTGCTGAGCTAGCTCCTCAAACAGCATTACACTACGAGTCTAAATTTGTCGTGCAAAACAGCCAAAACTTGTGGATTTGTCTAGCCGATTTCCCATCTTGTCTCTGGGGTGGGGACGTTTTTACATAGGATACCGATAGCTCTCGACGTACTGCTGGTAGACGTGCGCGAACCACTGCCGCTTTTTATCAGAATGAAAAATGCCCCCACCCCCGAACTTGAAAGCATTTGTATTGCAAACCTTTCCAAATGAAACATTCGCCCTCTTGCACCAATCAGCATCACAGGTTTCCAATCGTGAATGGCGAAAATTTGTATTGCAAAAGACCCCAGCAAGAGCGGCGCTTGTCATGCAAGCGATGCGATACACGCCTAGACTCTGTCTCTGCATCAGAAAGATTCGTACTCCTTTCATGCATGACAAAAAGTTTTCATTTGGAAACTTCGCATCACAAATTTTTGCAATTTGAGGGGTGGGGGGCACTTTTCACTGTAATACTTTTGCTCCACGCTGCCGTCGGCGCTGGGCGCCGACATGGGACTGGACGCCGCCTGGCGCTGCGGTGGGGACGAGTGGTGGTAGGAGCTCTGTTGGTGACCATGACTACTCCCGCCGCCGAAGGAGTCCAAAAAGGAGGCCCCCCCGCCCCCGTTGGTTCCGTTGCCGCTGGTTCCGCTGCCGCCCCAGAAACTGTCGCCAGACGAACTGCCCCCACCGTACCGGTCGGACCTCTGTCGCTTTAGGTCCGGGCCGTCGAGGTCTTGGAAGAAGAAGTCGGAGGACCGGTTATCATTTGTAAAAACGTCTTCACCCCAGAGTCAAGACGGGGATTCTGCAACACAAACCTTAAAGTTTTGGGAGCCACGCATGACAAGTTGGAGGCTGTAGTATAATACAGTTTAGCAAGGGAAGCCGCATAACAAATCCATCTCCTTATCCTGTTCACAGCATTACAAGTTCCAAAACACGATGGCATTTGCCTCTCAACATGGGGATGCGCATTACAACTGCTCTTGTGCTTACAGATCTGCATGACAACTCTGGGGTGGGGATGTTTTTGCACAGGATACCGGTTGTTGCCGCTACTTCCGCCCTTGTAGCTGGATCCGCCCCCGTAGTGGCTGTCGTGATCCCCCCGGTGATGACCACCCCCGCCGGCAAAGTGGTCGCTGCCGCCCCGGCTGCCGCCAAAGGCCCCGAAGGCCCCGTCGCCGCCGAAGTGCCGCTCGTGGTAGGAGCCCTTGCTCATCCCGCCCCCAAAGTGGTGGTCGTCGCGGTCGTGGTGCTTCGAGCCGCCGCCCTTGTGGTGCATTCCGCTCTTCTTGCCCCCCTTGAAGGACGACCCCTTGTTCTGGGGCGCCCACTGCTCCCACCCCTTGGTGTTTGCCTTGCCGCCCTTCGGATTCGCCAGCCGCTCCGCGCGCTCGGGAAGGAAGGGCTGTTCGGGCGGTTGCTTGAACTTACGCTCCCCGAGCTCGTCGTCTGGGCCGATCTGAGAGGATTTTTGTGATGGACGGAATGATGTATTTTTCTTTTCTTCTGTCTGCAAGTTTAGTTTTGTTGCTGGGTAGTAGTTGCGCAAGATTTTTTACCTCTAGTGCTGCATGCCCTTATTTTACAAGAATTATCTAGACAGCGGTTATAGTGCATGTGCTGCTGCTGGTGCATGATGTGCTGACCATGATCTTCACACAATCAATATTCTTGTACCTTGACCCAGATTGGTGTTGACACTTGTGGCCTGCCATCTTCGGTTTGGAACAGCTTGAATACGATGGTGTCGCCCTTCTGCAACATGGCCTCCTGTGCCATCTTGCTGTGCATAAACACGTCTTTCCCTGATTTTTTTTGTTTTTACCATTTTTACAAAAGCTTTCTCATCTGGCCCGTCATTATTTTCCAGATTGAGATTCTTACTTCACAGATTTAAATCAATATCAAGCACGTGCTGAGAACAACGGTCGAAAATACTGTGTTCTTCAGATGATCATGCTGTTGACCGTAATAAAGCATGACACAAAAACATCAAGTACCAAATTGTGTCCTTAAGTCTTCGTTGTGGACGAAGAGGTCGTTTTGCTTGGAATGGTTCGATATGAAATGCAAATATGTCTGGGTCTGGAAACTTGTAATGCTAAAAATGAATGGTAGACGCACTGCAATACGCAGTCACGCATGACAAATCTTGTGGCTGCCATGTCTTACGTACTTATTCCGCATGGCAAACTGCGTTTTTGCATGACAGGTAAGAGGGCCTTTTCGCGCCTATGCAACACAGATTCTCGAGTCATGCCAGACAAGCATGACAAACTTGCATTCTTCCAGACCCAGACATCTTTCCATTTGATATTCGACACGAAGCCCTCGTTGTCGCCAAATCTCAGCTGTTGACTGTCGTAAGGAAAAATCCCCCCTCCCCATATCGAAACGAAGTTTCTAATGCTGGATTTGCGTACACAAATCAGATCTGTCTTGCAGAAAGTGCTTGGCGGCATTTTCTGAGCCTGCTTGGGTATGCAGAAGGGTAGCAATTGCGCATGGCAGACAGGTTTGCAGTTGTCGAAAGCGCATGACAGACTTGCTCTGGAATGCGTCAAATGGTTCCTATGATCCTATATGCAAGACAAAGATGATTTGTGGCCACAAATCAGCATCACAAATTTCCGTTTTGATATGGGTAGGGGGGATTTTTCATTTTGATATTGACTGTCGTCCTTGTGGGCCGCTAGCACGTATATCGGGTCGCGGCCGGAAACCTGTAGAATTGAAGTATTGCAATCATGCATTACAAATCTTTATCTATCTTCAGGTAGATCCGCATTACAAATTTTCTCTCTCATGCTGAGGAAATTTGTAATGCATTTACACGAGTGCGATACTTTAACTTTTGCAGTTCATATGAAAAATCGTTTGTTTATTTCCAGTGTTCAGTATGTTCTTTGCTTTTCTTTACGCTTAAAATAAATCTCTGTTTGCCACGACGGACTACGCTTAGCCATGGTGACCGGTCGTGGGCTTCGCAAAATATTTATGGCGCAGAGACACCAAAACAAGTAGAACAATTTCGCATGCTAAAATAATCCGATTTGAAAAAACATGTCTTCTACAATATTACCGTTGGCTTCCCGTCTCTGCTTTCCAGCACGTGAAACGCGATGACGTCACCCTTGTCCAAGTTTGCCTTTTTGATCTCCGCGGCGTACAGATAGGCGTCTTTACCGGGGTACTGGGAAGAAATCGGCTTTGACCGAACGAACCCGTGGTGCTTGCCTTCGTCCATTTCGTGGATGTACCTGTTTTATTATATGAGGATTTTTCATGCATTACACCCGTGCGGCGTGTACGCGTTCGTGTAAGGCTAAGGTGCGATAATTCTACATCTACTAGGATGCCTGCATATCTTCACTTATTCAAGTTCAGACTCTGACTCATATTGCAATTTGTAATTTCTGTGCCGGAAATAAGAAAAGTCATCCAACGACCACAAACACGACAATGCCTATGTAGTTAGACCAATACCCGATGTAAATCTGGTAGTCGATTCCGTTGTTCCACTTGCCCTTGCCCTTCGCGTCCTTTCCTTTGAACAACGGATTTCCGTCTTTGTCCTTCCCGACCACCAAGCCGCCCTTCCCCATTTTGCCGTCCTTCGTCATGAAGCCCTTGCCGCCCTTCATGCCCAACGCCGCCGCCAACGTGCCGCCGTCCTTCCGGGAGAGCGAGTCCTCGATGATGGCCTTGAAGATGGGGCCTTTGACGGACGGGTCGTGCGGGTTCGAGCGGTCCACGTCAACCACAACAATGTCCGCGGTCACCAGTCCGCCACGGTCGTTGGTCTTCTTACCCTGTGTTGATTTTATTTGGATTTGCATGATTTGTGTGTCGCATGAAAAATTTATATGTTCCTCAGCATGAGAAATGAAATTCCCAAATGCGGATCCGGATTTAACTTAAGCAGGGAATTTGTAATGCGTGAATGCGTCATAAGTACCTTGTCATTGTGCACGAAAATTTCGGTTTTTCCCGTGCCCGCAAGCGCTTCCCGGTCATCCGGGTCGACGAAGCTGTGCCCGGTCGGCGTGACGGTTTTTATCTTGCCCCAGACGCGGGGAAAGTGCGTCGGCGCTGGCTCATCGTCCATCGTTTTATGGAGAAAAAAAAGTTCATCACAGTCACTGGCTTGGAGGCTTTGCATTACAAATTTTTACAGCATCACTACAACTTTTCCTTGTATTGCAGAAACACTGACGGAAATCCCGTACGAAGTTCGGCTGTGATGCATCTTTACGCATGACAGGCAATTTTTGTATTGCAAAAATGGCCATGAGTGATCGTGACGAACTTTTTTCTTTTGATAAGTTTGGCACATAATGTAAACCCGCTCCTGCTCCGTCTCGACAAACCTGGGGGGTGATAAAGATAAAAAAGAGTTGTCAGTTTGGCACTTAGCATCATGTCATGCGTTGGTAGGCCTTCGAAACAACATACTGATGCTTCTGCTAAAAATGTGCTCCTCGAAACAGCAAGGCACGTAGTACAGAATCGGTGATGTGAGAAGAATGAAAGCAAGCATGTATAATCCCCAGCATGTATAACAAACCAATAATATATGTACATTTCGTCCCGAATGGCGAAGCCCACCCACATTCCGGGCAACAGCCCAGACCTGCACAGCACTGGGTCGTCCAAAGTGCAAGTCCTTTCGTCCACGGTGACTATTGTCATGTCGTTTTCGCCAACGTTCGTAACCTGATTGTTTTTGTTTAACAAGAAGTGCATGAGAACATGTAGTAAGTAGTATAAATATGTATGATCGATGCTGCACCGCATCAGTACTAGAGGAAAATCGAGTATTGGCAGCAGAGCTAGAGGTTGCGTCAATACTTAGAGGAACCACGAACCGCATGCAGCTACTTGTGCTTGTGGTCCCCAAAACTATAGCCATGATGAAGAGTGTGTACTTTTAAAAATTTTAACTGCAAGAAGGAACAAAAAACTAAATATGAATCTCTACCTTCCCAACGTGCATTTCCGGGTGCCACAATGGATCCAGTGCCGCGCCTTTTGCCAGCGGATTCCCGCTGAAGCTGTCTTCCTTACTGCCCTCCTTGTTCCCGCTGTGTTCCGGGTCCTCGCCCCCGCCGCCCGGTGCGCCCCCGCCCCAGATATCGCCATTGCCGGTGCCGCCGTTGCCGATGGAGGACGGGAGGATGGGTTCCCCCCCGTTGTCCCCTCCGGACGCCGAGGTCATGCACCGCGTGATTGGCGGCTTGTTCTGGGAAGTGGATACTGCGGAGAACGAGCTGGCAGCGGACGTCGCGGACACGGTGCGCTGCATTACAAATGGCGTAGTAGAAGAAGTCGTGGCTTCGAACTTGTTGGCTGTTGAATTATTCAGAGGACCACCAGTGTTGGTTGTCGTGCTCATGGTGCTGTTCGAATTCGTTCTGGGGAACTGCTTTTTTGCGTCTTCCGGGATCCGGTCGTCCTCTAGAAACGCCGGCGGCTCGTACCCCGGTTTTGCGTCCGCGGGGATCCGCGGGTCGTTCTCCGGGGCGGGTTTCGGGGGGGATGGTGGCGGCTTCAGGTGGTGAGATAGTGTTCTTTGCATCATTTGCGCTTGATCTTCAGCTTGATGTTGGTCGTTATTTGCTTGATTTTGATTTATTTGCTGCATCTTCTGCAATCGTTCTTGCGCGGCTTTGTTTTTCGCCGCCAGCAACTCTTGCTTCCTTTTTTGCTCTTGCAGTCTTTCGTGTGCGTCGCACGGGATTCGCGGATCCAGGATCATCTCATTCTTCGGCTTTGACGCAGTCCTCTGCAACTGTTTCTGCTGCACGGAGGCCTGCTGTTTTGGCGAAAGCAGGCTGATCACTTCTGTGACAGGAGCTCGCGGACTAGGACTAGTATTGTTCATCTCGGCTGCTGTTCTTTGAAAATTGTTGTTCTGCTGGTGTTGTGGTGTATTGGGACCCAGATTATTGTCAAAAGCTCCACTTCCTTGGTTGTTATTTGTATTTCTCCTGGGATCGTCGGTGTTGCTGCTGGTGCTGTTACCGCAAGAAAAATCTGGATGCACCGGTTCCATGGTGACATCCGCTAGATTTTCCGTTTGTAATGACCCGTGGTGGTCTCCGTCAATGGAGGGCGATTGATCCGAAGCAACCGTGCTGCGGCAGGACAGCTGCTGATTCGAGTCATTGCTTGGGGATGGTTTACTGCTAGAAGTCGCATTAGCTGTTCTACTACTCCCGGTTTCAGCTCCAACTTGTTGTACTGGTGCAGCTTCTGGAACGACGTCGATCCGCACCCAGACTGGGCCGGTCACCGTGGTCTTCGTTATTGGGCAGACGTCGAACGCGATCTCGCTGCCGGTCTTGAAAAACTGCTGCTGTTGCTGGCTAGAAGCTAGTACTTCACCATCTGCTGAAGACGCGCTGCATTTTGGCGTGCTCTGTTCCGCCTCCGGACAGTTGTAGAAGTTGAACGTGGCCGCTTGCTGCGAAAAATCGACTAATTCCTCCTGTCCCGAACCGTCCAGGGCGAACGCCTTGATTTTCACGTCCTCCGCGTCGTTTTCGTCGGTTAAAATCTCGCCGATCCGTTCCGGAAATCGTAGGGGTTGATCGACGTTCATCTGGGTCATGATTTCTTCACTCGGGAGGAAGCACTTGTAGACCGCGGACACCGCTCTTGTTTTTAACTCGCGGGACACTGCGACGATGTCCGCTGGGGAGAATTTTTCCTGGCCCGGCAAGTTCTGGAGCACTTCGCTCGTCTGGCGCAGCTGCACCGAGCCGTCCGGAAGGACGTCGCCGATCAGCATGGTGGTCGCCATTTTTGTGACGTCGCGTGAAGGTCGGAGTACTTGTACAGCTCCTACCGCCGATCGGTGGTTCTGGAAATTGTTTTCTGGTTCTCCTCACCCCACTTTCCTTTCTCGAAAGATTTTTGTCGAAGATTCAACAGAGCTTGGTCTTCCCCGAGATGGACCTCCTCTTCGTTCAGCACCGTACTGATGCTGCAGTAGTCACCGACCTACAGTAGACTTCTTGCGATTCGATTTCACAACTGAACCGCAATCAGACTTCTTGCTACTTCTACCGAGGAGTAGATAACCACCTTGACCGGAAGACAGCAACACGACGGTCGATGTCTTGCTGGTGGGCGAATTCTATTTTCACAGAATCGAGATTGAGACTTCTTCTGCGCCACGAGTTTTTCTTGTCGGAGGTGGTTCTTTGACATAGACTTTTCAATCGATGTTTCTTCCACGAACCGATAGGTGATTTGTTTCATATACTGTCGAGATCTTAGCTTGTTCCAAACAGCTAAAAGAAAAAAGAAGGATCTTTATCTCTGAAGGAATTATCGGTCGTCGTGTATGGGTCGCTAGAATCCAATTATGTGATTCAAAAGATTAAGGTAGTCGTACTTGTTCAAATACTTAGTACGAGATGTCTACAAACGAAAAACTTTTTTCTTCGTGCCGAGTTAGAGCGAAGGTAAAGCAGTGATTGCTTTAGCCTCTCAATAAATAGATTTACGAAGCCAGGGCAAATGAGTTTAAAACAGATGAAGAGGCGGGAACAAAAGACAAAGAGCTATTTATTTTGGTTCCTTTGGTAATATCGACAAATAACGAACTAGTGCAATAGAGACGAAAATCTTAGCAGATAGTCCGACTGTCTGAGTTAGACGCTTGTTTACATTTACTAGTAGAAACTGAATAAATCATGAAAGCGAATACAAAATGAGAAAGCCGGTCAGCATAAAGCGTCTGGCCTTCTTAGTTCTGAATCCTTACACAAATCTGTCATTTCCCTGAAGAAGGTTTTAAGAAAGGCGTGTGAAGAAGATTTTCTTTTTCAAGAATCTAAAGTGTCATCAAAATAAACTCGACTCAGAGGAACCTCAATTTTACAGATTTTCAGATTTGTTGTGACATCAGGACTTGGACAAAAGCGCAGATTTTTGCATCACCAGGGCATTTGAACCACAGATTTTATCACGAGCGCCGTAGAATTTTTTTACGTTTGACATTTTCGGTTTACAGAGGGAGCCGCGACATTTGTGGTAGTTTTACAGAGGGAAGCTAACACATGATGACACGTACACCAGCTGCAATTGGGCGAAGGCGCAGCAAAGATTTTGATTGTTTTTACGTGATGCCCTGAGCAAGTCCTGGACCGCGCGGGTGTGGTACGATGAAGTAAAAATGCGCCGATATTTTCATACACTACAGATTTTTTTTCCGATCAGTCCTCGTACCGAAGTTGCGATTGCAACTGGAGCAAAGAGACAATGAAAGATGCCTGCCCTTCACGAGAGTTGTGGTCAGCAAAAAGACAGTTGGGCGGCGCGCTAGTACAATTTCATTGCTAGTACACTTCCAATTTCGGCGCGGGGCAGCTAGGTGGAAACACGCTTTGATTGATGAGCAGCTATGAGGAAGGAGCTACCACCTATATAAGCGTGTTCCTGCCAAGATCTCCATTTTGCGAGAACCACTGATTTTGCGAACTTAGTTCAGGCTACGGATACGCGCGCACGGTAAACCGTCAATCACAGGGACAGGAGTCGTGTGCCTCAAATACAATGAATTCGCTTTGCTAGTGAAGAGAAGTACGGTTACCCGATTGGTGTCATAGTAGTGCTGTATCAATCTTCAGAGGTTTACGTTTAAATTTAGTTCAGGGGAACGAGATGTTGAAAGATTATACATTATTTTTACTAGGGTGGGAGTAAACATTTACGGAAGCAAGTAGATTTGCATCTGGCATTTGAATCATTTTTCAAAAACAAACCCGATTCTTGCATCTCGACTGATTTCGACATTTATTATTTTCGAGGATCCATTCGACTGTGACTTTTTCGACACAAAATTTCGCTTTCGACAATTTTCCGACACATTTCCGACAATTTTCATCGACCTCGATCATTCACACAAATTTCCTTTGACACCACGTAAGTACTTCTCTTGTCTGCTGGTAGTTCTTTCACTGACACTTTCATTTTTTGTTCGACAGGGAGAGGCAACACACATTGAGATTCCGTTCATCTTCGAGTTGACTCGACAATGAATTTATTCAACAACATTTTTTTAGGTCGACTGCGAACAGATTTTGCGAAATTCACTGAGAGGAAGTGCGAGCCTTATTTGATGTTCCGCTCACGCACAACTCCCGGTGGCGCTGGACGGAGGACAAGCGCTGACCAGCTTGCACTGCCAGTTGTTTACTATATCTGCTTTATTTTGAAAACTTTACTCTATTCGTCTGTTTCACACCACAATACATCCTGTGCTGCAGTTTTTATCCACGCAACCGCCCACAACCGTGGACTTTGAATACTAGGTCTGAAACTGTGAATTGCATCTGAGAAGTATCGACTACTCTGCAGCCACGCAAGAGTTGTAGTACCTGCTCTACTACGCGGCGCAGGTAGTGAACCACATTGTCTGAGTTTTATACTGTTATCGTTAGATTTGAGGCTAAAGGTATCATAGATTCTGTCTGAGTTTGAAGTTTAGTATAAAGCTAAAAGTAGTGTTCTATTATAGGTCTGTTTGGTCTGATTACTGTCTGGTTGTAAAACTGATTGTTGCTCTGATGTTAAGGTTTATTTGTCTGCTCGTCTCTTCACGATGATAAGGTTTTGTCTGTGTCTGTACTGTTGCTGTCACGCTATAGCGATGAAACTCGTCTGATTCAATCTGTCCAGTATGTCTGAATTGATGTCCGACTAAATTCTCATAAGGTCGTCGTGCAAATAACGTACATTCGGAGCACTGTGAGGACATCCTACTTGCAGCGCCATTGAAACATAGAAAATCAGCGGTTCGTCTCAAGCTGCTGTTGCTGTGCGTACTTTTCATTTTCGAATTCTAAGAGCGTCCGTCAGGGCAACTCGCTCCTGTTACATGATAACTACTAGCTAGGAATCCACCACAAATTCTGTTTCTGATTCATAAACACTTTCTGTTTCTGTCTGCGTCTGTTCAGGATAATTTTGATTCATACTCTGCTTTTGCTATAATTCTTGAATACTGATTCTACTTTCTGATATTAAGTGTTCCGTACAAGTTGTACTCTTTGCGAAGATTTTTGCGTTCTTTTCAACCAAGTACTACTAGTTTGGTTTTCTTTACCACGTGCAGCTCTACTCACGCCTCCGCGACGGTCCTGCCAACCCGGTTGGCGAAGTGATAGGGCTCGAAGTCCACGCTCATGTCGGGAGTAAATTCTACCACTTTCTCCGCGGGCACCACGGTTTTCAAAAATTCCATGGCCTCCGCCGCCCCGGACAGGTCTTCCGGCTCCGACAGCCGCGAGAGGGCCTCCGCCATTGGCGTCCCGTCCGGGTTCGCGAACTTGCAGTAGACCACCTTGGACAGGGACAGTGCCTCGGACAGCGTGTCCACCAAATCCCGAACCGTGGGATAGGAGCCGGCGGTCTAGTATGCTGTGCAAAAGTCTCGTACTCGTAGTTTAGCTTTAGTATTAATCGCAGTTTTGCATATACAAATCTGATTCCCAAGGTAAATCAGCATCAGAAATTTCGTTTCTCATGCTGAGGATATTTCTCATGCGATTTCTACTAGTACGATACTTTTGCAATGCATATGTAGCTGGCGAAGTAGTTGGTGAGGATAAAACAGCTGCAGTGGCTGTTCTTGGTGGCACAGGCGGAAAGCAGCTCCGCGACGAGCGCGGCGGAGGGGACGGACATGCCGGTCTGGACACGGTGCAGTTCCGCGGCAAAAGTTGCGAGGGAATCGGTAGAGAGGACGGAAGAGGCGGAGGAGATCTGTGGTTATTCTTATTTTTCAGATTTGAGAAAATTGGCCCTCATGTATGATGAAGTGAATCCAAATACGAATGCATATGCAGATAAAAGTGTATGCAAGAGAACTTTATTTTTAGGAAAACGCATTTACAAAATCGCCGTAATATTCCACCTATTCAGATACATAGCCAAATTATACCAGAGCTGCGACGTCCACCAATTTTACGTCCGGAATTTTGTTCGCCAACGCCGTGCCGACCATTTGCGACAACCCCTTCCCACTGGGAGCCAGCACCAAGACGCACTGTTTGGCCAACGTCGTGGCGCAGGTTGCCACATGCGTTGCGGGTTCCACATCCGCGTCCAGGGTTGTGTACAGGCTGTGCTCCTTCAAGCAATCCACTATCCCATCCAGCAACGGCTCCTGTGCCTCGAAGTCAGCACCGAAGGTCTCGGCGTCCAAAGCCGCTGGCTCCTCGAGAGCCGCGTTGGCAGCCTCGGCACGGGCGAAGATAACTGTTTTGCAGTCATGCATGGCAGATTTGATTTGCTGTCACTGTCTAATTCAATTCTGCATTTACAATTTCGATATATCTACTTCTTGAGGTCGTATTTAGAGTCGGGGGAAACAAAGAAATTTGTGATGCTAAAACAACCGCACCGACATTACCATTGTCCAGCGTAGCTTTGGAGGCAAGCCTCCGCAGGTGCTGGAACGGCAAGAAATTTGTGATGCATAAAACACGAAAGCCCGAAGCAATGTAGAATACCGTCCTTCGTTCCCTTGAAGTAGTACGCGGCCTTTGGTTGTGGATTGCAAATATGTCTGGGGGTGGAAGAGTGGAACGTATAATGCTGTCTGCGGATTCTAAAAATGTCTGTGTTGCATGAGCAGCAAGAGGAGTCAGCTCTTGGCACACAGAGAGGGCATTTGTTCTCATGCGCAATGAGCATCAAGAAGCTCTCAAAAAATCTGTGATGCTAGCACCAGCATCACAGACCTCACGGGTCATGCAGAATGTGCATGACAAGCCCCGACTTTTCCAGCCCCAGACATATTTGCAATCCATATTGGTGGTCCGAAGTTCTCGATCATGGCCAAAGCCTGCTCGCTGTTCATGGGGAAGCCCTCGAGCGCGAACGTGACTCCCGCCTTCGCGTTCGCGTGGAAAAAGGAAGACAGTGCCGTACACAAATCCGCACCGGAAAGCGCGCCCTCGCCTCCGGTGGTCGGGATGTTCAGTGTGGCGGGGGAGCACCGGACTACCGTGCCGTACTTCTTTGCCAACTCCTCGCCGACGGTGGAGACCCCGGAGGCCGGGACACCGGTCAAAAGAATGTACTTTGCCCTGAGAGTTTTGTAATTTGAATTTTGTGGATTTAAATATTTCACGCTGCAGCTAAGTACGTACTGATTACTCTCATACTGAGCAATTGAAAGCAAGGATAACAAGGAAGCATACTTAGCACGTAGAGGATGTTGTAGTTCACAAAAAAAAATCTTTTATCAGTACTTCAGGGCCGCGAGCGCCAAGTCCATAACTTGCTCCGCTGTTGTCTCCTTGGTGATGCTTAAGGGGTAGAGTTGCACGTCCCCGGACGCGCTGAATTCGTTGTGCACCGCGGTTAAATTTTCCATCCTATCCGAGAACATGATCTCGTAATCCATGAGCGCGTGGCTGCCCTCGGATTGCTTCTTTTCCAGGAACATCTGGCACCAGTAGGCGTTTGCGTCCTCGCCCTCCGGCATAAGGGAAAACACCTCTTCCACCGCGAATTCCTCGGTGAGATACTTGATTTCGTCTGCGTTTGTCGGAAAGTTCTCAACCACCAGCCTGTTGCAGCCGAACCGGGCCAGGTTGGAGAGCAGACGGAAGGTGATAGAGAGGGGGATCACTTGGCCTGTAGTTGTAGTTGTTTATGCGTCATAGGATCGTGCTGGTGATGTGCCAGCGGATTGAATCAATGCAGAACGACCTCCTACTTCCACTCTGTGCTGCAAACCAGATCCAGACGTTGATGCAGTACGTTGAAAAAAAAAAAATTTTGGATTAATTAACACGACAGAATCAATTATACCTTTGCTCAACATGTTGTGCATCACGACGCCGGTTTCCGTTTCCCTTTCCAGCTCCTTATCCAGCATCTCGTCGACGTCGACCGGCGTTGCACCGCTGACTCTGCCCGCCCACTCCGCGCAGAAGCTCCTCTGGTGGCATATGGCGTTCTCAACTATTACATTCTCAACTGTAACATGGATTTGTGATGCAAGAACCGCAACAGTGAAAGGGACAAGCTTGCAACTCTCGCATCACAAATTTGGCACAGATTTCGGCGCTGTTTAGCTCTTCGAGAGTTTGTCATGCGACGTAGCTTGATCGCCTGGTGCGTGGCTCATGGTAATTTTGCATGACAAGTCAGGTAACAATTGAGAATGTAACGTTTGAGAACGCCATATGGCAGCCCGGGGGTCCGAGACAGATGGTCATCTTCGGTCGGAGCGCCTTCTTGATGACCTTTGTGGTTTGCAGCTTCAACTGTCGGACCAGATCCGCCTTCGCGACTCTTGGGAGTTCGCAGGGGATCTTCGTCACGTCCCCGACCGCGGCCAACATCCCGACCGTCTCCTCCCCGTTCACCACCGCGTCGTCATTCTCCGCCTGGACCTGCGTCAACCCGGCGGAAATGCCCAGCTCGATGGAATCTAATCTCGGTTATGCAATGCAAAAGCATCGGATTCGTACTCGTATAAATGCATTCCAAATTCCCTCAGCATGAGAAATTCAATTTGTAATGCTGATTTACCTCAAGAAAAAAATTTGTAATGCAATACGAGTATCAGATACTTTTGCACAGGATATCGGGTATTCGAGGACAATGGCGCAAGACTCGCAGAGGATTCTGTCCTCCAAGAATGCCCGCTGCTTTTCCGTCCTTGGGAAGTCGGTGAAGAGAAATGCCGTGTAGCCCTTCAGCTGTTTCTCCTTCACGGCGGAAACGATCAGGGGGCAGGAAAGTGATGGTGCAAGGTCCAATTTGCGGTCGGCGAGCGCGGCTTTTACCTTGATTGTTCATAAGTTTTGCGAATCCACGAATTTGCTCTTATCATGCGAGGATACAATGATAGGACCTCCGAGCGTCAGCGGTTTTCATTTTGTTTTTGCCACAGTTCTCTGTCACGCATAACACAATCACACAAGAGAGCCAAAAAAATATACCTGCTCGACCTCCAGTGCCTTTCCTGGTGGTGCTTCCCGCACGAACTTTTCGTAAATTGCGGACGCGTCGATGTGTGCATAGTGCGAGTCCGCCATCGCTTCCAGCGACTCCGGAATGCGCATGCCGCACGTTCCGACCAGGTAGACGAACTTGCTCAGGAAGATCTTCTTCGCCGCTGCGTAGACGCTGTCGATGTCGCCGTCCGCGTTGACGGAGCGGAGTCTCCCCATGTGCTTGTAGTAATCAACCACCGGTTTCGTTTGCGAGTAGAACGTATCCAGTCGCTTCTTGATGGCTTCCTCGTTGTCGTCCACCCGACCGGAGGTCTTCCCCCGCTCCATGATCCGTTCCGTCATAACGCTGTCACTGCACTCGAAGTTCAACACCATCTGGCACTCGGCGACGTCCTTCTCAAATTTGATCGCCTGTTCGACGGACCGCGGAAATCCGTCCACCAAAAATCCGTTCTTCGTCTGGTTCGCCAGCATCGCGTTCTTCATCAATTCAATCGTGATCTCATCGGGGACCAGTTTTCCCTCCAACATATGCTGTGCAAAAGTATCGCACTCGTCGTAAGTGCAGTCATGCATTACAATTTTTTTTCCCAAGGTAAATCCGCATGACAAATTTTATTTCTCATGCTGAGGAAATTTGTAATGCATTTTTACAAGTATCGGATACTTTTGCAATGCATAGAACATGATCGTCTCCAGCTCCATCCCGCGTTTCGTCTTCGCAGCAACCTTATGGATTGCAAAAATGTCTGGGTCTGGAAACTTGTGCTGCAACTCTGTGAATCGTGGGCGCACTACAGTGTGCAGCCAAGCATGACAAGTTTTTGCACGTGCCATGTGCTTCGTTTTCTGCATGGCAAACTGCGTTTTTGCATGACAGGCAGGAGGCCCCGTTCCTGCTTACGCATCACAGATCCAAGAGTCATGCCAGAAAAGCATGACAAGTCCTGCATTCTTCCAGACGCAGACACTTTTGCAATCCATAAACCTCCGCGCGCAGCAGATCCCCAGCGGACAAGTGACAATAGTTGAAGTCCTCTGCGAGTCGGGCGCAGTTCGTGCCCTTACCACTGCCGGGACCGCCGCAAACGAAGACGACGAGAGGTGTGTGGTCGAATTCGGCGCCGGAAACCTGGGTTTCAATTTCATCATTTTGCTAGATTTTCATCTTGCCATGCAAAGAAAGACATCGAATACAAATGCAAGGTCGGTGTCATGCTGACTGCTTTCTAACTCTACCTTTATTTCACTTTCAAATTTGTACCTTCTTGCTAGCGACCTCCTCGTCCCTCGTGTCGATTTCCAAAACGTCGTATTTTGGCTTCTGTGGTAGTTCCACACTGAAGGTCTCGCCCTCCAGTGTCTCGCCGGCGCTATGGGAGCGTCAGGATTGAAATCGTCAAGGTTGAAAGTGAAATAGTTTGTGATGCATAAAATGCAACCCACAAAATGCCTGTCTTGCAGAGCAGGCAAGGGAGGCAGGTTGTAAGCCTGTTGAGGGGTAGAAATACAGCTGCTAAAGTAGCATGAAAAAAGGCGTCTTCCTTACCCGAACAGCATCACAAACTGGATTTCGGTTTTACCCAAGTTTGTCATGCGCCACTTAAAAACTAGGCACCACCTGGTATCGCTTTTTTGCATGACAAACTATTTCAACTCTGACGGTTTCAATCCTGACACTCCCATAGGCGCCGACCGTCACGTATTCCATCTTGGTTTCTTCGCCCGACGCGTAGACCACCTCCTGCTTGATTATGCTGTGCAAAAGTACCGCACTCGTATAAATGCAGGTCTTGCATTGCAAATATTTTTCGTAAGGTAAATCAGCATGACAAATTTCATTTCTCATGCTGAGAAAATTTGTCATGCATTTATACGAGTACGATCTACGATGCTTTCGCAGTTCATATTGATCTCTTTTGGCCGATTTGGGTTGTTGTCCTTGAGGTATTTGGCCAGGAACGTAATAGCGTCCGCACCACTGTTATCCAAGAAAAAAACGTTGTTGGTGTAAATTTGTGATGCACAACATGCAAATTGATTGCGCCTGTCATGCTGGGCATGCATCGTAGGGTCCATTAGAGGGCGTTTTCGCGTACTAGCTGCGCATGACAGGTTTTTGCTGTCATGCTAGACAAATTTGTAATGCTGTTCCTCCAAAAAAGTTACAACTACAATTTTTTTTTTCTTGGATAACTGTGGCGCATTCTGTATGTGTTTTGAGGGTGACATGAAAACTATTTCAGCTCGGTGTGTATCTCTATCTTCGCATGACCACCTTCATACCCCGTGATGTGAGAACAATAGTTACGGCAAAATAATAAATGCTCCACTGTCCCGCACTGATTTGCGAGAACTAGAACTACATGAAAAGCGAAAAAAAAAGTACCGCGTCAACTCCAGGAGCCCTTCTGACAGGAATTGCTGCAGGGTGGTGTCTAACAATACGCTATCAGATGCAAAAGTGTCTGGGTCTGGATGAGTATAGGAGTTTGGCATGCAGATTTTGGAAGACCCATCATGTCTGTGATGTATGCTCTAGCATCACAGATTTTATTGCGAGGGCTTCCTCATGCCTATACCGTATGAGAAATTCCCCGTGGTCCGCGTAGCAAAAACTGGACTCCTGTTGCTACTCATGCAATATTACAGATTTTTGTAGAATCCACAGGCAGCATCACAAGTTACAACCTTCCAGACCCAGACTACATATTTGCAGTTGATATACGCTGTTTCCGACCTCCGGCAGGGTCATCTGCGCCAGGGCGGTTTTTCTGTAAAAGTAGTCGGTCACCTTGGATTCCGACGGGATGCCAAAGACACCCAAGTCCGGGAAGAGAAAGCCCACGTATGCAGTGCAAAAGCATCGCACTCGTACTCGTAGTAATTGCAATTATGCATTACAAATCTCCATGCCAGCAAGGTAAAACAGCATGACAAATTCCATTTGTCATGCTGAGGTAATTCTAATTTGTAAAAATGCAATTACTACTACGTACGAGGCTTTTGCAATTCATACCACGTCCACCGCGGCAATTTTCGTGGTATCCGAGGCGTAGAACGCGTTTCGCAGCGCATCAAAACGAAAAATCCCTCCTCCCCATATTGACAAGGGAATTTCTGTTGCTGGATTTGTGTACACAAATTAGCTCTGTCTTGCAGTGAGGTACTGCAGGCACAGCTTCATCCTGCGTAGGGGTGTTTTGGTGTAGGAGCTTAGCATGGCAGAGGCCTGCCGTATGGGCGCAACAACATTACAAACCACCTCCATAAAGCGGCGCACTCTTTGGACTTGCCCTCTTGCAAGAGAGACAGCATTTGTGGTCACAAATCAGCATCACAAATTTTTAGCAGCGTACTCTTTCAGTATGGGGAGGGGGGATTTTTCCTCTCAGTAGAGCGCATCCCGGCCGTACTTGGCCCGGAGAAGCTTGGAGGACAGGGCCGCGGCCTCCTTCGGGATTTCCGGGCCTTTAATATTTTTGGGGTTGATTTTTGTTTACAGTAACAGTAGGTGAACTACGTGAAGATGAACTACCTCCGCGACTACAACAACATCTACTTACAACAGTGCGCCTCTCCTCTTACTTGCTGTTGTACGACCAAACCATGCAATACAAATTGTTTTGACATCACGACATGCAATACAAATTGTTTACCGAGCACTTGCTTCAAGACTCCCACAGCGCCGACACGTGTCAGGACCAAGGCGACTAAGGTTCCCGAGGTTAAGTGACGGATGTTGGCCTTGAGTCTTGATGAGCTCAGGCTGGAATTTTGCTTCAGGAACTGCTCTGCGCGGACGTCCGTCATCACAAGGGATTGCTCCTTCGTAATCTGGAAGCCGGCGGCTTTCAGGCTGTTGAAAATAAAGGAATCAACTGCTGGAGGATAAGGATTCAATGGAATGTAGATGTACATCACAAAAGATGAAATATGAATCGAATCTTCAACTTCATGGATGCGTTTTACTAAACTTGTTCCAGCATCGAAAAACTAAAACCCCCCACGACGATGAACGTTCTATCTTCTATACCTGTTCTTAATCGCCTGCAGTTCCGGGACTGCTTCGGGCTTTACCAAACACAGTGTCCTCTCCATCCCGCTCAGCAATCCAGTCGGGAAGACCAAACTAATCTCCTTCTTGGCGTTCGAAACCGACGTTGCGCAGTGAATCACGTTCTTGACGTCGTCTGTGCCAAAGTTTCCCCGAATCGTTGCTGTATTTGCGTACTCCGCCTTCCTGGACGGGCCGCACATCAGGCGACACCTGTCGCTATCCTGTGCAAAAGTATCGTACTCGTAGCAATTGCAATCATGCATTGCAAGAAAGTTTTTTCCTTCAGGTAAATCAGCAATTACAAATTTTATTTCTCATGCTGAGGAAATTTGTAGTGCATTTATACGAGTACGATACTTTTGTAATTCATAGTCGACCGCACCCGGCCCCTCGAGGACGCAGCACAGGGAGGGTCCCGAGGTGAGGTAAGTAACTAATTCGTCCTTGTTCGGTCGGTCGTGGTACCTGTCGGAGTTGGTTTTTCCTCATTGTGCACAGCACGATGCATCAAGATCGATTTAGTGATGCATCTAATATTGTCAAGATGCTCATGCAGTGAATCAATGTAATGCAAGTAGAAATTCTTACATTTCCTCCGCCTGCTCCTTCGTGAACGTGCAGGTTTTCTGGGCCACGATCAACAACCCCGATTGCAACAAAGAGTTCACCACGTAGCTGTGCACATCCTGGCCGACCTTTGGCTTGATCACCGCCAGCGTTCGCTCGACGCTCTGGCCCTCGAGGCACGGGAAGAAAAATTCCGCGTCGCGGAGGGCCTGTGATAGGTTTAATATTTGGAACGAATTTATCATTTTCTCGACCCTGTTCCAAGAAGCCTAGGAAAAGAACGAGAGGAGAAACAAGAAATGAATCCATGATACAAGAGCAAGACTTAGGTAGCAACAAGACACGTTGAAACTTTCTGCATATAATTCACGAGAAACTTAGTTGAAAAACAAAGTACGTCCCATTTCGTCTTGCTGCAGTACACCGGGTGTGCCTTCAACGCTTCGCAGGCCAGCACCTTCGCGACGGTGTCATTGTCCAAGTGCTCGAGCAGGCAAACGTCCACTAATCCGCCTATGGCATTCTCAACTGTTACATTCTCAACTGTTACACGGATTTGACATGCAAAGTTGCCATCAGCCTCCACTTGATCAAGGTGCTTAGCATGACAAATTTTCGAAGGGATAAACAGCATAATAATCTGTGGAAAATCTGTGATGCGAAAGCTGCAATATTGCCACTTTTACTGTTGGCGTTGCTGTAGTTCTTGCGTTACAAATCCATGTAACAGTTGAGAGTGTAACGTTTGAGAACGCCATACCGCCTTCCTCGCAGTCGTACGGCTTGCCCTCCACGCCAGTGAGGCAGACCGATTTCCTGATTTTCACATCAATATGGATGTGTCAGGATTGAAATCGTCAGAGTTGAAATAGTTTGTGATGCATAAAATGCAACCCACAAAATGCATGCCATGCAGAGTCGGCAAGGAAGGCAGATTGTAAGCCTGTTGAGGGATAGAAATAGCGCTGCTGAGGTAGCATGACAAAAGGCGTCTTCCTTACCCAAACAGCATGACAAACTGGATTTCGGATCTACCCAGATTTGTCATGCGCCCCTTGGAAACTGGGTTACAAATGGCATCCATTTTATGCATGACAAATCATTTCAACTTTGACGATTTCGATCCTGACGCTTCCATAATCAAAGTCGTTGTCTTTCAAGATCGTCTCAATAGCCGCAACCGACGCTGGCTTCTCGTATCGAATGCAAAAATGTCTGGGTCTGGAAACTTGTGATGCTGCGATGGGAATAGTGAATGCTCTGTAATGCACAGCCAAGCATGAGAAATTATATCTGCGCTTCTTTGTGTTGCGTTTTTCGCATGACAAGCTGCGTTTTTGCACGGCAGGCAAAAGGGTCTCTTCTTGGACACGCATCACAAACTTTTTGGTCATTCCAGACAAGCATTACAAATCTCGCAGTCTTCCAGACCCAGACATTTTTGCATTTGATATCTCGCCCTGGGTGACCACCTGCAGCGCCGCCGGCTTTATCACCAGCACGGTTTTCTCCTTCTCGCGAAGGCCGATCATCTTATTCTGTAATTATAATAAGCTGTAGTCCTATTCCCCTCGTCGTGGTGTCGTCCGTCGTCCCTGGTACACAAAAAAAAATTTCGACCTGTGGTGGTCACGAGCAAGATTATATGGCAATCAAAATTTATGCAGCAATCAAATTTCACCAGTCCTCTGGTCGTGTTCCGGCTCACAATTCCAGAAATTTAGAAGAACAAAAAACATCCCCTCAACGACATGCAGCTGGTAGAACAAAGATGTTGTACTGACGTAGTGCGACGATGTGCTCATACGTAAAGGTAGAAAGGTTCAAATCGACCCTGCTTACAGTTGTCCCGCTCAGCATCGCTCTCCAAAACGCTATATATCTCTCACAACGACAGTCCTTGCTAGAGCGAGGAAGAAGAACATTATTGAAAAGCGTCATCCTTCTCCTGAGACAGGTGCACCAGCTGGCCCTGAAGACACCACAAAATCGTGCTAGAAATCTTGTACAGAACTCATAAGCAAGCTAGGGGAACGCCCTGCATTTTGTGCTCTTTGTTCAAAGAAAATTCCGGTACCTACTGTCGAAGATGTCGTGACATTCATAAATCAGTCGTGCAAACGTCGTGCCAGGACGAGAGCTACACATTCATTTGTCTGTGAAATGTGATTGGTTCGTTTCATGTTGTCCATGACTAGTACGTGGACAAAATCTTATATCGAAATCTTCCCTCCTAGTAATCACTACAGCTTCTCCAGCTCCTCGAAGAACTCCAAGTCGAGGTAAAACGTGTAGTAATCCAGCAAATTTTTCATGAATCTGATCGGGAATGATTTGTCGATCAGCTTGTCCGAGTCTTCACTATTAAACCACACCATCACGAAATACGGGAACAAACAGAGGGAAAGCTTAAAGTCGCGCAGATACAGCTCGTAGTACGATGTTTCAGGAGTCGACGATGGTCCCGCTGCGCTGGGGCTACTACTCCTGCTGTGCCCCACTCCATTCGCCGTTGCACCACCGCCGTTCGAGGTGGACACCGGCCCACCTGCAGCTCCCGCTGGTGCAGTAGGGGCACTAAACGACCGGTGCTGCTTCTGCTTCCAGAGGTGGTAGTAGAAATCGATGCAGATATTGCAGATTTTTGCGTCAAACTTGATCGATTCTACCAGTAGAAAAGCGATGTCGGAGACTCCTTTGTTCAAATGAATGTACTGCCAATCGCACAGCACCGGCTCGACCTTATCACTGTTCGCAAACGAGGAGGACATCATCCCGGACAGTCCTGCCTTCTGGTAAAAGATGTTCGGGGATTTCAAATCGCCGTGAACAAAGGAGAGTGGAAACGTTGACAGCAAATGCGCGATCTTTTCGTAGTTTTCCGCAATTTTTACGCACGCGTCGCGGTTTTTCTGGCTCATGAAGATCCCGTTGCGGTTGATAAATTTCGGAAACCGGTTCTTCACGAGTTCCTGGTAGTACACGATCTGCTTGGGGGTCACGAGATTGGCCATGGAGGGAATCACGTCTTCGCGCTTCTCGAATAAGTAGGTGTCGTGCATTCTAAAAGCAGCTGAGGTCACGTTTATCCCACGAAAAAGGAAGTGTCTTTTCAGTCTCAAAGGTAATTAGTTTGCAGTCTGAGCACAACAAACTCCCTCAGCATGTTGACACGCAAAAGCAAAACCAAAACCTGTAATGCGGCATGATATGCAAGAGAAAACACGTAGGAAGTGCCTTTGCGTTTGCCTTATTTTTGCAGGTCGACCATGACAAAAAACTACTTCAAGGAAGTTCCGCATTACAAGTTGAGACTAAGGCAGTTTTTTCTTGCGATAACGTTCAGGAGAAGTTGAATGTCCTGGTTCAAATCGCAGTTCCAAACGCCGGGCTGAACCTGATATATCAAATAGAAATGCAGTCACGCATTGGCATTACAAATCTGATTCTTAAGGTACATCCGCATCACAGTTTTTGTTGCTCATGCTGTAATGCACTTGCTATACCCTCAAATCCTCCATGATAATCCCGATCCGCTCCTCTTTTCTTATCACCCCGTAGCTTTTGGGCACGGACACCGTCGCCGAAACCACTTCCGCCAGGTGCTCGTAGAAATACCCCTCTTTCTCGTACATGTCTAATTGGGTGGCGACCTTGGACAGCTCGTTCCCGAAGTTGCTGATTTTGAACACGACGGTCTGTTCATCGCCGTTCGTGTACAGCACCTTAAATGCGTTGATGTCGCAGATGTAGCCGGTCTTCAGACTTTCCACGGAGTACTGCACGTCTTTCACCGGTAAATGGGAGAGTTTCTTGTGTATCTCTTTCGCATAGAGTTCATACTGCTGCATCTGCTGCTTCTGCTTCGATTTCGGTGTCTCAGTCGCGCCGGGGTGGAGCGATATGCTGTGACTTGTCCCGCTCAGGTTCAGATTGGTGCCTGTGCCGTGCGAGCTGTCGAGCTGAATCGTGTCTAGGGAAATAAAGAGGGAATCCACGTCCAGACTGTCCCACTCGTCAAAAACGACATCCGCCTCCACAGCAACCGCTTCCTCGACCAGACTGTTTTTTCGTTCCCCGTTGGTGAAAAAACAAACCTTGTTATTCGCGATTCGATTCATAATTGTGTGGTATATTGCATCACAATACGTAGCGGGCCTGTCATGAAAGCAAAAGAGTAAATCTACGCGAAGACGAGCTTCAATTTTAATAGCACATCGATCTCTAAGTAACTGTGGTACAAATACAACACGACAAGTAAGTATAAGTACCTTCGACACGCAGGCCCTGCTTGCCGCCAACAGCCCCGGCGAGGAGTCTTCTATTATGACGCAGTTTTGTGCCGCGATCTGCAACTGCGACATGGCCCGCTGGTACGGCTCCGGGTGCGGCTTGTGGTGGCCGCAGTCCTCACTGCAGATCAAAAGCGTGACGTAGTCGGCCAAATTGGTGATCTTCAGGATAAATTCCGCGGCCGTGCGGTTGCAGCTGGTGACCACGGCGATCCGGGCGTTTTTGATCTTCTGCAGAAACTGCTCGACGCCTGGAATCAGGATTTTTTTCCCCGCGCTCGGCATCTGTAGTAATCGTTGCATGGCAAAAATTTTCGGCGCCGGGGCCGGATGCAAATCTGTGATGCTGTTTCGGGCAAAGGAGCTTCCTTCTGTGATGCTAGCCAGCAATGACCCAACTCTTGTTACCCAATGTCAGGACTTACCATAATCTGCCTCGTCCACCATTGCGTCCTCTGCAATGGAGTCACATTTTCCCCAGCATTTTCTGCATGACAAATTACACTACGATCCAAAATCCCAATACCTCTTCCAACGTCTTCACAAACTCAGTGTCTTATCAAATGTAAAAATGTCTGGGTCTGGAAGAATGCAACTTGTGATGCTGAATTTGGATTCCAAAAAAATCTGTATTGCATGAGCAGCAAAGGGAGTGTAATGCTTGCTACGCGGAGAGGGCATTTGTCATGCGGAATAGGCATCGCGAGGCCCTCAAAAACTCTGTGATGCTAGGGCATGCATCACAGACATCATGGCCGAGGCAAAACATGCATGACAAGTCTCAGAATCTTCCAGACCCAGACATTTTTACATTTGATATGTCTTTGTCCGTGGCGAATTTCGCGACTACCTCTTCCGTCGCCGCTTCCGGCATTAGGTATTTTAAAAAGTTCAAGTCCGACTTGCCCTTGATAAACGTCTCGAAAAAGCCCTGGTCGACGGACAGGCCGTACGGCTGCAATAACCGGTTCCACACTTGCACGTAGATCTCGTCGGTTTTCACCAAGGTTCCGTCCAAATCGAGCAAAAACCCGGTTTGAAACTGCGCGACCTGCTCCGGGGTGCCGAGGGAGTAAAAAAATTTGTTCGACACCGGGCAACAGAAGAAGGGTTTCTCGTCGGCTAGCATCAACTGGATCACGGTTGAGGTGTAGTACTCGTTCTTCTGTCGGATGTTCCGCTCGATGATCTGCTTCACGTAGTCCATTAGTTCCTTATGATCTTTGAACGCATAGACCCCGGAATTCGCCCAATCACTGATTTTCTCCTTTTCCACGATCTTTTTTATCCGCATCTTATTCGAAGTAAATCTTATTTCATGCTGTAACAACTGCTCAGCACTAGAAGTACCCGTACTGAGTTCTTGTGAACAACTACTAGTACCCGGTGGGTTCAGCACTTTCTCCTCGTCCTCTGCCTCCACTTCCACATACGAAAAGACCGTATCAACTGCAAAAATGTCCGGGTCTGGAAGATGAGTGCGCGATTTGTCACGCAGCTTTTCCATGAGCCATGAGGTCTGGAGTGCAGGACTTAGCATGACAGATTCTGCGCGATCTCTCTCCTGCATGAGAAACTCCCTCCCGACTTGGTCAAAACTGGACGACTTTTGGTAATCACGCAGCACAGATTTTTGCATGCTTCAGATTTAGCACGACAAGTTGCATCCTTCCAGACCTAGACATTTTTACATTTGATAGATCGGTTTTGGCTGCAGATCCTGAAAGGAAAATACCGCGTTGCAGTTGCCACCCCAGGTTTTTACTGCGTCAAACTCCTTCGTGTAAAACGAATCGGCGTCGATGCTGCAAACAGGGATTGGATTCTTGTTCTCGTCTTTTTCATATGCATTGCAAAAGCAGCGCACTCGTATAAATGCATTACAAATTTGAATTTCCTCAGCAAGAGAAATAAAATTTGTGATGCTGATTTGCCTTCAAGAAAAGATTTGTAATGCATGACTGCAATACTAGTACGATACTTTTGCAAAGGATATTTCAGAAGTTGCAAACCAGTCCGGCAGAGTTTGTTCCAAAAACTCCAGCGCGACGAGCAAGGTTTCCGCGGCACCGCTATTGCACTGAAAAATGCCCACACCCTCGAACTCGGGAGCATTTGTATTGCAAACCTTTCCAAGTGAAACACTCGCCCTCTTGCATCTATCAGCATCACAGGTTTTCAATCGTGAATAGCAAAGATTTGTATTGCAAAAGACCCCAGCAAGAGCGGCGCTTGTCATGCAAGCGATGCGATACATGCCTAGACTCTGCATCAGAAAGATTCATTCTCCTTTCATGCATGACAAAAAGTTTTCATTTGGAAACTTCGCATCACAAATTTTTGCAACGTTGGGGGTGGGGGCATTTTAATTTTTCACTGTAATAACCACGCGTCTGGGTTTCCAAGGGGAACATGTGGATGTTCTGCTTGTTGGGATATGCGGTTTTTACTCGGTTTTCAAAATTATCAAAGAAAAAAAGTTCGTCACGATCACTCATGCGCATTTTTGCAATACAAAATTGTTTGTCATGCGTAAAAATGCATCACAGCCAAACCTCATTAGGGATTTCCCTAGTGTTTCTGCAATACAAGGAAAATTTGTGATGCTATAGAAAATTTGTAATGCAAAATCTGCAAGTTAGTGACTGTGACAAACTTTTTTCTCTCCATAAAAATCCCACTCCTTGTACTCGGTGTTGTAGGGAATGCAAAGGATCCAATCCTCATTCGGTAAGTGAATCCCGTCGAGCAGCCAGAACAGGATCGGCTTATCCTCCACCGGCACTAGCCCCTTCGGCTGGGGAAACCCCTGCTTCTTGAACCGCGTGCCCAAGCCGCCCAACGGGATGATGACAATCCCCTTGGCGGGAGGTGCTGGTCGTGGGGAGACGGCGGCGGCCATGGTGCAGCTCTGGTTCCTCGTCGTGGGGTGCTCTTGGCGGTTGTGGCAATCGTTTCGTCCAACTGATTCGTGGCAGGCTTTTAGCGAGGCAACGAAATAAGGGGGAAACTGCCCCCGGGGACACCGCCTACCATCTTTTGGGAAGACGATCGCCTCTCTGGTCCGATTTAAGAGTTGTATGAATGGCCCTTCAAGAAAATATTATTCTCTGACAAAATTTACAGCTACCTCGTCGTGTCTGGCGTTGGCCGTCGGACTTTATATTTTCGATGAAACTCGGATCGCAGCACACCACAAACACAAAATCAAGAAGTCGAGCGTCGCAAAATAGAAAACTGAGTGGCACGACGACCAGGCGGCACACAGCCCATTGTTCAAGAACGAAAGCCTCCAGGTGGAAGTCGTCTATCAGATACAGACTTGAGAAGAAAGATCGCTTTCTTGTTCGGCTTTATTTACAACAGTTCCCTATCCTTTCTGCTGCCGCTGTCATCTACTTCGGAAATCAAATTTGTCTCTTGCAAGAACGGAATCGCCAACTTCTCCACGCTTTCGTCGAAGGGCGCCTGCACCCCGCAACATAGCCCGTAATTCAGGTCCCGCTCCAGTCCGGGGACCGACGGCCAGCAGTACGGATTCCCCTGCGGCCCGTACTTCGTGTCGCAACACCTCTCGCAAGGGAAGTGTTTGTCAAAACACTGCTCTAGAGCCGTGGGTGGGCAGACCTGGTATAGAAGATTTTTTGTAGTTTTGTCATGCGAAGTAGAAGTGGAGAAAAGTTTCCTACTGTTCTTGAGCTGCTATAAGAAGAAGAACTATTTGGTTGCAAGTAGACTACCTGTTCCTTCGTCCCAAAGTTCTTGTCCGTGGCCAGCGGGTCGTTTCGTTGCTCCCCCTGTTGGAACAGAGCCAGCCGGTAATTTGTGACGCCGTATCAAATGCAAAAATGTCTGGGTCTAGAAGAATGCAAGTTCTTTGTCATGCTTGTCTGGCATGACTCGAGAATCTGTGTTGCATAGGCACGAAAAAGTCCTGTCACCTGTCACGCAAAAACGCAGTTTGACATGCGGAATACGTAAGACAGGGCAGCCAAAAAATTTGTCATGTATAGCTGCGTATTCCCGTGCGTCTATCATTCACTTTTACCATTACAAGTTTTCAGACCCAGACATTTTTACAATCCATTCGCCGCAGCAGGTTGCAAATTTTATATCCCCCTCCCAACACGAGAGGTTTCCAATCGGCACGGCGATGTTGCGACAACAGGACTCACAGGTGTACTTCGCGTCGAAGCAGCCCTGTTCCGCTGCGGCCGGACAGAGCCCGGCTGCACGGACCACAAGGACGGGATGAAGCACTGTGGTGGCAAACACAAAGGCAAAGAAAAAGGGAAGAAAAACGTTTCGACAAGAAGGCCAACGTGGCGCCATCTTATGAAGTTGTTCTCGTCCGCATCAACCGCCGGAACCACTTACTGGTCTTCGTTGTACAGAGCTACAGATCATGCGCCGCTTTGAAAAAATTTTCTTCATACCTCTCCATTTGCTCGTTTTTTGTTTTTCGAAAACGGTTTTTTTCCGACATACAAAACGACACCTCCAGTTGAAAAAAGCAAAGCGGTCTCCCGCCGGTGAGCGTGGCTGGACGGTCCCCGCGTTGGGTCGATCGAAGAAAATCTTTGCTCTTTTCTTGATCCATGATCTGTGGGTTTATTTCTCCGAGAAGATGATGAAAAGCTGCTACTTATTCTGCCGAAAGTCAAAACATCATAGAGCCAGACCTGTTCACATCATGCCAATAATATTCTCGAGTATTTAAGTACTTTGTTTGTAGTAAGGCAATCAATTCAGTCGCCTGCATCTCCGTGTCCGTGATCGTACACTGCAGACCTACTGGTGCTGGTGAAGAACAACTAACTTCCGCTTCTACCCTAGCCCCTCCAACGGCTAAAAAACATTCACTGTCCCAATGCCGCCGCCTGCTCCGCTTTGAGACTCATGTTTCGCAAGTTGTCCATGAAAATCTCGTGCGCCTGCGCGTACAGCCACTTGCACGGCTCCTTGTAGTAGTGGCAGCCCGGGTGGTGCCGTACGAAGTCGCCCTGTTGCCACTCGCGGGAAAGTATGCTTTGCAAAAGTAACGCACTCGTATAAATGCATTACAAATTTCCTCAGCATGGGAAATAAAATTTGTACTGCTGATTTGCCTTGGGAACAAGATTTGTGATGCAAGACTTGCATTTATACGAGTACGATGCTTTTGCAGTGCATAGAAAGCACCGTCATTGCGGTGGCCTGGTGGAAGGATTGCATGTGCTCCTGGTAAACGACGCGAACCTGGTCGGAAACGATTTCGTCTCATCGTAACAAGCTTCTTCGGTTTGCAGCCTGCACAACAAGCATCCTTCATATTCATAATCATATCTCTTCGTGGCAATAAAAAGCGTGCAGCTGACACGAACAACATCAAACACTCAAATTTTCAATTTCAACACACCTGTTGCGGCCATATGGGTCCCTCGACCATGTCCCAGGCTGGATCTAGGTTCATGCTGTTTTCGTACAATAATTCGTGTTGCATGGTGCTCTGGTCGCTGCAGTTGTGGTTTTCCCCCGGTCCCTCCAGAATCCGCGAATGCCACCACCGTTCCAGAAAATCGTGCGACCATTTGTTGTTGCGAAGCATCCAAACGCCATTGTTGATACCTCGTTTTTTTCATTAACTTTAATTCGTACTCTATGTATATTATTATCTTCTATAAGCAACATCATCACAGAGAGCCATTGCTGACGGTTTCGAAGTGCATGACACACTACAACTTAACCACTATAACATCATCAACCTGTGCTATCCACAGCAAGCAGCAAGCTGACATCGGAGAAGGCTTCTTGATTTTTTTCTCTCTCCGGATTGTTGAGAAAGTCGTCAATTACGTTGTAGGTCGTCTCGTCAAAGTTGCTTTTTTTCCGTATTATGGGCGAGGAGTAATTCCCGGTGTACATGTGGATGACGCTGTCAATCGTCCGCTCCGGATCCATGTACAAAGCGTCGCAATCCGCCCACATTACCCAGTCCGGAGCGTTCTCAGAGTCAAAGACATTTTTCACCGCGTTCACTTTCCAGAAAAACGGCTTGTGGACCCCATCTTTCACCTTGAGGATTATATATTTTTTCCCACCATATCAGTTGTACTTATCTTGCGCTTGCTGATGGTACCAGTATTGTTCACCATCCATGCATTCGCTCCGATAAAAAAAGCAAAAAAAGGGAGACGGACGCTTCTTCAGGAGCTCGCTGTGGAAAAATTCAAATTTATATGGTGTAAGTACGTTCATTCCGCTCTTTTTGTTTGGCATGATTTCGTCCGGGGACAGGTACATGTGGAGGTCGTAGCCGTGCAGCTGTGCGTAGAGCCCGTGGTTCTCCAGACTGACCACCCGCACCGCTTCATCAGGGGCGTAGCTGCAGATCGTGACGATCGCAACCTTCTGATTCGCAAAACGAAAGGACTTCGGGGTGTCCCACAGGATCGCGGGGTATTACAGTGAAAAATGCCACCCACCCCTGAAAGTGCGAAAATTTGTGATGCGAAGTTTCGAAATGGAAACTTTTTGTCATGCATGAAAGAAGTATGAATCTTTCTGATGCAGAGTCTAGCCGTGTATCGCATCGCTTGCATGACAAGCGCCGCTCTTGCTGGGGTCTTTTGCAACACAAATTTTTGCTATTCACGATTGGAAACCTGTGATGCTGATAGATGCAAGAGGGCGAATGTTTCATTTGGAAAGGTTTGCAATACAAATGCTCCCAAGTTCGGGGGTGGGGGCATTTTTCATTGTAATACGGGGCGATCGAGCTTCTGGACCTCCGCGAGGAGATTGCGACCCGCCATCATCATGTCCCAACTGGGGTGGAGGACATGTCATTTCGTTTTCTTTGGTGTTGAGGAAGAAAGAAAGTCGATGAGTATAAAAACATGCAAGAGAAAAATATAGGTCCAAACGACGTTTGCAATTATGTAGAGAGAGCTTCATCTTCACGATAGAAACAATCGAAAAAATCCGTACCCTTGCACCGGCCACGGCGTGCACTCGTGGAAGCCCTTGTCTCTGACGAAGATGAAGGCCATTTGCAGCATGGACAGTG